ATAATAACGAATTATACTAGATACTATATAAGATATAATAATAGAAAGTTAGACTATAAATATAATATAATTAGCTAGAAACTTCTATAAAATAGATCTACTTTAAGTTCTTTAATTTTATATTAGTATCTCGCTAAATTACGTTAAAAAATTAGTCTATAAGTAGAGAAATAGTAGCCGGAAGCTATAGGTATAGAAATATAGAATAGTACTACCTATTATTAAAAGAGTATCGTACGTACTATTATATCGAGTAATAATAAAAGGCTCGACCGGTATATTTATTTGCTTATAGTATTCTTAGCGTTCGGTAATTCGATCTCTTAAGTATAAGTTTGGTCGTAATAGCGGTGAGGCCGTATAGTAGGCAGGCTGTCGGAGTGTGAAGTTGGGCAGCAAGTAGATTTGCTCGGTCTGTTCAGTGCAGTGTATTCGTGGTGTGTCGAAAGTTTTGCCGAATGTGGCCAATGTACACGATCGGGAGGCTGGAGCAGGTTCCGTAGTCCATCCGCTGGCCTTGTTAGCAGCGCTCAATGAGGTCCACCGCAATAATAACCCATCAAGAGTCACTGTGAAAATTATCGTCTGAGTGTGAAGTCTCCGCGGAGCATTTGCGGTTGTGGTCAAGCTTGTGCGCAAGAACCTCTCCTCTCCAAACAAGTTGTCTGCAATGCTCTTTCCAAGAAGATTCTCATGAGACGATAGAGGGAATGGGCACGCAGCATTGATCTTGCCATTTCAAGTCGAGTACTGTAGTCATGCACGTGAGTTGTTGTTGTATTTAGTGCCCCCAGTACCCGACCGGAGAAATCAGAAATGGTGTGCAGCCAGCCACGTACGTATACCGCACCTAGTAGAGGTCGGGTACAGCACAACACACAAGCAGCTTATCGTCCAATAATGAGCAGCGGCTCACAACTTCGTCAAGCACGATATGCAGCTTCAAAGTCCGTCGTCCTTCCCCATTCGGCGTGCATGTCCTTCTGCAATGTCCCAGGCCAACATCTGGGGGATGCCTGATGCCTGGCGGGTGTAGTCGAAACTGGCTATACCCCGGAAAGAGGCTAACGCAGCAGCCCACCAACAAATGTTTTCTGCTGGTCTGCAAAAACTCTGACCGCTACGTAACGCAGGTGGCCCTCGCGCGGTCTTTCTTCGACTCCTCGCGACAACGGGCCTTCTCGAGCAGCGCTCGTGTGTCCGCCTGCCAGTATCGGACGTCGCAGGTGTCAGCAGCAGCACAGCGGCGGCGAGTGACAACCACACACAGGGCTGAGGGGCCCGCCACGCGCCACCAATCATGCGCATCCTATTCTCGTAGCAGATCGCAGCTAGAAGCCTTTGCGAACCTGCATCTGCCGGCCCGCCAAGCAGCGCTGCTCCCGTCTGGGAAGGTGACCTCGCCCTCGGTCGTTTGCACAGCGTGTGATGATGGCACCGTGCGCTTCGTCATCCCAACAAGCTCGTTCGCGATAGCGCTGGCGGCCTGCACGGCGGCGCTCCCCGGCTGACGACGAAGGCAGAGCGGAGGGAGCCTTCAGCAGCAGCAGCAGCAAACGTGTCGCGTGAGTGGCATGGCCAGGCAGCCCGGGGTTTGCTGAGAGTTTGGCCTGTCCCCTTATCGCGACCAACCAAGGGCGCGGGTGTGCTCATGTTTCGCCCGCGCACAGCTGGGCAGCTGTCACCACCCTCGCCGCGCACTAACACGCTGCTGCCACTGACTACTACTACCGCCGGTCTCACCCACCGTGACTGTGTGCACGCTCTCTCTCAACTCGCAGCTCCACCACCACGCACGACTCTCCGGACGGTCTGCGGCAGTGAATATTGCGCACCCACCGCCCTGCCTGTCTGCCCCAATCACCGCTCCGGCTGCTGGACCCTCTCGCCGCGCTATTACGAAACCGCCGACTGCCAGATCGTGTCCGGTTCCCTGGATCCCGGCACGTCACAGCCTGCGCACCGCAGCCCGCTCTGCGACGAACCCTCGAACGTTCGCGCCGGTCGTGCTCCTCTCACGAGACTTGCTTTTCCCTGATCTTACTCAATAAGGACCGCCTACCCCCGGTTGGGCCACTGGGCCACGCGCATTCCAGGGCCATGCTGGTGCCGAGCTCGTTCAAATACAGCTCGGCTGCCATGGACCACGCCGCGAGGAAACCCTCTCGTCGCTCATCACCCACGCCTCCCTACCCCGAGCGGAAACGGTCAGCAGCCACGTTGCACTCGGTGTCGCCGCCTCGCAACAACACCGATCCCGTCAGCATCCCATTATCCTCCGCGCCCAATGTTGCCGCACCGAAACACATTGAGTCCGAATCAAATCAAAACATGGCTACAAAACGGAGCGCTACTGTCAACATCAGCCGGAGGAAACCCTCATCCCACGACCCAAATGCCCTTCCGCCTGCAGTCGCCGCACTGCTGGCGGTGACAGCGATTCCACCTCGCCGACCCAATCGCTACCGGACACATGCCGGCAGTGGCCGTCGGATCTCTATAGAGGAATTGATCAGTGAATGGAGAAACGATGACTCTCTCAAGCAATCGTATGAGAGTCCAACTAGCGGGGCTCTGGGTATACTGTTGGAGGATGGTCTGGACGCAGATGATGACAACAGCGTTCCAAGCTACCTCAACGCCAGGTCAGCTTCCAGCGACTCGATGCCATCTCTGGACTCAGACAACCAGTCAGTATTGTCTGTTGGCAGCCCTTCAACACCCGGCTCTCTGCGCAGCCGGAAGTCAATCACGAATTTCAAAAAGGAAAAGCCGAGGTCACTGCCAGCGTCAGTGGATTGTGCTTTAGACCATCCTCTGATAACTACGCTAGAAATTGAGGGTGATGACGACTTGCCACCGCTACCGAAGCAGAAGCGGGTGGTCGCGAAGTCAAAATCTTCGTTCAAGTCGAATTTGACTGCCTCTTTGCAGTCACTGAAAGAGGCTGCAGTTAACTCGATTTCTTCTCTTGGACGGACGGGTGGGATGCCGTCACTTTCCAGAGCGGCAGCTCCTCCGATGGACGATATGCTCTGGTCTCACCCGTTCCTTTTCCCGAGATTTAGTTCCGAAGTTCGACCTGCTTACGATGGGACACCAACGCAAGCTCACCGACGATATCTCAATCCCATGCCTCTCACATTCGAGGAGCAAGAAGCACCTTTCCAGGAGGCTTTACATGCTCCGTTCCTCGCGGAGACTGTCGACGATGCACCGATCATCCAGATGCAGACTTACAACCGCGGACGGAAACGGCCAGGCAAACGCGCAGCATCGAATCCCAGTTCAGAGGCTGGAAGGGCTCTCCTCGGCCAAGTTGGCGGACGACAGCGTGAAGTGAGAGAAAACTCCAACTTCTTGCGCGTCGTTGTCTTGGAGATGAACATGCGTCGTGAAGGCAAGCTGGAGCAGGGACGAGCCAAAATATGGCTCCCACCTCGTGAGTCCAGTGCAACTCCAGAGCAGAAGGGCGGGATCCCAAAGCGTTGGATCGGAGAGAGTGCATGATGCGCTCGATCTGGCAACAATTTCTTATTAACGAGCATCGCATTTTTTGTGTTCTTTGACATGTATTGCAGCGTTCAAGCGGAACGCATTACGAGAAATGCTGAAGAAACCTGAGAGAATCATGAAGCATATATAGCACTCCACAGAGAGGAGTACCCATTTCAGAAGTAGCAAAGCAATGAGAAAATATTGCAAACGAGGGGAAGAGCATTCACGCTGTATATGTATACCTTGCTGGACCGCATACATCGCATGACATGACGATAAATGCCTCATGTCTTGCGCGATTTCTGGAGCAGGGAGCTGCTCACGTGTCTGACTAGTACCACCAAGGTCACGACATAGATGGAGATCAGCACGCGCTTGAGAGCATTTCCGGGGTTGACGACTCTTCATTCAAAGACGATATGGTGTTCGTAGTCGACAGGATCACCATTGGTGTAGCACTTTCTGGGTCGGTTTGAATGTTTGATGTCTAGGAGTCGCAAATTCCAAAGGCAGCAGACCGCCTGGCACAATTGCACCTGTTTCAACATCAGGCCACGAGCTGTACCCCAGTGTCGGAGTCCGTCCACAGCTATTTAGAGCTCGGTAGCCTAGTCGGTGACATTGCAGCAATGCAGCCATCACTTTACAAGATCGACGTGCGAGGGTCTTGTGCTGTCCAGGATCGCTGGACAGCTGGACATGCCACGCAACTAGCGCCATTCTCTCCGTCTACCACCTTGTCCTTCTCGTTCAACCTCTGCTCAGATTCCATAAGTCGTGCCATTTAAAAAGGTTCCATTGTAACTTGGTCCTTCGAGCTGTGGGGAGAAGAACAGGTCAGTATCGAAATCCCGACACCTCAAAGGATTTATCTAGGGCCACTTACATGCCACACATCAATCCTCAGCGTAAAATACGTCTCGCTTGTAGATACTCTCTGCAAAAGCCCGAACGCGACGAGGTTGTTTAACCAGTAATACTTCGGGTCACCAGTCTCAATGATGACTCGCAGGTGTGAAGTTCCATCTAAAAATCACACCACGAGCAACGAATTAGTTTGTACAACTTTCGAAGAAGAAGAGGAAAACTTGGAACTTTTCGACTCACCAGGATTCTTATTCCCAATCGTCTGCAAAAAGAGATTCGCGCCATCGTACGTTTGGAGATTATATCTTGTATCCGCAGAGAAGAGCCCTGTCTGAGGATCTGTAAGACCCCAATCTGCTCCGAGATCGAGGACTTTTCCGGAGAGATGAGGGCCTGTGAAGTTGCCGCCCTGTCACAAAGCATCAGTCATGGCTCTCGAAGCAGCATTGATTAGTCCGGGTTTTGGCTTACGATGATAGGAATTGCTTTTCGAATGCCCTTTGGAGTTTGCATTTCAAAGAGCGTGGGTTCGCAATCCACAAATGCGGTGTATAGCCATACCGACCCAGGAGCGGTTGGCTCTGTTTTTGGCGGTAGGACAGTCTGCGCTGCGGCAGATGCTGCTACAGCGAATAGGCTGGTGAGATGGCTGAGTTGCATAACGAGTAGTCGGATAATAGAGCTAGTTGGCAGAGGCCTGTATAGTTGCGCAATTCTATAAATCTTGACGAAGTTTATATCGGCTTATGGACTTGTACCTGCATTGCACCGCTAGTCAAGTTTTACCAAGGTCTGACCTCTCCGCAGATGCCATCGGTCTGGTGGTCACTAGTTGAACACCATCTCCACGCTGCAGACGTTGCCGGTCGCTATAATGCGGGGTGTAACGATGCAATTGCCGATGTTATGCCTTTGCGGGACCGGGATAAACAGCTTCTTTTCGTGCTACCGTCCTCTGGAAAGCTGAGCAATCATGCGATCGATATCGAGCACTTGTTGTCCACTGGCCTTCGACCTCAGGTCTTCAAGTGTTGCTCGGTCTTTCATTTTCAACGCTTCTTCGCCTGCTTTGTTCACCATTCCGACCTTTACCCACATTTCAATGCGTTCGGCGGGGGTGAGCGAAGTGCATTTTGGTATAAAAGCCGAAGCAACCTTGGGGTTCCCTGCACCAAGAATCTCGTTGAAAAATGGCTGCGTGCGTGTTAGACGAGCGACAATACTTCAGTGAGTTTTGACTTACCTCCCACCCAATGGGACTCTTGCGCTGCTTTGCGGTCTCTTCCAGCTCCCTCCAGTCTCGTCTGCTTACGAGTGCCCTCAATCTGATCCACCAGTAGGTCTTATCACTGACCTTGAACTCCGTTTGGATCTTCTGTGAGCGCTTGATATTACCCTGCTTGATGAGCTTGCTCATCGTTTCATTCACAGACAGTCCGACATAGCTCTCATTCAGCTCTTTCTCGAATGTTTCCTGGAATCGCAGCAACTTCTGTGCTTCTTCCACTGCTGTGACTTGCGGTGCATACTCCTTGCTGTCGCGGAGCAACTTCGCAGCCATCTTTAGTTTCTCGTTCGCAGGATGTACGTCACTCGCGGACAATGCTTCCGATATGAGAAGGTTAGCGCCATCTAGCCGTCGGTCGTCCTGGTAGTAGAGGTCTTTCAGCAACTCGACATCCTGGTCGATTGCAGATGACTCTACGATCGCTGTGGCAACAGGCCTGCTGTTGATCGTCCGGAAGAAGCTTGATAGTGGTATCTTTTTCTTCAGATTTAGCAGGACGTAGAACACGAGGTCAGTGTCTCCGCTGTCGATGGCCTTGTCAAGTGCGACAGACTCCTCGCCAACATCCAGAAGAAGGGGAACTTGCTTTCCAGCTCTCGGTTCATGTTCTAGCAACTGAGTTGCAAGCTTCCCTCTTCCTTCGTCGTATGCTGCTCGCGCGACCTCTTCGAATGAGATGCCACGTTTGCCACGGAGCTTGCGCACTATCTCGCGAGATATGCTCTCCTCGTCCGTGGTTGAGCTTCGAACCTTCTGACGCGCCCAGTGCACGTATATCCTATCCACAGGCAAGTGCAGATATTCTGATATCTTCAGTGCCAACAGGTACTCCTGTCGGTTGACCAGCCGTTGCACGAGTCGCTCGGGTGTGAGGCGGATGTACTGCTCATAAGAAAGTGGCAAGCCAATCTCATGATCCCGCACGGCGTGTAATACGCGCAAAGCCTCGGTCATGTCCACGAAATCGTCGCTGTTATACAGATCTAGCACAGATTTGCCAAATGATGCTGCCTTCAGGAGTTGCTTCTGCCAGTGAACGTTGAACTCGTGACCCGCCGCGCGGACACACACATCCACAGCCTCGTCCAGATTTGGTCTAATGAGCTGAATATTGTCATCGGCCTTGGGTGACTTGTTGTCCAGCTGCACGATAGCGTCTAGCAATACGGCAGGCGGGGAGTCTGATCCAATTTTGAACACCTTCTCGGTATCATCGGGCACTTTCTGCAGGAACTCACAGACATCGCTTGTCAATATGCGGATGCCATCCACATCAGGCAGAAGATGGACCCAGGAATCGTAGAACCACTTGAACGCTGAGCCATTCGGTCCCACGAGGTGAATTTCGTCTTCCCACGCGAGCACTACTGCGTTGTTGCCGCACCACTGCAAGTCCTTTGGTGGAGTCTTTGCCTTGGAATCGTATTCACTGAAACGATCTTGGAAGTCGCTGCTTATAACCCAGACCTTGCCATCATCGGTGTACAATGCGATGTACTTGCCGTTGGGTGACACAGCAATATGTCGGAATGGGCCAGCTTGAAGACCTCGGTCCTCACACTCGACCGCATCTACGACAAAGACGGTGTGCTCAAGTGCGAGCAGGACTTCCACGGAGCGTGAAGATGTGTATTCGGGGGAGATGATCGCCCAAGATACCACCTCTCCAGGAGGAGCAGATGCCAGTAGCTGTGGCCGTGGCTCATCGTATCGCGAGACTGCCACCAAAGTATTATTCCCAAGCAGAGCGACGAAGCCGCTCGACCAGAACTTGCAGCCAACCACGCCATGGTCCTCTGCTCCGTGGCCCAGGTTGAAAGGCGTGAAGTCGGATTGGAGGTCCGAGTATATGCGCACTGTCCCGTCATCGGTAACGACCAACAGCTTCTCATCTTCCGACCAGCCCACGCACTTGATGTTGCCTTTGTCCCATTGTATTTGTCGAATCAGCTTACCGGCGCAGCTGTGGATATCGATGGTCGCTTTGGTGGTTTGCGGGCCTCGAAACGAGTAGACCTTGGAGGGATCACGTCGAAGCGCTGCGCGGGTCAGCGAGGGCCACAACCAGTTGCGGAGAGTGCTTACCTACAGCACCACTACAAGGAGCGCCGGCGAGCGAGTAGTTCTCGAGCTCGAGTTCGGGATCGAAAACATCGCGGTACAGCTCAATCTTGCGGTAGAAGCGGTCGCCAATGCGCTCCCATCCTGCGGTCGGCTTGGACATGGTGCACGCTTGGGTGTCTGCTCCTCATCTCGTGCGCATGGTGGTCGTGTGTGAGAGGTCCCTTCGGTGGAGTGAGCTGCCTGCTTGCCTGTGAGCTTGGACGTGGTGACGAACGCTTGGCTCGTGTCTCTCGCTGACACCAACTCCACAACTCTCGAACCACCATCTCGCACGCATCTCCTCTGCCACATCGAGACAGATGATGCACTGAATGCCGTCGGGCGAGCATACGCTCCGATACTATGGACACCTCAATACTGGAGCGTGTCGAAGAACTCGATGATCTGGAACTGGCTCTTCTAGTATCTACAGTTGCTCAAGTGCACTGCATCTTCTCCACAGCCGTGGACGCCGTCAAGAATATACAAGAAGAACTCCGGCTATCTTGCATTGATCTGTTCGGTCTTCAACCCGCCGTGGTGGAATGCACTTCACGAACAACCGTAGACGAGTTCAATGAGGGCGTACTCATCGACAACGAGGAAAGCCTAGAAGATGCGGTCCAACGAGATTACACCAAGGCTCGTCCAAGTCTACTGGTCAACTTCACGCCTGTACGTCAAGCGAGTCCTGGCGGCAGTAGGATGGGAAGCATAGCCAACCTCGAAGAAAAGCGTATCGCGGATGTCATTATTGCCACCGGCCTGGACGCTGCGCCCGAGAACGTGCAGATTCAAGTTTTTGAATTGATCAGGTCTGGCCGTATCTTCACGCGGTCTGCCATGCACGTCGCACCAAAGGATTTGCTCTTCATCACTGTCCTCTCGAAACCTGACGCACGCCTGACCCGACATCTCAATGACTGTTTCTGCGTGTCACATTTTCACAGCCCGGATGAAGGCTTGCCGCATCTGGACAGCCACTTCAACTCGAAATACTTCGCGCCGCCAACGTTCTCAGCAGCAGACATCAAGCGGCTTACAGAACTTACGCAATCCGTAGAGATGACTGCTGAGATAGCTCAATATCTACACAACGTCGTCGTCTTCATGCGCAATAGCCGTTACGTGAAAGCAGGAGTTACGGCCACTGCTACTCGACAGCTCAGAATACTTGCCATAGCGCTTGCACCTCTTCATGGACTCGACTACGTGCCACCTTCGCTGATCGCACTGGCAGCACGCAAGATTTATCCGCATCGACTTGTTCTGGCCAACTCAGAGAATGAGAGGAGTCTGCTTTGGGGAAGTGACCCACGTGCCATTAAGCAGTTGCTGGAAGGAGTCACAGTCGAGGATGTCATAGAGGATGTCCTTGCGAGCGTCGACACACCGCTTTGAGCCAACGGCGCTCACATGTTCTTTGCATGACCCGCAACGAAGCTACACTCTACAGCCAAGGGTGTTTTGACAGCGACACGTTCCTTCCCGATGCGCCATTGCCGCCTGTCGCCATAAATGGCGGTGCTTCGGCACCCTGTTGCAACTGAAGCCACGCTCGGGAGCGCAACAACGATGCTGTATGTTCGCAATCTCGAGTTTTAATGGAGTTCATTGGCATTTTTAGGATCGACAATTACGCTGCTGTGGGCTGTGCTGGTGTTCTCCCTTCGCTGGAGCTGCGCCTCCACAAAAGCGGTGACAACTGGACATCGACAAAAGCGATCACCGCCCACAACCACAATGCGCCGACTACTTAAACAAGCACCAGGAAAATGAATATCCTCTGCAGGCTCAGAAAACTACTCAAACATAAAACGCAACATGGCGCTGGCAACAGATACAGCTCCGATGGCACAGCGCTGCGTTCGCGCACATTTCGATGAAGATACCATTACCGTCTACCAAGCATATAATGCACAGATCGCCGAAGCAGCAGTCTCCGCCCAGCGTCTTGACGCTTCACCTCTATATGCTCCAAAACGTGCGACATGGATCAAGCCTAGCTGGAACTGGATGATGTAAGTGAAGCATTGATAGACACATATTTGTCTAGTCCCGCCGGTTGGCCTTCCACAACGCGCGCTAACCTATTTTCAATGACATTCAGGTACCGCAGTGGTTACGCATCCAAAGACAAAAATCAATCCCACATTCTCGCTCTCAGAATGAAACACGAGCACTTCATCAAGCTCCTTGAACACGCTGTTATTGCATCCGCTCCCCATGCGAAGGGCGAGAGTGTCATTATACAATGGGATCCCGAACGTGGCCCGAGACTCGAGAAGCTAGACTACAGAAGTATCCAGATTGGCATTCCGGGTGCAGTGAGGGAACAGTGGATCCGAGAATGGATCTCGGAAATCGAAGATGTCACTGAGCGTGCAGAGGAGATGAAGAGAGTCTTGGATCAGGAAGGAAATGTCGATGGCGGGGAATTGCTCGCGAGAGGTTTGGTGCCGGAGGAGAGGATCTATGAGGTTCCGGAGCATGTACAGGAGAGAATTGTCATGAGGCCAGATTGAAGTTGCAGCGTGGTAGGAAAACAAGTTTCTATGTGAACGCCTCTTTCTGTGTCATATTTGGCACTGCTTAGTCGCCCCAAACTGTTTGCAGAAGGCAGTCGTATCTCTTAAAGGGCTGGCTGTACACTTTGGGTAGCCCAAGCTAATGAGCAGAGATCTGTATCTGTTTTGAGCAAGCGATGCTCGAGACGTCTGAGTGAATGATAAACGCCACGGATCTAGATTCGCCAATATCAGTCACCCATACGATCATATGGCATCAAATGTCACATGGCATCGGCATCTTGAAAGAAGGCAGAACAAAGGCGGGCCGTGAAAAAAGGTGAATGAGGAAGAGTTTCACATGTCATTGATGCTCCACCTAGCTACAGGTACTCGTCATGCACCACGCACAATGTCGGACATTCCTTGAATCTTCTCATTCAGCAGTAGGATCACTGTACCTATGCCAATTCGCCCCATCCCATCCCATTCCGTATAAAAAAAAAAAAACAACAAAGCAAATAAGCAGATTTGCTCATAATGGTATCATGATCCAATAACGAAGCTCTTTCCAATTAAAGGGCTCCAATGCTCCTATGTCGTGACCCGAGGCATGATGATATGCGGCAGAAGCAATTCGCTGTCATGTCTTCGATGGTATAATTTAGATCAGTTTCGTGGAGGTCGCAAATCATCAACGACCTCAGTTGGTGACAAAATGTGCTCGAACGCCTTTGCCAGCGCCATGCCATGCCATGCAATGCAATGCTTTCGTAAATGACAATGAAGAGGAACGCTCAATCCAAGGGCGGGACTCACATAACGTGAGCATTAGTTGTGTTTGGACGCTTCAGCCCTTCAGTGTCCACTCTGGTGATGGTGATGACGGTGAGAGCGGTGCCTATGCTCTCCGCTGGCGCCCGCCTCTCCTTCTCGGTTGTCTTCAGCTGCGACGCACCAGAAGCGGTGGCTACCCCAGGCACCCTTCTGGCACTCTTTGCTGCAGTATTTGGTCCGCCTGCACCTCCGACATTTTGCGAATTGGCGGGTAAATTCTTCCCATTTGCCGCATTGCCAGTATGCGCACTGTCTGATGCCGCCTCTGCTGTCATCCTTCCGGCACAGATTCCGCATCACTACCCCGGCCCAGTATTGCATGTCTCCCTGTTGCGGCGAAGGAGGGTTCTGCGCGTGCCGAGAGGAGGATTTTGCGGTGAACTTTTCAATCAATGGGAATATGTTGTACGGCTTCTCATCATCCTTTTTGACGAACTCGTTGTCCCACTCCTCGTCAAGCTCTTCCTGTGTCGGAAGCGAGTGCGAGGCCGGATTATAGTCCGGATCCAGCATTTTCAGCTCGCGGTCGATCTTCAGTCGTGGTACAAGATGTGATTGCTGGAAGTATGATCGAAGGTTGCAGTATTTCGAGACGTACGCAAGCAGCTGCAGTGACATGAGTACGTCCTCGTCGCGAGGCATGGCGGCCAAGATGCTCGCCGGCGCTGGTCGATCAAGCGGCAATCCTCTTTGCGGGTACCACGTCGGTGGTTGTTGCAGGGTTGGCGGGGTGGCGTGAACTGGGCCAGTGGCTGGAAGTTGTGTCTGTACAACAGTGGCTTGCCCTTGGGTTGGCGTAGCCGTGTGACTGCCGTCGTTCGATGGCTGCTGGAGATGGAAGCTCTCGTCGTCGAGGTTCCGCACATCCGGTAACGCGGTCAGAGCAACACCGTTGTTTTGTGTCTCAATGTCTGCTCTGATGTCCTCCATGGCGATATCCGTGCCAGTTATACCCACCATTGGTTCTGACTCGACTCCAGTAGATTGCTCTTCTGCGGCCTCTTCGATCTGGCCATCGTCGTCTGACCCGGAGATGGAGAGCTGGTGACGAATCGAAGGTCTTCGCCGAGGCCGACTGCTCTCTGCTTGTTGAACAGGAGCGCCAGGAGTGGTGGGGGATTGCGGCTGCGAGCTCAGCTCCGCATGCAAGGTTGGCATCATCGAGGGTAGCCGATCGGCGTCGCGCACAGGCCGCACGAAGGCGTTACTCTGTAGTGTTAGAGAGGACATGGGAGGCTCTGGTTGTCGGCTGGTTGCAGTCGGCGAAGTGAATTGTACCCGCCCACCAGTAGTTCGAGGGTTCTGACGCGAAAAGGTAGTTCGTTCCGGAGGCGAGCTCAGAGATAGGTTCGCGGTGTGTACAGTAGGCGTGATTTCGCCGCTCTGCTCTTCCTCAGGGGATTCACCGGGCTCCGGGATGGAAATGGGCGGAGGCGCATGGCGTCGACTCCTGCCACTCCGCTGGTCCTGGGTATCTGTTCTATTAGAGGACCTGGAAAAGCTTCGAGATGAGCCAAATGGGCACTTCTTCCGGTTTTCCAACTCCATTCGTTCCCTGCTCTTCTCCACGACTTGGAAGTAATTGTCCAGAATAGTCGCGATTACAGGAACCACGTCGGCTTCTACCACTCGTGTCCGCACTGCTTCCGACCCCCTCACACCAATGTTCACGATGCACTGAAAGGCCAGATTCCACTTCCACATCTCCATCATGTCCTTACTCCGCCCTTCTTTGAGAATGCATACTAGGCGCTCGATACCGCCATCGACGGTGAGAATGTCCCGGATGCGGCCCGAGGAGGTGGTCAGGTATGCGAGATTGTTGAGCGAATTGATGAGCGGTAGTGTCGAAGTACAGTCCAACGCACGGCGGTCATAGAGGGCGGTCGTGATGCCGACTGACGCCTTGTTTGCGTTGGGGATGCTGAAGTTGACCTCACGCATGTTTGCGTCGCGCCAGCCACTCCACGGGACCGGAGGCCAGTTTGATCGAGATGGGACACGCGAGGGATGAGGCGATTGCGGTGCTGGCGACAGCAAATTCGATGGACTCGGTACGGCAAGCAAGCGTAGGGTGCTTTGCTTTGCTGCGTCGGGCGGTGGCAGGCGATGGGGCCGACGCAGATGGGGCAAGGAGGAAGAATCTCGAGAGATGCACCGACGTCGAACGGGTTCCCAGCAGCGGTAGTGGGCTACGACGGCGACGATGGACCGCGGACGTCGTGCTGGCCGGTGCGGGCGGAGAAGTGATGTCGGCGGTGGTGGGTGGGCGTCGTCGCTGTCCTTTGTCCCGCGCTCGGCACCGCTCTACTCGGTGGCTCGCAGAGAGCTGCACTGTCCCAAGGCGCGCGACTGCAGCACGCCGGGTGCTGTGCTGTGCTGGGACGGTAGCGCTGGGAGTGCGTGCGTGTGGCGGATCGTGTGTCAGTGGTCGTCGCGCCGACGGGGTGTGGCAGGAAGTTTGTAAGGAGAGGATTCCAGTTGGTCGATGCAAGACGACGGCGAAGCGCTGGCCGCCTTGGCACGACGATGGACCCGATGTTCTCACCTCCAACTCGGGCGGAGCTGGCTGGATAGGATTGCTCTTCGTAGTAGTGGTGAAGTGAGATGCTGCTGTTGCTGCTGTTGGTGTTGCTGCTGCTCTATTCTATGCACGTGAGCTGAGGTGTGTGGCAGCGAGTAAGTGAAAGCGGACGGAAGCATGTGTCGGATGGTCGCCTCCTGCAAAGGGAGCTGGGCGCCGCCGAGATTGAGGCAATCTCAGCACCACACGACCACGAGCCACTGTGTAAGTGTCAAACATCACATTTCATCAACGCCGTAACGGGTCGCAGAGTAACAGATGCCGCCCACCTTGCTTTGCCATGCGACATTGACTTTGCTGCTGTTCCGGATCTACCCTCGTCCTTCTCGACACGCCTCTGCCAATTCGACAGGTCACATTACTAATGAGTGGCTCCATCTGGGCACACCATAAGTGTACTGTCGGATGAGACAACGCCTCTGCGTGGCCATGCCTCTATTTGTGGAACCTGCAATATATCCTTTGCATGTACACCACGATGAAAACCGAAATCCACATCAACTCCTCAGTGCGGAGACTTCGTTGTACTTGCACTGCTGTTGAGACGCTTTCGCTTGCTTGAAGTTGGGCATCTCGGTCGTCTGCAATAGGCATGCCTGCTGATTGCGAGCTTCCGGGACACTTCAACGCACGAAGATCCGAGAGGCAATGTGCCACAATGAGATGATCATTGCCTTACGCCTTGACACTCATTACAATGATCTTTCCAATCTACTGTATTGCCGTTTAAGGACTGGTTCGTACCGCTTTGGCACAGTTTGATAGACATCACATCCTAGACAATACCATTCATGGACGACCAGGTGCCGGAGTGCCATCGAGATTGCTCCTCAGCCCATGACATGACTCAGGAGGCGGCGTGCACATTCAATTGTCAGGACATGCGCGAAAGATCTTCTGTAATGCTGCATTTCATTCCGATTTTCTATCAACACGAAACGCGAACATGCCACACCCTCACCTCCACCCAAGCTTCCGTAGCTTGCCCACACTCATAAAACGCGCTCGTCCGCTGTGCTGCTGCCTCTTCAATCTCTAAGCGTGAGATGTTGACGCAAGAAGGATGCCACCCGCAACGCCTTCGGGCGGCGAAGCTGGTAGGTCCATGACATCGAGTGTCATTAAAAGGAAGGCATGTCGTGTATGGCCAAGAGGTGTCGTGTATGTCAAAGGGGTCCAGTTTTGGGGGGTATCAGTGAAGAAGGATGTTGTGTTGGCGTGTCGAAAACTCGACATTGCTGATGAATGATGGACAGGTGGAGCCTTGTGCGGTGTTACGATGGTGCTGGGCGGAATCGAGGCTGGCTCATGCTCGTGTGGAGATGGGTGGTGCAACCGTGGATGCACGCATGGTCATCGACTTCGACGGCCATACAGTCCCGGCTGCTAACTTACCGCTGCATTTGAAGTGCTCGAAGCTGTCATGCATTACGGACCTCTGTGTCAAAAGACACCAAGGCCGTACGCTATGCGCCGTGGCTTGAGAGGGACTCGGATGCAGTTCTTGGAGATCCTTACATATCCATGCTCTCACCGTCGCCACCGTTAGCGAAGTTGAAGTTCGACTGTTGTTGCTGAGCACCGAAACCGAACTGACCGTCCTGGCCCTGAGCAGGTGCGAGATCGTTAACCTCGGCATCGCCATCTTCATCCGAGAAGTACTTCTCAATGATGTTGTAGGCCTTCATGTAGATCTCCTCGTTGCTGTTGTTCTGGCAGTCGTGAATCTTCTCCATGCCTCCGCAGTCCTCAATAAACAGCGCGTATTTGTTGACTGGTGGCTCCGCGCTACCGTCTTGTGCCTCTTTGTCCATGTCACCAACCTTCAAGATGTTCTCCAAACCATCGAGAGCGACTTGGATAATCTTGTTGTCAGGGCAGGCGAGGAGGTCGCACAGCGGGCGAATGGCACCCTGTTGAACAAGGTAGCGGATCTGGTCGGGCTTCTGCAGGCCACCGCTTGTAGCATTGCTGATCGCCCAGCAAGCCTCTTTGCGTGTCTTAAAATCACCGTGGCTCAGAAGGTGGATCAGTGGCGGAATGATGTTCGCATCGATCACAGCTTGGATCTGTGTGCTGTTACCAGCTGTGATGTTGGAAATCGTCCAACATGCCTCCTTGCGAATGCCGTCCTTGGTGCTGCTCAATAGGGACAGAAGAGCCGTCAGAGCTCCGCAGTTGATGATGAGTTGGGTCTGAACGTCATCTCCGGTGACGATGTTGCCCACTGAACGGAGAGCCGGAGTCTGAACGGATGTCGAAGCGTGCATGAGCAGCTCGACTAGTCGACGAGGAATGTTGGCCTCGATGACAGCCTGAATCTTGTCGTTGGAGCCGTCGCTGAGGTAGGAAATAGCCCAGCACGCATCAATGAGGACCTCATCGTCGAGGGAATAGACCAATTTGGCGAGCACAGGAAGCGCTGGCGCGATGGTGTTCCAGTCTGGTTGTGGTGTCTTGCCACGGCAGAAGTTGCTGAGTGTCCAAGTTGCGTTGCGGAGCATGCTTAGCTTGCGACTGTCGCCGAGGAGGCGCACAAGTGGCTGTAGAGCGCCCTGAGCAAGCACAAAATCTCTGCATGCCGGGCTGTCTCCTGCGATGTTTCCCAGTGCCCAAACGGCTTGCTCTCGAACATCTGGCTCCGGGCTGCTCAACAGTTCGACAAAGATCGGTACTGCTCCGTGTTCAATGACCACCTGTGTTTGCTGGGCTGAGCCAGAGGCGATGTTGGTCAGGGCCCAGGCTGCCTCGAACTGAACAAGCGTGTGTGGGGAGCGAAGGAATTCGACGAATCTCGGGACGACGTTGTTCTCGATGACTCGCTCGATAGGCGGGTTGCGTTCTTTCGAGAGCAGTTTTCGGAATTTGGTGGTAGCTGCGATTTGATCCTCGATCTTATCTGAAAACACGCCCCGCACCATCTGTGGGAGCTCTTCGTCCAGCTACGTTGCTCGTCAGTCATGGAAATCAAAGAAGGGGATCAGAGCGAGTACGTACCTGACTCTCATTCGTGGCACCCTCATCGTCGCTGTCAGGAGCAGCGCCGAGCGACGCTCCCAGTCGGTCCCCGCCCGCACCGATGCCTCGTCGCTTGGCGAGGTTCTCCTCGCGCTTCTGCTTGCGAATCTCAACCTGCTGTTCCTCGCGGCGGCGGCGAAGCTCGTCAGGCTTGAACGTGCTCTTCGCCTTGAAGTTGTTGCGGCGGTGTTCGGGTATGTAGCGCTCCGCCATGTTTGCCGGTTCTCGTGCGAGTCAAGTAATGGGTGATGCTGTAGCGAAAGGCCGGACGCGGGGTGTTCACAGGCTGAGCTGAGACCGCGATCTGGTGGCACTTGACTTGAAGATCTGGATGAGCAGCTGCAGAGGGAAGGAAGATGTGTGTGACGCCGCAAGTAGTCGACTTCTCTAAAAACACAGCAGTTGACTAGTCCCGCTCCTCGCTTGTGATTCGTTCTGTCCGTGGAAAAGTCGTGGCACGAGGCAACAATCGAGGGGTACCGTGTTCGGCCGGATTTAGAGGTGTCGAACGAGCTGCGACCGCTAGCAGCAGTGAGTGAGGAGAGTGAGCGAAATGTCCAGTCGACTGATTGCTCGGGCGGCACGCTGGCAGCAAACGGCAGGCAGGCGGGTTCGCGAACGGCGGTGAAGTGTCTCTGTCGCGGACAATGCTTTCGCATCGGACCCTGCAGACTCAAGACTATTCACGTGCAACGCAGGATGATAGCCTTTCAGTCAAACTCCACGCGAGGCGCGTCTGTCTCACGCGACCGAATTGCTAGCAACATCCAGAGATGAACACACCTATTTTTGCGGCCGCGGATCACGTTGCCAGTAGCAACTGTTGAGCAAACAGAAGTGCGCAGAAGCAACGACTGTGGACACCCGATCCAGCACGGCCTCACGTCCATTGTTCACGGCGTTCGACCACGGCTTGGCCGCTGTTGTCAACCTGCCGGATGTCGTTCACTGCAGCTCGCCGCGACTCATCAAGATTGCATACCCTGTAACATGTTGGCAGATACCAGACATCACTGGGACAGCTGGACGCGCAGGCGCAAGATCAGAAGTAATCACTAAACTTGTCGTGTCCTCAGCACCATTGCGCTGCAGAGGTTTGCCTAAGACACAACTACTTTCTGCCGACAACTTTGAGCCATCGCGCGATTAGCGAGCTCCGTCCTTGAAAGATCTCGCAGATTCATACCTGGTCATCGAGGTCATCATGTCAATCGCAACGCCGCCGAAGGGGTTCATAGACCTCGCGGCTGCACATAAGCAGCCTGAGGGCGCCTTTGTCAATATCATCGGAGTAGTGGTCGACTTCATGGAGCCAATGACCACGAGGACTGGTCAGAGCATGCTCACATTCCGATTGTTGGACTACAGACTGTCCATGGCAGCAGAGGGCTCACAAGGTCTGACATGCCGTTCTTTCAGGGAGGACGCCGATAGTCTGCCGAAAATCCGCAGCATCGGGGATGTCGTGATGTTCCGCAACGTGAAAATGGCGACTTGGGAACATCAGCGTATCGCTTTAACGAACTGGTCCACCGCCTGCCTTGTATTTCCAGAAGCGGCTATCCCAGATCCTGCGTTCAACTACGCCTATACCAAAAGCCTGATCGAGCGGCTGGGGACGGAGAAAGATAAAGCGAAATTTGATCTACTCGAACAAGAGTACATCATGAACATCAAAGTGGAAATGAAGGGCAGAGTACAGGCTTTACATGCCAAAGCAGCAAGCCGTGCCCTTGAAGAGGAATATGACTCTGCCGATCGTCGGCCAGCTAAACGACAAAGGATATCTGAAAACTTCAACGCAGCAGTAAGTGGATTCGGCCCCAAGTTCAGATTGATTGAAGATCTGCGCACTTGGGACTTTGCAGACATGGTTGGGTTTGTGGTAAAGTGTTTTCCAACACAGTATGGAGGGTGCGATCTCTATGTCACTGACTATACGGCCAACGAATACTTGCGGTACTACGCCCCTCCAGAAGACGAGACGTCGGAAGAACGGGACGGGGATGTTTTTGGCTACAGTAATGCGCCCAAGAAGAGCTGGCGCGGGCCATTTGGACATCTTGTGATGAAGATCAATGTCAAGCCTCCTCACGCCGCCTTCGCGGCAAATAATCTGAATGAGGGTGACCTCGTGCTGCTGAGAAACGTGAAGCGGAGGACCAAATCCGAGGCTTTTATGGAGGGCGACATGTGGCCAGACCATCAGGACGATACCAAGATCAAAATACACCGGATCAAGGACACCTCTGGCCCAGAATGTCAGGCTATGTTGAAGCGAAAAGAGAAATACTGGTTGGATCGAGGGGCCAAACTTGGCCAGAAAGAGCAATCTGCGGCGCAAAAGAAGTCGAAAGCAGCGAAGAAGCGCGAGAAGAAAGAGAGAAAGGCTGCGGCAGCTGCAGCTGCAGCCAAGGACGATGGCATTGCCATGAACCCAAACGTTCGATGCCACCACGACGAGGGGGAGGTGTTTTTTAGCGTCAAGGAGATTCTCGATGTGGACAATGTGCGCCACGTCAACCAGACACCCAATGGAGTGCGCTATACCCTTCCCTTCATGAATGCAAAGTATCGGGCAACAGTGCGGGTGATTGACTACCATCCCAAGGCACTTGAGGAGTTTGCCGTTCAGCTTGGTGTCAACAACCATGACCCAGATGCATGTTACTACGAGGCATCGCCCAAATACGAGTGGTCCTTCTCCTTGCTACTGGAAGAAGCTGGTGATAATGGCAAAGCGAGTGAGCGAAGTTCACTTTGGGTGCATGTGCACCACGACCAGGCGCAGTTCCTTCTACGTGACCTGGATGATCCAGACGATCTGCGGCACCGACCTGAAATGTTGAGTCAGCTCAGAGAGAAGCTGTTCTTGTTGTGGGGAAACCTTCTGGAGACGGCCGCAGGAGAGGCGCTCAGCAATAAACCATTCCAATGCTGCATCGAAGAGTATGGCATTGAGTTAGATAACCCGGAGTCGGCACTCAAGGGCTTCCAGCGTATGTATAGCATGTTCGGAACGAGCATTTTATGATGCAAGGTTGAACGTTCCACATTCGTTTACATGCCCCAGAGAGATCCATGCAGCGCGTCAAAGTAGTGCCCGCGGCCAGACTGACCAGCAGGGAAGCCTCAATCTCTTCGGAGGCAGACCCCAGTCGTTGCATGTAGTCTTCACAATTGTGTGGCGCGTACCTTTTCAAAGAAAGCTCAGTCGCAGATGGTTTCAACATAGGTGTCATGGTTGGATGGAGGTGTAGATGCTAATTTACTGCAGGACGGGTGCATGGTTTCACGGTCGGCTCTTGGAGCATCTGGATCCGCGGCCATGTGGCACGAACAGTGTAAGGGACGTGGTGTCATGTGGACTTGTTCAAACCACAGTTGCAAAGCAAAGCCGCGCACTGGGGACGTGGCTTCTCGTGCTATTGGCGGCCGACTTCCTTTTTGATTTGACATTTGATGTGTGTGCGGTGGAAGCGACGCTTGGTGGCAGCGCCACTGATGGAGACACATGGCGTCCGATCGGAAAGTCTAAGCCACACCGAGCCCATTGAAATCGCCAGTTCCTGAGGCGCAAAGGCCCGTGCAGGCGCTATGGTCAATTTCCCCAGCGTTTGGTGCCGAGCGGTGGGCGATCACGTCGTGGTTGTCGAGGGAACCTGCTCGTCGCCCCAGCAAAGCAGATGAGCAGCAGAGGTGCACCGCGCGCACGACGGCACAGCGCAGTGCGCAGCATAGGCGGCGGGCATATGATGCAGGCAGAGCGGTGGGTGAGAGACGTGTTGAGGGGGTTTCGGGCAGACAAAAGGGACAAGACAGGCACAAAGGGCGATTGCGATCTGCAAGTCTGCCGGGCGACGTCAGCGCGATGCGATGCGATGCGATGCGGCCAGGCAAGGTCGTCTTGGGAGGCATGCAGCGTACGCGCCAGGCGCTGCGAAATCAAGGCACCGTCCGCCGGCTGCGCACATATGACGGGCTGCTGCTGGCCTAGGCGCCGCGCATCATTTCGAGCGCGGTGCGGTGCGTGTGCACGTCGTAGTGTGCGCTCGTTCGTATGGGCTGGGTTGGCGGTCGAAAAAGAGGAGCTCGCTCAACCGCCCGTCACCATCACAGCTCCCTGTCGTCATAGCTCGTCGACAAAGTGAAGCACAGACCGTAGCACCTTCTTTACAACTGCCTTCCCGCAACCGCAAACAAACGGCTTTCCCTCCTCCCTCTTTGCCCTTTTCTCCCAAACATTCCACACTGTTTGACTCTTCTCATCAGCGCGCGCAGCTTAATACCCCAGAGATACCCCCAGTTGCGCATCGTATTTCGCATCGCTTCCCGACAGGATAACGCCTTGCTGCGGATAGTGTCCGTGTTGCAGACCAGCACGCGCCGCGACCGACAGAACTACTGCTGCGAACCAGTCAGCCAGCCAGACGCACGACGAAGCTGTCCGTCTTCGTGACCTCGACCCCGAGCAGCACTCCGTAATATCACTCGCCCCCCAGAACACACGAACAGACGCCACAATGGCTTCCTCAAAAGCGGTCAACGTGCCGACCGACAACAAGATCAAGGAGAAGGACATCAACGCCAAGCTCCAGCTCTATGGCATCTACTCAGGTATCGCCCCAATGCCTGTTCCCATTCAATTCTCGCGACGTGCTGACCACCTCTGTAGCATTTGCCAAGGGCAAGGTCCCTTCCAACAAGCAGATCGACGTGGCAATGAACACCGCGCTCGCTTGGAAGGGCATGTCACAACCCAACACAAAGCTCTCGGCCGATGGCCAGAAGCTCGTTTCCGACCTGCGCAACGTCATTGAAAAGGCCAAGGTCCTGATGTTGACCAAGAACGAGGGCAACCTCCTGCAAGACTTCATCTGGCAAACACAGGCCATCGGTGCCGGTGATGCCAAGGCTCCTGGCGCTCCCATTGACAAGGCCACTGCAGAGCAGCACGGCCAGCAAGCTTTGGAGGGTCTGCGCACACTCGGACAGCTCATCATCACCAACGGCCAGTTCCGTAAACTCTGTACGTGCCGCCACAGCAGGTGAAAATCGACAATTTACTGACGTCGTCACAGTGAGCGACTCTGTTGTCTTGCTTCGTGACATTGCCGGCGACGCCGCACAAAACGCCGCGGCTGTAGTCAACCCAGACGAGGAGCGTCTTGCGCAGATCGACAAGCCCGCCGAGGACAACACTTGGCATGAGGCTCCAGATCTCTCCAAGGAGAACATCCGCAACCAAATCAAGTCCAACGTTCCAATTGGCAAGCAGGAAGCGAAGGAACATGCTAAGGAGGTCGCTGGTGATGCCACCCAGGCTGCTCACCCGAGCGGTTCCCGTGATCCAGCCGACGCTGCAGAGCTTGCTCGCCGCGAGCAGCAGACTGGCGGATCAACTGGCCTTGACGTGCAGCAAGGTGCGCAAGCCGCAAAGGATCGCGCCAAGCAGAAGACATGGGACCAGATGGACGAGAACGACAAGCAGAAGGTTCGCGAATACCGACAGCAGACTAAGGAATACTTCCAGAAGAAGGTTCCAAAGGAGCGTCGCGAGCAGACCATCTACCGCCTGAAGAAGATGATCGTCGAGATCCAAGGACACCAAGACTGTAAGTTGCCTCCGGGTAAGGACCGCGGACAAGGAACACACCGGCCATTCATACCATGGTCGTTCCCTTTACAGTGCCTCCTCCGTCGCTGCTGGAAAATCAGCACGTGGCAGTGGACGCTGCACTTGTCCGCGGTCCTCGCCTACTGACATTGACAGCCCTTACTAACGGAATTCACAGACCAACAGGCCATTGACACTCTTCTCCGTCTGGCCGAGGAATACACTGGCCACACCAAGGATGTGGCGGCTCAATCCACTGGAGCCGTGAAAGGTGCCCACAGCCAGGACTCCCTTACCATCGCGGAAGCTGACCTCAGGGTGCGTTGAACTAGATTTTACTCGAGAGCGTCAGCAAATGCTGACTTCTATAAAGACTCTCCTTGAGCGTTTCGCGAACAGCACTTCGTTCGATGACCTCTTCGAATCGGTCAACCAGATCTACAAGGATGCCGACCGCGACCCAGAACTCAAGAACTTCTTCCGAGGCCTCAACCGCTTCATCCGCCGATGCCTCCAAGAGCAGGGCTACGTCCTGCAGGACGAGTCCAACGAGGAATGGAACAAGCTCTACGGTACGTGCTTGGCCTGCGAGTCTGCTGTCTTACCACCTCACTGACACATGTGCGATAGACCAGGGCAACTTCCTCCTCCGCAACCGTTACCGCAACCACACCGATCGTATCGTCGACGAGGTTAAGTTCCTTGCCAGCCAGTTCGAGGAGGACACTTTGAACAAGGAGTTCGGCGATGCAATGGACAAGCTGTTCAAGGATCTCGGCAACGATTCTGACGGAAAGCCGGAGTTCAAGCCACACTTGGTCAAGGATCTTACGGAAGTGCTGATTCCTGCCTTCTTCGAGAACGTCCGCTACGTCCCAATTCCACGCATCGAGGTCTCTGACCCACAGATCGATGCCATTGTTGAGAACCTCGTCCTCGAGGGCGACAACCTCGCACCAAACATGTTTGAATTCGGCTCTGACAACTACTGGCGTTGGGGACGCAAGGGCTTCCAATCTAAGAACAAGAACAAGGTCATGCTTGCAGCCTCTGGTATCCAGATGGATCTGCGCGACGTTGCGTACTACGTCAAGAAGAAGCAAGGCTTCCCAAGCATCACCGACAAGGGTGTGTTGGACATTTTCCTTGGTGGCACCGGTCTCAGCTTCAAGGTCGCCATGGAGACTGCCGACAAGAAGGATCGTTCTCACTTCTTCAAGATCAACACCATCAATGTTGATGTGAAGAATGTGAACATCAAGGTCAAGCAGTCGAACCACAAGCTGCTGTTCAGCCTCTTCAAGCCAGTCCTCCTCAAGGTCTTGCGTCCTGTCATCCAGAAGGTCGTTGAGAAGCAAGTCCGCGACAGTGTGCAGCAGCTCGATGGCCTCCTCTGGGAGGTCAAGCAAGAAGTCGACCGCGCCGTCGAGGAGGCCAAGAACAACCCAGACCCAGAGAACCTCCAGAACATCTACCAGAGGTACTTCAACGCCTTCCAGAAGCAGATGCAGAAGGGTCAACAGAAGAAGGAGGCTGCCAAGGAGAAGGCCAAGGAGACCAGCGTCAACGTGGCCGTCACCCAGAACGACTCCATCTTCAAGAACATCTCGCTGCCAGGCGGTATCTCCACCAAGGCCACGGAATACCAGGAGCTTGCCGCCAAGGGTGACAAGTGGGAGAGCCCGATCTTCAGCATCGGATCTGCCAGCGAGACCAAGAGTCTGCCAGCCGCTCCCAAGGTCGTTCGCAAGCCTCACCAGGTCACCCAGGGGGGTCTGAGAGACACTCCTGCAGGCGGAGCCGCTGGTGGTGCTGCTCCAGGCACTGTCCGCTCTGCCGCAGACCTGTCCGTGGCTCAGAACACCCCACACGGTACTGCCAACGGTCAGCCGGGTCTGTCCTTCAGCAACCAGGTCGATGGTGCCTTCCAGCCAACTCGCCAGATCTAAACGACGTCTACGATGCTCATGCCCACGGTGCTCAAATCTGGTCGCGTCTGTCGACCTGATTGCCGATTGATCACGATACCCCAATTTCGAGAATTGTCACGACTGCCGTTTGGCGTTGGCGATAGCGGGATGATACCCAATTCGTTTTACATGTTCTGGAGTGTTACGGAACAAATGATACCACTGCTGCGTTTGAAGAAATGAGAAAAGTCTACACACAGATCCCCCAGTTAGTAATAGCACTCGATTGTCCTGGCAAGATGCTTGGCTGTCGCTCTTTTTTAGTTTTGCAATGTCATCATACAGAAAGTTGTCGTCTCAGCACATTCTGTGCATTCCCAAATGTTTCTGGAAGACTCTTCTGATCACAGAGATGGTCACATGGTACCCACGACTGGCAACGTCACAGGACCTTGTTCACGACATCTGACTGAAAAACTCCGCCATGCCTGTGCGGTCTCCAACTCCAGTACAAGAACGTCACAGTAGGGGTCCTTGTAGCCACGATTGATTAGGGTATCGTTGGATTGCAATGCACCTGTGAGCTCGATCCTACCGTTGTGGACGTGACTGGTCAGGCCGTTGCACCAAGATGCACGTCTAATAGAGTCGAGGCCAAATGAACAATAACAAGCTGATGGACGTGCAAGCGACGCACTCTGCGCTGATATCTATGGAGACTCGACAAGATGCTTCAGTTTTTGATTCGTGCTGCTTCGTAACGCCCAGCACTTTTGATGGTACAATGCAGCCATTTAGCCCAGACGAATACAACGTCCGTCGCTGGTCGCAACGAAACGTTCACGGTCTCGTAAACACAGACGGCATTCATGGGTAGTCAGATGCATTGCATCTTGCATTACCAGCAGGAGCCGCTGGATTGCAGTTCTGTCTGCTGCAGGGAAAATCTCACACTCTTTCGACCAAGCGGCAGAGAGCCTCTCTTGCGGATCATGGCTGCGCGCATAAGGAGCAATGAACACCATCATGGTGTGGCTGGAAAGGACCGTTATTCTGGAGAACAAGCGGATACAGATTTCGAGCATGCCAGTCCGCCGATGGTATACAAGTCTCGACATATTTCGATCCATTCTCGAGTCGAATCCTTAGGAGAAGACTTCCCGGAACGATTCTCGAATTTACCTCTGACATACGGAAACGGAAGGGAGAGATCCACATTTTATTTGGAGTCTGGTGGTTTTGGAGGGTATGGAAGAGGAGGAGGAGGAGGAGAATCCGAGAAAGATGAAAATGAGGAACATATGGACGAAGAAGACGATGATGATGAATACAGCAGATTATCCAGGCCACTTTCTCCAGGCCATTCATCTTCGCGGTCATCGCTGGGTATTCCGATTTGGCACGAAACCCTCTTCATCGGAGTCGTTATTATGGCTCAATTCATGGGTCTTGCTGGATTAGGTCAATCGATCGCTCCGATGAAATTCATTGCTGAGGATTTGGGAGTTACAAACCCTGGAGAGCAGGCTTGGTTCGCTGCTGCCTTTTCACTGACTGTCGGGACTTTCATCCTGATTTCTGGACGTATGGGCGATATTCTGGGCCACAAGAGGATTTTTACGTTTGGATACTTTTTTCTGGGATCTTGGTCTGCTTTTGCGGGATTTTCGGCGTATATTGGAGATCAAATCTTCTTTGATATTTGTCGGGCGTTCCAAGGGCTTGGGGCTGCGCTTCTGGCTCCGAATGCGCTGGCTTTGCTGGGGAGAGCTTATCCGCCGGGGATTAAGAAGAATATTGTGTTCTCGTTGTTTGGAGCGATGGCGCCTTGGGGATTTGTGGTGGGTGCTATTTTCGCCAGCATGTTTGCGGAAGTTGCTTGGTGGCCTTGGGCATTCTGGAGCTATGGTCTTGCGGCTTGGTTGCTCTCTGCGTTCTCTATCATGATCGTCCCGCAAAAATTGGCTTACGATGCTCAATTCGCTGGCAAAAGCGATCGACCAGCGTGGGACTTGCAAGGCTCTTTTTTGGGCGTCTTGTCATTGATCTTGATCAACGTGGCATTCAACAACGGACCACTTTTCGGCTGGGATACTCCTCACGTGTATTTCATACTCATTCTGGGACTCTGCGCTCTGGGTGCATTCATCTGGGTGGAAGCTAAGGCTGTCTCCCCGATCTTGCCAGTAAAGGTGATGAGCAGTACAGTGGTGTACACCATGGTGCTCGTTGGAATCGGTTGGGGCTCGTTTGGCATCTGGATTTACTACTCGTTCAGGTTCCTGGAAGATATTCGAGGGTTCAGTCCGTTGAGCGTTTCTGCGCAGTATGTGCCAGCGATGATTTGCGGTCTCCTCGCAGCAGGAGCAACAGGCTTCATGCTTACGCATACTCCAGTTGCGTTCACAATGTGGGTGTTCGACGCCTTCGCGAAGAGCAACGTAATACTGACTTCGAGGTCCTAGGTTCGTGTCGATGGCGGCATTTTTCATAGGAGAACTGATCACAGCCACGCAGCCAGAAAAACAGACATACTGGGGGCAGATGTTTGTTGCAATCCTGATAATGCCTTTTGGTAAGTTCTCTCGCCCAGAAGTTTTGAATGCCTTGTTGCTGACTTCGTTAGGCATGGACATGAGCTTCCCAGCAGCAACGGTGATATTGTCGAATTCGATGCCTCCAGAACATCAAGGCCTAGCCGCATCTTTAGTCAATACCATGGTCAACTACTCCATCAGTATAGCCCTTGGTATTGCAGGCACTGTAGAAGTAGCCAACAACAGGCACGGAGCGACGCCAGAAGACATATTCTGGGGGATACGATGTGCGTGGTGGACTGGCGTATCTCTCGCAGGCTGCGGAGTTGTGCTCGGAGCGGCATTCTTTGGGAGAACGCTACTAAGAGAAGGTTGGAAGATCATGGACCACTGAGACTCAATGTCCCGTAATTTGGAGTTGGAAAAACTATCGGCTGATCATTATAAGAAAAGCCAGTTCTTGTATACATACACAATCATCTAGAAACGATACGAAATATTCCAGTGCTATGGTGCCTGCACGCATTTCTCTGTCGTTCGTGTTCTGTTCTTCGTTCTCTCTGTGGTGTAGTGTCACCATTGTTAATCTAGCTCTGTGCAGCAATACCGAGGCGAGGAGTGTCGGTGCTCTGGTCGAACACAACGTACACTGCCTTCATGAAGACATCACCAAAAATTGTAAATCCAATACCAGTATTGGGTTGAATGCCGCCGAAGCAAGTCGTGCCCGATTGGTCTACTGGGGCATAGTTGATGTATGAGCCGGGGACCGTGAAGGTCTTTCCTCCGATGGCAACATTGAAGTTTGGAGGCGTTGCACTGCAAGGCAAGGTGTAGCCTCCTTGCGAGTTGTCGATTTTGGCGCCAGGAACTTTTGCGTAGTATGCAGAGGCAACACGAGAAGGAAGGTAGAGAAGCGATGTGCCTGTGTCCATAATGGAGGCACCGATGCTGCCACCGGCCGTCGTGTTGCTACCACCGATGGAATATCCTTGCGCGTTGAATTGCCAGAAGCCATCCGAACTATCCACGGGTGTGTACGTGATGCTGCCTTTGTATTTGGAGCTGTCAATATAGCCAAAGTCGTAAGTGCCAGGTGCGCCAGCCTTCAAATCCACGGCAAAAAGTGGCTTTGCCAAGGTGCTTTTGACTGTGTCAAAGAAGGTGGTCTGTTGCTGGGGCTTAACAGTATTGATCGTGCTGAACGCCAGGCCGAGCAGGCCATCGTTGTCCTGGTCCTGGGAGAATTGTGCGGAGACGGAAGTCGCAGCTTCAACGGCTTGAGAAGTGGCGGTGACACTGCCAACGGCGACCTTGTCCGCATATACAGTGCCACTTGCTCCGGAACCGTCGCCATACGAGATATTCCAGGTAGCACCTCGCAGTTGTTTGGCCGAAGAGCTGGGGCTATACACTGCGTGGCCAGATTGTTCACTTGAAGGCATTAACTTGGAGAACACCCACAGATCCGCCGATCCAGTGTCGAAGTCAAGCTCCAAAGTCTTGCCACCAACGTTGACTGGCGATAGATAGGCTTGATCGTACTGCTGTGGATCCGCCTCGACACTACCGCTCTGCACAGCAGCTGCAGCGTCCTTGACAAACGATGGCGCAACAGCACCGTGGGCTGCGTATTTGCCGTAGGTCTTCATCATTTGATATGGGCCATTCTTGTAGACTTGGCCCCGTGGTACTTGTGTAATGCGGAATGACTTGCGGTTTGGAACCTCTGCTGGTGCTGCCAGCGTGAGAGAGGCCGAAGCCACCAGGGCTGCCGGCAGAAATGTGAAATGCATGTTCAGGTGTTCGAATGAGTGTGGAAGAAGGGAAAGGTGAGTGTCCTGAGGTTAGTGCGAGAGGGTGATGAGCTTCTGTCACTACGATACCTGCGCAGTCTTATATATCGTTCCATACGAGATTCGATACATCTGCAGAGCACTAGTGTGAGAGGCAGAATAGCAATCAAACGACTCAGCCCAGTCACGCGTTCCGCTTTGTTGGACGCGGCGATACTTCTCAAAGAGAGCAGCATCAGGTCTTTGGACGACGCTTCCATCGAAGGAGGATTGGCGTCAGTCGATCATTCTTACCTGAGTAGGCGGCTTGTGCAGCTGGGTCCAACACATTGAGATACGGGTGCCATCTCTGTTGGCTTGATGGTGCCGAATCTCGACAGAGGCAAACCGGTTGTATGGCATCGAATGGAGCCCGTGATCTTGAGCGCGACGTCGTATTGGTGGAGACAGCCAGCTTCGAATGTCGGATGCGTTTCGAGCTGTTCGACAAAGACGACGAGCGCCGAGATATACGCTGGTGTCATTAGAATTGAACGAATAGAAGGCCTGGATAGCATGCAGCAGCGCCTCAAAGGGGCTCGGCGTGGCTGCCGCCATGGCCGACAGCAAACATCATGGCAGACGCGGCCCACGCCATCGAGGTGTGCTGGGCAGTTCTGGCGTCTGAATGGCTCGACGAGAGCGAAGATCCTCTTGGCCGCGGCTCAAGCATGTGCACAAGCTCCGCCCCATTGCTTGTGAGAGTCTTGTGTTAGCTTATCCACATCCTGGGTTGTGTCCCTCATAGCCTGTGACTAGCAACATGTAGATGAGCCACTGCTGCTACCTTCTGTACTTGGAGTGCGCGCCGACTGCAGATCGCCGGACGGCGCCCGCCGGACCCAGCGCGCCACAAGTCTCGACGAGGTCGTCACATCTTTCACATCAGGTGTAGCAAGAATAGCTTGAGGTGAGCATGTGGCAGTCTGTACTACACATTATCTGCTGAGAGCGTACGCAAGACCGTCCAGAGTCCAAAAATTTCCGGGTCGCCGCGTGGCCGGTCTGGTGGCTTCCATCGTCAGATGCCGGCGAGATTACACTATGGCTTCACAGGCGTCGCACACGTCTTCGCCAACAGCAATCTTGACAGGTCGCACAAGTGGCGCCAATGAGTCGTAGGTGCATTGTCGGGTGAGCGAGATCTTGAGCAGGTCCTCCTTCGCAATGAAACGCATGGCCAATCAATCGGGAGCGGTCATGCTCTGGATGTGAAGATGAGTTTCAGATCTGCCGTTCACTGCGTATTCGCCATCGGGAGTGGGTGTTAGCGTGGTTGGCATTGATGAATGGAAGTGACATGATTCGGTCAGAGCAGGAGACTGCACTTTGCGAGGACAAAGCGCTTGCCAAGAGTGGAAGCATCAGCCGTCAGCCTTGCGCTTGCCTCAGCTTCAAGATTTTCTCCTTCTCGGTCACCACAACACCCCACTACCGAACAAATGTCCTTCGTGACCAGACTCGCCAACCACACGAGGCTCAGCGCCGTGGGATGCAGGGCACTTTTGCCGTCCAGCTGCTCAGTGCACCCGCGAACCTGCCAGCAAACGAGGCTCAGCTGTCCGACAAGCCAAGCCAACTACGAGTCTTGCGTCTTCACATGCGACGCACGCACAATTGTCTGGGGCATCGTGATCACTTCGTCCTCAGCATGTGGACTGCATGGGCAGCTCACGTCTAACACCACTGGCACATGTCCTCACAGACGACTGCACTGAGCCACGAATGACATTCCCAGCTGCGACGCCTAGCTGTGCAGGCTTCATTACTATTATGATCGAACTGTATTACCCAGCAGCTCTTGATTACCAAAATTGAACTCCTCCTCATCGATCATAAGCCCAGTCGCGAAACGATGCAATGGCAAAAGCACACCGGCTTCAACGAAAGTACTCTGGAATCCCGGCCGCCTATCTTCACGCTTCGTCCGCCGCCCTCTCCGCACCGTGCGAAGCTCAAGATATCTCCAAGTGGCCTCGATGATATCCTCCACCATAATGTACTCATGACTTCGAATCTCGTCGAAGAGATCGCAAAGCATCCACACCTCTGCTTGTGTCCTGTCCGCCCAGTATCCCTTCACAGCTTGCATCAGACTCTGGAGACATTCTTCTGCATCGTCGCCGTCTAGCTCGGATACGATCTCGCCCAGCAGGTATACGATTGAAAAAAGTCTTGCGATGAGGTGTATCCTTTCGTCGAGCGCAAATGGAAAACAGAGACATGCTAGTCCTGGCAGGTCTCTGCCGAGGTATGAGTTCCGCGCTGCATCGCTTTCGAAGGGCCAGTGGCTGAGGATAACTTCGTTCGTCTGAGACGTGACTTGAGCGCGAAGAGAGTGGCTTTCGTCATGTTCTTCTGATTCCGATTCGGTGTCTATTGAGCTTTCGCCAACCATGCAAGTCTCTTTCTCAAGGTAGCAGAGCACGTCGTCTCTGACATCGATAGCCGCCATCGTTCGCGTGAGAGTGGTGTCGAAACAGCGTCGCCTGGAATTCCGGTCCCGAAAGCCGCGATGCTGAAGTGTAAGGCGCGTTCGTATCGCGCTCACCGCAATTCCACTAATTACTCCAGGAGACACACCAACAATGCGACACGCTGACAATACAACAATGGACAAAAAGTCAACGAACAGAGCCGCGGGATATGAGCTGACATATATTTTGCACACCGGTGGCATGAGCATGTGAGATGAATCACCTCAGCAAATCACCATCCTACACACTATTCGAGCGATCGCGGATAGCCAGCAAATATTGTCTCTGTTTTAAGGTTTGCGACTGTTCAGACCACTCATGGGCCGTCTTCGCAGATCCTTCATTCCGAAATAGGCCTGTCTCGACTGGATAGCGCAAGCCACATGCGATCCTTCTCTCTCGCTCTCGCCGAAAGCTGGCTGCGCTGGTGACATGCTGCAGATACAATTTTGGGCCGTCTTGCCGTGCAGGCAGTCGACAAGTTCGAAAAAGTCAAGGATCATACAGTTGTTGGATTTCTGTGTAACATGCCCATGTCGAGAGGTGGTGAACACCTTCAGGGTTTGTGAACCACAAATTCGCGCCGAATCCTGGCTTGTCAGCATTCAACCAATGTGCCGGGTTTTCTCCTTTAGACAGGTCAGCGGTATAAGCGATTCCGATAGCTGATAAAGACCTAGCTAGCGAGATGCAGCTGTGTGTGCAGGGTGCAGAAGATAAATTTGGATTTCAAGATGAGAAGAAGACTCCTTCGCACAAATTCCTTCCACGCTGCCAAGGTCTAACCGGCCCGCTATCTCTATCATAATTTCCATGCGAGCAGACCACGCTCGTAGAGGCCTACGACGAATCCGACACCTGCTTGCCAGTCTCGGACTGCGGTGGTTGATGTTCCAAATTCACTGCCTGAGAACAAAGTTGTGAGACCTGTTTCTTCAGTCCACTCAGCAACCCAGCTCAGCTTTTGTAAGCTGCTGCAATCCTCGCCAGCTGCACTTTCAGTTCCTTGACAAAAACGATTCTTCTTCGCCACTTGTTCCAGACTGGGAGCATGAGGGTGGCCTGCGATCAAAAGCTTGCCTTTGCTGTCCGAGCTAAGATTGTCTGGCGCAAATGGAACTGAAATCGATGACGTTTGCGATAACTCCGGTATCCCATCGGCGGCCCAAGTGATGCTGAAGATGCGCACATTTGCAGTGCTTGAGCTTGCCACGGCCAGCGCACTCGCGTTGAGCAGAGCAATTCCATTGGCGAAAGGAATTCGAGCCAAAGTCTTCACAGATGTGCTTCCATCGTTGTTACGTTTGACGTACGCCACGGAACCTCCTGGAAAGCCAGCGTACGTCTCCAGTTTGGCCAACAGTAAGTTGTATTTGGCAGGAAATAAGTGATCGTTGGTCAAGAAAAGCTCGTCCTTGCTAATCGCAACCATGGAGTTTGGTGAAGGAAGAAAGGTCGAGTTTTGTGCAAAGCCTTCGTACTTTGCCACTACTTGCTCAGTGTCCAGAGTGTACCATTCCACGCTGGGTCCATCCGGAGAATGGTTGATGATGTACAGCGTTTGACTGGCCTCGTGATACTCAATACTAAGCGGGTGAAAGGTTTTGTCATGTGCCTCAGGTGTTTCGAGTTGCACTTTGACGGGAACTGCGTCGCTGCCTTCGCCGTACTTGTACAGATAGAGACCTGTCTCAGGAGGAGTTTCAGGATTCACGAGCACTCCCTAGCACAATGTCAGCCATTCTTCCAAGCAAGGTTAATCGCAATGCCCTACCATGACAGTATTCCACTGGTCTCTGCCTGGGTCACAACTGAGAAGTGCCCATCCTTGTTTTTCATTCAGGTAGATATCTTCGCAGTTGCGAATGATATCGCGGAATTTGATGTCATAGTCGCCGACTGTGTTCACCTGAAGAAGTCTGGAAGGGTGATTTGTGTAGAACAGCTGTAAGAGTGGCCACCTGCAACAACAAATGTCAGTTCTTTGGTGGCAGAGATCGTCTCCCGACAGCTTGCACTGAGATGTTGACATACCTGCTGTAAATAAAAGCTGACAACAGCACCACCAGCTTTCACGAGTCCACATTAACAAGAGCACATCGTTTCTGGTCGTAGCAGCAACTCACAATTGACGTCGTGTACCGAGCGGAGCCCATCTTCCTATCTGTATGCTTTGTCCAGGTGCACTGAAGCAAAGCAAATAGCGGTGATGTTTTTGTTGAGGTCGTTGCTGCCTCGCCCAGAGCTAAACTTATCCCTGCCTCCTGGCGTGTCTTCGGGGAAGGAACAAACCAAACCTTGCCGGCTTTCCGAAACATCCGATAGCTCTGGACGAAATCTTGCAATGATCAACACAATCGCGAGTCGACTTGCTCAAATGTGATCTGTAAGCTCATTGTGACAGATGCGAAGCACAAGCAGCTATCGGCTGGCCACAAGATGGGCAGAAAATACATGAAGCCAACGACCTTGTGCAGTGGCTGATCGACAAGCCCAGAAGTTGGGATACGTGATTCACAGAGATGAGCCTCGATCAATGGCATGAATTCGATGATTTATACAATATACGAAATGGGCGTTGAGCCGAGCCCGCAACACGGCGCCTTTAACCTGATTTTACAGCGGTGTATTGACCTGGGCGCAGATCAGTACTTCGAGAAAGTGACCACAGCATAGAGAGACCGGAGCATACCTCTGCGCGTTCGCATTGTGCGAAGGAAGAGAAGGGTCGAACATACACCCAACGCCCCTGCAAACAGCCAGAACCAGGTCATCGCACTCTCCTCGATGTGAATCGGCATGTGTGGCTCCGCAGCTCCGTGACCGTGGCCCGACATCATCTCGCCATGGCCATGGGGCATGTCCTCGTCATCGTCGTGCTCTGGTGGGCTCTCGGCATGTGATTTGCCTGCAGAGATGTCTGGCTTGCCAGTACTCAGAGGCTTGTAGTTCACGTCGCCAATATCGTCGTGAGAATCGATTTTCACATTCTGGAAGTCAAGCTGTAGCAGATGAGGCTTTCTTTGCTTGAGGTCCAGTATGCATTCGCCAAAAAGGCCATTTGCCCAAGCGAACCAAGAACGAGTCCATGACGTTGAGTTGTGAGCATTGACACTCTGTAGCAGCGAACCACAGTGTCAGCGTCATTCTTGGCAATTTGTGATGCCCCTACTTACCTCGTGTATAAGACCCTTGTGGCTTGTGCTAGTGACGAGCTGCCGAAGCTGCTGTGTGATCTCTTCATCATCGTCACTGGTCAGTATTCTGATGATGGAAGCCATGGGCCAAGCGTTCTAGCGAATAATTAGTCAAGTACGCAAGTAATAAGTCCTTGGGTTCCATACTCCGTAACCATTATGCGGGCCTCCGACAGCGCTGATGTGCTTGCCGTGTGCCCAGTATGGATTATACGTGCTCAAAGCTCGCGCCCGCGTGTTCTGGTAGATGGGATCCTTGACATCATGGTAGAATAGGCCCGAGGAAAGTAAAGATGGCGAATTCGAATCGTCCATGACATTGGCACCCCCGTATCCATCGACCTCAAAAGCATATACATCCCCGTGCTCCTTGGTTCGCACAATGCCATGCTCCGTGGTGGCGCGCCGCACAGAAGCAGCCATTGTTTTCATCCTCTCAGCGGTTTCCACATTGCCTAGCTTCTCCACAATACCGGCAGCGAGACCCACGAACTGTGAAAACATCATGTTGGCAGGGATAAATAGTTGCATGAGACAGTCGTCGTCCGAGGGTCTGAAGTATGAGCGGATGAGTCCTGTGCCCGCGGCGACTGGATTGCCATGGCCACCATTTCTCATTCCTGGCCACTTGTAAGGTTGTTCCGCAGTGGTACCATTCTTGTTGTAAGTTGTATGGTCAGCCATACTCTGAGCTGTATCCAGGACCTTCTCGACAGCAGGCAGCCAACTGAACTTGCGGAAAAACTCCAAGTCTCCAGTCTTCTCGAAGTATGTGTGGGATAATTGCAGAAATGACGCGAGCGAGTCGAGCTCGTATTTGCATTCCCATATATCTTGCGTGAACTCTAGTGGTAGCGGTTGTCCGTCAGCAGTGGCGGCTAGGGCCTGTTCTTTCAGTCGCTCGACCGGAGCTTTATATGCGTTGCAATGTGGGGCGTAGAGCAAATAGCGCGCCTGCAGGTTGATCGCCCCTCGGAATAATGATGCCAATGAGTCGTTGCTTGTAGATGGAGTGAGGAGAGACACATATGATTGCAACTGATTAGCTGTGGCGCATGTCAGTGAAAAGCTCTGGCTGCGCGCCACTGGTGAGCACTTACCTGAGTCTCTGAGCCACTCTGCTGGAATGTCGCCGGTAATGATGAACGCAAGTTCCTCTTCTGTGTTGTTGTCGGAGACGCCGCGCCAGCTGACGGTAGTGTCTAGTGTGTTTGGGAAAGCATTCTCGAAGAGTCGACTGAGGTCGACATCTGCAATGGCGGCCTTGGTGTCTACAATGGCCTGTTCTACGACAGAGCTATTGAATGTTCGACAGTAAGGCTCAGGTCTCATGTAGGAAAGATTGTGAGCGCCGCCGCTGCCCGGAGCGTGCCAATGCCTGGAATATGAGCCATATCCCGGGCAGCGTGGTGGAGGCGGCGGTTCTGGATCCGTTTCGAAGTTGTCGTCCCATTGTTGTAGCTGAGCTGTAGCGGCCGTCGCTAGGAGCAGCGCACTCGCAAGACCTGCACGCATGCTGTCAGTGATCACCTCGATCAGGGCAACATTCGTGAAGTTACAATCTGTAGAATGGAAGCACGCCCCCTCGTGCTGGAAGGATAGCGGGCTTCCGGATCAGGGTCGCATTCTGCACCTCTCAGAGGAAGGAAAGAGCGCCACCCGCAGGAGCAGGAGACGAATTGGCAGCAACAGGCGAGAGTTTAGTCTATTTCGGTCGCTTTAGCCACAACACTCTGCACACTTCTTTTCAAGCGCGCCGCTGGCGCAATGCAAGAAGCCATTACATATTGATCGTGTGCTCGTGAGCCGTAGCAAGTGTTCTCAGCTCGAATCGGTGTCACAAGCAGACGATGGCAGACGAGATGGGCAAGAATTCGGCTCGCCCGGTTGCTTGGCGACTGTGCCAGGCAGGGGGGCACTTGGCTGGACTGGTCCATTCTTACGACCTCATCATCGCCTGCAACATTTCCAGACAATCAATACGTTCGTTGCACCGACCCAATGCATCATGCTCGACGCCGAAGTTGCCAGTCGGGGGTCTGAGGGCCTGACTGTGCAAGCGGTGCTTTCGAAAGGAGTCCGCAATTACGCCCAGCAGAAGCCTTTGAGCGGCCATGCGGCGCAAGAAGCCTGCGAACGTGTCGAAGACCACGACCATGCCCATCTGCTCACCAGACTTGCGTATGCGATGAACGAAGAGGGCAGTTGCGCCAACGACCACCGTGATCCGAGCGTGCATCCCCGCTAAGGCATACGCTGTGCTCCCTCACTCATGCGCAGACGCAATATGTCGCTCGTGGAATGATAGGTGCGGATTCACGTGTGTGCCACGCTTCAAAGACAGTCTGCAGCGAAGGGAGACACAGGGCGACTTCCACATGATCTCAACCAGTCTGCAAATCTGCACTCCCATGGCGTGGGGTACTGCACCTGCATGTCAGCCAGGATCATGACAGCACAAGCCTCGCTAAGATGTCTTGCAACGTCACTTTTGATGTGCACTGCTTCGACAAGGGCAATGCTGTGCTATATGCGCGCAACATGCAGATCTTACACTCAGCTGTGCTGTTGTCCATCATAATAAGGTTGTTGACCGGGCTCTGAGACCCTAACTTTGAGTACGTTGCTCGAAATGGAAAGTCAGATGCACATTCACAGCAGCAGCAGCCTCGAAAGAGCGATGCGACTGACGCTTTCAAAACAATAGACAACAAATGGTCTTCGAACAGGAAATGCTGCAGACTGCCTCTCACGTCCGAGTGACGACTCGCATGTGCAAGGTGAGACGCCCCCCGCAGCCTCGGACATTTATGCTGCATTGCATATGTGTTGACCTGCGGGAACACAAACGTGCCAATGGCTTAAACAACAACGCCAGGCGAGCAGGAAAAGACTAATAACAGGATTGCACGCTGCTCGCAGGGCTAAATCCTGCTGACCGCTCACGGCATATAGTGGTATCCAGTTCCTCATCCTCTCGACCACTTCGTCCAGACTCTCAAGTTGATTCAACTGATCTTCACTATCCACGATGCGCTGCTCACCCATAAAACTCGCTGCGCTATCTGCGCTGGCAGCCAACAGTGCTGTTGCAGGGAGATGCCTCACTGACGCTGCCGCCAATCGCGTGGCCCAAAATTTTGCAACCACCTTCTCCAATTACAGCGAAGAATTCGTCAATTCCACTTACACCATCGACGTCAAAGACCAGACTGATAGCGTTGCGTGGCTCATCAGCAACGGTACCGCTTGCCCGAACGGACTTAGGTCTCTCACATTCGGCTCTCGACGTGCTTTGATGGACGCCCAAGCCACTCAACCGGATCTGCCGTTCATCATCCAGAATGTCTGGCACGATTGCACCAACGTGATTACGCGTTGGAAATTCGATATCGAGCCGCAGCAAGTCCAGGGTATTGCTGTCTTGGGTTAGTATCAGTATCTCGTGTAGAAAGCACTTTGTGTGTTGTGCTAAGATTTGTTCAGGCACTGTGTGCAACGAAGGTCGAAACAAGAGACAGGAGCCGTATCTGATCAATCATATCTTCAGCGAATTCAACACAGTGAGTGCGAGCCGTCGCCACAATCCAGATTCCCGCTCATTGAGCTTCTGCTGACATCCGGTGGTAGGGCGCTTTCTTGGTGTTCCAAGGCGACTATGTTCCTACTCAGTCTTGCGGCAATGTCAACTAAAATCGAGTGTCCGAAAAGCACAAGCGTGCAAGAGAGTACGCCAATCAAAACGCATGGTGGAGGGAGATGCTAGCTTCACCTTAGCACATTGAAGGTGGAAATAATGTAGGATGTTCAATGCAAAAGACATTTCTCATCACTACTTCCGTTGTCACGGCCAAGTCTGACCAATTACCGCTGCTTTGTGTCGTCTCATACAATCCTCTGTCGTAATTTTGGTCCGATCAGCTTCGAAGAGAAGAGCCCATGTCCAGTTTTCTGGCTTGAGCCAGGTGGAGAGGCATTCGTGCTCGCAGGGACGTTGTGCTTGTCTTGGCCCGATGCGCAGATGTTCTCAAACTCCATTAGTGTTGCTTCTCTGTAGCCTGTGGTCGCACTGTGCCCCGGCAGGTTGTGTCCCTGCCACAACCATAGCTCGACAGGCGACAGAGACTATTGCAGGATCAGAGGATGCAGGAAGAAGTCCGAGATTTCTGGACTCTACTGGCCCGGACCTGCATAGCTATCCCTAGCTTGCACGATCATGTGCTGGACAAGGAACTGACTACCCCAGCTCGATTTCGTTAGCCCGACGAAAAGCTAAGCCGGAGTTCGTCGCCTTGAGAATGCAATACGATCAATTAGCTATTACTACAAATATTTATACAGTTGTGAAAGGCTCAAGCTACCTCCCACGATTCATCGCCTCCAGCGCGGTCTTGGTGAGGGGTATCCTTTCGTATCCGATGTGTAGATGTCTCCGAATGACTTCTGCGTGATCCTCGTCGTTGCTAGGGAACAACAGCTTGACGCCAGGTAGTGTTTCATGGACGAAGTTGACGAGTTCTTCGAACAGCAGTGTCATTGGGAGGTCGCATCGTATTCTGTGGCCCAGCACGACGCCATCCCAAGCTTTATTGCCGCCCTCTGGACCAGTGCCATCGCGGATTTTGCGCTTGAGCTCGTTGATGTTGTCGCGACTGTCTGGGTTGATTCCGTGGCCTTCCACGTAAAGGCCCTCGATGTGCTGCAATCTGTCCATTGTCGTCTTGATCGTGGCATATGTCTTTCCCACATCACGATCACCATCGGCTTCGTTTTGAGAAACCCATGTTGGTTCGAGGTCTGTCATCAGGACAGCTGTGTTATTTTGCATGAGCTCCATAGAAAAGAGGACTTCAGTCAGGCTCCGCTGCCGTCCCGTACGTTTGGGAGTGCATGATAGCGTGTGCCTCGAATCGGGTTTGCGATTTCGAGGCCGTGGTGTTTCCGAGCGCGGTGGTATCTCCATTTCAGGTGTTGACAGTGGCTATACCAGTGGTAGTTCCGCGCTTGGCATGCTCGGTAGATTTTGCGCAGAGGTCAGCTTACGAAGCTGATGTGTCTTCTTATGTCACCACAATGCCGTGTCCGGGCTTGCATCGGAACAAGCGATCGTGATGCACTGGTGATCATGGGTTCTGCTCACTATCGGACTGCGTACCTGTCCGACATGCAAGGTCTTCCCTGCCAGTGACGAACACCAAAGGGGTCTGTGCAACTTCATGCTCTGCAGGGCTGTGCCATTTCGTGGTGCCATGAGCGGCGCGCGACCTCTGCGTGCCCAAATGGAATGAAGCTGAATGATCGTCAAGCCAGAACGGCGTTCAAGCGATGGTACTGCAATCAGCCGGGACGACGCAAGGACTCGGGTTCTCAGCAAGCACCTTTTGAAGGCCTTCTCGCAAATATGAAGCTCAAGCAAAGTGTGCACAGGTTCTGCTCAGCCTTTCGGCAGACCTCCGGGCTACTGCTGATTTACGGCCAAGGCATCCGCCGAAGGAGTATCTCAGTACGCGCATCCAGCAATCAGTGCTAGCTTCGCGACAGATCAAGCAACACTGCGAGCCGCTGAGCCTACCCGCACACCGAATGGCGATTTGGCATCATCTCAGGTATATTGCCCAAAGACTGAGATGTATAGAGTGATCCCACAAATAGCTGTCAGACGTTACCACGCTAGCGTGCTGCGCGCCAACGAGGCCTGCCTAGTCGCAGAACCGATTGGTTGGGAGTACTAGGAGTTCCAACACGGCGGACGAAAATTACGACGAGGTCTGCGGTGAAGTGAATGATGGCGGAGAGGTCACGCCTTAGCTCTGTTGTCGTACTCCAGCTTCATGCCTTTCACAAGCGCTATGCACAACCTTTCGACGATGGTTCTGGGCAGCATTAGCAAAGGCTCAAATTGAAGCGCGTGTGGCCAGTATCCCCAAACGCTGCCGCGATCGCGGCCCCCTAGGCTCAGGCTAGTCTTTGCGAAGCGTCTAGAGCTTGGGACCCAGAAAGTGACAGGCCGTGGCTCGCTGGTAGTGGAACACATGCCCACCAGATTGTAAAGGACTTCGACTTGAGGGTGTCCTTCGGCTTTGAGCTCGACTGACAGCGCATGAGAGAAACTCTGTAGAAAGGTCTTCGATGCCGCTCCCATGGCAAAGTAGGGACATGGGAGCTTCGCAGATCCGGAGCCGATATTCATGATCAGGGAGGGCTTGTTGTCAATCAGCTGGGGAAGCACGAGTCTAGTCAGCTCTGTAGCGAACATGAAGTTGCCGTTGATGATCTTTCGATCCCGTTCTGCCGAGCTTTCAATGTGAGCAAGTAGTAAAGGGTCAAGTTCACCAGCAACGTTGTTGATCAAGATCTTGATGTTGTGATCGCGTAATCGCTGTATGGCGCATCCCATCTTTTGAGGATCATCGACATCAAGCATGGCGTCGAGCACGATGAAGTCGATGTTGCGTTGAGGCCACTGTAACAGGAGCTCGTTTTTGATGCGCTCCAACTTCGCAGCGTTTCTTCCATGAAGAACGACGTTGAAACCGTGAGACAACAACTCTTCTGCGAAAGCTCTCCCCAAGCCATCAGAAGAACCTGTGATTAGAGCCCAGGCAGGATCATCATCTGACAAGTAGTTGCGTAGTCGACTTCGATGCAGAAAATGGGTCGCTACGAAGGACGAAAGTTGATAGAAGGCGAAGATGGCGGAAAGACCTCCGAGAGTCGCGAAGCTGGCGAGTAAAGGCTGTGCAGCAAAAGTTTGTCGGAAGGTGGCCGTGAGTCGGCGGGAAAAATGTAAAGCCATAGCTGCCTCCTGAATAATAAGGTCGTAGATATCTCTGAGCTGTTTGCTGGGTCGAGGGCTCAGCTTGGCAAGGTAGATTTCGTCCACGAAAAGCGAGGCTGGAGGCGTCGAGCACTCTAGACGTGTGTTCGGCTGCAAATACAAGAAGCAAGACGTACTATGTGTCCGCACTGGGGATGGAGAATGTTTGAGTCCCCGAACAGAGGGTTAGGCAACGACATGAGATGGGAGAGGGATGGGTGGAGCAGGAGCTTGATGGAGGATCGGATCGGCGTTCGTGATGACTTCACCCGCTCGCTACTGACAGCTCCATCGACCAGCCCGTGACGCCGCAGCTCCTTGCCAACGCACGTCGTCGCACTGGCAGAATTGGGCGCTGTGTTGTGGGCGAGTAGCATGCAGCCCGACTGACAGCCTGCCACACCTCAGATGAAATCACACACCAACGCCGCGAGCGAGACGCCTGCCGACAGCGACCCACGATCAAGTCCGCCCATCAACGACCGCAAACGAAAGCGACTCAGTCGGCCAGCAGAGGAGGAAGGAGCCAGACAGCACACCATCAGTGCTCTTTTCTCCGCTAACCACAAACCGCACTCGACGTCGTGCACGAGCAAGCGGCAGAAGAACGACCTTGACCGCGCGGTCCCGCCACCATCAACTCCCACACCCTCCCTCGCTCCTGCCGACATGTACTCCTTCAGCTCTCGCTCGCCACAGGCCAATGGCAATGGAGTCGTGGATCTCACCAATGCCTCATCGCCCGTCTCATCGCAGGCACGACGCATGTCTACCAAACCCGCCATGAACCCGCATATCGGTGCCAAAAAGCTGGTTGTCAAGAACCTGAAGACCAACTCGAACTGGGATAGCAAAGCATATCTGGAGAAGATCTGGGGGCAGCTCGATGAGGCACTGGCCCTCATATTCAAGGATGGCAATGCAGCTTTCAGTAAGGAGGACCTGTACCGAGGCGTGGAGAATGTGTGCCGACAGGGAGGGGCTTCGACACTGTTCTCAAGATTGGACAAGCGATGCACAGAGCACATCCAACGTGACGTTCGCGACAAGTTGTTGGAGAGGTCGAGCGAGGATAACGTCTCCGTACTGAAGGCGGTCTTATCGGAATGGACACGCTGGACGCAACAAATGACGACGATTCGTGCCATATTTTTCTTTTTGGATCGATCGTATCTGCTATCATCTAGCAAGCCCACCCTTGACTCGTATACTTCACAGCTCTTTCGCCAGAATGTATTCAGGAGCGAGGGACTTAAAGATAAGATCATCGATGGAGCCTGTGACATCGTTACGGCGGATCGAACGCGAGCACAGAAGCTGGACCAGGGACTCTTCAGGCAAGCGATAGACATGTTACATGCGCTACAAACGTATACCACCACATTCGAGCCTAGGTTTCTCGCGGTCAGTCAACGGTATGTAGACGAATGGTCGAACAAGGCAATGTCAGAGCACAGCGTTCCGGACTATGTGGCACTGTCGGATGAGCTTATTGCTGCTGAGATGCAAAGATGTGAAGAATTCGATCTCGACAACAGCACCAGAAGAGACCTCCTCAGCTTGCTCGAGGATCATCTCGTGGAGAGCAAAGAAGCCGACCTGGTGGACTATGAGGCGCTTGCTTCGTTACTGGACAAGAACGCGACCTCACAACTGGCAGCGTTATATACACTCTTGGCACGAAGACGGCTAGGCCAGAAATTGCGTCCATCGTTTGAGAAGTGGGTCGATCAGGCCGGGACAAGCATCGTCTTTGGTAAGGAAGATGACATGGTAATCAACCTCTTGTCTCTCAAGCGAAGTTTGGATCACTTATGGAAGACATCGTTCCAAAGAGACGAAGGCCTGGGCCATGGTTTGCGCGAAAGCTTTGAGGCGTTCATGAACAAGACCAAAAAGGGCGACGCGACATGGGGCACAGATAACACCAAGGTTGGCGAAATGATTGCCAAGTATGTCGACCAACTGTTGCGTGGCGGCGCCAAAGCAATACCAGAGGTACTTACGGCGAGGCGATCGTCAAGTATTACTGCACCGGCCCCCCAGCTCAATGCCGCGCCTGAGGAGGACAACGAGGACCCGGAACTCGATGAAGACGCCGAGATCAACATACAGCTCGACCAAGTCCTTGATCTCTTCCGTTTCGTGCACGGTAAAGCGGTCTTTGAGGCCTTCTACAAAAAAGATCTTGCCCGTCGATTACTGATGGGACGAAGTGCTTCGGCAGATGCAGAGCGTAGCATGCTCACGCGACTCAAAACCGAATGTGGAAGCGGCTTCACTCAGAACTTAGAACAGATGTTCAAAGATGTTGAGTTGGCCCGCGAGGAGATGCAATCGTACAAGCAGCGCCTAGAAGATCGCTTGGGATACGAGAAGGGGAAAGCAGTTGATCTGAATGTGAATATCTTGTCTGCTGCGGCATGGCCCACGTACAAGGATATTCCAGTGCGCATACCTACGAACATACAGAAGGCGATCGATGACTTCGAGCTGCACTACAAGAGCAAACACACTGGGCGAAAGCTTGACTGGAAACACGCTCTCGCGCACTGTCAAATGAAGGCGACGTTTGGCAAAGGAAGCAAAGAGCTCGTGGTATCGAGCTTCCAAGCCATTGTACTTCTTCTGTTCAATGGAGTGGCAGAGGGTGAGAAGCTCAGCTATGCACACATCCTGTCTGAGACAGGACTTCGTAAGTAATCGTCCACGGGATACAAGTCGACGTTCATAATACTGACAATCCATAGCTGAGGCCGAAGTCAAACGAACGCTGCAATCGCTCGCATGCGCTAAGCTTCGACCGCTCACCAAGCATCCCAAAGGAAAGGAGATCGACGAGGCAGACACATTCTCCATCAACACGAGCTTCGAGCATCCTAAATATCGAGTCAAGATCAACCAAGTGCAACTCAAGGAAACGAAGCAGGAGAACAAGGAGACACACGAGCGAGTTGCGGAAGATCGTAACTTTGAGTGTCAGGCGGCGATTGTTCGAATATTGAAGAGTCGCAAGACGATCAGTCACCAAGAGTTGGTATCCGAAGTCATCAAAGCAACGATGAGTAGAGGCGTACTTGCAGTAGCGGACATCAAGAAGAACATCGATCGGCTGATCGAGAAGGACTACATGGAGCGTGAAGAGGGCAATATGTACTCGTATATAGCATAGACGAGATGGTCGTGGCCACTGGATATGCAGCCCAGGCCCAACAATAGAAGACACGATCAGACGACAACAGTCTACCAGCACATGTTGGCTCGAGCATTGACTTGGAGCTAGCGGACATGGCTGCGCGGTGCACGTCCAATCATGATGACATGCGTGCCCAGTCCATGTGGTAGCTGCAGCTACGCACGCCAGGCCAGTTCCCAGTGTTGTTGGAGTGCCCGTGATATGCTGTTCACTGCACTACCATCGTTGGGAGGATTGATCATCGTGCTATAGAGCATTCTCAGCGCGCATCGATTGGCCCTTCGTAGCGAGCGCCGGCCGTGCATCGTTCGCGTCGCCTATCGCTACTCGAAGCCGCGCTTGCACAGCAGCTGCGGCCAGCAGCGACGCCAGCTTGACGACATGAGTCTGTTTGGAGACGATACGGACGGCCCGACACGTCCCAAATCATCGCTGTTCGACGACGAGCCTGCCACGCCGAGCAAGAAGAAGACTACCACCGCCGCCTCGTCCTCCATCTTCGCCGATAGCGCCGCCGACGACGCAGACGACACGCCGTGGGGCTTCACGCCTCGGAGAAACGCAGGCGGTCGAGGCAGCGTAGTACGCTCGTTGCTGGCCGACGTCGACGTGCCCGATCTCTACATCGACGCCTTTGACGAGCTCCAGACCGGCGGGCACGTGTCTAGCGAGGCTGCGAAGCAACTGCTGCACGATTGCCCAGTTCCAGACGCCGATCGCGATAGCATTTGGAACATCGTCTCGAGCAACGGAGAGACGAACCGGTTGGGCAGAGGAGAGTTCAGCGTCCTTCTCGCTCTTATTGGATTAGCACAAGAAGGCGAAGAGCTGGGGTTGGACGCTGTCGACGAGCGACGAAGCAAGCTGCCTGTTCCTGATCTGCCGGCGCGCAAGCTGGATAACCAGAACAGCAAAATGGCACAGCCTGAGACGTCCCATACAGAGGCACAAGCGGGCGCTCCAGCATCGCCCGAGCAGCCTCGTACCAGCGCAGCACGCAAACCGTCGTTTGGTCTGGACAGCGACCCATGGGCGAGTCCTGAGATGCACAAGGGTCACAAGCACGTGAATGGAAGCAATGGTTACGGGTCTGAACAGAGGACTACGAGCACATTTACGACAGCTTCCACGCAGTCTACCGCTGCCAATGGGAGCTACGATGTTGCTGGATCAGCGCCCACAAACGAGAGCTCTGGCAGCTGGGGCGCTTCAAACAACTTTGCTGCGGGAAACACTGGCGGGTTCGGTGCTGCTGGTGGCCCGCCTGGCAGTGCTGGGTTCGGGGACGAGGGCAATGGTCCTAACAAGCCAGCACCTCGAAGGCCACAACAAGTGCGCGCCAGTACTGGCGCTGACGAATTCGTCACTGTCAATATACTCGACGAGAAGGAAGGCATGTTTCTATTTCAGCATCGAAACTACGAAGTTGCTTCGCTCAGGCGGAACAGCAAAGTGATTCGACGTTATAGTGACTTTGTTTGGCTCCTGGACTGCCTGCATAAGCGCTATCCTTTCCGACAATTACCGTTACTGCCACCCAAGCGGGTCGCAATCAACGGCAATCACATTGCGGCGGATGCTACGTTTCTGGAGAAACGGAAAAGAGGCCTCGCACGCTTTGCAAATGCGCTCGTTCGACATCCCGTGCTGAGAGAGGAGCAGCTTGTGGTGATGTTCTTGACAGTTCCCACGGTAGATGCAAGTCCACCTCGCATGAGACGCAACACCGCTAACAAAATTACAGGAATTGGCCGTTTGGCGAAAACAGGCCACGATCAGCGTGCAAGAAGAATTCGTAGGCCGCTCGTTACCACCGAACCTTGAGGACAGCCTACCACAAAACCTTGCCGACACCTTTGACACAGTCCGAGGAGGTGTGCGGAGAAGCGCTGAACTGTACATCAATCTCTGCAACCTTGTCGAACGTGTCATTAAGAGGAAGGAAGGCATCGCAGCAGAGTATGGACGATTGAGCCTCAATCTCACAACCGTGACAGAAGCCAGCAACGACACGTATGCCATCGACAACAGCGACGTTCCAATGCTCAATGAGGGCATTGCCAGCACAGCAAAGCACATATCTACCTCGCAAGCTTTGCTCGTCGACGAAGCGCGGGCGTGGGACGAAGGCGTACTAGAGGACCTCAAGACGCTGCGCGATGCGCTCGTAAGTGTCCGAGACATGTTCGATCGTCGCGACCGGTACGCAAAAGATAACATCCCGACTCTCGAACGTCGCATCGAAGCCAATGAGGCCAAACTTTCGAACATTCATGCCAAAGGGGATGCTGCCAAGCCTGGAGAGGCGGACAAAGTGGCGAATGCCATCACAGCCGATAAGCAGAGCATCGTCAATCAGCACGCCCGCGGCGTCTTTATCAAAGAATGCATTCGAGACGAGATTGTGCATTTTCAAAGTACACAATGGAAGATTAGTCGACTGCACCAAGACTGGGCGCAGGAGAGGGTCAAGTACGCAGAGCTACAAGCAGACAACTTTAGATCTTTGGTGGATGCAGTGGAGGGGATGCCGTTGAGTGAGTAGCATTCTCTTCGTGCGAGGGTTGCTACGATTCGGCGCGGAATCTTGCGACGCATCAGGCAGCGGTCCGATAGTTTGGCGGTGCACTATACTCATTAGAAGGAACTGTGGAACCTGGGCGAGAATCCGTAACTTACGAGCATAGCGAAGGCATTGCATGGCAACAGAATGGTAATGTGTTACGCTAGCTGTGCAGATAGATGGATCAATGTATGAATGTATCAGGAACTCGTGATCGAGTACTGTCGTTCAGCTGTACATATGTGAATGAATGACGCTGATCCATAGCGCATGCTGGTACTCCTTGCAAATGCGATTCCTCCCCAGCGCCTCGCTGAATCAATATTCAAAATTTCCCATTTCATCACTGTTTCGTTATTTCGTTACTCTTGGCCTTTGGCTCTGCGGCTTTGGCCTCTTTCTGCTTCTTCATTCGTTCTTCCGCAGCTCGAGCGATGATTTCTCGTCTGCTCAGCGGCTCGCCACTGCCAGGCGCTGAAGAGCTCGATGAGCCACCTCCAAGCACGTACTCTCCTCCTTCCCAGCCTCCTTCGTCTGCGTGATCATGTTCGTCGTATTCATCACTAGGATTATAGAATTCATCGCCCCCTACGGAATGGCCTCCTCTACGCCAATCGTTCTTTTCGACTTCTGCTTCGATTTCTCGACACAGTTTCCAGAATCGCTGATCGTGTTCGCCCCAGACATTGTGTGCGAGTTCGTGGCAGAGGGTCTTTCGGATTACTTTATAATCTCGATATCCGTCGTATGCGTCGGTTCGTAATCGCAATTCGATGACTTCGCCGCGATTGCGATTGAGTCCTAGTGTTCGCGATTCGTGTGTTGTATGTTCGGCAGGGTTCATCTCCGTCAAGAGTCCTACGGAGAACCCGTGGCTGCGCATCGACGCTTTAATGCCCGCGTCATTTGCGAGGCGTTCGAGGAAGCGTTGGCTCTTTTCGGGATCTGGGAGGTATGGGAGAGGCCTGATGGTATGGAAGGTGTATTGCGCTTCGTCCGAGACTTTCTTCCAATCGCGGTATTTATTCGCCTTCACCTTCCGGCCTGCTTGCAATGCTGATCTTCTCTTCTCCATGCGCGCTTTCCGTTCTGCAATGTCGCTCTCGAGCTCCGCCACCTCTGCTGTTGTCGCGCCCATAAGAACGATCTTTTTATCTTGTAAAGACCTGATCAACAGTGTCGGATCTTTGAAGGGCGGTCGCAGCAGGCCAGTCTTTGGCGTGACGAGGAACTTCTGGTGCGCTGGCGGGATGTGTAGCTCTTCGGCGACGGTATCGGATAAATCCTGAATTGTGGCATCTTCGTGGTATATCGGGATCTCGAGCGGTTTGTTGTGCAGCTGGACCGTGAGATGGAAGAGGATGTGGGGCTCCGCATCCTGCTCTAGCTCGGGTGTAATGTCCTGGGAAAGCCCGCTGGCTGTAGAAAGTGTGTCTTCGTCTCTTCTCTCGCTTTCTTTGCGAAAAGTGCAGGGCATGATGTCGGACATGATGCCGGCCAGGCACTTTCGAGCTTCGGGGCAATGTGGAATCATGCGTGCGCAGTACGGAGAAGGTGCGGTGAGAGGGGAGGTCTGAGAGTAAGTGGATGGATGCGTGGCGGCGGTGGAGGGCGGGTGGCAAGGATTAGGATGGATGGCACTTATACCTACGAGCACGGCGGGCGTCTTAGCATTCGAGAGGCGTGAAGTGTAGCAGCAGTCTTCAAGATGTTGACGAATCGCCCCGGCACTTTCTCCCGGCTTCTTTGACCGACGAAGCGCGTGGGCGAGGTGAATGCTAAGACAGCTGACAAATCGACGTCATCGAAAGCCCGCACTGCCACACATTGTGCACCCTCATTAGCCTTTCCTGCTTGCGTGAGCATTTGCACAATTATACCATCCCATCGGCGCCCCGATCTTGGCCACGCTTGCCACTCCGATCATTATACAGCATCTGTGAAGGGTCCAAACGGCATACCGACCTCCATTGTGCCGAAGTTGCCCAATCCGGTCCCAACCTGGGAGGGTGGGCAACACTCACACGAGGATGTGACTGTCACCTGATCACGATTCTGATCATCTCACAAGCAGTGCAGGTCATTAAAAGTCATTGGCTTGTCCATAACGCAGTATTGCACAACGTAGGGGTATCTCTGGTCGATCATCAAACTCATACTCGCCACGCATTCCCAGTACGCCGAAACGCTCTCTGTAGGCCGTCTCTTTTGAAACCATGCTCATCAGACACCCTCCGAGACCTGAATATTCGCATCTCCCTTGCTCGTCAATGCAGTACCCCGGTTTCGAAGGACATGCATTGTTGCCAAAGCGGTCGTAGCTGCCCACAACAACCTGCAATGAACATCAGCACCAATTTCAGAACATCGACTCTGCAGACTTACCACGAGAACGCGCCAAAGGCGCAAGCCGCTCTCGCAGATCCACACACAGTGCCGTTGCAGTCCCGACCAGTCATGAAAACGGACAGAGCAATGAATCCGGCGAACCAGAAAATCATCGTCACCGCCTCAACTCCCAGGATGGCGAACTTGTGATGAAGAACCGAGTTGGCGAACCGCCATGGCACCAGAATCAGGTAAATGAGGGCGAGAAAAGTCCATACTGAAGTGAAGATGAGGAAGTTCACCTCGGATGGAGATCCATAGCCATTCCACCAGCTGCGCCACCAGTCGGCGACTGTTGATTGTTAGCGGACCAACCTGCACCTATGCGATATCCGGAGATGAGGTCGACATACCATATGCCGTGAGCCCAAGCACAATCAGTGCGAAGACAGCTTGTGCGATGCGCACACCGAGGATCACTGTCCGGTTTTCGTAGATGGCCATGATGGTACAGGAAGAAGCGTGCAGTGACTTTTGCGACCAAGTTGCTCTTGTTTCTGTCGGAAGTGCGACGACCAAGCGACTCTGCCAACAAGCGTGTTACGCGTCTGAATACCTCCGAGCTTTCGAGAAATGGAGGTTGGCGCAGCAAGTCTTTGATGTATGGAATGCGTCAACAAGACACTCGCGATGACATCGATTGCCAACAAGAAAAAAGTTACAAGAAATAGTGAATAATAGCAGTCAGTAGTAGTAACTCGATCCTACCGTTTGCTATCTGTCTGTTCCAAGAACACGCAAGAGGGTACGGGGTGACGACGAAGGTCTTATGATACCAAGTTTTTGACGCACGACGACACAGCTGCGATGGCGCGTAGAATTTGTGGCGTTTCGCTTCGCTTGCCTCCACAATCGCTGATCGTGAAACGTGGTGCAGGCCCACCGCTCCCTGGTCGGTTTCGCGTGGCCCTGTGGCTCGGACTTACATTTGCGAATGATGTTGACTTTGCTTTTTCATACTGATACGCTCTGTCTGCTTCAATTGCTGTCCTTGTATGTAGACATACAGCCAGAGGATACGCGAAGACATCACTTCATCTTGCCTCGCATTCGCATTGTCTCAGGAAATAACGAGGGATGAAATCAGGCCATCTCGGCATTGTCTTGCCATGGACGTCACCCACCCAATATGCGACCCCTGGTCAGCTGAGCGATCCGGGCGCAGTGCTTGACTGCCGTATAGAGGCCAGCCACAATTCGTTGCGCAAACTCAAAATGCGACAAGAATTTCCACGCAACGTCCACGCAGAAGAACCTGGCGGTCTGGTTGTCATCAGTGGTCACATGGTGATGCCGGTTACCTATCGTACCGTTCGGATCCAGGATGATCAGAACGATCCGCGGAACTATTGATCGTTCTCTGCTGGCGTGGCACAATCGTGATGCTATGTATCTGCTTGGCCCCCGAGGAGGCGGCCAATATCGGTGTTCACTGAATCCGTCTCTTCATTCTCTAGCTACATGCCTCCGCTCGAAAAATAATGCCTGGGTATCTCTACTAAACATATCGTTCGACGCGACAATCTGCGCGTCCGACTCCATCAACGCCTTGCTAAACGCTACAACACAATCACAGCTCAGACCACGTTTTTTCAGTCTCCATATGCCCACTAGGATTTGGCGGGTCTGTTCCGCGATGCATCCTGCAGTTTCTGAATCTGCTCTTCCAGCAAAGGAATCTTTTCGACTGCTTTCGTAAGACTGCGAACGGCCGGCGTCATGGCCTTCACATCAGTCTCCAGTTCCTCAATTTCCGCCAACTTGATCTTGCCCTGCTCGAGCGTCTTCGCACATTCCTCGACACGAAGTTTGATACTCGAAATGTCCTCTCTCAATGCGTTTGCGTCTTGTTCGAGCTGTTCCTGGAGATTGGGTATGTGCTTCGTGATCTCGGCCATGCTTTTGACCGTCCTCTCGACAGCCTCATGAACCGTAGAGAGCGTCTCCTGAGTGGACTTGATCTCAGCCTGAAGCGTACTGGCGACGACCTGGAAGTTCTTCGCATCAGGATACATGGCGCTCATTTGGTCGACCATCTGTTTGACAATCTCGTCCGTGGTGAGATTATTATACAACCGTTCGTGTCTTGCAGCGACCCCTTTCAGCATCTCGATGTCCCTTCCCAATCTGGTAACTAGATCGGGATCAGTGGCTGCTGGCGGTATACCATTGGTTTGCGGGTGCATTTCGTCCTCGTCGTTGCTAGGAAGCACAGCTTGCCATACTGGCGTCCGTGTAGCTACGGTCTGAGCCCTCGGGTCTCGCTCATTTTCCACCTTCGCGAGCTTCTCTTGAAGCTCCATAACCAGCTTTCGTAGACTTCCTAGCTCTTCTGTTGACAGCCTACTGTTGTGAGACCCTTCGCACCTCAGTAGGCGCTCCATGCAATTTCCGATCGAAGTAGTATGTTGAGCCAGCAGAGACTTGACCTCTGCAAGCTGACGTTGTACCGTGGTAATACCTTCGTCGATCGTTTTCCGAAGCCGATCTTGTGATGCTCCCAAATCATCGTCAATCTCCCGTTTCATAGTTTCTTTAGCATCGGCCAGCTTCTTCGTGACTTCATCTCGCAGGTCGGTGATCTCTCCATCTACGTGGCTGATGATTTGGGCTTTGTCATCTTCGCTATCGTCTTCCAGCTGTTTGACGCGTATGCTCAGAGCATGGAGTTGCTCTGTATTCGGCGACTCTTCCGGTTGTTGACTCCTGCTTGCAGCGGCTCTAGGTAAAGTCTCGAGTGCTCCAATACGTTGTTTCAGTGGCGTGATAGCCTTGGTCGTCTCAGATGACTCTGCCTCGACTGTCAAAATGCGGCTCTTTACATTCTGGGAAAGCTCAGTTGCCAATTGGTCTACTTTTGAGCCGAGTGTCTGTAAGCTTCCTTGCAACGGAACGATAGTCTTGCTATTGCGCGCCGACTCTGCCTCGACTGCCGGAAGCCGGCTCGCCAATTCCTTGGGTAACGTTGTTTTCAGTTGAGCGACCTGCGTTTCTAGGCTATGCAGACTAGCGCGCAACCTTGGTAATTCCTGGGAGGCTTCCGATGCCGTCTTTTCAAGCTGCTCAAGCTTCTTGGAAACCTCAGAGGTATCCAGATCTGACTTCTTGATTGTGACCGCCTCCAAGGCGGCAACTTTTGCTTTCAACTTCGAGATGTCGGACTGCAATTCCAGAGGACTAGGTCCATCTGAGATACTGGGTGCACTTTGAGGCGCGGTGGTGGTCGTCGCGCTTTGATTGAACAGACTCGCAAGCGTGTTCAAGATTTTCTTCTGCTCAGGAGCTTGGTCGTTGATTTTCCGCTCAATGCGCTCCACTTCCTGCTGGGCCCTTGTTCGAGCTGCCGTTTTCTGTGCCTTGATGGCTGGAAACTCACTGAACTTATCTTTCAGCAAAGAGTACTCTCTGTCAACCCTCTGTCGCTCTGTTTCAGCTGACTGAAGCTCAACCCGCAAGACTGCTGCCGAAATGGAAGCATCGAAGAACTTCTCCAACGCCACCGTTGGAGATGGGTTGTCCGCCAGCTTTACAGAGCCCGGCGAGCCCACACGGTTTTCGTCATTGGACGCGGAGCCCCTGTTGGTGAGTGCGCTCAATGCTGTACTCTTTGTAGCCTGCCGCTTGTTTGACGCAAGGCGTCCTTCAGGTGAGCGGCTTGGTGGTCGCTTGTTTGCGTTGTTTAGCCGCGGGTCGCGACTTTGCGTGCTCGCCATCACACTCGCACATGTCAAGTGAGCGACACATGGGTCTTGCGCCTGATATTCGGCAGGGCGGGGATGTGAATGTCTGGAGCTTTGCAGTGTCTTCCAGTGAGTACTAGCATCAGTGTTGTCGAGCCTTCTTCGCGTTTGATTTGCGCCAAGCCACGTGCTGGCGCGTATTAGTCATCACTTTCGGCGTCGTTCCAGGTCCTTCTTGCCTTTTTGAGCAGACAGACTAAGGTTACGAGGAGCAATGCCGATGAGAACGCGTTCTTTCGCGTGGAGGATTCCCGATCGGACATCACCCCTTCAAAACTGTCTGGCTAAACAATGACACCAGCTATGAGCAGATCCAGCGCCTGTCTTTCCATTGACTCTCGGACTGTCAGTGATGACTTTCCATTGGGCCGGTCCTGACAATTGCTCGCGACTATTCGTGCGCGTTGCGCCGGTACTGTACTGGCAACTGCGTCCACTGTCGCATCCGGAAGACTCTCAGAGCGACGTGGTGTTGTGCTGCACAGGAGACCTCACATTTCCAGCACTGGACGCGAGCGTGCAATTCACTCCAATCAGTCCATGGCGCGCGCTAACTAACGGCTGTCCGCAGTTCGGTACTTCCGTTGGTCGCCGCACTCTCCCGTTCGTCCTCAACGACACCGCTGTTCTGCCGATGGAATGCCTGCACAATGCACCAATGATAACCGTAGGCCATCACATGGATCTCCGTCTCAGTCTTCACGCATACAGCGTATCGCCTATCCTCCACTTCCATCGTTAACTTCCTGCGGGCCTTCGGCAGTCATACAGCAACCGAGTGTAATATCCAGCCTTCTGGTGATTTGTACTAATGTGACAGTTTAAGCTTCTCCCATCATGCTGGCATTCAACCTGCGGGCCTCGTCGAATGGAATCCCGCCGATGCTCTAAGCAAGACATGAACGCAAAGTGTGAGGATAACTTCTTGATCCTTATCTCACTGTTATCAGAAGCTGGCGAGATCACTCTTGCCACCGCCGTCGCCGTGGCCACATGCCGAAGCTCAGAGAAGTGGGAGTGCTTATCCATGCATCGAAGTTGCTGTCTGTGGGCCAGACGCTGCGTATCTGTACCTATCTGCTTGGCATATTCGCCTGTTAGTTGCCCGGTAGCTGAGCACCTGAGCTTCCTGGCCGAGTGGCCGAGAAATAGTGATATCCTTACCTACTTAGATGTGAGAATGCTATATGACCTCGCGCCGCAATGGCCAAGTACAAAAATCAAACTACAAATCCAGCATGAACGCGACCGGAGACGTGCGTACGTCAGGCGAACAGGTCGCTATGGCTAATCAGACATCGAAAGACGGCGAGAAGGCGATGATTGCCACGGATCTCGAACGATTGCCATCAGAGAAAGAAGGCGAAGTCATCGACATTCAGGAAGCGGACTATTCGCCAGTCGAATACAAGAAGATCTTGAGAAAGATCGACAGGTTTCTGCTCCCTCTGATGTGGTTCTGCTATGGCATACAACAGACCGACAAGACGTCACTTGGTACCCAAGCAATCTTTGGCCTCCGTGAGGACACTGGACTAGGTACGCTCACGGCAATGTCGCATTCAGATCGCTGTGCTTGTTACTGATACTCCTCCAGTTGGGCAACAATATTCGTGGCTGACTACTGTGTTCTACTTGACTTATTTGGTTGGCGAGTTTCCATCCAACTTCCTCTTGCAACGATGGTCACTCGGGCGTTCGCTCTCAATATACGTGAGTAGAATGATAGGTGGAAGTTCCACCCAACTCATCACACGTGAAAAGTGACTGACGCTTACATGTTATCGCTCTTAGATGATGTGCTGGGGTAAGACGATCGATCTCCTGCATGCAAGCGATGCTAACATTCGCAGGCGTATGTGTGACATGCATTGGAGCAGCACAGAATTGGACTCATCTAGTAAGTGAAGTCACAGGTGGGAGCCCTACCCAAGCCACCGCATGTGAGAAAGTGACTATCGCTTACGCCTATTGCTTCTAGATGGTACTGCGTGCACTACAAGGTTTCTTCGAGTGCACGATTTCACCTGGCTTTGTCTTGGTCATCGGCAGCTGGTACACCAGAGACGAGCATTCCTCCCGTTCGCTGTTCTTCCAATCGGCCAATGCAGGTTTCGGTATCATTTCGAACCTCTCAATGTACGGGATTGGCTCTCACGCTGAGAAGTACGGCGGCCTCGCCCCGTGGAGATGCATATCACTTTTCCTTGGTTCATGCACGGTGGTGTTGTCAGTCATTTGCTTTCTGATGCTGGGAAGTCCGAAAGAAGTCAAATGGCTAAGCAACGAGGAACGAAAGATTGCGTATGTGGTATCTGCACACATGTTGCACGATGCTGACCCTTTGATCTAGGCAAGCGCGAATCGTGTCGAATAAAGCCGGCAGAGATGTGACTGGAGTGCAATGGTCATGGCCACAAGTCGCAGAAGCCTTCAAAGATCCTCAGCTGTGGTTCAGTATGAGTAAGAACACATCAGATGATCATCGTCTTGTTTTTGGCTACTAAGCTGTCCGACAGTCAACGCATTCCTCTCCTCTGTACCGAACGGAGGATTGACCACCTTTGGAAACATTGTGCTGAATAGCTTCGGTTTTACTGAGCTGCAGGTATTGCTTGTGGAGATTCCACGCTCAGGCAAGTTTACCTATGCGTTTCCTGGAAGCAACTCACTAACAAAGGAGTAGTGATCTCCGTGGTCATTTTCCTCATCGTCGGCATATACACACGCAAGGTGCCAGAGCGACGCATGTACATCATGGCAGCTTCTTGTGTGCCACCTTTTGTCGGTCTGCTCGCAATGTCCCTACTGCCAAATACTCCTCAATATCAGTATGTCGGCCCTTTCACTGCCCAGGAGCTGTGCTTGAAGTGTTCGCTAACATATTCCCAACCATCCCAGATGGACAAAATGGGGCATGTACGTTATCACAGTCCCCTACGTCCTCGCCCTCTTCCTCGGCTGGACACTCATCCCATCCAACGTCGCCGGCCGCACCAAAAAGACCATCATATCCTCAGCAACATTCGTTGGCTACTGTGTTGGGAACATGGCCGGCAGCCAGATCTTCAAAAGCAAAGACGAACCTCGATACGTACCGGGCACAATCGGAGCTTGTGCTTGCCTGGGGTTAGAATTCGTGCTCATTTGCACCTGGCGACTGTACTATGTCTGGCAAAATCGCAAGCGTGATAAGGCAGCCGTAGTGAGTGGCATTAGTAAAGAAGAGCAGGAGAGAATGGGTAGAGAGATGGGTGAACAGAACATGACTGATTTGCAGAATCCTCACTTCCGGTATACGACATAATAACAGAGGTCGGTTCAGCACGACTGAATAGATGAGTAGGAGTATCACATAGAGCATCAAAATCAGGAGCTGAAGAATTGGCATACGCCGAGAGTAGATTTTTGTCTCATGCTACATGACTTCGTGGCTCATTCATGCACGCAATATCATAACCATGCCGAGCAGCATTACATTTTATCGAAAACTGCCGTCCCAGTCAGTCCCTTCTTTGGGTTTCCGTGGTATCTTGCATCATCCTTATCCGTCAGCTCAGCATCGCTGAAGTCAGAGCCTTGCAGAAAAGAGCTCTTGTCCCCAGTCATACTGTGCATCATGTCAAAGCTACTTGCAGTCGAGCTCGCACTCGGGCTCGTTGATCTGCCTTCGCGCGCCTGAGGGAGAGATTCGTTAAAAGTGCCAGCAGGCAGGCCGGCCTCTTTGGACACTTCACCAATCCACAGTTGGCCACCATCTCGAGCTTTCGTCCTCGCAACTTCTCGCTCTTCGAAAGCGAAGCGTTGTTGACCAAGACCTAGATTGCGGCGATGCCATTCGCCGATGAACATCCCATCAGGATCAGCCTCGTTGCGAACTTTTGTCCACTGCTTGAGTCCATCGCCGAGCATGAGACTAATCTCGTCTGCGGAGGTGAAAGTGAAATTCTTGGCGTAATGTGGTTTGCCGCCCATTTCGCGCATCAACCATTCGAAGGCTTCGTAGTACCTGTCTCTGCAGGGCGGGTCTTGCAGATAGGCACGATAGAGGGTGGCGTTGAGGTAGAGAGTAGGACCATCTTCGGCCGTGTTGTCTAGGAAGGGTCGGACGCGATCGCCGTCTTTCGTTGTGTCGCTGACTCGGACTTCAATAGGGCAGTGGACATATAAACCCTTGTTGGAGAAAGGTATCTCGTGATTGCGTTTCGGCTCCCCGTTGAGCCAAGCTGACAACCGGCTGATGGCTTCGGGGCCATCACGAAGTGGCAATGCCCATTCGTTCACAAACTGGCTGTACAAACAATTCATGAGCAGTCCAGTTTGGAGAGGCTCAACAGCAGAGGTCGTTGTGCCAGGGCTGAAACCGTACTGCATGCCAAAGACAAACCACTCCACCCAAGGGAGAATGGATGGCACATAATTCGACAACCACAGAAGGTTGTGATAGGTGTGGAAACCCACAGAGCCACCATACCAGCTTCCAGTTGCCGCACGCAGTGGTTTGTCCGTCTTTTCTGCGGACCACACGATTGCCCGCTTCATATATGGCATCCACCAGACGCGAGTGAACTCCTTCTGAGTCCAGAGAGTGTTATCCCAAGTGTTCAAAATTTCGTCCAGCGGCCGTAGCGTCTGAGTCCACTCGATATTGCAAGCATCGGTCATTTGGAACTCCACCTCGACGATGATACCCAATGCGCCCAGCGAGACCAGCGCAGCGCGGAACAGGTCGGAGTTCTCGTCCTTTGAGCACTTCACCGCTTGCCCGCTTGCGAGCACGATGCGCAAGCTTCGAACAGAGTCGCTGAGCAAGCCATGCCACAAGCTGCTGCCATGGGTCGCCGTAGCTATCGCACCAACAATACTTTGCTCATCGATGCTGCCGAGATTGGGCATGGTCAGCCCATGCCTGTTGGCCTCCTCATTGAGTTTGCGTAAGCGGATACCGCCTTCCACGAGTAGTGTCTTGTTTGCCTTGTCCACTTTGAGCACTCTCTGATACTCGTCCAAGTTGATCATCCAGCTACTCGTGCATGTCAGGTCGCTCGGAGAGTGCCCGCAACCCACAACAACAATTCTGCGACGGCATCTGCGCGCGAGATTCACCACCTTTTGCACCTCAGCGAGACTTCGGGGTCGGATGTAGAGTTCTGGACGCGACTGAAATGTTTTCGCCCAGGTGTGGTGGACGTGCCTGTCGGTGGCGCGGAAGGGGACATCGGGGTCCGTGTGCTGGGCCTCCAGCTGGATTTTCTCCATGATGAGCTGCAAGGCCGAAGGTGGGAGAGGGTGGAGTAGTGGTAACGCTGTCGGCGTCAGATTGAGCGCGCGGAAATGGGCGTGATCGGGTGTTTGCTGCAAGCTGCTGGTCACGAGCTCATGTGACGAAGTGCTTCATCATCATCCGCAGCTGTTGCCCTCTGCCAGATGTCTCATGGCGACGACGAGCGCGAAGGTGATGGAGAGTGGGAATTGTGTAGTTCAGCACGCTAGTTGTCTGCCCATGTTGAGCCTGGCTGTTGCTCGTTGTGCAACCTGGTCGCGCGCCAATCACATGCGAGCGCGCCCGCGCCCGAGCTCGTTGACGACATCCTCGGACCAGAGGACTTCTTCTCCAAGCTCACCCTGTACACCTGATCCATTCTCGCTACATCCCGACGAGGACATGGGCAAACGACTAACAACTTTCAATACAAGCTCAATCTCTCCAGCTATGCCCGTCCGCTGATGATAAAGAAGTTCTTCAGCTCAGCAGCCCCTCACTCGTTGGAGGCATATCGCGGACTTCCCTCCGGAGCTTGTCGCGCCAAACCCGAACTGATGCTAGACGCACTGTGCATCTAGGCACTGTAGAAATCAATGCCATCCTGAATAGCGTCATGGATCTTATCAACAACCTCCTGCCCTCTTACCAAGTCTGCAGACAAGTCTTCCTGAACAGCCGCCGAAAAAGTATCATGATCATCCAGCAGAACGACCAACGCTCCTAAGATAACCGGACTGAGACCAGCTTCGTCAAACAATGGCTTCTTGGCTTTCGTGACGTCTACACTGGCCGGTATGGAGACACCGACAGTATCAATCACTGTCTGAACAATTGCCGTGGACTCCTCCGCAGTAAAATCTGTCTGTCGAATGTTGGCATTGGCGAAGCCCTTGCGATTCGCGAGATGAATGGCTGTGAAGTCTCCAGCGAGCGGGATTGAGTTCAACGGCTCTCCGTTGTAGGCAGAAACATGCTTGCGGAGGGATTCCACACCGTTGTGTATGTTGATGACATCTTGTTGAATGGTTTGGGCCGTTACCAGCTCTAGGCGAGTGACGAGCGTTGCTGGTGATGCTATCGCTACGGTGGCCAGCATAAAGGGGAGCAGAGCACGGATCGGCATCATGGTCGCGGTTTGGCTGTCGTGAGGATGATCGATGATTTCAAGAACCTGGCTTGTTGCTACTCTTTATGCATTCTGTTCCGGCACGTGTGCTAAAAAGCATACGCCTACAGTAGCGCCGTCGATGAGATGTGAATATCTTGTGCCTCGGCTGACGATCACAACCTGATACGAACAGATCAAAGAAGCCAAGAAAGTTGCAAGCAAGCTCCCGCCAGAAAGCAGAACAGAAATCAAGGCCAATACTGCGCACTCTGCTCGGCGTATTGACTGCGCTTTGGGGCCCTGGGTCTCTGCCTTACGCAACATGACTGAAGCACCGTGTCTCGGAAAGCGAGGTAGGCGTGGAGCCCAGGTCGTGACGAGAGAGGACAAGGTGTAGATGTTTCTCAGTATCTGTTTTGCTGTCCACAGCGTGGCAGGTTCGCTGAATCTTCTCACATTGGTCTGTTCACATTGGGTTGTCTGGATTTATTTTATGCACTATCTTGCGTGCTCTTGATACCTGTCAATCCTATCGTACTGTCGAGTTCTCTGTCGATATTTAAATCACAAGCTCTTCGCAAACGCAACGATATCACGAATAGCCTTGTTGTGCACTTCCGGCAGCAGTTGTCGGAACACCAAAGAGGAAGCATGCACGATGCCCAAGTTGACCTGCGCATGGACTTCAACGCCTGCAGCGAGTAGCTTGCGGTAGTACGCCATTCCCTCGTCCCTCAACGGGTCAAGCTCGTCCATTGTCAAGATATGGGGTGGGAGACCTTTGCAGTCGTCGAGTGAGGCGTAGTATGGCCACGCGAGGGGGTTTTCTGCGTCGGCACCGCTGTAGTAGGCACCCATTCCGGCCTATAGACAAGCGATTGCGTCAGCATGTATCCCAAATATAAGGTGTGGCAGGCATTTGACTTCTTATTTGACCAGTGATCGCAAGTGCCGAATCTGCTCAATGATTTCCAATGCGGACTCACCATTTGAACGTTGTGAAGGAAATAGCCATCACACTCCACAAGCGAAGGCAGCTCTTTCGCTTTCCGGGAATGTGACCAGCCATAACCTGCAGCCAGGAAAGATTTCGGTCAGCATGTCCTTCAGTCATTTACCATGTCCGCTGATTGTTCTCTCACCATTGCTGACATATGGAACACTGCCGTAAACACCTGCAATCTTGCTAACCCAACCCTCTCGATTCGCCTTTAAAGCCGTAGCAAGCGATAGGTTGGCGCCTCCGCTTTCGCCTTGGAGCACAATGTTACTGATCTGAAGCTCATCTCTGTGCTCAGAAATGTATTGCACTCCCGCAGCACAGTCGTTGAGTCCGGTAGGGAATGGGCAATGCTCGCCATTATTCCAAGCATTGCGGAAATCGATCGCGATGACGACCACTCCTTGCACAGCCAAAGACTTGCACCAGCGGCGGTGCATTTTGTTCGCGGTGTTGAGAAGGACCATGCCGCCACCATGGATGTAGATTACAGCAGAGAGTTTACCAGACTGCTCGGCAGGTCTGTAAACGAACAATTGGCGCTCGGTGCCATCGAAGCTCGGAAACTTGATGGTCTCTTGCTTGATTTCGATCTCTTGGGGATCTTCGGGCAGCTCGTTCGGCAATAATTCGTACAGCTTCTCGGACTGAGCATGGCTCTTCGCCATTTGAGCAGTGGACGATAGCTCTTCATGGCTCACGCCTGCGTATGGATCACCCTGGCTACCATCGATTCCAAAAGCACGAAACACTTCAACTATCTTGGGATGTGCTCGTGGTTCCTGGAAGAACTTCAAATTTGGATCCCCGAGACGGCCTGGACGTACGTACCCAGCTGCAATGTCGCTGGCACTCAGCCCTTGGGAAGGTGTATTGTCGTTGGAAGTCATATTGGCAAGTATTATCGAGAATGTCGGGGCAAGACCGACACAATCGACTGTCAATGTCAATGATTTATAGAGATGCCTGTGGAGTCAGTTGTTAGCTCGCGCAGATGAAGCGAGGTCCACAGCTTCCAAGCTGCTCCGTGATCTGCATGCGATTGGATGACTCGCTGTTCGTAGCAAGCTGAGTGGTTTCAATATCCAAGCTATTGATTGCCGCCATCTTGCAGCGATTTGCACGAGAAGCCAAGACCATACGATCACGTTTGGAAGGTAGATTACATCGAAAGACGAATTGAGGATCACGTTTGACGTCGGGTGTCGGTGAGTAAGCATGCTGACTAAGCGTTACGACCAGGTGCGACCATGCACTCATCAGCCTTGATGACGATGGCAAATAACCAGCAAAGTCATCATGAAGTCAAAACAGGACTGGCATCGAGCTATCCAATAAGGAACCCACAGCCACTTCTTATTCATACTGAAAAGATGTTATGGACCCTCGCTCGGTCATTCCAGTGGACGCGATCCAATTATGAATGCACCAGGGGCAGCAGCAATCGCAATGAGCGATTACCCGCCTGGTAGGCCGAGAGATTTCCTTTGCTTCTCGCAATGGCACTCCACACGCCAAAGGCCTGATTTACCGCAGTGGTCTCCACTCACTGGTATAGACATGACTTGACCTGACCGGCCATAGAGCACCCTGAAATCGGCACTCTTCATTCATCCGACCAAGGCGATCAGATTCCCGATTCAAGCCTTCTTCTCCTCACCCGACAATACCGATTCATACTGCGACAACTTCGCCTCAAAATCGTTTCCAAAGCGATCGTGCTTTGTCAAGCCATCATCCTTGATGTCCCACCATGCCTTTTGACTGGTGAAGATGTGGGTACTTAGCCGCAGAGCCTCCCTCGCCGCCGGAGTCAAGGAGTCCTCGTCAACAGCTCCGAGGGCCAGGGCAGTGATATCCATCTCAATCTTGTAGCGCATTGCTAGTGGTGTATTGCAGGTCGCACAATATGCTCGTTCTCCAACCTTGGAAAATCTTATGAAGACGATGCCACCCATGTTGTCTTTCGGAAGGCCTTCATATTGCAGAGCTTCTTTGTGATCGAAGAATTTCACGGTGCTGGCTTTAACATCGACGTAAGCCTGGTATGGGCCGCCAGAGACCTTCCTGCAGCTGTGCGAAGAATTAGAGTGTTGGTACATTGTCACTCTGTGGGCAGCCCAATGATCGATGCTAGCCAAGCAAAACTCGAAAGCAAGCATGCAGTGCTGGAAGGAGAAGACTTACGTGACGCAGTGGCAAGCGGTTATGCTGCGAGAGCTAGGAAGACCAGAGCATTGGTATGAGATTCTTGCGCAGGCGCAGCTGCCTTTGAACTGTATCCCTTCTTGAGTTTGGGCACTCGGTTTTTCTGTTTCTGCCATGTTTCTGTTCAACACTCCATCGATGAAGAGATTGACCTGCAGTAAGTGAAGACAATGTCTGAATGTGTTTGTCAGCAATCAGTGACCTCAGGAGGGGCTCCGACCTCGTGCCCCGCCAGGCCTTGGCTTGTAACATCTTGCATCATTCGTGATATTGCAGAAATGCTCCGGCACTTTCAGTAAAAGCCTGATCACTGAAGAGTATGAATATTCAAGTATGTAGCATACTCAAAATTCCAGGTCGTATGCCAAAGTATGATCACAAATCTTTTCGCGAACGTGATGGACTGCCAGGTGTGCAGGATGCTGAGCATAAATGGCCACATCTTCTGGCTTCTCCAACGTCGACACGAGGCCAAGGTCATATCCAAGAGCACGATGAGCAGTCGAAGCTAGTGGAGGGCCGAAGTCAAATTTGACGAGTCCTGTCCATGCGACATCAGCAGTTTGTTGTTACGCAAGGATCAGAGGTCACGACTGACCTGGTACCTGCCCAACCTGGAAAACCTAATAAGCGGTCGCGATCGAAAACTGGGTATTCCTTTAAGACTCACCATTGCTCGTCCTGCGGCTTCAAGTTCCGCGATCTGCTCCTGGGTGACACCAGGCTTCAACTTGAAGAGCACTGCGGCGATGCTGGTAAGCGGAAACATGCAATAGATCACCTCCGCTGTTTACTTACCAATGTGGTATACCCCCATGTTTGGAATGCGGTTGCCTGAGTAATCTGTCTTTCAGAAGGAACAACTGCCGAGTCGGTGAGTTGCAGTCGATAGGAGACAAAGTGTATCGCTACAGTATATGGACATGGTCTCGGTTGAAAGATCAAGCGGCAAGCCGACATCGCTTCTTGGCCGAGCACCTCACTCCAACTGTCACCAACCACTTGCGGAGTTTTACTCCGACACTTCGAAGTCGTCTGCCTGCCCACCGGGGTGACCGTGTGCTGCTTGATAAATTTCGCTCAAACAGGACATTGCAAGCCGGGCGCACGATTGAAGACGATGCCCTTCGGTCAAGGTCTCGAGGTGTTCATGGCCCGCGAGTGGACCTACGGTGCTGCTAGCCCCGCTCCATCTTCTAGAATGCGTCAAGGCTATGGAACCCCGCAATTCTCGAGGTCCAGGATTCATCACTGTCGCATAGGGATGTAGATGCAACTGCGTTTGACCTCGACACGAGGTCGCAAGGGACAACTCTACAAGCGCATCTGTTCACATCCTAGTCAGAGAACGACGCACAGACGAGCATTTAATAGAAGATGGCATGGAACCTTCCTCTTGGGGCAGATTTTCTTCCAAACTTCTTCACCAGTTCAACAACTGCTGGCATGGACGCCATTGGTACTTGCCTGCAAGGCCAGAACACTGTGCTTGGTGCTCTGCCATCGGCGTTCGCAAATGTGAATGCGGTGTTCCTGAATCATAACCTAGCAGTGATCCCTGGCGATTGGCAATCTGGCCCGATCCGTAGGCTTACGAAACCAATGCTTTCCGTACACATCTTACTGATACTGCTCAGAAAGCGCATTCTATGATATCCAGCCTGAGGAGCCATGCATGGCATCCGTACTCGAACAAATCAAAGCCGCAGACTTCATCGCCTACGATCACGACTTCTTCGATGTGATCGGGTCAAAAGCGAAAATCGAGAAGATCCAGACATTTCCACCTGATTTGAAGCACGTCCACGAAGCGCCGGTCTACCTGCCAGAGTCCAATGAGCTGCTATACAGCGATACATCACTCACAGGTCTTCTCTTCGCGATCAACATCGACACGCATGCAGTTCGACAGATCAACCTGGAGCCGGCGCTGCAGAACGTGAATGGAGGTACGCGACACAAAGGCCGGGTCTACGTAACAACGAACGGCGGCAGTGTACGCGGAATCTTCGAAGTAAACGTCACGACAGGACGAGCGGAAGCCATTGTCAATCATTACCGAGGTCGCCATTTGAACAGTCCAAACGATCTCATTTTCGACTCCAAAGGAAACATGTACTTCACGGATCCGGATTACGGCGTTGACAGCAAATGGCCAGGTGTGCAGCCCTCTGAGCTGCCAAACTCAGTATACCGCGTGGATGCAAAGACGAGATCTGTGCAATCACTTACGGTCGGCGTCGTCACCAAACCAAACGGTCTGGCACTTTCGGCGGACGAAAGCATACTCTACATCGCAGACTCCAACACGACAAGCGAGGTGCTCAAGAGCGAGCGAGGAGTGTGGGCATTCGACAACCGACACAAAGGGCTTTTGGAGAATCCTAGACTGGTGTATCTCGTCGAAGGAGGATGGCCAGACGGACTTCGCATTTCGAAGAATGGTTTGCTCTTTTCAGCTGTGTACGGAGGCGTGGATGTCGTCGATCCCAAGACTGGCTTCTTGCTTGGCAAAGTCAATACGCCTGATGACATTGTTTTCAATTTGGAACCAGCGCGTGGCAAGGGTCAATGGTTGTTGACTGGACAGAATCATATTTATAAGGTGACTATCAAGGAGCAGCCTTTGAAGGAAAGATAGTTGGATATACTTGTTCTTGGCGAACAGCCTGATGCGCCACCAACCTATCCACAAGTCGGGCTTGGCTGGTGCATGCTTGACGGGGCTTGATTGTTCAGGTTTGCACTCGCTTGACTGTCAAGATGGAACTCGCGATCCAACGAAGCCTCAAGTCCAGTATATGAGCACAGAATTGTCGTACGAGAGCTCTTCAAGTCTCTCCCGACTCGAGCGCCGGCCTTTCCTGATCTCGAAAGCGGCGATTAGTGCCGAGAGGAGATCATCGAAAGTCATGCCATCTGGGTAGCTTCGTCGATAGAACACAGTCGTGTGAGATCCGACAGGTATCACACAAGTCTTCGTCTTCGATTTTGAGATGAACATTTTATGCCACAGGGGCTTGACTTCGGCTTGTGCTTGAGCCCAAAGATCTACCAGATCGATGCGGGCGGCGATGGTACTGCTCCGATAACCAGATTTTTTGTGATGAAACCAGGTTGGCGCTAATGGGTTGATGCTTCTGTCATCGCTTGCGTCGTCCACATCAAGGTATAGCATTCGTCGAAGTGTTTTGGAATAGGTGATGACTTCGAAGAATTTCCGATTTACACGGCGGCAGCGTAATACATCAGCCTCATCGACGAAGAGCAGGACATTCTCGAGCAATTCTCCCACTCCCAGCATTCGTTGTGCTGCGGTAGATCGCGGTGCTTCCATTTCAGACATCTCGTTGCGTGATAGTAATGGAAGATACATGAGTGCTGGCAAAGTTAATGGAGTCAGCTTGTGGTTTAGCTCTCAACGACCGGGACTGTTGGGAACAGATCGCCGTGCGGTGTGAGCGTGCTCACACGAGCTGCCAAGCGCGCTCGGAATCGGCTCCACTTTGAGTTCACGTGCTGAGTCTTGGAAGCTTAATTGGAAGCATGTCCGTCTTGAAAAGCTCCATCGGCAAATCATCCACTATGCAGGAACCAAGCGAGATGTGCTGTGATACGGTCTTGTGCCGAGCCGATATTGAGGATGCATATAGTCTCTGTTCGCCGCAAGACATGACAAATTGTTCCACGCTCGGTGACGAGACATTGCACCTTCCATCATGATTCCGGCCATCAACATGATTGCCGCAATGGCATCGCTCGCATCTGCGGCATCTCTGCAGCTGGCGGGTAATGGGTACATCAACTACACTACAGTGACAGGATACTTTCTACAAGACGAACCCAGCACGAATGCCTCGACCTTCAATTACGTGCGTGAAAAGGCCAGCTTCCAGCACAGTCTACTATCCTAACGCAACCCAGACTCTGAACAACTTTGGCCTGATAAATCGCACCTATGATTCGACTGAGGGTCTTACTGCGAATTTCACGCAGTGGCAGAAGTTCGAGCGAGAGGTCGACGCCTTGAATGCCGCAGCGGACGCGAACACAGTGTACAAGGTGATTTTCATGGGCCGCCATGGCGAGGGTTTCCATAATTTGGCAGAGGGCACGTTTGGTACGCCAGCGTGGAACTGCTACTGGGCACAACTCACAGGTAATGGCAGTCTGTACTGGTAAGAAGGAGCATATGTATTCAGTCCTGCTTTTCTGAGATACTTACTGATCTTCCACAGGGAGGATGCTCAGCTTACCGAAGCTGGTATCTTGCAGGCTCAGATCGCGAACAACTACTGGAAGGACAGAATTGCAGTCGAGAAGATTCCACTTCCTCGAAGCTACTACACGTCACCAATGAAGAGATGTCTAGCGACTGCGAACACAACCTTCGGATCCGGCCTGGACCTCCCTGTATACTATCCCTTCGAGCCTGTTGTGAAGGAGCTGCTTCGCGAAGGCATTTCTATACATACTTGCGACCACAGAGGCAACGCGACTTATATCACTGAGACATATCCGAACTTCGAGCTAGAGGAAGGCTTCAACGAGTACGACGAGCTCTGGAACGGCGTCACCGCGGAATCAGACAGCGCTCACGAGAAGCGTATGCTCACGCTGCTGGATGATGTCTTCACCAATGATGATCACACCTGGATCTCTTTCACATCCCACAGTGGCACTATTACGACGATCCTCGATGTCATTGGTCATCAGCGCTTCCGACTTGCGACCGGTGGTGTGATTCCCGTGCTTGTGAAGGCTCAATTCTTACCAGCATCGGAAGCACCCAGCACTACTGTTGGCGGGTTTACCACAAGTACATGGTGCCATTATGGCCCACCTGCGACAAGCATCGCATCTCTCGAACAAGGCTGCGTGTGCCAAAACACGACTGCAGCATTGCCGTCGCTGAACACGCAGGCTCCATTCTTACCAAATCAGACGGCGCCTATCAACGAGTATACCACTACGACCACTGTTGGAGCCTCCTATGGCAAGACATCTACTGCGAAACCGGCAGGATACTAAACAAAACAGGCGTTTATAAGATGACTACTGCTTGGAGGACCAACTCGAAGAGAGCCTAACTCAAGATATCTGAGCGATTCTCTGCTTTGCGACGACCCAATTCTTCAAGCCGAGCCATGTTACGCGTTGCATTGAGCGTGGTCATGTAATGCTGAACGCGCGCCTATCTGTTAGGCTTCAAGCTGGCCTTGTCTGTGCATGGGGAAGAATCAAGAACAAAGCATGAAGTAGAGCATCAGCAAGCAAGCGAAATCACTCAAGGCCCATAGGTCTTTATCTCTGAATACGATCTCCTGTCAGCGTGTAGCCCTATGCTGCTCCATCCAATCTTCTAGCAGCTTCCCGACTTGCTTGAACGAAACTGGCTTCACCATGTACAAATTCATGCCGCTTTCGAACGCCTCTTTCTGATCACTCCCTTTTGCATTTCCCGTGAGCGCAATGATGAGTGCAGGTTTCGAGGTACTTTCAGCTCCAGTTGACCGCCCTTGCTCGGCTTCGAACCGTCTAATCTGTCGGGCAGACTCGTTGCCGTCCATGACAGGCATCGAGAGGTCCATGAAAACGATATCGGGTAGGAAGCTCTTGTATATCTCAAAGGCTTGCAGTCCATTCTCCGCCGTTCTCGCCATTGTAGCATCGTAGCCAATCTTGGAGACATAGGTGTGTAGGAGCTGTAGGTTCAGTCGATTGTCGTCCACGAGGAGCAGTCGCGGCCTTCGAGTTTGTGTTGCTGCTTGCCTCTCTGACGAAGCTTCACTCCCGATGGCCCTAGCTTCTTGCACCGAGGTGGCACCCACTACTGGAGCTAGCTCAGAAGCAATGGCAGGTGACTTCTGCTCAGCGCTGGGAATCGCCACAGAATCAAGCCCTGGCTCTCCGGGTCGCTCGCCGCCGTTCTTGTCACGTCGCAGTGAGAAGGTACTTTCACGTCGAGGACTAGATTTTGGCGGAAAAGGGAATCCTCCATCTTCACTAGCACCAATCTCTTTGTAGTGCTCGCTCGGCGATTGTGGTGTGACGCGAGACAGGCGCTCTCGAGCCGTTGCGGGGTCCGCCTGTGGTATGCCACCGAATTTGCCTTGGACGCTCGAGCGGCGCGCAATATTTTGCGGAGACAAGGTCTGGGGAAAATGTCGAGTGTGCGAAGGCTGCAGCGGTGCGGGCGACACGGACTGAGTATTGAGCTTCTCCTTTGCGGCGGGAGACTTCATTAACTTGTCAAGGGCTCTTGAGATCGCACGAGCTAGCTTGTAGGGCCCAAACGGTTTGCAGATCACCTCTACATGTGTGCTTGTAACGTCCCTTGTCAAGATTGCTTGCCTGGAAGGGCTGGCGCACAAGATGATGGTGCTTTGTAACGACAGCGTATCGAGGTAATCTGGCCGACGTGCGAGCAGGGTAGGAAGATGAATCTCGTCGACGATAAGCAATTTCGCCGGACAATCGAAATTCCAAGTCTGCATAGTGGGGAATCCAAACCAGCCGGTAAGGTATTGGACCAGGGCAGAATGTACTTGCGCAGCGCCTTGCGTCTGGGCAAAACTATCATGTTCCAAAGCGGGCTCATAAATGGCGGCTTGAGGAGGGTCTCGCAAAGCCTGAAGAGCGAGCACGCTGGGATCCTTCTGCCGGAATTGAGGGCTTATGAGGGTGAACTCCGAAGTGCTTGGGGTTGTCGCCATTCTGGGTGCGCATGCTGGGCTGGAGCTAGCCGTTCTTGGTGCTTTCACTGGCAAAGTGACCAACACGATCGTGCCAACGTTCACAATCGATTTGATGTCGATCTGACCGGAGAGCGCGTTGACTATGGAACGGACGATACTGAGACCTAGCCCGGTGCCGGCTGCCTTCGCGTTTTCCTGGGAGAATGGCGTGAAGATTTTGCTCCGCAGATACTCTGGAGAGATGCCCTGTCCAGTGTCGGTGACTTTGATGCAGATAGCCATTGGTTTCTTGTCGAGAAATTTGACGGTTGTAGCCTGCTCATCAGCGACCTGCATTCTCTGTAAGGAGATCGTGATGACCCCGTGTTTCGTGTATTTGAGAGAATTGGAGAGCAGATTCATAACGATGCGTCTGATCGCGCCGGGTTGAGTCGAGAATGACCACTCAGCGGGTGGTGCTATGTCGAGGACAATCTCGACTTCAGGCCGAATGGCCTGCAGAATCCTTCGCAACGAAGGCTGGTCACCCAAAGACGGAAAGGCAGTGATCAGGCTGCTGACCGGATCATCGAAGCCGATGTTCGTTCGTACCCTCGCCAGATGGCCAACTGCTAGTCCATCGACGACCTCTTCCGTGATTCGCGCAACATCGCAGTATTGGTCTGTTGCAAAAAGCGGCTCGTTCCGTATATTGCTGGAAGTTGGCATGCTCTCGCTCCTGTCTAGGCAAGCCTGTGAGGAGCAGTCTGATTCTATCGAATCCTTCCTCTTCAGCGTGTTGACTTTGCTGTAGTCCAGGACCATTGCCACCGTATCCAGCAGTGTATGAGCACATGCGTCCATGGTGTTGATGCAAGAAGTCTGAAACTGATCGAGCTCTGTGTCCTGTAGGAATTCGACAGATGCCAAAATGCCGTGGAGGGGACTGCGAAGTTCACTAGCGAATCCCATATCAGCATATACCCAAAGATCAACGAAAACAACAGATAACGATGGTCAACATTCGTGCCGAAGTTGCAACGCACCATAAATGGCCGCGTCACAGCAGAATGCCCATGAATGCACTTACTGCGATACTGAGCCGATGAAGTCACTTTTCTGCTGATCCGCAAAGACTGTGGCCAGGCGTACAATCTCAGCTTTTATGGCGTTCGTGAAGGACAGCATTTGAAGGTAATCCATCTCGTAAGAGAAGACACGGTAGCGCGAGTTCGTGAATGCGAAACATGAAGTCCATCGATTGAGATTAGCGTGGAACATGGGCACAAAAATGACCTGCTTCGCTTCAGGGAATTGGCGTCGTAGAAGCACAAGCTCGAATAGCCTGCTTGATAGACGTCCACCGATCGGACGACCTTCGTAATCGAACAGTGATGTGCCGACCTGCTCTGGTATGTTGTATAGCTTGCCGCGCGGGTGCCTTTTGCACATTCTCTGGAGTTCAGGTGGCGTCAAGGTGATCGTGAAGCATGGATCTGCTCTACCAAAGTTCTGGGGTGGTCCATCGTTGTTACTTACGGAGGCTGCGGCCAGGACAACTCGTTCTTGCATATTGCCGCTGTATGCGGAAGCCGATCGATCTACCGAGGAAGTGCGGCTCCTCGATGTCTGAACAGGGCTTGCCATGGGACGCACGCCTGGTGATCTAATGTTGGTGTAGTCGGATGATACGCGTCGATTGATAGGATCCGTGCTGTCGGCAAGCGCATTTGTATCGAGTAAGACGACCCCACCGCAGCCAGAATCGGAGAGGTCCAGAGCTTGACGTAAAAGATAAGCTGCACGGTCAAACGTGCGCTGGTGGTCAGCTTCAGTCACATTCTTTTTGGCGTCTCCAGGCTTGGTGCTATCACGCCCACGCGGCATGCCCGGACTTGCCGGTGGAACATCCAGGAAAGCGTCCCGATCGCGTAGAGGCGTCGGTGATCGACTGCCTCGCGGATCTTCGATATCACGAGTTGCCTGATCGTCACATTGTTCAATATTGCTTGACGCTTCTAATCTCGTTCGCTCTCGATTGCCGTTGCATACTTCGTCCCTCCGGTCTTGTTCGCTTGAGCGACTGATGGCTTTGTCCCCGCCGCTGTCCGGGAAGTGGCTGAAGTCGTCTGTGGAGATTGTGGGAGTCTGTGCGGAGAAGTCGCTGTTGATGCGCAAACTGTCGGTTCGTCCAGTAGGAGATTCCAGGTGCTTTCGAGGATTCATGTGCCGCGACCTGAAGCGATGCTCTGGGCTGATGAAGTCTGCCATACACATGTTCATGTAGATGGCGCGCTGCTTCTCATGAGCCTCTCTGACAGTCTTCATGTGCACCATGATATTGTGGGCAATGGTGTACAGTACTACGAGACTGGTCAGCATCAATACGATTTGCGGTGAGCGAAGAGCATGCCTTTTAGTCGGGCTAAACTGGTCGAATCTCTGGGTCGATTGTCTAGGAGAAAGAGGGCGCCGATGTTGATGTCATTCTCAGTGCGCAAGGGAAGTCCGCAGTAGTAGCGAAAGTAAGGTGCGGAGGTGACGAACTGGTTGTCTTTCCAGCGCGGATCCTTGGTCAAGTCGAGAACCTCGTAATGCGCGGGTATATCTTGGCCGTCAACGCTGCGAGGCTCTTGCGCAAGAGTCCATTCCACTAAACCGCCCTTCTTCGGCATACTGATGCTGCCATACTACAGTCCATCGTCCACATGCTCGGAGCGGCTGGTGTCTTCAAGATCGAGTGACCTCGTCGCCTCTGCCACGAAGTAGCTCCTGTTCTTGTCCACCAGGCCGATCATGGCACGCTGTACATCGACCCTGAGGGCTGCAAGTTGAGCATGTGCTTGCAGTACGGTGTCGGGGTATGGAAGGAAGACGGCCTCATCCGCAGCCTCTTTAGGAGGGCGGTAGTAACTGGTTGAATGTCCACGTCAGCAGGAAAAGGGCAGACAGGGCTGGAGGCGCGCACTGAAAAAGCTCGCGGGCTCGCTCTTCGCCCACTTCCTCTGGCTCCACAAAATCGTCGCCAATGTCCTCGAATGGATGGCCGCTCATGGTGGCTGCCTGCCGTTGCTGGTCTCGGAGACTTGATGCAGTGGGCGACTATCACGGCGGAGGGCGAAGTTGACAGCAAAGGCTTCGCGGAGAGAACGCCAGGTAGTCATGCAGTAGAAATAGGTGTGTCCAGGAGAGGTCAAGTGCTCGGAGTGATGGGAGTTGGCTTGCACCGGCGTGAAGCTGTCTGCGCAGGCCACAGCTAGTCTGTAGCTCCTGCATCTGCTGTGAAGGCGGATGCGACTGCTGTACGGAGCACGCGCGACTTCTCTCCTTCTTGGGCCGAAACTCGATTGTCGGTTAGACAGCAGGCCCGAGGTGCGGCACTTGTCGACCGTGTCTGTCTGCTCAATGGCTCGGGAAGGATGTTGGTCCGTATTGTAAGATCTTGATCGAATGAATCAAGTAGCTCTGAAGTCTCTGGGCAATCAACCACACGCCCGCCCTCACCTCATCACTGGTGGTCGCGCCTCCTTGTTCCACTTGACTCTGCTGCACAGCCATTCCACTGCTTCTCTGACTCCTGTACCCGTCAGGGCACTCAATGGCAGTACCCTACTGTCTCTCACATTCTGTCCCTTCTCGCCTTCGAAGACCTTCTTGACTAGTCCCTCCTTGATGCGCACCACCTCCACGCAGTCCTCTCGATCCTGTTTATTTGCCAACACCAGAATTGGCACTCCCTCCGTCATGTCGTTCTGCAGCACGTCCTCCAACACCAATCTGCACTCGTCCAATCTTCCGGCATCCAGGCCCGCTGATGCCTCGGACAGACGCGTGATGTCGGCATCTCCAATATCGGTGCTGTCAATAACGAAGACAATGGCGTGGCAGCTGCTGTAATATGACTGCCAAAGCCCTCGCAGGGTATGCTGGCCGCCAACATCCCATATTTTCAAGTACATCTCGGGTAGGTCAACGAGGCTGACATTCTGGCCGACGGTGGGCACCGTGTTGAGCTTCGCGTCGTAGTCGGCATTGTAGATGCTCTTGATCTGCTCGAGCAACGTGGTCTTGCCGGCATTGTCGAGCCCGAGCAGGAGGATGGAGTATTCCTCCTTACTGGTCGCGTGCAAGTAGAGCGACTTGACGAGATGATACATCTCTGCTACCGGGGCGAGCGAAAGGGCGGGCTACTCTTGTGCATGCTGGACTACATTCCCGAGCGAGAAGGAGTGCACATTCGGCGCAGGCGTTTGCACGCGCATGATTCTCGCGCTGACACGCAGCAGCAGGCGTGCAGCATTGGCATTGGCCGGACACGCCAGCCAGCAGCCAGCTTTGGCAGTCACGGGGTCCCCACTTTGCCAAGGCGCGCACCTACGGGATTTGAGGCTGGTCCTTCTACTACTCACTGCTTCTGCCGCTGACCACTCCGTTCATCGTACAATCCGCAGCAAAGATGGCACCCGCAGCAACCGGAGGCAAGAAGCAAAAGAAGAAGTGGTCCAAGGGAAAGGGTGCGTGAAACTGTCCTCCCGCCCGCGACAGCGCCCCCGTCGACACCAACTGCGCCCGTCGAAGAATGCGCTTGCTAACTCGCCTCGCTGCACAGTCAAGGACAAGGCCAACCACGCCGTCATCTTCGACAAGAACACCACCGAGAAGCTCAACAAGGATGTTCAGTCGTACCGCCTCATCACCGTTGCCGTCCTCGTCGACAGATTAAAGATCAACGGATCGCTCGCCCGTAAGGCCCTGAAGGATCTGGAGGAGCGTGGTGTTATCAAGCAGGTTGTCGGTCACAGCGCGTGCAAGATCTACAGTGAGTAGCGTCCCCGGAAACGAGACGATGGCAGAGAGATGGACACCCGACTCCCGAGATCGCTCGAGCCCGGACGATCATGACACAGCAGAACGAAGACTGACGATACACAGCACGCGAGGTCGGCGGTGGCGAGTAAGCGATTCGGAGTTGCGATGCATGCACCATCAGTCATGATGTTCTCTACGGCGCACGGAAGGGTATTTCCATATCGAGGGCAGGCACAGGAAGCGGACATGCGAAATTCTTGATCGCATCAGCTTCGGCCCAAAGAGGCCGAGCACACAGAGTGCTTTATAGCTCCGCCTAGACAGCAGCAACGAAACGAAGAAACTTGATTGCCATGACACCATGAGTTCTCTGGATATTTTGGCAGAGTCCACTAATTTTGCTGGAAAAAGACGTCAGCAAGCACAATGGATTTTGTAACTGCGGGCCCAACCGATCAGCGGCAATCACTATTGACAACTCTGCACAGCGAATTGCCAGGCCTGGTCAATCGATTACAACGCTTCCTCCGGACTTCGACTACGACTCGTCTGCACTGAATCCTTCCCACTCATCCTCCTCGTCCTCAGCATGTTCAAGCTCCCGTGCTCCCGCCGCTGCTCGACCGAGACTGTCATGAGCCTGCTCCATGGAGCCCTCATCCCTCACAAAGCCCGCTACGAAGAAGCCCATCGTCCCATCTTCTCCGCCCTTGTCACATCGAATACACGCGTCTGCCAGTACTATCAGGTCCGTGGTCCCGTTCGAATCCACTACGCTCTGCATGGCGTCAGCCCTGCCCCTTTTGTGCCATCGCTGCATGCCGTCGACTTGCTCTTCCCGCTTCAACACACGCCAACCTCGTGCAACAGCGATGTTGGACTGAAGTGCCTTGAGCACGACTTGTTCGTTCTCCTCGTCGTGCAGAGAGCAAGTCGAGTACGTGATCCGTCTGGCGTTTGGAAAAGACATGGCATGTTTGACAATCTTGAGCTGGAAGCCAGAGAGATTTTCCAATCGCTTCTGGAGCTTCTCCTTGTCCTGCTCGGTTTCTGGCGTCTCCTCGAGGACCGCCACTTCCTCCTCATTTTCGCTTTTGATCTCCGCCTGTTTGTTCGCCCCCCTCTTCCGCTTCTTCCCTCTTGCTGCAGAATCTTCCGCAACAGCTGAGGGCAAGTGAAGGGTTACAGTGGCTTCGTCACGCCCGAAAATTCCGCTGCCAGAACAGCTTGGATCGAGTATTAGGCCTGTGACGTTTGCAAGCTGTTGCTGCTTGGGGTCAAGCCTTGTGAAGTCCTGCTTGGCCTTTACAGTGACAATCTTTTCAGCTCCTGCCATTTTCACCATCTTCTGTAAAGTCTTGCTGCGCCCTTCATCCCGCTCACATGCGAAGACATTGTGCTTCTCCCCAACTAGGGCAGCCACGTGCGTCGTCTTGTTGCCGGGAGCAGCACAGGCATCAATCACATCGCCTTCTTCTGAGTGCGGGCCGAGGAGGTACGCAGGAAAACATGATGCCTTTTCCTGCAGTATGAGCTTCCCAGCGCGGTATGCCTTGAAAGTGGTCGGTTCCTCCGGGCTCGCAATAGCCACAAGATCAGGAATATGTTGATCCACGTGAACGAGTCGACTTTCGGCAGGTGCGTGAATGATCTCCTTCAAAGTCTTGACTTCGGTGAAATTCGAGAAAGTGCCGTGTCTCAGCTCCTCGTCCAGGGTAGTCTTGAGTATATTGATGCGTACCCAACGTGGGTGTCGGGTCGCGGGTTGGCCATTTGCAGAGGGCTGGGCATCTCTAATCGCCTGCGCGTCGATATCCTTTCTCAGATCGTCCAGTGATCCGAAGCCACGTCTCAACCGTGCTTTGGTCAGTTCTGCCGAAAGTCGAACTTTGTGTCGACTTATGGATGTGTTCAAGCCATGAGAGGCAGGAAGCGCGATGCCCTTCTTCGCTAGAAAGAGGTCGTGAACGAGAAGCAGGGCCAGAGTTGGTGTCAGCTGCGACTGAATTAGTATGCAGTATTCAGAATAGCGCACGATAGACTTCACATACATTCTTCTCGACTCCGAGCACGCCGCTCTTCTCAAGCACTTCTGACAGGACTTGGCTCCATTTTGCAGTCTCTGTCGTCAGAGCAAAAAGCGCTTTGGGGTCGCTTTTCCATGTCTTCTTGCCGAAGACGAGCGACTTCAATGAGCCTCCTTGTTTCTGTGCGGCGGTCAGGATCTCTGCTGCTTCATGATACAGGGACATGTTGATGGAGAGATGCACTTTTTGGACAAAATTTGAAGACTAATTTTGGGTTGGCGTAACTACGAAAACTCGACGTTGTAAGTAGCGACCAACTCTATTAGTTTTTCCCAGGCAATCGCATCTCAAGCCATAACTCGCCGACCACTCTTCACAGTAGTATGCAAAGGCTGTCAAAGATGTGTGGTCAGGCACGTGTGGACAGTGTCACGGAAGCCATCAAGCTTGTGACCTCGCGTCGAGACCCGAGGATTTGTTCTCGTGCCGAGCTCGGCCCAATGTCGACATGACAGCAACGAGTGAGCAACACTTCATCATGCATGAACTTTTCTAGTGCACACGGCTTGGAATTCCAGACCGCTAATCAGGCTGATCGTGCTTTCACACCATCACTGGAACCAAGCCAGAGCAGACTTGATACGACAACGAGACCACTCCGCCACTAAATAGCCAGCCGATATGCACATTCTAGTGAGTGTCGACCGGCGGGACTATCACTTCAAAGATTATCGCTAAGGTCTATGGAATAGGTGACGAATGACGATGGGCCTCCATCCACAACTTCCTCCCCATACATCCTGCCATTCGTACAAGCTCTTGAATCAGCAGGTCACACCGTCTCCGTCATAGTACCCGACACACAGCGTTCCTGGATTGGCAAAGCACATATAGTCGGCCAAGATGTTCGTGCCACATACTACTGGCCTCCCTCACAAGTACCAGATGAACACCGCAACCCATCAACGTCTGGTGAGGACAATGGCTCCTCATCTCACGACGACGGGACATATCCCTGGGTACTAGTCAACAGCACTCCAGCAGGCTGTGCACAGCTAGGACTGAGCCAGTTCTTCAACGACAGAGGGCCTATCGATCTCGTTATTTCAGGCCCCAACTATGGCCGAAACACAACTGCCGTCTTTGCTCTTTCGTCTGGAACGCTTGGAGCAGCACTGGAAGCATCTGTGTGTGGTTACAAAGGTGGGTTTCTCAGCTTTGAGAATTGGAATTCGGATTGAATAAAAAGCTGATTTTTCCATCTTTTCAACAGCAATCGCACTATCATTCGCCTTCTTCGACCGCCTCAACGACCCTGTAATCGTCGCCGAATCCTGCAAACAAGGCGTGCGAGTAGCCGAATACCTCTACAAAAACGCCCCATGGGACCCAGCTCAGCTCTATTCCGTCAACGTGCCAGTCAAGAAAGGCTGTTCTGAAGCACCAGTCCGCTGGACAAAAATGCTCCAAAACCAATGGAAACGTGGCGCTTGTTTTCAGGAACTGAATTCTGACGCCACAGTAGACGATCCAGCTTCAGAAGAGGCTAAGCTGAGGCAGCAAGAATCTAGCGGGAACGACAACCGAGAGCCGAATGGAACTGCAACTCCACAGGATAAATGGAAGCACAGGCACTTCAAGTGGGCTCCCAGGTTCACTGATGTCTATGAAAGTGTTGAGAAGAACGGTCCGGGTTCCGATGGGTGGGCGGTGAAAGAAGGCGAGACATCGATTACTGCTTTGAAGGCGAATTTCATGCATGCTGAGGGCTTCGAAGGTGAAGTGAAGCTGTGATGCTGATCAGAAAGGCTGAAGTTTTTGCCTGCACTACATAAGTCATTCGACATGGGTATCATCCAAACATAGATCTCTTTCTGCTGACCAAGATGTTCTTACACATCTTGTTCCTGCACGTTTCCAAATCTTCTCGAGAGCATCTCATTGATCTCAGTGCTTGTTCTTGGACCATCAGCGATCATCGTAAGACCAGGCTCCGTTCCAGTTCGCTTCGGCTTGGCGAACCCTTCTTCCAGGCTGGTCTCCATCGTTCTCGGTCTGCTCAGCAACTGCTCAACCTCCATTTCCCTTCTTTCTTGTTCAGCAGCCGCCTCCTGAAGCTCCAAGCTAGTCTTCTTAGTCCCATGATTCCAGCCCTGCTGCAGCCATGGAGCACTAGCCTCTTCGAAACGCTTGCGGACTTCCAAGTCTTGTTCCAGCGTCTGGAAAGTCTCCACATCGGTAGGCATAAATGCGCATTTGACAGCTCGGATGCCGATCTCCATGATCGACACTGCGACAACGCTAATGATCAAGGCCATCCACCACATGCCCTCCCGCCCAAAGCGTGAGAATAGCCCATCTCGGACACTGTACTTCAAGCTAGGAGCGTACACCGCGCTCAGAATAATATTCCAGAGAAACCAGCCTCCGACGGACAGGAAGACGGCAAGGAATGCCATGATGGACTTATAACGCTGCTCGATGACCTGTAATTTGATAGCGATGATAATAACGCAAGCCGTGAAACTCATGGTGCCAAGACCAAAGACATCGTTCGACGACGAGAAAATCGCGTCTCCGTAAAGACCCCACACCGAGAAGAAGACGATCATGGCGCCGGCAACGGCAGTGAACATCCATCCCGTGAAGACCTTGATATTGAAACCTGCTGAGCGTTGTCCTTTCGTGTAGAGCTCCGGAACTGCGATGAGTGTGGATGCCCTCAGGTCTTGCTCGAATATGCCAAGAAAAATGATCGTCAGACTTGTGAAAAGCGTGTTGAACATGCTGAGGGACCACGATTCGTACAGACTCGTTCCGCTGTAGCCAGAGTATCTCTGGTATCTGTTGAAGGGAAGTTAGCGTGACTCTCGATCATGCCTATTGCACCAGATGGCGAGATAGTCGGTGCGTCGACCGCCCGAGAGCGTTCGTACAAGGCGCTAGGAGGCGTGCATCACTTACAAGGCTTGCGTCAAGTAGAAAAGCATCTCTTTGTAGAAAGTGCCTGCGTCGATGTTAGTGAACACGGTCATGTAAGTGAACAATTGATGCAAAGATGGAAGGCGAGTATCTTGACTCCCGCCGTAGCGTCACGTGCAACCTGTGCCTCGTCCAGCGAAGACGGCACGGCTGTGATCGCTTTGGCGGAAATCGACCGAAGTTTTGTTTGATCGAGAGAGCAACGCTGGCAGAACTCCTCCCCGCATATTGCGAAGAAAAGTCCGGAAATTGAAAATTCGAAAAGTTCGAGGTTGACTCACCAACAGTATACTTGCAAGTCCGGATGTAGTTCCACCTCCCATGAACGAGAAGCAATGGGACGAGGAAGCGGAACTGAGCAATACTGTAATCGGATGTGCGCGCTGCTTGTAAGCCTTCTTTTCCAGTGATGCCAATGCCTACCGAGGCCTCTCGGATCATGGCGATGTCGTTAGCACCGTCTCCAATTGCCAGTGTCACGGTCCCTTTGATACGCTGTTTGATGGCTTTAACAAGGCCAGCCTTCTGGCTCGGTGAAGCTCGGCAGCAGATGACTGAGTCGGTCAGGATGGCGAGATCCAAGAACAGAGCGTGGAGAGCATCATCTGATTGGATCTGGGACAATGTGCCGCCATCGATAACGACGACGGAGTGAGCGATATCGCCCCGATTGATATCAATGATGCCTGCAGCAATACTGTGCTCGACGTCGCCTGCTTCAGAGTCCAGAATTGTGACTGACGAGTAGTCCTTGATGAGTCTGCAGCTGTGGCCGATATTGATAGCAGTCTCACGCTTGTCACCTGTGAGCATCCACATCTTAATGTTCGCCCTTCGCAGTCGATCGATCGTTTCCGGCACGCCTTGCTGTAGCTTATCTTCAATGGCGGTCGCGCCACCCAGCTCGAAGCCACACTCGATCATCTCGCCTGCCTTTTCGATGAGCTCGGTACGGTTGACAAGCGATGTGGTCGCATCATGATAGACTTTCTTCCAAGAACGATATTCCTCTTCTGACAGAAACCGATGGCCATAGAGCAGGGTGCGCAGCCCTTCGGTGGCGAAGTCGTTGATGTGTTGCAGGCAGCGCTCGATTACCACAGCCTCATCTGTCGCTGCAGCTTCGTCGATGGCTGTGTAGTTCTCAATCTCAGATTGATGTGATCCACTTCGCTGTGCCATCGTAGGACGCGTTGTGGAACGGCGGAAGTGTGAGCTTGCTCTGGGTGAGTCAGTAACGTCATGCTCGCGTTCATTCAGCCACCCGTCGAGGTTATCACGAATAGGACTCAGATGCCCGATGCTTGCCCTTGCGACGCTCCGTCTCGCAAGTGAGTTGCTTGTGCGTGGGCTAGTGACGCTGCCAGCTCGCTCGGCGATGCTACTTTGCCTGCGCAGTGCTTCCTGAGCTTCCATGGATCTGCGCTGGACAGTGTGCTTCTCTATCTCTGCCAATTTCTGCTGAGCCAGGCTAGCCAAGCGCAACCTCTTCATGATGACAGAATCAGCTCCCTTGCAGAGAACCACGATCCTGCCATCTGGCATGCGGATAATGACAGAAGCCCGCTTTCTTGCGCTGCTAAATTCCACGATGTCCAGTACCTCGTACTTCTCGAATACTGGCTGGGCATCACGACCACCGGCTGATATCTTCAGAGTCAGGATAGCGGCATCACGATCGTAAGCGAGGTAACCTAGCTCTTGTGCAGCCCGTACCAGTGCCAGCTCATCTGGCGAGGATGCCTGAAAGGTGATGTTTTCATCGTCATCATTCCCTTCACCACGCTCTGGTAGACAGGTATGGCAAAGGGCGATGGAAAGAATGAAAAGCTTGGCTTTATTGGCAAACGCTGTGTTTGGCTGATGCTCAAGGTATCTGATGAGTTCCCGCGTATTGTGTTCCATGGAAGTCAGCGCCGGAACGGCTGACGAGCGCCATTGCGTTGCGGAAGAGCGGCTAGGTCGTGGTTGCGAGTCGCGACGCAGTGTACTGGGACGATTTGAGGCATGGCCAGGATCATTGAGTAGCTCTTCACTAGCTGTCGACTTGCGCGGCCTAGATCGAGACCTTGAAATCGACCTTGAAACCCTTATTGGCTTCTTTTCTTTTCCTTTTGTTCGTTTCTTGTGAAGCAGTGGCTGTGGCTGGCTTTCCGCGTTGTCGAGGTCCATGTCGTGAATGAAAGCATTGCCAGCTACGCTCATTTTGCGAAACTTCATCACATTCTCGGTCAAAGTGCCGGTTTTGTCGGAAAACACGTAACCGACCTGACCCAATTCCTCGTTTATGGTGCTGGTCCGGCTCTCAAACGGCATGTTGGTCGCTGGATCGTACATATCGACATCCGAGTTCATCAACACCATCTGTGATACTTTGATGATCTCCAAGCTGACATAAAGCGACAGCGGAATCAGCGTGTTGAACATGATGATGAAGCTTGTCAAGAGTGGACCGAAGCTGACGGGCGCCTCTTGAATATACCATGCCTTGCTCTCCGTATTGTTCTGCCAGACTTGATAGGCGATTGAGTTAAAGAGTGACAAGAAAAGCACGAACAGGACCATCTAGAAGTAATAGGTGTAAGCGATAGTCACTGTCTTAAATGTGGTGGCTTGGGTAGGGCTTCCACCTATGGCTGTACTTACACCGATGACGATCTTGTTGACTAGTGACTGCAAATTGGGCGCCTTCACACGACTGTCCTTTGTAGCATTCATCCTTATCTTGCATTCTTCCCCGGTGTACACCACGAGTCCGATCATCGAAGGAGTATTGCGTAAGATACTCCCACGATAAATGACCTCATTATTGGTTAGCGGCGAGGTCTTTCCACCAACTGTCAGCCGCCCTTCGAAAGCGTAGAGGTCCAGATTTGGATCTTCTGCGACAATTTCCATTTGGGATTGAGTCAATGACCCGGCATTCTTCGCAAGTTCGACGGTAGCTGGGTTGGGTTGCTTCGCCTTCAAATTGGTCTCTCCATCCAATGCCATTGTTTCCAAGTAGGCTGTGTTATTTGCGCCTTCGCTGGAGAGTACAACAAGATCAGCCGGTGCCGCATCATCACGTTCCAGCTTGATAATATCTCCCACTTGTACAGAGTGCCATTTGACTGTAGCCCAATGTGCAGGGCCCTCGATTGGTACCGAATGGTCTCCATCGTGCGTGGACTTCACATTCCCTGCGCCAACCGGCCTGTATACATGCAACACTTTCGCTTCAGAATTGTTCTCAGCTTTGTCAAGTCGATGTCGGCGTAGGTCCTCATAGCCCTCTTTGGCCATACTGAGGGAGACGAAAAACAGGAGAGGCGCGATGGTGGTGTACGTTCCAGTAGTCGATAATCCTGGAATCATTTGCAGTATCGAGACACCCAAGAAGTAGGCATTGGCAAGCTTTGAGAACTGTGCAAACAGCTGTCGCGGAAGGAAATTCCAGGCATTGTATTTGGACGAGCGAATGATGTTGCCCACATACGGCTTGCCAGTACGCTCGTCTGTGAGGGCTGTCTTCCGTGATGGTTCTACTGGTATATGTCGTCCGTCCTTTGTAGGCGGTATGTCTTGAATGCGTAGAATGAACTTGTAGGTTCGGGTATATGCTGACTTCATCTTCTCGACAGGTAAATGCCTCTTGGCTTGAGTCGCTACCCACTGCTGATAGTTCGGAAGCGCCGATGCACCTCGCAGCTGCCGCGTTAGCTTGAGTGGATGCGAATCCCAAGTCTCATGAACAGGCGTTACTGTAATTGATGTTCTCTGGTCCTTCTTGAAGGGCGGCGGACGTGGACCAACACTTCCCGATTCGCTCGATGATCCAACTTCCTGGAGCTCTATGGCAGTGGGGGATCTTGTATTCATGTTTCTCATGAATAGCGAAGACCGCAGCGACATGCCTCGTGTCCGACTTCTCGGAGAGAGAATGGGCGATTCAGCACTCTCTGCTCCGTTGTTCGGCCCATGCCCTGAAGCCTGAGCCAGTCCAGTGTTGACGGACAACTGCGGATTCTTTGAATGTTCAGCGCCATCATCGTTGCGGTCCATCTCATCACTCTTTCGCTTCTTGCTCTTGCGGTGGTTGTCTGCATCCATTGAGAACCGTACTCTATGCTCGTTTGCTGGCGAGTTTGGCGCGTTTGCTGCTCCCTGTTCGGTATGGTGCGCCGCAATGCCATCCCTATGCTCGTCTCGCTCGCTGTCGTCGGCTTGTGTTGAGCGCCTGCGCCGAACGCCTTCATCGTGGTCTGCTTGTTTCGGCATGTTTGGAGCTGTTACAGGATACTATTGCTTGGTATGCTCTCGTCCTCGCGGTCGTGCATCTGGGCGATTGTCCAGACCATGTCTGATCTGTAAGGATGCAATGCGACTCTAAGCGCGCAAGTGTGCCATTGTTGAGACATGCGACAGAGGCACAGCATAGCACAGCCTTGTGGTCGGCGGCCACTGCAGCAACGCGCGTTTAAAGACCTGCCGAGACCGCGACGTCAAGTCAAGTTTAAGCTCGGCACCCCTGCAGGTCTTTCCAGACCCACGTTTCTGCTTCTCTCGCGCTCGATCAAAGACTCAACCATATTGAAATCGTCCATCTCTTTTGCTTAGATGCATCTGTTACGCAGATTGTCATCCCAGGCGAGCGTGCAGAGTACCAGGCCTTCATTGCCAACTCGAATTGTCCCGGATCAGAGGCCTAAAATAATCATCAGCTTAGCAAGGCTTGATACGAGTCCGGCGAAAACCGCTGGCTGAGCTGAGAAGATCCATCGACGGCATCACAGAGTCCAGCGATCTTGTGTCCATGCCAGACTGCCGAAATGCCAGGGCCTGGGGTGCACATGCGCTTTGAATGATTGATGAGCTTGGATGTGTTTTCACAGCAGCAGAAAGTGGCAGTCTCACAGCTGGCATTTTGGAGTCTCCTGCAGGCATCGGAGTTCCGTCCCGGTGCCCACTGTTGGAATATGCACGATAACGGTCTGGCATTGCTCGGTTCCTCCTACGCGTTGTGGTGAAGCATCTAGCATCAATAGCACGACATCATATACACACCATGACACGCAAAGTTCTTCATGCGAACAAAGGTTTGGCTGAGTGAATTCATGGCGATAGCTGACGAGACTAGGAACGATGTAAAAGTTCACGGCCCCGATATCTGTCAAGATTGGACTACGTCGCGCAAACGAATGCTCTTCATGGTGTTCAATCGTTCAGTGCCATGCTTCTGAATCGATACTGTGGACTATGGCTTGCTGGGTTCATGACAGCAGGGAGCCCACCGCATGCACGAGCAGTCGCAGCACTGTGCGAGTAGCGCATCTCCCACTGCCCGCGCTTACTGAGAAGAACCTCCGGAGATCGTGATGACCTGTCCGTTCACCCAGCCACCATCCTCAGAGGCCAGGAAAGCAACAGTCCTTGCAACATCCTCTGGAGTAGCGCATCGCTTCAGAGGGCAATGCTCAGCCATGAGGCCCTCAATCTTCTCAGCAGGCCAGTCTGGCGAACCGCCTGGAATGTCTAAAGCACAAAAAAGTCAGCGAGTATCAACAAGTATCCACAGAACAACAACTTACAATGCCACGCATTCTGCGTGAACATATCCGACTTGATTCCACCAGGAGCCACACCATTGACCGTAATCCCCCGAGCACCAAAATCAGTAGCAAAAGCCTTGATCATACCAATAACCGCCATCTTGGAAGCATTGTAAAGCACATGGTCCTTAACACCCAACAACCCAGCCGCAATCGAGCTCATCAAAATCAAGCGTCCATTATCCTCAAGATGCTTCCACGCAGCCTGACCAACGAAAAACTGTGCGCGAGCATTAAGGTTGAAAACATGATCATACTTCTCCTCCGTAATCTCTTCCGTCTTATCCCAAGACTCTGTGCCGCTGTTGCTCATCACAATATCGATCTTGCCAAAGTGCTCCTTTGTTTTCTGGAAGAGGAGCTCGATTTCGGATTTCTTGCTGACGTCGGCTTGGATGGCGATGGCTTTGGCGCCGCTGCCGCATTCTTCGATGATCTTCACGACTTCGTCGGCGGAGGATTTGCTGTTGGCGTAGTTGACTACAACGCTTGCTCCGCGCTTGCCGAGCTCGATGGCACAGCCTCGACCGATACCGCGGCCGGCACCTGTGATGAGGGCGACTTTGTTGTGCAGCGAGGCAGAGAGCACAAGAACGGGTTGTTGTTCCGATGCCATTGTGTGAGATGTAGTGATTTTTGTTAGATTGTTGTGAGTTTGTTGTTGTAGACTGTATGAACGTGAGTAGAGAAGCAGGTAGGAGAAGGAACACAGATCACAGTTGGAAAAAGTAGTCGCTGTTTTTGTTTACCGGCCAACATACGAGCTCATATCAACGATCATCAGACTACTTGAAACTCGTCCGGCACCGATAAACGTGTCCGGAGCATTGGTGGGGATCCGCATGGAAAAACGTTGTCGTTGTCGCCGTTGGCCTGCAGGCTGGCAACGAAGATGCACATTGGTACATCCACAACGGCCATGCAGTCGGAACCGGTCCAGCATGGATGCAGGAACTGGATGAGATCCCGTTGTAAATTCGCGCTGAAGAAGATCCGAAAGCGCGAGCTGTTGTGGGGCGGCAGGGATGGCGACGGCTTTCCCTCTGAACAGCTAAAATTGGGCGAACCATTGGGGTTCCGACGGGCGACGAAAGGGTCCATCGAGCCTGATGTCAGTTTGCAGAATGGTCAAAACAGAAACATGAATGTGATACAATCTTCTGTTGTGAAGCTTTCGATACCATGCTGACCAACCCCGCTGCTAACGGAGGGTAAAATGGTGCTGTCTCGCGTCTATGTTTGACCCTCTTTGGTCATAACGGCCCATACTTTTTGGGGCCTTCCACTGTATTACCGCCCTCGAAAACTCCAACGAGCTGAGTCTGATTCTGTGCCAAATCATGGCCGACGCCGAAGCAAAAGAGAAGCCCAAAGAAACAACATACCACAATGAAAGCCTCCAGCAGGAACCCAGACAACTCGAATTAATCTTCATTTCGTCGTCCATATCGTCTCAGTCGTGGAATGCCAAAACCACCCAATGCGCCGTAAGAACCAATGCCCTGGCTCCTCAATGTCTGGTTGCATGAGGTTTGAAGCAGGTACAAGATTCCTGTCTTTGAAAGAGGGTGAAGTCTCAAATCAAAAGAGCTGTTTCGCGATCAGCTGTTGATCGTGTGCCATGTAGCAATGGCCACTCACTGAAAGAGCAACGTGCTCGGTGATGATACGAAAGACGCTATTGTTGATGCCAGCCTGTGCTAGGGTCCTGTGCGCCCAAGGTGGCAAAGCTGTTTGGTTTGAGGAATGGCAGCGTGAAGCCTTTGATGATTTCGCCGCGGACAAAGGTGGATGCACGCTTGTAGCGCTTATCGGTGTACTTGTCGAACACGGCACTGTGGTGCTTTTGAGCATCTTGGCAGCACTCGAGCATGGCCCACAGCAGGCGATGAAGCTGACGGAAGGTGTAGTTGGAGTAGTAGACATGGGACTTGCTCCAGTCACCCTTCCGTAGCATGAGCCGAGCCATACAGTGTGCACCAGCGGCGAGGAAGCTGGGTTTGCAGCCGACAAATCGCTCGTCCATGATTGTAACCTCGAGGAAATACTTGGCTAGCGTTCTGGTCTCCAAATCGTAGTCGTCAGCTTTGCTGATTCGACGCAAGAAGCTCATCGGTCCTGGCCATCCCAATTCGAATTGGAGCATGCTGAGCATGAAGCGCTCGGCCTTGAGCAGTTCGTCAGCCGTATAGCCATTGTCCACCATGTAAATAATCTCCGAGATAGTAGGGCAGTTAACCTCTTCGTACTTGGCAGCAACAAAGATGGCGGTGGCGCCCACCAACTGCAACTTGCCAAGGGAGACGACCTTGCAAGAGAGGAAGCGGTCGATGTAGTTGATCGTGAGGAACAAGGTCTCGGGCAGCAGGTTGAATCGTTGATGGACTTGGACGACCCAATCGACAAGGACGGCGCGCATGCTCCACTGGATCTCTGCTTGAAGCTCCATGTAGAACGGGTTTGGAGACATGCGGGTCTCCATCTCACGCATGTATTCGAAAATCTCGTCGCCATATTCTGCGACCATTGAGGTGTCCCATTGCTCATCTTCGATGTCTTCTTGAGTGCGAGTAGCCTCGACGTGGTCCTTGGCTTCGACGATCTCCACCAGCGCCTTCTTAGTGTGTTGCGGGTTGAAGATGGTGGTCAGATCTTGAGTTGGGTCCGAGATGCCAAACGATCGGGCAGTCATGTAGTCTTGGTCGTCGTCATCGTACTCATCGTACTGGTCGAGGACAGGAGTGGAGCTGGCGTAGACTGCAGAGGCACCCCCTGGAACGGATTGTGATTCTTGTGTCTGCAGATAGAGCTGCGGCTGCTGAGGAGCGACAACGGGCACGATGGGCTGCGATTGATGGCGTGATACGTTTGCTGAATCGTCGCGAAGGGGCACTGTCTCTGTTGTACGAAGCTCCTGTTGCTGGACGGCATATGACCCGGCTGACACGGAAGGAACTTGTGCTGCAGCATTGGGTATCCGTGATTCTAACTCAGGCTGTTTTGACGGCACCGCGACGTCTTTGAGGACCTTTGTGCTCTTCTTCGGAGCGACCTTCTTCACCGGTGGTTCTGATGCATCTGAGGACTTTGATGTGGCCGCAATAGCAGCTGCCACGTGCATGTTGCTGCTCTTTTGCCCAAGCGGACGCACCGCCGGACGCTGCATCGGCGCGGCGACAGTCTGCTCTTGCACGTACTTGAGCTTTCCCGGTGATGTCTTTCCAATCTCAGAGTCGTCTTTGTGCGCTAGCTTCGAGTTGGGGTTCGTCTCGCCGAGAATCTGCTTCTTGAGGTTGATGGTGGAAGCGGATTTGGTGCGCTGATGTAGTAGTGTCTTGCCTGCCAGGCCGGCGATCTGTGGCAATGGCATGTTCTCGTCGTGGATGCGCACTGCGCGTGCAACGGGTCGCTGTGGCTGTGATCATATTGTCAGCGGTTGCGATATCATTTGACTGTAGAAGACGGCTCGAATCGAGTCACGAGTGAGTCGTAAGGGACAGTGAGGAAGCGCTCGCATAGTGAGTGGTTCGAAGGCGTAATGAGCGGAGAGTACATGACGAGATGCGCGAGCCCGCGAGCTTGTCGGCTCGTGGCATGCGCTTGTGAATGGTATGGATGTTGTATGGACGTGCCAGTGAGGGAATTGCTGTTGCCAACGCACTCTCAGATTTTGCTTACCTTTGCGTCCATGATTGAATGTCGTGCTGCGCTGAGTCACCGGTGTGCGGTGCTCGTGTTGGTGAGTGCGGCGCTGCTGGGAAGATTGTTGATGCTCAATGCGAGGCTAAACAGCGCGACTTCGATGCGGCTAGCAGCAGCAGCAGCACATCTGCAGGCGTCGACGCGCTCGAGGTCGTCGCCGGTGTCGTCGCGAGGCTGTCGGCGCGCTGGGCGGTAGTGCTGCTCGATGTCGCTGCGAGTTAGTATGCGTGGTAGTTCGCACGTCCTCCTGCCGCGCGAAGTTATCGAAGCTCGCAGCAGCAGCTAGGCCAAGCACAGATCGCCGGGCCAAACCAAACAAACAGAGACACAGCTGTGGGAAGGCGCGTGGACCCTCCCGCACGGCAACAGCCGAAAACGTCACATCTGCATGTATCTGCGCGTCCTCCAGCAACACCAATCGCGCGACATCCCACCACAACACTCACTGCATCGTCGCCTTCCCGCCTCGCATACTCTGCAAATGGTCGCGATAGACTCCTACATGCGCTTTGTGTTCCAATGTCAGCTGCCAAATTCCCACTTGACCAGCTGTAGCGCACGTACGGCTGATTTGCATGCCGGGCATTTTCGAGGAGCGCGTAGAACCGACAAAAACACGTCCGGTCACGAGTCCACGTGATATAAACTTGAACACCGTTACTGAGAGGGATTTGAGCATTGCTCCACGATGAACAGATTCTTTGACATTGCAGACGATCTACATTGTCAACGAAGGACTAAAAGAGGGCTTCAATGCATCCGTCGCCATTTTAAAATCCCATCATTCTCATTCTCATCCGAGTTCCACGCCTGGACAAACCTCTATGCATTCATCGCAAACGCTCCTTTTTTGCAAAAGCCTTTCGAACGCAGAAAATTGAACGCCGTCTTGCTCTTTTTTCCAGTATTGAACTTCTTACTCTTCCCCTTTCTTGTAAATCGACCAGCAGGAACGCAGCAAGTGGCAGTCAACATAGAAAAGCCATACCATCGTATCATTAGCCGATCACTTATATACTAACGCCGTCCGTCCGTCCGAGAGGTGCGGCCGTGACGTTTCATTTCGTTCTTTGATCGTTGTCACAGCCGTTTAATGTCGTTTCGCGAATCTCTTGGTAAACCGGTGTGGTTCGCACGCTCAGGTGCTACCGCTTGCGCTTCTTGTCTGCACTTGGGATCGCAGGTGCTAAGAAGGAGCCCTTCGCGCCATGCATTTGGGGAGGAGGAGGTGGCGACATGTCATCAATGGCACTGTCGCCACCCTTCTTGATTGTGACACCCATGTGTCGTCCATATCTGCCTTTCCGGCCGTTACCCTCATCTTCGCTGACGCAGCCTTCGACGCCGATTCCAGCGTCCTTGCAACGACCACATGGACGTTGGCGGTCGCAACCTTTCTTGCTCTTGCGACATCTCTGGCATCGAGGCTTGGAAGACAAATCTTCCTCATCGGCGCCGAGTTGATGCTGAAAGTTGATCGTAGACGCAATGGATGCCTTCCTTGATTGCGATGGCAATGACGCCGGCGACATTGGAATTTTGGGATTGGCAACAGCAGCCTTCTTCGTCTTCGAGATGGAGAGCTGACGAGGTTTGCTTACTTTCCCCATTGACATTGCGGCCTCTTTCCGAGACTTGATCTTTGCCTTGAGTGGTCTGCGTTGGCCGTCAACGTCCATTCCGTCACTGCCAAAGTTGCCGTCGCGTTGGTCGTCGTAATCTTCGCCACTGGTTCCATCACTTGGCAACTCATTGTCGGTCCGCTGCTTCTTCCGGATAGGGCCTTCATCGTACCTTGGGAATGCTGGCACAGCCGGCACTCGCCCCTCTGGCTCAATCATTTCGTCGTCTTCACTTTCCTCATCCGAAGACGCTGCATCAGCCTTGCCGCTGAGGGCGTCGTCCATGGTCGAAGTTGAGGTCCGTCCATGCGAGAAGGCGCTTGGGTCGCCGAGCCTCATCAATTGTAGCGCAACATCTTCATCAGATATGACGCTGCCGATCGTTGGGTCTGGTGTTGGCAGTACGCCATTCGAGTTGCGGTGCGATGAGTGACTAGCGCCACTGACCCTACCACCACGTAACTGTCTGCTTGGTTGTTGTGGTACAGACTGATATGGGTTGGCAGGGAATGGTGGTTGCATGCTCCCAATGCCATTGCTGTAGCTTTGAGGCGACGGGAGGGGCTGCTGGTACGAAAAAGTGTGCTGGTTTGAATGAGTGTACGGCGAAGCCATGTTGGCTCCTGCGCGGCGCTGAGGAGAGATTGATGATATCGATGCACTCATTGGTACCTGTGGGGGAACGAACAGAGGCAGTTCCTTGGCAGGTTAGCATTGCGACTGCACCAAGTGTGAGCGTTGGCCTTACCGAGCTCTCGAACGCTCGCTTCCTACGACCTCCCTCGACAATGTTGTCGATAGTAATATCAGCCTTGATCTCCTCTGCTTTCGAGCGTCTAGAGCTGGCGACTGAGCCATTGTCGTTATCGGCGCTGCTATATCCATCGTTGTCCCCCGAAAGGCCATTGTCTCTACTTTTCGTCCTGTGGATCTTGGCCTTGCCGTTGGGGGCAGCAGAGGCACTGCGACGCCCAAGTTCGGAGTGTGGAGACACGCTACGAACTCCAGCAGACCGAGCTGCAGACCGCGAAGGTGACTGAGCATTGCTCAGCGTCGGCGGGCGCATCTCGAAAGGCGCGCCGAGCGTCAGCTTTTTTGGCGAGGCCGAGTCTCGTGCATGCTCGCTCGTAGGCGCCGGGGGCGGCGCAACTGTCCGAACATAGACTGTCATATCGTTGTCGAAGTTGTCTGCGGCTGCGATGATGCTGATGCCATCTTCGTTCTCGAAGCTGACGCCATACTCATACAGCCCGTAGAAGTTCTTGACAGTAGTGATGATCGACTCTGTGGTATCATGCGGTGATATCATGACCCGCATCGGTAGTCGCGCTTGTATGCGAGGATCTTTCTGGTCGATGAGTCTGAACAGAACATGTTTCTGATCTCTCTTGGCGGGCGAACCTCGAGCATGGCGAGATGAGGTGGCAGCGCCATGCTGGCCTCGAAGAGAGCGATGCATACCGGCAGCGTTGTTCTTTGTATCGGCATGGGTTTCTGAGCCTGATGTGCCATTGCAGACAGAATTATGCTGGTGGATCTGCCTCTTCATATCGACTGCGCCAGCGCTGTTGGGACTTCCACTGGACAGCATGCTTCCAAGGTCCATGACCCGAATGTACGACTCTTTTGGCACTCGTGAAGGATAGTGCAATGTATGTGGGTCGAAACAGGAACGATTTGGGGTGATGATGTTGGGTCGCGCCACCCTCGCTGTCGCTGGCGCAAAGGCAGGACGAAGTGTTCGGGGCGGCGGCGCAGAAGAGCCGGACAAGCGATGCTGCGAGGATGACCGTCAGTTATTGCGCTCTCATCATATCTTCAGGCCTTGCACAGGCGAGGAGAGTGCTCTAGAAGGTCATGCGGTGGTTGCAGAAAGGGATGGTGCGGATGACCAGGCGATCGCGAGCGGCAGCGGTGAGGTTGTGATATTGCGGCCTTGGGCAATGGGAGGAGATTAGTTTGGGACTCACCTGGGTTCTTGATGGGCAGGGCAAGTCAGTTGATGGCCGTTTGATGGTTTTCTTCAGCTCGTTGCGCCGACCTCGTCGTCGCCCGCGGCTGGTGGTCCACGCAGGTGATGATGCGGGAGGAGGATGTGGGAGAGGACTACCTCAGCGTATGCAGTGTACACAAGCAAGCGCACAAGATAGGACAGTCACTGCCGACACCGATAACCGACCCGGGTCGAGTTAAAGATGTCAACGTGGTGTGGGAGGAAAGAGAGAAGGCAGAGTGGCAGACAGAGTGTGCCTCCACTTTGACCAGGACCCGCGCTCGGGCATAGCATACCTTCGATTTGCGATCACGACACGGCACAATTTAGCACCCGCAGGACAGACAGTGAGCAGCAACTGAGGAGGGCTTTATGTCCACATTGAATTTGCGTCGCTCTATCAGACTATGTATGTGTGTGCCTCCCAAGAGCCCTGAGCTGGTGTCTGCCACATTCGCAAAAGAGCAGAGTGAAGCGCATGGGACGGCTGCGGCCAGATGCCAGGCGTTTCGCGCCGACACCTGGTGATGCTAAGAGCGCTCCGCCCAGTCGAAATGTCACCCGCTCAAGCGCACAGCGCAACAGCAGCGCCAACTCAGAGCGAGACAGTTAGCTGCATAACCAAGCCAGCAGATGCGCCAGACTGCGAGGACGCACGTTCAGCGCCGATGGTGGTCGTCCTTCGCGCTCCAATCACAGCTCCCCAACGTCGCAGATCTGCCGGTATGCTGCCCACAGTGTAGCGCCATTCCGCCGGTCCCAGACAGCCAATGTGCGAGTGGCAGCGGTGCTGATGCTGACACGGCGTGTTTCCCGTTCACGAGCGACCTTGGTGAAGGACAATGATGTCGCATACCTCCGCAGGAGCGTGAGCAACGAGCTTATTTTGTCCAGGACGCCGACCACACCCGTGGCGAGCACTGGCGCACGTCCGTGCCACTTTTCACTGCTCACGGCAGTGAGCCGAAGTCACCGTGCAATGCGCTTCCGTACGTGGCTCCTGGACCAGGGTGACCACGGCCAGGATGGCAGATGCAAAGAGCGTGAGGGTGAAGGAAAGCGTCGCGATAGTGTTGCTGCACATTGGTCGCACAAGAAGACTAATCGTGCAGGTTGCAGTCATCCTGGCGCGCATGAGCACTCATGGCGCAAAAGCAGCTAAAAGTCAGTGTGAGGCATTGATTGTGCGGCATATTGCGCTCCCATGCGCAAGCCGACGACGGCGCGAGAGTGAGCTGTCATCGGTCTGCTTTGGCGTGCAGTTCTCGGTACGTCCTACTGATGAGGGGTCCTGGCCTCGCCAATTCTCTCGATTTGCGGTGTCAGTTTGTGCCGCTCGCCGAAAGTTGTGGAGTTTGAAACTGTGCAGGCCTGCTCGCAGCGACGGGCTCTCGATGCACGAGGCCGCCGGCAGACCGACAGCGCATCGAGCCCGAAGTGCGCGCACACCGCTAGGTTGCCAGAGGAACAGCGCAGGGAGATATATAGTCGAGGCAGGACATGCGCAAGTGAAGGAAGTGTCCGCCTCTCGGGAAGAACATTCGCGTCTCGGCCAGATCTTTGCGGCACAATTTTGCTGCGTTTTAGACCTATCAGTGGGACTGCTGTTTATTGTTGGTCTTTAACAGATGCTTCTGCGATATACAGTCGTGTCTCAGCAATGGACATACAGTATCTGTGCCACAATAATTTCACTATGAGAGTACCCAACGAAGCCAACAATGATGGGGAATAGGATATGAAATATCATCAAGTGCTCCTTTTTTTTTGCATGCCGAAATGGCAATCGATTGCATTATGAAGCAACCGCAACGCGAGAATCGACGATTACATTTAATGTAGTCGATCACTCCTGCAGTGGAAGTGCCGTTATCCAAGGGCTGGCAAGTGTTGTGTATCAGAACAAAAGTGAAGCCATGCTGCACAGGTTAAACGTTTTTACATTGATTCTAGCGGTATTTACAAGTCCAACGACTTCGCGTCTTCCAGCTCACCTACAACAGCAGAATACTTTGGCATGGAAGTCTCAATGAGCTTACGATCGTGGCCGTTCGCAATAAGCGCCCGCCGCATCCGTCGTCGCTTCTCCATATGCCGTTTGATCTCTTCCGACTCTTCGTGATCGATCATCCATGTGTCACCGACGTATCTTCTGCTCTGCGACTTCAGCTGCGTCATTACCTCGAGGATGTTCGCGTATGCTGCTGCACCGTTATGTCCTTCCTCGTCGTCCCTCAATTCGATCTCGACGAATCCAGTTGCGGTTTCGTAACGTGGTAAGTCGCTCGCGAATCTGCGCCACTCCCACAGAACGCGTGGGATTTCGAGCAACTGTTCTGCTTTGGCCGCAGACATCGACGACTTTCGTTGATTGACCGAGATTAGAAACATGCGGATCCAGTTCCTTAGCCAGAAGTCGTTGCGTCGCTGGATCAATCGTGCATACTCCCATTCTCGCCTGACCTGCTCCACGACTTCTTCTGCTTGTTGCTCCTGCAACGCGGCGATCAAGCGATCGCGAGCGGTTCTGGCTACCTCCTCGTCCTCTTGCGCAAGCGGCAGTGCTTCATTCATTCTGTCAATCATTTGAAACGTCATGTTGCCGTCCGCCAGGTTGGAGATTAGCAGATTGTACATGACTAAGCTTGGCGTGATCGAGTATGGAGGCCCCTTCATGGTGTTCCACAGACTGATGACGCTGGCCCATGGAAGTCTACCAGGACTATCCTTATCAGTGAGCACGTAGGTCCATTCAAGAAGCGCGTCCCACGTTTCACGCGTGATGTCAAGCCTGTAATGCCGGGCTACGAAGTCCACTACACGCAACGCTGTCGGCAAGTCGTTGTTCACACCAAAGGCGTGTGCCAGAGTTGCGAGCAAGCCCTCGTTCGGTTGCATCGACGGATTGTCTGAGAAATCGGTGGGTGCAATAGACACCTCATCTCTGGATTCCATAATGGCTGGCACATCAATTCCCCAAACGCGATGCAACATCGCGTTGACTGTTTTGATGTCGCCTTCTCGCGCGCAAGCTGTAATCAGGATCCGGAAGCTCTCCACGTCTGCAACAGCACCAAAGGCCAGCATCTCACTAAAGGTCTTCATCGTCTTTTCTTTGATGCCGCTTTTTCCAATGCGATAGTTGCCGAAACGGAAAGTATCGCGAGTTTTCGGCGCTGCCCTCTTCTTCATAGTGTAAGGAACGACGCGCGCCTTTCGTCTCATACCAGCGTTATGCCAACCATTCCATACCATGGACGCCATATAGTTATTAAAGCACTGTGTATCTGGATGAAGGCCGTCCTTGACCATGCTTTGCCAGACCGTGTTCGCCGATCTAAAACTCCTCAATGTGCGTGCACTGCGCAGCAGTGTCGTGTAGTCCTCGAGCCTCGGGGTTTGGCCTGCGACGCGCCTAATCTTGAGTGTCCGCAGTATCACTCTATTGTAGTCGAATGCAATTTCTCGCATTTTGGCAACGCGCATGTGTTCTGCCATGGCATTGCTGATGTCCATATGCGCATCCGCCAAACGCTCCAGGAAATCTCCGGGCTGCACAAGATTGATGATGGCGCTGAACATCGGTGCAGGAATCGCAGAGAGGAATCCAAAATCGTGCTGCTGAGCTGCTGAGAACAAGCATCGGATGGTAAGGTCCACAGATCTTCTGCTCAAGGCCAATGGCAGCTCTGTTTTGTAGTCTACAGACAATAGCGAGTCCTTCGGTATCGATGTCTCCGGGGTTTCGTCGTCGATGTCCGGCGTGTCTAGAGAATGCTCTGAAGGATCTTGTTCAAACTGCTCCCACAGGACATCAGCCCTGCTTGCTGCTTCCGACCCATGCTGTGTCTCCTGGGCCCCAACATTGCTGGCCTCGTTTCGGTCGAAGAAGTCAGCCTCGACGCCCGATGCTCGTGCAGCCCGTTCGTCCTGATTTCGCTCGCCAGACCGCAGTTCACCGGACCCAACTCTTCTCACGCTGATTGTGCGTTCCCTCTGCAGGCCCCATGGTCCACGAGACTCCTCTTGTGCAGCTTGCTCTACTGATGCATTCGACCCCGGCCATCTCAACGGTTCGTCGCTGTAGCCGCGCCGCTGCTTATGAGCGCGACACTCCGCGCACACCCAATGAGCCCTCTTCGTGCTCCCAGAAGTCCACAAGGTTTGGATCGTTCGTCGACTTTCAAGCTGTCCCAGTCGGACCAGCAATGGATTCATAGGCGTTTCGTTGGCATGGCCTAGCGGTCGACTACCCCACGGGCGAGGCACGGTACATTGACGGGATGAGGTGGTGGTGAGCACAGTCCGCGGGAGTGTCCCATACAGCAGGGACGCGACAAACGCGACTCGAAAATTCCACTTCGCGACGTGCACCTGACTCGCGCAGCCGACTTCACTTCACACGACACCAGTCAAAACCACCGCCGTCATTGGCATCACCCCCGCACGAAACGACACGACGCACTTCTTGCACAATGGCCGAATCGCCCGATACCGGCGCCAATCCCGTCAGCGAACCACTCGATTTGGTGCGCTTGTCGCTCAATGAGACCGTTTTTGTGAAGCTGCGAGGAGACCGCGAGCTGGCGGGGAGGTTGCATGTGAGCGAGATCGGGACTCAATACGGGATTGGACTGTGCTGATGGGACAACAGGCATACGATAGCCATTGCAACTTGGTGTTAGGCGATGTCACCGAGACAGTCTACGTATGGGATGAAGACGATGAAGAAAACGTACGGACAGTGAAGAAGCAGTCGGAAATGCTTTTTGTAAGAGGTTGGTGGACACATAACAAAACTTGCAAGAGTGGAGCAATTGCTGACCCGTGTTCGCTGTGCAGGGGACTCCGTCGTACTGATATCACCGCAACAATCATGAGCTTGATGTGAGGGCCTTCGACGATAACTGCACATGCTGCACCGGATTAAACGAACGCTCGCGTTGCGATTTCGCGCCACGTGTGGAGGCATTTGGAGCTCACACGCGGAATCAGAAAGCATCTGCGTACATCCAAGCAGTCGATCGGCCTTGCACTTTAAGAGGCTGAGCGTCCTACTCAAACTCTAGCTCTGCGCGACGCTCCAGAGCGAGTCCGACGATGCCCGAGCTTCTCACTCATCGACACATCAAATCGCCCATTCTCGCACATCGATAGGATCTCCTACAATGCCAAAACTCCAGTGAAGCTGTTGCGGGGCCCATTCGGTATTGGAGTTGTCGATGAATGCCTGTTGAGGAAGGAAGAGATTTGAATGCGTGAAACGATGGCTTTAACTCTGAAATGCAATCGCCATCAATTACAAAATCCCACGAATCCAACTGAGCTGCCCTTATGCATCTACGTCACGCCAATCTCAGCTTCGTGTCCTGTAATTCCATCTTTCCCGCTTTCTCCGCATATCTTGACATAAATGCGCCGACATCTACACAAAACGCATACTCACCGCCGACCCCGCTGTCGAGGCATCCGCAGTCCTGCCTTGATACCCCGCCTCGTTCCCCACGCTCCAATCTGCTCCCACAGCATGACACCAAAAACGAGCACCATGAAAGCCACCAAAGCAGGCGCAGCAACCACCCAGAAGAAACTGAACGGGTGAGCCAGACCCGCACCTGATGCAAAATTCATTCCAAAATAGCCGGAGATGAACGTCAGTGGCGCGAAGAAAACCGTGACTATGGCCAGCACAAACATGTAGCGATTCGTATTCGCGCCCACGGTGTTGAAGATCAACGTGGAAATGTTGTTCGCGCTTGCGTCCATTTGCTCAAGTGCGGCAATCATAGTGATACAATGGTCCAGTACGTCGCCAAAGTAGGTATGTGCGAGTGGTGTGATAGTGACACTGGCACTATAAGGACGTCCGGGAGCTCTCTTTCTGTACTCTGAGTTCAAGCGAATGGCAGCAGGAGCGCCTTCGCGATCTCGACTTGATGGATTGGGAAGGAAAGAAGGTGCCTGCTCCGACGCGCTCGTGGTACTGCCTGTCGGAAGCATTGTGTTCGATATAGTTGCTGAAGGCGCGCCATGATCCCGTAAGGAGTTGACAAGGTGTACGATCGGCTTGAAAAGATTCTGCAACATATCGATCTCTTCGCCAAATATGTGCAAAGCTCGCGAGGTTCGAATGTTCGGATTCGTCATAGCGTCGATCTGCAGCTCCTTTCTCGACTTGTTGTAGGCATCTCGAACTGGGACAGCGAGATCGACGATGGCGTCGATTATAGCCTGAGTTATGAGAGACGCGTCGCAACTCCGTCTGAGCATTGTTTCCTGACTATGCAAACGTTCCAGGATTGGTTCTTCAACATCCTCGGCAGAGTGCTCAAAGAAAGAGATCACACTATTATCGGCAAGCAGAAATATGGAGACTTGCTCAACGCTGACGGCCAAGTCCTCTTGGGCCAATGCGCTGTGTTTTTCCATCCAAGCTGTATGCTCTGGTATTTGAGCACTCTCATACCGGTGAAGAGTCCTGACGGCTTTGATGGGCGATTTTTCCGAGAGCCCACTGTGTGCATTGACGTACTCGTCGATCTTTCCGTCGCGATCCCGGTCCAGATAGGTCGGCAAGACGTTTGTCTGTCGAGGCTTCCACCACCTCTTCCAGAACCCCTGCCGCTGCTGGCCGTGCTTCTCGAATTTCTCGTCGATTTCTTCTTCGTCATCGTCGGAACTGTTGTCCCCATCCGCGCAGCTACACTTCTCATTACGGCCCTTATGCTGATGCATTCTGACCAGTTTCTGTAGTGTAAGCACGATGAAGGCGTGATCTGCGTACCAGTCGACTTTCGTGCGAGTTTTAGTATGGACCAAGTCTTCGACTGCCAAGCGGTGTCTAGTGTAACAAGAACAGTCAGTGTCTGTACAAGAATGGTGGCTGCAATACTTGACCTCCTGAGTGCCAGGCCGATGACTTATTATAATCGCCAGAAGCATACCACTTCCCTTTAGAGGTACAGGTTGCTCTGCAAGTGATCTTGGACACGGGCACAATTGTACCGCATTGGCTTGACTGAATCACTGGAGCCCGGTATCGCTTTCTCGAACATTGCTGTACTTACAGATTATACTTGTTGCCTAACAGACGAATCACGTCCCATGAAAGTCCGTTGACGCTGATCCATCGACATGGAAATTCATCGCCTCGTGGAATCTCGAGTGCCCGCGCCAAACTTTGATTGTCACATCGAATACGCGAGACGTTCTCATCGCTGAAGTCGATGATATTGATATCGCAGTCGTTCTTCAATTTCTTAAGATGCGACGGGATCTTGTCATCTTCAGCCGCGGTGTCCACTCCGGGTTCGGCACCAGGTTGGAAGTGTTCATGCTCTGTAACGTGGTCCGGTTCGTGATAGGCAGTAATAGTGTTTGACCGAGAATGTCTCGTCGTTCGTTTTCGGCCCAATGTGTCAATTGAAGGTGCCGAAGCATTCGAGTCCACGCTTCCTCCGGTTCGCTGTCTGGCAAGCTTGGGGCTGGTCGGCGATGCCATTGCAGGCGAATATGCTGGTTGCTCAGGCACGAGGAGCGTCGGCGTCCTGTTCGGGCCATCGAAGTCGCGTACTGTAGTCATCGCGATGATGTGCACTGTTCCCCTGCACAGTCTTGCCGAGTCGAAGAAATCTCGTCATCAGCCGCGTGAGCTCTCAGCCACGCGAACTCTTCTGAAGGGTGAACGGGATCTGGTCCAACGACCGAGACATTGGCCTCTGTGTCGCCTTCACCAGCAAAGAGGGTGAATCGATATCGATGTTGTCTGATGTGCGAGAAGAGGGAGCCATCACGTGTTGTCCGCGTAAGGGTAAAGTAAAGGGAGGTCAGCGCCACAAGCAGCTCGCAACAGCTTAGCGCCGAAGGGCGAACCCGAACGCTGTGCACGACATTGCGATGCATTGACACTGACTCGATCGGAAACCATCGACCAACTCAGAGCCGACGGACTCTCGCGTGGCACTGTCACGCCCACGATGGATGGAGTGCGGTAGGAAAAACGACGACGAACGGTGGCCACTGGAGGGCGTGGTGTGGAAATAAGCTCGAGGGCCAGCGATCCGAGCATGGGTGGTCCGGGTCGTGGCAGTTCTGCAGGCGCAGGAACAGGCAAAGAACCAGAAACACCTGGCACGAAAACCTCGAGCCACCAAGCGGGCTGGCGGGCAAGCGCATGTGCAGCGCACGACTGCGCCTTTCTTTCAAATGCACGCCGTCGTACCTGACCCAATAAGGCGTGAAGCTCGCCGTTGAACAGCCCCACCCGACACCAACTCCAGTCTCGAGCCACTCCTGCTGCACACCGGAACGCGCGGCAACACATAACACATTCACCTACATCGACATCGCCTAACAGCTGCAAAGTCACTATACCCTTCTCACGTGCGCGGCTGATGCCTTGAAGGATCTCGACCACTAGCGCCGTGTGGTGGCACAGCTGAGCTCGACCTGCCTATTCCTACTACGGGACCAAAAAACACCGAGGACCATCGCAAGCCAAGCTGAGCATAGGGTCATACTCCAAGTCTCTTCTCTGTTGAGACGATTGTGCTCCTGGGTTCCACTCGTTCTGGCGTTGGCTGTACCAAACTTTCTGTCAAGATGGCCGAAGAGCCTCAACGGACTTCAATCGCTCAGCGCATAGCCGCATTGAAGCTACAAAACGCCGGTGGTGGCATACCTATTCAAAATTCACAAGGTTTTCAGAAACCGACAACAAATGGATCAAGTCAGGCTGTTCCGAGGCCTAGACCGCCTCCACCACCTAGACCGAGTGTCCCAGCGAGACCGGACCGCGCACAGGCCTCGAGTGTGCCTCCTGGAGTTGCTAGTGGGCCGTCGCCAAACAGAGCGGTAGGCAATGAGCCTGATGGAGCGCGACCGAATGGGGTGGCTATGAACGGTACACGTGCAAAGTCAAGGCCACCCCTACCAGGGCGGACATCGACTCAATCATCGCAAGCGCCGGCTTTGCCATCGAGAACGCCGTCCGGCCCTTCGCCTGCACTGCCTCCAAGACGACCTTCAGAAGCACCGTCTCAGAAGGAGTTCGCGCTCACCAAACGTGCATCCAATGAGTCAATAAGCTCAATAGCCACAGCGAGGTCCTCCACTTCTGCCATATCTAACGCTACCTCTTACACATCTGTCGGTGGCGAGCGCTATAAGATTCGAGCTCCTGACTATGATCCTTCTTCTTTGCCAGCATTACCACCAAAGCGCACGAAGGAGGAGAAGGAAGCGGCGGAGAGGAAGTACAATGGCACTCGGCCTCTCAGGCACTCCAAATCAACACCAAGGATCGCACAAGTACAGGAGGGAACGACTCCACCACCGATGCCAACCAGGCAGCCCGTCGTTCCGCCACCCGTGCCTACGCAGACTGATACTCTGCAGAACCAAACAGGAGCATATGGCAGCACGCCCGTCCCGAAGAGAGCTCAACCACCGCCTCCACCAGTGAGACAAAGTCAACCGCCGTTACCTGTCAGAGCATCGACGCAAACGAGGGTGGAGCCAATTCCGGCTGCATCGTCTGCCCGAGCGGACCTTGCACCGCCTCCGCGACCACGAGTGTCCGCGCTGTCCATGGGCTTCGGCAACAAAGAGACGAGTAAACCTGCAGGACAGGACGTACCCTCGAACAGCAACTCCGGAGTGCCCCCACCTATACCAGCGAGCTCGAAACCGGATCTTGCCGCCCTGAAGGCATCCAAACCGCGGTTCAATGCCACAGCCACGCCAACAGCATCGGCACCTGCCGCAGGTGCTCTTGCAATTACATCATACTCACAGTTCTCAGAGGTACTGGCGACGCACCGCATCGTGATGGCGGATTTTTGGGCACCTTGGTAAGTCATAGGTTGAAGCCCCATGTGAGACAGTGACTATCGCTTACACCTATCACTTTCAGGTGCGGACCTTGTCGCAACTTTGCGCCTGATTATGAGCGTCTGGCAAAAGAATATTGCCGACCAAATCAAATAGCATTTGTCAAAATCAACACAGACGAGAACAAGGACATTGCTCAGGCGTACAAGATCGAATGCTGGCCGACCCTCATCGCCTTCGAGCATGGCGCAGAGATTGACAAATCTCTCGGAGCTAACGAATATTGGTTGAATCAGCTCATAGAGGAGCGTGCGAAGCGCGCCGGCATCAATCTGTCGGCGCCAGTGCCGGCTGCAGCCCCTGTAGCCCCTTCTGCGGCACCAACGAACTCCTGCTTACATTGCCGTGACTTCTCTGGTCCAGATGGCCATGCAGCACGGTTCCCACGCCAATCGATTCCATCGCAGGACGTAGGATGGCTTGCCCATCAGCTCACCTCTCCCTTTCCCTCTCTTACGGACAAAGCACGAGCTATCTTCGCGTGGCTCCACCACAATATCGCGTACGACACAGTAGCATTCTTCGGCAACAACGTCAAAGGTTCTACTCCCCAAAGCACATTGCAATCTGGTCTGGCTGTGTGCGAGGGTTATGCTGGGCTTTTTGCTGCTTTAGCGATGAAGGTGGGCATGGAATGTTTCGTCCTTAGCGGCGCCAGCAAAGGGTTTGGCTTTACGCCCCTGCAACCCGGACAGCCGATTCCGCCCTTCGCCTCGACGCACGCATGGAACGTTGTTAAGATTGACAATGGCGAGTGGAAACTCATCGACTCCTGCTGGGGATCTGGAAGTGTAAGTGTCATCTTCTCGAGCAGTACTGCACTCAATGCAAGGTTAAAACTAGAAGACCTTTTTGGGATATCGCTGACTCTCTGATATAGGTCACAGCTTCACAGACCTACGAAAAGAAATTCAAACCTGACTGGTTCACCATGTCGAATGACATTTTCGGGCTTTCGCACTATCCACAGGACAGAAACCAGCAATACCGCACGGATGGTCGCTCGCTATCATGGGAAGAGTACTCCATGGCCAGCAAGGATGGCACTGGTGCAACGGTCTATGATAACACAGCTGAAGAAGGTCTTGCCAAAACATCATTCAGGCCTGCGGAAGGCAAGATTAATCTCGCGCAGCAAGGGCCGACTACACGATTCTCATTCCAAAAGATTTGCCGGCATTGGGATCCGATCAAAAATGGATCCGGGCCATCTTATCTCTTCGTGCTGCTCATCGATGCGCAAGAGAAGAAAGGGGAAAACAATCTGCCACCATTCAATACTAATGGGGAAGTTTGGTGGTGTGACGTTCCGACTCAGCATCTTGGACATTCTGGGCAAAAGGTGACGGTGATAGGATTGACGCAGTTTAATGGCCGGGATGGACGAGGTTTGACTGTGGAAGATTATATGCGCAAGAAAGGTCGTGCTGGCTGGGCTTCTACATTTATCGCGTCGTGGGAGATTGCATGATCTCGGGCACGATGGTGTCTGTGCCGCGATACTTTGACGAGGTGTCCAGTTGGGAACAGCAGAACAGAAAAACCGGAAGACGACCGTACGATTTGTTGTCCTCTCGTGACCTCGATTGTGCGCCGACGTCACTTCGAGAGACAGCTTGCCTTGGAAGCGCTCCGAAAGGCAGAGACACGAGAGTAAAGAAAGTGTGTACGAGACCCACGAGCAGGAGGGCAGAGTGTCTAGGTTTTAGGATGCTCTCGTCCTCAAATTCTGGAAGTTGTGGCTTCTAAGGGCATCGGCAATTACAGCGGCCACAAATCCTGGCGTAGCATCGAGTCGTTCATGACTAAGATTGTTCTTGATCTGCACAAAGTGGTGGTCTTCACAATGAGAATAGATTGACCAGTCGCTGTCAGCTGCTAGAGCGCTGAGGCAGTGAGCGAAGTGAATATATCTACAAATAGACATATCTGAGAATGAGGATCAGAGCCTCGAGAGCGATCAATCATCGGCCGCCATGATGAGCATCAATTAAGATGTGGCTCAATACTCATCCCAATTGATGTTACTGTCATCGAAGTCGCCATCGACGAAATTCGACTCGTAGTCCTTTGCCTTTGTGACACCGGACTTGTCAATTGCGCTCATACGTTCCTTGTTCTTCTCTTGCAGTTCCACCCTTGCGAGCTTCGAGTAGAAGGCCCGGACCTTGTCGTGTGCCTGCACCTTGCGAGCATCGAACCTCAGTACGCAGAGCCCGTCCATCTTGGTCGCACGACTCAACGCGACGTATGCCTGACCCTTCTCGAAGACACGACCAAGGTCGACTTTCACACGATCGAGTGTCTGACCCTGCGCCTTGTGTATAGACAAAGCCCACGCCAAGATCAACGGGATCTGTGCACGAGATGCCTGGACTTCCCCGTTCGGTAATTCGATCTTCCACGTCTCAGGCTCGCAAAGAAGATCGCGCCAGGTTCCGTCCGCAATGGCAAAGCGGACCAAAGGCCATTTCCGAGATGTGGTGACACCTTGCATCATTTGTCGCACGTCCATGGGAGCACTATCACCGGCATTTGACTGCACGGTGCCGCCAGGCGATTGCAGAAATGCGGCTTCGTTGTTGTTGTAGCTGTCGAATTGGCGTTCGTCCATGAAACCAATGACCCGGCCCAGCGAGCCATTCACCAGCGTCTCGTCGATGTTCTTGATAAGCATAACCTGAGCGCCCTTCTTCAGTGTGATGGCCTCTGGCGCGAGGCAGTTCGCAAGGAGTCTATCGCGTTGAGTCTTGTCTTGTATCGAACCGCCATCCCGCGCAGGAAACTGGAACAAATCCCCTTGCAACTGTGCAAGACGTTGATTGTTGGCTTTATCGACTTCCTGACGAGTAGGAAATAGCTCAGTCGCTTCAAGTGTGTCTTCGTAATTCAGAGGTCTAGAGAGCCTCTTGAAGGCCTCGATAGATGACTGTGTTAGCCGACCCTCACGCATCTCATTGAGCATCCCGGCGAAGACTGTGAATATGTTAGCAAATTACGAGAACCACTTTGAGATCAACCAACCTGGATCTTTCTGACGGAAGACATGATGCAGTCCGATGGTGTGCTCAATGGTTGTTGGCCACGTTGACGCATCAAATGCGAACTTAGCAACTCTACCACCTTCCGGCACTGGCGGCAACTGGAAGAAGTCGCCAGTGATCACTAATTGAATGCCACCGAATGGTCGTGCATTATTGCGGATTTGGCGTGCAATCGACTCAAGTTTGTCGAAAAGCTCGCCATCCACCATCGACACTTCGTCCAGAACTAGAACCTTCGTTCTCATCCACCGGTGCTTCGCTTTCTGATTCTTCTTGATCTTGCGTACCAACTCAGGCACCTCTTCCTTTCCTAGCCCAATGCCAGCAAAGCTGTGGAGCGTGACACCACCAACGTTGCAGGCAGCAAGACCAGTCGAGGCCGTAACAGCGATGCGATCTGGCTCGCGTTGATACTTCCTTCGAAGTGAGGCAATGATTTCTCGCATCAGGACAGATTTTCCCGTACCTGCAGAACCGGTGAAAAACACGCTCTTCTTTTTCTCGATAACGAGCTCGAGGACGTGCTGCTGTTCGTCACTGAGGAACACCTTTGCAGGACGCTTCTGCTTAGTGGTCGCGGCTTTGACTGACTCCTCAGTGCCTTCAATCACCTTGCCTGATGTCTTCCGTGTCTCTTCGCGTTTCTTCTTTTGTTGCTCTTTCACCGCGCTGGCAGTCGTATTCCAGGGGTACGCAGATTTGTCCTTTCTATCTTTGCTCGGTGCAGGCGTTGCAGTAACAGGTCGTGATCGATGCGAATTCCCGCTCACGGTGTGAGTTGGCTCTGCCTCTTGCGATTTCCCCTCGAGCCATGGCAGAGTCCTGCGCTTGGCGGGTTTAGGCTGTGGTGAGGTGGCAGGTTGTCTGCTCGCATCGGTGCCGGTGAATCCATCGAAAGCGAATGACTGAAGTGATTTCTGCGGGCGTCCAGTAGGCTGAAAGTGCTCAAGCGGCGATGAAGACCAAGGCAAAGGTGCACTACTGTTCGGTGCCTGGTCTGTCCTCGCGTTGTACTTTGAGCCCGAGTCAAAGTTCGTGAATTCAAAATCCTCTCTTCCAGCTGCTGCATCGATCGTGGCCGGCTTTGTGGAAGTGGTGTGGAAGCTACGTTGTCCCGTTGTCTTGGGCAGATGTGCTGAGAGATCTGGATAGCTCACGATGTTTGTGGTCGTTTTCCTTGCTACCGGCTCTTCCACATCCAGATCTATATCATCATCGAACTCGTTCTCGTCAAACAGAGCTTGAGGAATGACCGTCTTTCCTGGCTGGCCCCCAATCACGACCGGCTGATACCGTGAACCCGCGTCTTCGTCAAAGGTGCCATCGAACGACTTCGCAAGGCCGCTCGATGTGCGCTTGATTCCAGCCCTGGACGGGGAGCGAGAGCCTCGCAGACCATTGAGACTCGACGCTGAGCTGGGTTTCAGAGGATTCTTGTAGCCTGGGTTCGTTGATTGCTTTTGGCTGGAGGACTGCGAGGAGAAGCTCGCCTGCGAGATCTGTGCCAGCCCGGTCTTCCTCTCGTACTCGTTGTGAGCCTTGCGCAACATGTTGTTATTCTCCCGCCGCGTCGGGAATGTGTTGAGTGGGCGGGAGTGGGCAGACGAGGTGCTCGCGAAAGGGACGTGCGCGCGGCGGGCGCGTGGTGGTGTTGGGGGAATGGCAAGGGCGGCGGCAGGAAGTCGCGTCCTCCCTCCTGCGACGCGTCCGGTGATCATCCAGTGGAGGACGAAGGCGGTGGTCGCGCAAAGTAACACACCGAGAAAGTTGTCGGCCGGCGATGCGTCAAACATTGATGGCTCTACGAAGGCATCACTATCCCGCAACGCGAAGGGAGCGCGTTGATCCGTGTGGACCAGGGTCGCGCTCTGCAGCTTTCCCACCATCAAACTCTAAATATCCCACAAACAAGCCTCTATCGTCGGTCGGATGACTTGTCAGTGCAAACCATGCTTACCTTGGGAACTCACTCGAGGCATGTTGACACTCCGTCACAGCTCAATCTAGCGCTACCCTCCTCGCAAGTCTCAGCGCGAAAGCAGTGGCCAAAGACGCCTTTACGTTCCTTAGCGAAACTTGGATGCTCCCATTCTTCACCAACTTCTAACAAGTGTATTCGAAGTCAGAGAGACGCGATGCGGTCCGAGAGCTGCACAATATTTCATTCAGCGGGTGGCTCAATGTGAATAGAGCATTGTGGAGTCTGCTGGGACGTGCAATTGGGATCAAAACATATGATCTGCCCACCTCGCCAAGCGCGATGGTCACAGTCTAATGCGTCTTCGTCTATTCTCAACAAGATCTTGTATAGCTGTGACAGTCACACAGAGATCGGCCGGTGAAGTAGATCTGTGTACCGTAGGACGACGACCCTACTAGGGACGTGACCAAGGCGGCCGTAGGAAAGATTTCGTACTGAACCATCAATATTGGGCCAGCAGGATTCCTTGCTCTCGAGCGGTCTGTCGGTGAGGAACAGTCAAGCGTGATCAGGTGCTACTTTGTCCGCGGTACAACGGCAGTGCAATGGTCGTACGACAGCCTGCAAAGAAACATCAAAAGCATCGAACAGAGCCCCCACGGTCCCGATATTGTGGCCGTGGTCGGTGGATTTTCACGGAGCCCGCTATATCTGACGATCCGGCGAGACTCCAGCGCATGTGATTCGCCGGATGGAGATTTAAGCATGCCCTGCCGCCGCCCATCAATGCAGCGCCAGCGCCAGTGCCAGGGTCGGGCGTTTTCTGAAGAGGGACGGCAACCGCTGCGGCGTAGTTAACTTAGGCTTGGAAAGGAATTTCGAAATGGACCCCATCGGTCAACGAGGGGCAGAGTGGCAGCGAAAAGTGCAAAAGCAGCAGCAGCAGCAGCAGCAGCAGCAGCAGGGAACACAGGCTGTGCAGAGTGCGGGCTGACGCAGGAGAGCGAGTGCGAGATAGATAGCATTGTGCCAGCGAAGTGTGATTTGACATTCTGTATTTGACGACCCGACTTCTAGACCGAGCCCATCTGCTGCTGCTTGGCCTGTCCCACTGCGACGTGCATGCTGCCGACAGATTGACGCCGCAAGAGCTAGTGTCGGTTGACGGCGACTGCGTAAAGAACAAGACCGCGAAACCTCGCCAACACCAACGACACGTTCGGCCTTGCCCCCTCCGCCCACCGGCCGTCCACTCTCTTTCCTCGCCTACTTGATCTGCTCCTGCTGCTGCCGCTCTGCGCTGCTCCTTCTTTGCTCTGCGCTTTCCCGCAGCTCCTCCAGCGCGAGAGCATCCAGCACTTCCCCGACAGCACAAGCACGCCCGCCCACAGCTGCACCCATGGCTCGCCATCCGACCTTGAGCCAGACCTACGCTGAGCGCTCCGAAGACCCCAATCTCACGCCGCTCGCCACGTACCTCCTCCGTCTCATCCACATCAAGCGTACCAACCTGTGCGTGTCCGCCGATGTCACCACGACCAATGAGCTGCTACGCATCGCCGAGGAGGTGGGCGACCACATCTGCATCCTCAAGACACACGCCGACATCATCAGCGACTTTGGTGAAAAGACGATTCGAGGCTTGAACGAGATCTCCAGACGGAAGAAGTTCCTAGTGTTTGAAGACCGAAAGTTCATGGACATTGGCAACACCGTGCAGCTGCAGTACACCAGTGGCCCGCTAAGCATTGTGCGGTGGGCTCCCATAGTGAACGCGACCATCCATTCGGGTGCGGCCATTATACCTGCTCTGGCGGAGGCAGCACAAAAGGCTATCAACTCGCACAACACCTCCGTCTCCACGGACATTCGAGCCTCGCCTAAAGTGCCCCCGGTCAATGACTTTGAGGACAGCGACGACGAGGAAGACGACAATTGGCAAAACATCAATGGCGCGCACTCTGCGGACGAATACGAGGAAGACACAACAGATAGGATGAGGAAGCAGTCCGTCGTATCAGTCAGTACCACCATCAGCATGAAATCTGAAGCAATTAGTCCGCAGCCCCACATGCGGCCTTCGATCTCACGCGTGGAGTCAGGCGATGGGCAGGACGAAGGAGATGACCCCGAAGCTCTGGCTCAACTTGCACCACCTCCATTCCTACGCTCCCTGCTCCTGCTGGCCCAGATGAGCAGTGCCAACAACTACTTTACGCCCGAATACACAGCCGACTGCGTCAAACATGCGAGAGAGAACCGGGACTTCGTCATGGGGTTCATCGCACAGCAATCACTTAACCAAGCTCCCGACGACAATTTCATCACCATGACTCCGGGCGTGCAGCTACAGGCAGGAGGCGATGGCAAAGGCCAGCAATACAACACTCCGGACAAAGTCATTGGCCAAGGAGGCACAGATGTGATCATCGTCGGACGCGGCATCATCGGTGCTCCGCCGGGAGAACGCGCCAGGGTTGCACTGGAATATAGATCCCAAGGCTGGGAAGCGTACAAGCAACGCGTGAGATCGTTGCGAGCTCAACGGCAATGATCACATCACGCATTTGTGGCAAATGTCTTGCGTTGACGTGGTTTACTTCGGCTTACAGATGCAGTCTGTAGCAGCATAGCGCAGGTGTTGGTCTGATCGGGCTCTGCCGTGCGAGAGCACGCGATGTGAGCCTTTTGCTTGATTGCAATGGCAGTTCTGACGGACGCTTGTACGTTGAAAGAACATGGGAGGTTTGTTGGCATGTTATATGAGATGGAACTGCCGAAGATCATGATGATGTTATGTCCGGCCACACGACAGATATGGATACGAAACAATACGAAAAACATCATGAGTATATCACAATCAAAATCGGTTCTATGCATCCTCCACCTCTTTTCGTTATTTTCGCAGCTGAAGATTTAGCCATTAACCACTTGTCAGCGTTGCGTCTCAACGTATGCAGAGTGGAAGACAGTCTTCCATAACAATATGCTTTTCACAGATATGCCTTTGTCCCATGACTACATGAACAGGACGACAATCCGTTCTCTATTTCGCCAACTACTCGTATCACTTGGCGAAGTTGGTAGATTTAGGTCGAAATGTGAGGGGCAGAAGTCATCCAATTGACCAGGTCAGCTGAGAAGAAGACATCATTGCAGCACTTCAACTCTCATGCAACCTTCAATCGCTGAAGTAGACGTCTCCGCTTTTGATAAGTCTATTGTCAACGCTTCCTCTACTTCAGTATTGTGTTTTCAAGTATAAATTTTCATCACAGCTGCAATTCACACTTATAACGCTGCGGACTGTCTACATTTTCGTTGGGTACTGGTTCTCATGTGATATTCGTCATGTTGTGGCTGTTTTGGCCACAAATTCTCTCGTTTCAGCCATCTCTCGCGCGGAGAGAGGTGCTGCTCCATAGTAGGCAATAGCAGCCATTCCGAGGAAAGCTGCGATGCAGCTGAAGACAAGAGCAACGATTCCGCGAGCCGTGAAGCCTGATGGCAGTGGCGCAATGCTCAAATTCTGACCGGTCAAATCCAGTGCGTCTTTCGTGTTGCCAGCAGCGTTGCCCACTACTGGGGTTGGTGTGGCTGCCGCGGAGCAGGCGTCGAGGTGATTTTGAGGTATTTTCAAGGTCTCTTGAAGAGAAAGAGGCGCCTCAATCATCGTCGCTACTAACCCACTGGCAAGGTGCCACTCTGCTAAATATCAGCTTTCTGCTCGCTGCGAGCCCTTCCGCACAAGAGCTTACCTAGATGGCAATGAAACAGCCAGATTCCAGGGTTGTCTGCTCTAAACCTAATGACGAAGTTTCCTTGCGGCCGAACCCAAAATGTATCCCTTCTCATGGGTCGAAGTGGGTACTCGCTGTGATTTGAGGGGTCGAAAAAGCCGTAGTCGTCGGGGCTGCGCCACAAAATTTGAAAATTGTGCCCATGTAAATGGAATGGGTGCTTGCCTGGATCGTCGTTATTCAGGATTATCTCTATTACATCGTTCTTGTTGAGTACGTAAGAATTCGTGTCCCGCCCGTATACTGTGGCGTTGTTCGCAAATTCACCAGTAGTCAATGCAGAATATAGTGTGGGAACCTTTGGACGCACGTAGGTGATGCCGTTGAAGAAGGCATAGTTCGCTCCATCGCCCAGGTTGTTCATGGAAAGATCGAGGTTGAAGGAGTAGTCGACCTTGTCAAGAAGCTCCATCTGGTCCTGCGGTACCAGGTCGAAATCGTCGAACTGAGCATCCCAGCTGTCTAACAAAGCAGGTGCCGGCTTCGGTTGAGACTCATCGTACACGAGCCAGCTGGTGACATTCGTTGGTAGGCCTGGTGGGATGGCATCGAAAAGATCTGTGTCCATTGAGGCGACAATCGCGAAATTCCCAGCGCTAGCATCATTTTTGGTCGTCACTAGGAATCCATAACGCTGCGCTGCGGTGATGCTAAAAAAACGCAATGGTCAGACCGCAGATTCTGGTGAACATGATTTACTAAGTGACACAGAACAGGTGCTTACTAGATCATTTCAGCGTCCGCAGGTTCTGTGTACACTCCATCGACCTCGACGATCCTCATAGTGTGACCTTCGATCCAGAAGTATTGACTGGCGAATGCACCAACGTTGACCAATCTGAAGAAATATGTTTTGTTTGGCTCCACCGGAATGGTCAGGTTTTGGGTGTCGTTCATCAATGCAGACTTTGGCACAGGTTCTGCACCAGTCGGATTCTCAACGCTGATGAACCAATCCAAGAGTCCGGGCATCTGGTCGTGGTACCAATCTGAGATCGAGAGAGCAACTTCTGTATCGTATTGACCCAGGTATGGACTCTCAGGGTCGTGGACTACGAATTGGCCGCGCATACCATCTGGGTACTGCCCCCGGCTATGCGAATGGTACCAGTATGTTCCTGGCTGCTGAATGGTGAAATTGTAGACGAAAGAAGAGCCAGGTGGAACGTCACATTGAGTGACACCAACTGGGCCGTCCATCTCGTTGGTGCCATTCTGAAACAGGCCGTGGAAGTGGATACTCGTGCTTTGATTGCCGAGCTGTGATAACAGTCAGTGGATGGGCAATCGATGTAACCGTAACGTCGCAAACCTGATTGTTCATGTTGACGATCACTCTGTCGCCTTTCGTGATGTTGACCGTAGGAAGCGGCCACTCATTGTTGATGCCAATGACCGGCCGACTGTGCATGCCATCTGGATTGCGGGTCACCCAGGTGATGTTCCAGTCAAATGTCCTAGTCTCTGCGGCGACATAAGTTGCCAGCAGCAGTACGGTTGCAAACAGCTTTCGAGAAGCCATTTTGTGAGCGTGAGTCGCGACAAAGAACAACGAGTGTCCACAAGAATCGCAAGCTGACGTCGCAAGATGGAAGATTAGATTCGATTGATAAGAACGGCAGCCACGCCGTGAAGTGAAGCGCTCCGGTCGTCGGCGGGCAGAAAGTAGGGCTTCGATAGGGTCAGCGACTCTGCGAAGGATCCAGCATCTGATTAGCGGAGATGCAGTGTCCACGCGAGTCCCCAGTCCTGTGTCTTGGAAATTTGTCGACACCAGGTGAAGATAAGCGACGAAGTCAAGCCGCTCGTGCCCAAGTCTAGTGGCGTTCCAGCTCGAGCTGTCAGAGCCAAGGTGCAACAAGCACGGTTGAACCGGCCGTGCTCGCCTCGGCGGCAGCAGTGAGCAACGCTCCCAAGCCACCTCGCTTCTCGAAGACGCAGGGTCAGAGAGCGTTGTCCTGTCTCGTGTTGCGGCGGCCCAACCCACGCTGCGGGCAAGCGAAGAGGTGGTGTGAGCTTTGGTGTCGAGCAATTGTGGCTTAAGCTTCGCTGCAGCATTGGCAGAGCTTATTCCATTAGCGCAATCCGATTATCAGATAGTTGATCTAGACTTTCGAGGCTTCAATGGGCGAGAGCCACTTCCGCATCGCCGGCCGCGGGTTGCTTCCTTGGGAGAGAGACAGCGACAGCAGGAGTGAATGCGAAAGGCAGCATGTCCAGCAAGTTGCGTGAATGGAGAAGGCGCATCCGCGTGGTGAAGCCTGCCCTCACCCATGCCGATGTGCTGATGAACCCTAACTAGTTCCAGTCTCAGTGCAAGAGCATCGAGCTTTCGGCAGCTCACAAACCATTGGAGCAGTGCCGCGCTAAGTCTCGCACATCCCACTTGTCGCGGACTCGCGATCCCAACAGCGTACCACACAGCTTGCTTGAGACTGTCCGTCACGTCCGACACCGGCTGGGGCTGCCTTCAGGCTTGTTCGTATTGCCGACTGTTTGGCTTTTTGGCGCGCGCCCGCCGCAGAGCTTCCCTGACAGCTTTTGTGAAACTCGTGCTTCACTTTACAAGATCTGATAAGAATCCATTTATTATCTGATCATCTTGTTTTGCGCACGACTGCTGAAGCGACCAGCTCAAGCTTCAGCGAAGTTCAAGATGGTGAACGTATTCGCAGTTCCGGGTAAGCTTCATGGTTGTCGCGGCGCCTTGTTCTCATCTCAGCTGCTGATCGCCTTACTTGTAGTGTTCTTCATTTGCTTCCGAGAGTGTTTGGAGTGCACAATCGTCGTCTCCATTCTGCTCGCTTTCCTCAAGCAAAGTATCGGAGGACCCGACAGCGACCAAGCAGTATACAAGAGGCTCTTGCGACAAGTATGGCTCGGTATAGGTTCAGGTCTCCTGATCTGCCTGGTCATTGGCGGCTCTTTCGTCGGAGTCTTCTACGGACTTGATAAGAATTACTTCAGCAAAGCTGAGGACCTCTGGGAGGGAGTCTTCGGGCTCATCGCGTCCTTGATCATCACCATAATGGGTATTGGACTGCTGCGTGTGTCCAAACTCCAGGACAAGTGGAGAGTGAAGATCGCGCAAGCCCTTGAGAAGCACCACGGCAGCCAGGGACTCGGTGTCAGATCGCGCTTCAAGATATGGTGCGAGAAATACGCCATGTTTCTGCTGCCATTCATCACAGTGCTCCGTGAGGGTCTGGAAGCAGTCGTCTTCATTGGCGGTGTAGGCCTTGGTCTTCCCGCGACCTCGTTCCCGCTGGCTGTGATATGCGGACTGCTCGTGGGCTGCGCGATCGGTTATTTGATCTACAGGTAAGTGCTGTCAGACCTCAAGTGAAGATGACTCTAGCTTAACTTGCGCAGAATCGGCAATACCGCAAAGCTGCAGGTCTTTTTGATCATCTCAACCTGCTTTCTGTACCTTGTCGCAGCAGGTCTCTTCTCGAAAGCAGTGTGGAATTTTGAGATGTATGCCTGGAGCCAACTGACGGGTGGCGACGCTGCAGAAACTGGATCTGGCCCAGGTTCATACGACATCCGCAAGAGCGTTTGGCACGTCAATTGCTGCAACCCAGAGATCAATGGAGGAGGCGGCTGGGGCATATTCAACTCGATCTTGGGCTGGACGAACTCGGCGACCTATGGGTCTGTCCTGGCGTACAACCTGTATTGGCTGGCAGTCATCGTTGCATTCCTCTCGCTCGGCTTCTACGAAAAGCGGGGGCACTGGCCACTGATGCAATCTAAAGTGCCCAGTCAGCACTCAGATGTGAATAGCGATCACTTGAGTGAAGACCATGTCGCAGACGAGAAGACGACTGCTACAGTCGTCACCAAGTCTCATGGCCAGGAGACCTTGGCATGAGGACAGTGGTGGGCACGATGTGCGATTCTTGTTAGGTAGAGCATGGTACAGAGGCATGTATGCGTCAGTGTATGCAGAGTACGAAGAAACAAGACGAGCTCATGTTGTGATGTTATAAGAGTTGTGCGTGGCAGTGTGCTGGTGTTGAGTGGGGGCATCTCTCATTAGTCAGTCGCGCCTCCATCGTGAGGCCAATTCAACTCTCCAGCTTCATCGTCATAGCCTCATTCGCACGCAACAGTACTTGATCAATCGACGACAAAATGTTCTGGCCTTATCCCTGAGTTAGTTGTTGAGCGCCTCAAAGCAGGCTCCCTCATTCACAAATGGCACAATATGGTATGCCGACACTGCCGCCGACTGCTCGGCGAGGCGGCAGTGAACGCAAAACCACTGCCCCAAACCGATCGCCGGCCTCAGCGGAATCGAAGAAGACGAAAGCGTTACCAGTCATACGAAAAGATGATAAGATCGGTGCGCACGTCGACACAGTGACCGAAGTGGCACGCGAAGAGGCTCGGCGTGAAGGAAGCCCGATTGTGGAAGAGGACAAGAGTGCCATCGACAATCCGCGTGGCGATGCTCACGGTATCATCGCGATTGATGGAAAGGGTGACATTGTTCTACACATTGAGCATAATACGGCAGCTGCCACTCTGGGCCAGAGATATCGTGTCTCATCCGCAGCTTTGAAGAGCACTTCAAAATACTTCGAGCGTCTGCTGGACGGCCGGTTCGGTGAGAGCGCGAGAATTGAGAAAGAGCACGTCCTCCTACGCGATAAGTATGGAACATTGGACAAAGTGCCCTCGGTCGAGCTGCCAGTGATACCAATTGAAGATATCGGCTGCATTTCTGCCGTCAAATCGATCGAGGCTCTTTGCACAGACTTCCTCCTCATTCTTCATGCCAGAGATACGAATACGCCGGTCCCTACCGCTAATCTCGCAAATCTCGCCATCGTCGCCGACCGATTCGATGCGCTTGATATTGTGCGCACATACGCGTCACGCAAGAAGTTGACTCGAGCGATTGAGGGAAAGACTACCGCGAAGGCAGAGTCGAACTTGAGCGAAGAGCGAGTTCGGCAGCGCATACTGATCGGTTTACTACTTGATCACGCACCATGGCTGGACAAATATTCTGCACGCCTCATCACGAGTGGCTCAAAGAGTTGGACAGGAAGTCGAGCTGAAGAGAACGATGTCATGTGGTGGAATCTTCCCCACGGCCTTGAGGAGGAGCTGCCGACGCGACGAGAATACGTTTTGGACATGCTACAATCGTCTGCTGCGCAGTTTGTGGGACAGTACATCTCCCGTGAGCGTCAGTGTCGTCTTGGCTACGACTCCTCGGCAGCATGCGACAGTTTCCAGCTGGGAGAGATGATACGATTTCTCTCACGCTGCGGAATACTGCAAGTCAAGGGACTGCTTTACGACGCTGCAGAGCCGCCAGAGCCATACACTGGTGACATTTTCACGCTCATCGACTCTTTACGCCACGTGCCCGAATATCAGATCGATCGCAATCACAGCCACTGCGGAATTCGGGGCCGTTTGATCTCAATGCTGGACATGGTCATCGATGCGCTCCATTATGTAGGCGTTTGTGCTGAGTGTTGGACCGCTAGCCGCCACGAACACGCCTGGATGGATCTGAAAAGGCCTCTGCTATGGCGGAGTCAGGCTTATCGTTCGAGAGGCCTGCCACACACAGAGTTGCACGCTCAGGTCCGGACGATGTTCACTGCGACCGAGAGAGACTGGAAGTGAGCTTCACTCGTGACGTTGAGTTCATAAAGAACGCTGGTATTCTCGTACAAATTTTCGGGGTGCTACCAATGTGACATATTTGTGACTCTGTCGTTTGCTACGGCGTCCAGTCACATGTCTGGTGATCTGTTGCCATCAAAGGATTGATTGTTGGCGCTGCTGCGGCTGTGCACAGCTTGGCCGCAGGGCAGTGCAGTGCCCGCACCCCGCACACACCAAAGCTCAGGACGCCATCATTGTATATCGACGGTCTGCTCTTGCACGGTCGCCGCCAACTCGCGTGTAACAATCGCAGGCACTGCAATGGCATGTAAATATTGGAGGACGCCAGACTTCGCCCTCAATTGATGGTATAAGCAGGCAGTGCAGCCCTCAGTAAGTGCATCGACTTGCGAGCAGTAAAGACATTTAAGACGCATGGTCCGCTACATGAAGTTTCATTCACATAAACCTCAGATCAATGAGATTAGTGGAGTCACTGCGGAAAGACCCACCCTTTGTCACCCAGTTTTTAAGCAAACAAAATGGCAGCGACTGACACTTACTCTATTTCCACTTTCCAGCCTTGTCGGACTGACTCCTCGCTGCACAATCAGAGCACTATGTTTTCCTCTATCAAACATAAGCTTAGCCGTAAAGGCGCCGGCACTGGTAGCAAACGAGATAGTGACATCCATCCACAACAAAAGAGCGCACCTTCCACGAGACGACCAGGTAGGTCACAAGACTGCGCTTTCCCACGACCACCGAGGCTGATCATGTCCTACTAGCACAACCAAGCAACAACCCATTCTCAGCCATGGGCGATGCACCACCAGCATATTCTCCAGCTCCTAATGCAGCGCCCGCCATAACAGTATCCGCGCCAGTAGATCAGGGTGCGGACGATCCATATGCCTTCCTCACAAGCTTCGACACGATCTTCCTGATCGACGACAGCGGCTCAATGGCAGGTGGGCTATGGCGCGAGACAGGCGAAGCACTCGAGACAATCACTCCAATCTGTACCGCCCACGATCAAGATGGCATTGATATCTACTTCCTCAATGCCAAAGACTCCGACTTCCATCACAACGTCACGAGTGCCGCCACTGTTCGCGAAATCTTCCAGACAGTGCGGCCCGGAGGCGGAACGCCCACTGGACAGCGCTTGAACAGCATCTTAAGACCGTACCTTCGCAAGTACGAAAGCAGTCCAGAAACTGTCAAGCCGATCAATATCATCTGCATAACGGACGGCGAGCCCAGCGATGATGTGGAGAGCCCTTTGATCGCTGCTGCGAAGAAACTCGACAAGCTCGATGCTCCAGCCTGGCAAATTGGCGTGCAGTTCTTCCAGGTCGGCCGGGATGAGCAGGCGAAACTTCATTTGAAGCAGCTTGACGACGAGTTGGCTGAGATTGCTGGCGACGATGACTTGCGTGACATGGTGGATACTGTGCCATTCACGGGCGCCGAGGGAACGCAACTCAACGGCGAAGGTATTCTCAAAGTCGTTTTGGGTGCAGTCAACAGGCGTCTGGATCGGAAGAAGAGTAAAGATCTCCATCGTTGATCGGCGGTTGGCTCTCGAGACAGCTTGGGAAGGAACTGAGAAATACGTTAATAGCAGCCCTGAGGGTAGCCCTGAGGACTGTCGTAATGCAGATGCAGTGGCAGCTTAGCGCTCAATGGTAGATTTGCGTATATGCAAGGCCAAGCACGCTTTATCTCCTCGCTGGATTGCAGTAATTAGAGGGGCTCCCAACAAGATAGGAGCCTATCTACGACTTTGTTATATGTCTAATATCCCCCTTTAATAGCTGTAAGAACCGGCCGGTAGGCCACCATCCGTGAGCAGAGGTCCTCCGCAAGTGAAGACACTACCCTCTGGAGCGCCGAACAGGACATCGTCATCGAAATACTCTTCGCTGTAGTCGATATTGACGCACTTCCAGTTGTCAGGTGGCGAACCGCCGAGTGGGCCGACCTGCAGTCCGAAAAATCAGCGGTCATCCACAAATGCAGCGTTGAAGAGAACTTACATGTGGGCAGTGCACCTGCGGTCGGACCTTGGTCAAGATTACGTGAATCACACGGCAGACAACGTTGTCGCCCCACGCCTCATCGAAAGAGCCAAAAGGCTTCGCTGACAGTTGCGCGATGCAGTCCTCGGTGCTTGTATATTGCTGGTTTTCACCAGTGCATGTCTGCTGGATGCCGGCGCATAGCTGCTGTGTGGTACCGTTCTGGACGAGTGGGTTTCCGAAATCAATTCCATTTGCGGCGTTGGTCCATGCCTCTAGGTTTGGGATCCATGCGTGGTATTTTAGGACCTTGCCATCGTCGTCAAAGCGCCAGAATGCGACCTGGTGGAACGTTAGCAGCGTGCGCAAAGCTCAGTGTAGACACCGACGTGCCTGTGACAATGTCGAGACTGGCTTTGTAGTGTCCAACTCCAAGGTCTGTGGATCAACGTGCCCTGGAAGGCGACATCAGCGAGAGCAAAATGACAAGGTCATGGCAGTCGGCACGAACCCGCGCGAAAGTATACCAATGAAGCAGCTACTTCCGGACAGCCCGAGGTAAACTCTAGAACTTCTGATCGGTAGAATGCAACTCCGTTGGATCCTTGTGGAGTTGGGGCAAGAGAGAAGAAGTATTCGATACTGTCATCGAAGCCGGTGAAGTTGCCTACGGGAGAGACACGTCCAGTGGCCTGGTCAGCGAAGAGGTGAGGAGGTACGGCGGAAGCTCCTTGCGCGACAATTTGAGCGTTGTTCGGGTATACGGTCACTGGCTAGAGTTCAGCGTTCATCAATCCCGCTCAATCAGAGATACATACAGTTGTAGATCTCGCGGATGGTCTGGAGATTCCTTTTAGCATAGTCTGGCAACTTCGAATGCCGCTTGGCCAATGCAGCGCCATCTGCAGGGAGCTTGACTGCCGAGCCCAGGCTGGCGAGCACAAGCAATGGAAAGGAGAGGCTAGAGGTCAACATGGTGTCTGCCAAGCGAACAAGCCTTTGTGGTCGCAAAGAGAAGAAACTTGCTCAAACCAGCTCAAATTGAGGTGCTGTCCAGAGATACAAGTTGCGAGGGACAGCCCAGTCGCTCTCGAATGACGATGCGAAGACCGACACTGGCATTCTTGCTTCTGCATGGCTGCCCGCGCTGCCCTTGTACGGAAGGCGGATGCACGGTATGACACAAGTTCTGACAAGCCGACTCCAAGGCCTGCATAATCAGAATCAGCGTGATTATCAGACTGGAAATGAGATTGGAATATCGACGCCGGCTGGAAGTCTGGAACCCTGATGGTCGAACAGGCATTTCTTTTGCTCAGCATCACCGCAAAACTTGGTCTTTTGTCATGAAATGGCGGCCAATTCCAGGAAAAGACCGCAGTCGAGAGCCTGCATTCGCATAGCTACGAATTGTAGCAGGGTTGCGATGCTGGACGAGACTGTAATTCGGTAGTACGGACTCTGAGACGTTCGTACGGGAGCTGAAACTAGCTGAAGTCAGTCTCAGACTCCCAGTAAGCTTCACCACCGCTGACATCTCTGGCATTATATTGGAGTTGGATGAGTGAGCGCATGCGCCGAGAGAATTAATGATCATGGCGCAGTCGACAGCACAGCAAGGACACGTCCATGTCGATGGAAAGACGGGGAAAGCCAATGTCAAGAAGTCACGATCGGCGGTCCAGTGGTGACTGCCGTCCCTCGATCCTGGCCGCTGACTTCCGCACATCCTTCCTGCTGATCATTGCAGTCCGTTCTGGGAATTTCTCTCCCAATTGCACATTTCGATGACCGCGAGAACCGGACAGGCTGCCGTGTCGCCCTTGAGGATGGAGCGAGACCGAAGAGCAACGGACTGCGAAGTCTGAAACGCACCAAAGTGCTTCCCTCTGTCTACCGAGACCTAGACTTCGAACAGGCACAGACGCACAGGTTTGCCGGAACGCTCTGTGTTCTCTTCAGTCCGCTTGCCGCTTTCTTCGGTCTTCGGTTGGCACGCTCGCCGAGAACTTCATGGAAACAGATTGTGGACCAAAGAGCCTGTTTCCTCTCCGCGAGATATATTCTGTGGCAAGATGAACTCCACCGCGTATAAAGAAGACAGCACTCTCCACGACCAGTGCGCTCCCAGCCATGAGGGAGTGAACTGTCAATCGAATAATACTAGGGATTCTAAGTGACCAACCACTGCAGTCCAGAGCCATTGGTCCAGTGCTTGTATTTTGTAGACGCCAGAACGGTCGAGCGAACCGAGGCGAAGCCTGGACATTCGTAGGACTCTTGCTGCTTCCATGGATGCCGGGTTGTGGTTTTTGCAGAAAATTGCGAATCGCGAACTATTCGAGGGATCTTGTACTCTTCGGTCAAGCAACAACTGTCGTCTGGTCACCATTTATGTACTCGCTTCGAACCTCTCGTAGGATCTGTCTGGATTCATGTTCTGTAAACCGAGTGGGGCGAAATATTTCTGGCAGCCGAACACGACATTCGCCTTGGCATTGCGGGTACCTTGCAGCTATATCGAGATGCCACACCTGACTAGTCTGTATAACACGTTCTACCGACATCCTCTCGAGATCCTTCGACTAGCTAGCGATACAAAGCTGAAATGCGGGTCCCACATGTTGGACGACCAACATGACAGCCCCATGAGATCGTCGCCTGGAACGACAAAAGCGCAGCAGCGATGCCATTGGTGGTTTCTGCAAACGCGGATAGATGCTTAGGATGATCCACTGCAGCGGAGAGCGGTGCACTGGTATCCACTATCAGAACAGCCAGTCAGTGGCAGTGCAGCAACACTGCGTTGGTTGTCTTTTGGCACAGCAAGAATGGTCTACTCTGTTTGGCATCAATGCACCATGGCTATGCTGAATCCTTCGCACTTCGTCAACAACATAGTGCACACTGTGGAGGACATGGATCGTGCAATGTTCGAAAATAAACTGGTATGCAACGGACTTTGCGCTTCACTGACTGTCGATGGCATGAAGCAAGTATAAAGGTCGTCGATGAATCGGTCCTGTAACTTGGAACATCATCACACGTTCTTCACATCTTCCAAGCACAGAGCAACCCAGCCCACATACTCCCACAACACCATCACGCCCAGCAACAACCGAACTCGTTCACCATGCCATCAATTCAGTCCATCCTCCCAGCCATGATCGGCCTCCTTACTCTCTCGAACCAAGTCCAGGCTGTTCCTACACCAACAGGCGGACTTGTCAAGAGACTCGGCTGCTACGGCGACAGCAGCGATATGAGCTTTTACTCTCTCCACGGACTCGGCTACTCCGGCGACATCACACAAGAAGTCAAGAACGACATCCACACAACCTGCACCAAAGCCGCCGGCAAAACAATCAAAGCCTCCGAGCCCTTCTGGCTTTGCACAAACTGGGAAAAGACGGCCAAGGGCAAGTCAGCAGCACTGGAGTGCTACGAGAGCTGCCAACCTGGTATCGACATCAGCGGAAGCAATTCAGCGGTCATAGACGCTGGTGTGCAAGCTTGCCGGGATATTTGCAAGCTCACACGCGGAGAACCGGATCTCGCGGACGATGGATGGAACCACATCGATTGGGCTATTGAGGTTCGTGGTGGGCAGACTGAGCAGGTCATCACGTATGAGACGTGCAAGGCGGCTTTTGAGACGGAGTTGGGAGGGTGTTCGAGCGGTAGTGAGCAGAACCATGATGGGTTTTGGTTCAGGATCGATCCAAATGCCAGGAAGTGCCCGGCATAGGTGAAAGGATTGTGACAGGTTGAGCGAATTGGCGAGGCGTTCGGTAGCTCTTTCTCGCATAGTTTGAACCAGTACAGCAGGTTAAATGAAGTGCAGATTCACCTCAGCTGATTTTTATATGCTTCCGTCGTCGTAAGTCTCAGTTGCAATGTCCGCCAGTGGTTCCAGGTATAGCCAGGTGCATAAGCTGGGAAGTTGCACGGCTGCGGGAGTCATGAAGTAAGGAGGAATGGGCAGATCAAATAGATACCAGTCTACAACGACTATCAACGCTTAAGAGCTCTACAGACCAACCGCAGCCGCTAGGCCATCTGTAAGGTTATTCAGAACATTCGATCCACCGGCAATCACCTGGAAGATGTTCTTGTACGAGTCACTAGAACTCCAATCAGCAATCATATCATCTCAACAATTGAATGGGAAAAGCTTACGCAGTAATGTTGCCAAACTCGGTTCCCTTCGATGGGGATACTGCAACGAGGTTGTTGATCATCAGTCCCAAGCTCGCAAGTGTGATGGGCTCAGCACGAGGCCTCCATCCAAGATTATAAGGCAGACGCTCCTGTTCGAACAGGCTGCGAACCCAGTCGAGGCGAGTCACTCCAGTGAGGTCGTCTCCACCCATTGTCTGCAAATACAGCCCGGTCTCACCATAGCGAAGGACGAATTCGCGAACGCCGTAGGTGAATTCTGGGTTCCTCGCCTCTGAGTCCTCCGTACGTCCAGCGATGGCTTTTGCAGCGCCGAGCAAGTTGGTAGTTGTGCTACCTTGATAGAACGACAAGGTCTGCTGCCAGATATTGTTGTTGAAATCGTGGTCGTTGCCGAAGAAGTCGTCTTGACGAGACAGACTGGCGTCGTGTTCGATGGGACTATCAAGCTTCGGTCAGCAGGCTCGTCTGCAAAGCCATTCGGATCGCTTACAAGTTGTGTTGATCTAGATCATTCAGATCGAAGGATCCGCCGAGAGGATTGGGCGAGGAGAGAAGACCAACACCACCAACTGCGATTGAAAAGTCTGGTCCGACATTCAAGCCAGCTGCTAATCCCTGGACCAAATGTGGGATCGTCATGTTGCGGCCGTTGCGATTGATGAACCCATGATTGGCCAGGGAGTTCTAAACACGATGTTAGACACCCAGGAGATTATAGAAGCATTGGGAGACCTACCAAGCCAGGACACGGCGACCGCACATCATTCGGTCCAGGTCTCTGCCAGTTTGTAAACCGCGGATCGTTCGCAGGAGCAGGTTTCAAGCCGTTCAGAAGTCCAGGAATATTTAGCTGTGCAGACGCACCAGCAGCAAAAAGTGCTCCCAAAGTAATAACTTGAACCATAGTGAAGATAGACCTGAAGTGGAAGTTGCGACCTGGGCCAACTTGGAAGCAGCGGCCGCCACTCTATTTGAACTCCCCATACTCAGCAACCACGCTACGCCGAACGCACATAACGCCAAAGCGGTTCGATGGAGATTTCCTGGAGTCGGAGATCGATCAGCCTCGGTCTGTGGCTCGTAGTAACAAAGCAGAATCTCTGATTCGTCGTGGAGACGGACCCTCTTAAGGCTTGCTCTGTTTGTGGGCAAAGTGATCGACGGGGTAAAAGCTTGAGTGCGTGATGGGCACGCTAAAGTCAAATAAAGTGCCTTCAAGCGCAGCCGCTTATGTAGTCGGCTGGACGCCACGCACGTTCGAACCGTGGAGGTGGCTTGTTGACGACCTTCCAAGGTGGGAGAAGGCCGAGATATTTGTATAGTGCGAGCGCTCGTCACTGCTCGATGGAAATCCAGGCGCCAGGACACACTGTGAAGGGTCAGCGATGTAGATGAAATGACTGAAGATGATGATAGTCAGGCACGGCCGATTTGCATTGACCAACTCCTGTCGATGATTGAAGACTACGATTCAAGACTTCCCCGACTCGCCAAGGCTAGGGTCAGCAGCGGTTGGCGGTACTAATAGCAAGCTCTGCCCGCGATCGATGCAGCTTGTCACTCCGAAGTAGTCGTCAACCGACATACAAGGCGCTACACCACCGACATGCGAGACTCCAGGTTTTCATTATCATGTCTACTTTTTCCTTGCCACCCGCAAGTGTCGGGGTCTACTCATCAAGTCTTCAGAATATTTCCGGCCACCTCGATAGCCCTGACGGTCCTCTCGAGGTAGTCTTGTGCCACCTCCCATTGATCTCTCTCCACTGCTTCCGTCACACCGGGGAAGGTCACGGGCGCATACCCAGTATCCAGGCCTGGAGCGAAGATCAAATGCTGGTAGAACTCCCGCGTAGGTAATCCGCCTTGCGAGGTGAATCCGCGCTGGAAGTCGCGGTACTTGGCGTTGACGACTTGGAGAAGCTCCGAATTGTTGCTGCTGATGGCGAGCTGAGCCAAGTCGGCGGCCTCTTGCGCTTGAGTGCGGAACGTCGAGATGGCATCCTGCAGACTTGAGACATCGAAGTCGACTCTCGATGAGTTGCCGATGGTGTACTGGAGGGCCTGGTAGTATCTCTGCATCTGATCGGCGTAGTTGATGGGCTCAAGAGGCAGGAGGTCATCGGAAGCCAAGTGGTAAGCAAGGAGAGCGAGGTACTGGCCTGTTGAAAGACATTAGCTGCACGACATATGACCGCTTTCGACGATATCTCTAACTCACCCATCGATTTATGTGCCAGGAATCCAGGATCCGCAAACTTGCTCATCCAGTTGTAAGAATCGAAGTTACTGTGATAGTGGTAGATCGGGTCAGTTGGTCCAGGATTTGCACCCATATCAATCGCAGCAATTCCACGATGGACGAAGCTCGTGTAGTCACTCCCAGAACCAAGCACACCAACCGTTCGGTTGGTGTCGTGGCTCCAGACATCATACATCGTCGAATTGCCTTCGAGAGCGGGCCAAAGGACTTTCTTCATGAGGTCCTGAGCAATGCGGTGCAGCTCCGGAGTGGCCGAGATATCGGGATGAGGACCAGAGACTGCAACATCGATATTGAGGTTGGCAACAACGGACTTCTTGATCCATGGCAAGTACTCCTCCATCCACTCTGTCGATCCGATCAAGCCATATTCTTCAGCGTCCCAGCTTGCGAGCACAATGGTACGCTTTGGCTTCCAGCCTTGCGCAAGAAGCTTGCCGAAGACACGGCCTAGCTCGACAATGACAGCTGTTCCGCTGTTGGGGTCTGCAGCACCACCAACGATCCAGGCATCTCGATGGTTGCCAATGACGATAGCTTCGTCGGAGCTCGTGCCGTTGATGATGCCGATGGCGTTCCAGATGTCTGCGCAAACAAATTAGGCTCCACCACATCACGTCTCTGGCCGTCTCATAACTCACCAGTGTATGCATCCTCCATTTGGTTGGTGAGATGCAGTGTAACTCCAGGCGCAGGTCCAGTCGAATACGTCGCGTTCAGTGCGCCCACCCAATTGGTCCTGTTCACCGCCGACCCATTTGTGCCATAGCCATCCAACGCCGCAAGAAGTGGTTGAGCCTCGGCATAGGAAATTGGAAGACTGGGGATGCGCGGAGTAACAGCTCCCTTATCAGCACGTGGTGAGTCCTTGCGAGACGGATAGCCGGGAGTCGTTGGATCTCCTGGATATGTGCTCAAGAACTGTACGGATCCTCTTTGCACAGCTGTGGGGTTACGAGCTGGCCCATCAGGGTAGGCAGCATAGCCTTTGGCAACTGTGATGTTGCCGTCATCTCCTGGATCGGTGAATAGAACAGCTCCGATCATGCCATTGTCCTGGGCATTTTTGACCTTGAGACCTCGGAAAGGACCTGTCAGTCACGAACATCGTCAGCGCTGGGTCTAGTGGCATTCCCGGACCACCTACCTCCGTAGCGAGCCAACGCGATCTTCCCTTCGAGGGGTACACCGAGCGCCTTGAGTCGCTCAAAATCGACTTGCTGACCTCTTCCAACATACACGTACTCGGCTGTCACGTCGCCATTGGCCGAGAAGCCATGGAAAATAGGAATCCGGTCCGGATAGCTCGACGTATCATCCTCCTCCAGCACAGCTTCCTCCAGTGAAGGAGTATATTGCGTGCCATTGGGCCATGTCAAGGCGAGAGATCTGCTGACAGGATAGTTGAGATACACGTTATAGGCGTCGAGGCGAGTGGTGAAGCCAGCTTCCGCCCACCGATCTGCAGTCCATTGGGCTTGGGACTCGTTCTTGCCGGCAATATGGTTGCCTGGCAAACAACAAGGCGTCAGCGGCGATGCAATTGAGCAGCTCCTAATCTGGCATACCGTGAGTGTAGTAATAACTCCAGTCTGAGATCTCATTGGCATCAAAGGAATCGATAATGAGTTGCTCGTCCGGGCTCAGCTCTGCCCGCGGCGTCACAGATCTCTTCGTCAGGCCATGGCTATGGAACTCGCGCTCTCGGACGCAAGCATGCGAAGTCGGCAATAGGCAAAGCGCGGCGATTGAAGTGAGGAGCTTCATTGCCGACATTGTCATACAGTGCCTAGTTGAGATGTAAGCCTTCTTATCGTCCACAGCGTGGCAGCGGCCGAGCGATATTTATGTGCTTGCATCGCGACAGAGATAGCCACGGATGACGTTTGTGTCCGTCTATGCTGCTAGTAAGGATCGCAGCGTGGTATGTTGCTTTAGTCGCTTGGCGATGCGTTGAGAGCTCTCCGACCCGCAAAGCGCGTGGTGTCGTTGTGGAGGAGCAGGGTCCTGCGCCATTGTCACCTTCCACGAGCAGAAAGGTCGCCAAGCATCGCGTGCCTGCTCCGCGCGCAAACCCCAGCAACTGCCTGGCGGAGTGCAGGCGGTATGCAGCACTGGGTCACCGCGAAAAGGAAGCAATGCAGCTTACTGTGACGCAATGGAAAGTCGTCGGCGGGGACATCGCGATCTAGGAAATGCGAATGCGCGTGGTTTGGACGAGACACGCGCGATTGCCATTCTGGCTGAAGCTTCATGAGCTTGCATGACTTTGACTTTTTCTTTGCCGAAACAAATGTTGGTCAGCAGATAGATAATGGCTCGTTGAAATGTCTCACGCCGACTGTTGACCCAATGTGCACAACGCCAATTCGCTGGTCGATAGCTGCGTACGCGGTAGAAGCTGGTTGGAAGACATGTGCAGGATGCAAGTTCCTCTTGTCGTGCATGAGATGCAGTCAATCTTCAGCTTGACCACCGAATAGTATGACCTTTGTCTGCTCGACGATCTTGATGCAGTGCTCGTGTCCTCCTGGGTGTTCTTCGGTCAGGTCGTTCCGCCTCCCATAATACTTGTGAGCAGCTCTGCGACCCCGTATTTCGCATGTTACGGCGTGTTTCATTTGCACGGTGAGCGCTGCAGCGTTATGTTGGGAAACAACCCGGGCTAGCTGGAGGTATACGCTGAGCGGCTGGATTCGATAGTCGTCGCTTGTTGATATAATAGGCCACCACCCGTCTCTTCCTTTGTGCCAACATCCTTGTGCCGCTTTAATCAAGAGAGCCGCAAACTTCCTGGATGCCTCGTGGTAGTCACGCACAATCCGAGAAATGTTGTGAGGTGTTGCTAGTAGGGGTAAGGTGTGCCAATTGGCCCTTAAATGCGGTGGAATGTACGCATGGAGTTGGACAGAGGCTTGCAGAATCTGTTTTGGTGGCTCTCGCGCCGTCGCACATGGCTCTGGACCACTTCGATGCTCGGACTTTGTTGGTGGGAGGGCGGCAGGCGTTGCGCCTCTTCGATTGCTAGAGACATTGAAAAGACATGATACGGTCCCTCGAACCTTGATGCCAACATGTTTGAGGTATGCATGGAAGCGTCGAAACATCTTCTCCGCAAGCGGTCGAGCGCCGTGTTGGTGGTTCGAGTTGCGCACGCTGTTCTGACTTTCCAGTTGATGCCTTTCGGGTTCGTACGAGTGTCGATTACCCAGAATCGGGTAGAAACAGCTCCAGTTGTTGTGCGTTGTCGAGGGGATGGAGATGTCAGACTGTTTCCGGGGGAGCTGTGTTGTGTATTTTGAGCTTGTCAGATCAGCCACATGCCAGAAAGAGGTGGTCATGTCGAAGCAGCTGCCCAAGGCAACCAGGTACGCGTAGGCTTGAACCAAGAATGAGGCCATCATGGTGCACTAAAAAGTGAAAGGGTATCTATTAGTGAGGCTCAAATTGCAATTCTGAGCCGAGTCTGTGAGTCGTAGTGTATCAATCGCTTGATGTGAGCATCTAATTTGTTAAAGGCGCAAGCAATGCTGGCCAGAGGAGAACCGACCAGACCGAATCTGCAGTCGTCGTCGTCAGAGATATAGGCCGACCGCGATCAAATACCTCTATTGAATTCAACAAGGCCGTTCTCTCCACCACATTCCCAGAACTCCTTCTCCAGACTCGTGGCCTTTACCGCTTGTCGCTGTGGGAAAGCTGCCAAAGCAAGTGGCAGCGCGAATATGCTTGTAGTGAGGATGAGTCCGAGATTGACTGGCAGTACTAACCGGGGCCGGGACTTCAGCCACTGTCTCTGCTGCAATCGTACGAGGATGAGAGGCGGGATAACCATGATCGGCGTAGCGTTGAGTACTCGGGAGACAGCAGTCTCGCCGACTGCAAGGGTGGCTGCCTTCTTGCTCTTGCCGATCGACTCGAGAGGCTGCCCAGCTTCCTCGCGCTTCTTGCGAACCTCTTCGGACTCGCTTGGGAAGACGTCGATGCCTCGACGAATCTCTTCCCCTCTCATCAGGAACACGTTCAGCACACCAGCGCTGGCCACTGCAGCAAATGGCACCAATCTACCCAAGGTGACTTTTGTACTAGGACTGAGACTTTTCAGTCTCGGTACGATGGAGTTCAGTCCGACAGCAACACCGCAACTTGCACCAACCGCCAAGAAGTAGGATTGGACTATGCTTGAGGTCGACATCGGTGTGCTCTTATTTGCATTTGAGAAGTTGATGGCGACGTTGAGAGACTGATTGGCGACTTGCCAGGCAATTGTTCCCGTAGTGGTCAGGTTCGGTGTGAGCATTCCCGCAGTGACGACCAGATTGGATAGGACGAAGCATGACATGCGAAAGGGGAGAAATACTGGTTCTCCGGTGTCTTTCTCGAATCAGTCAGAAAATATTCAGACATTCAACATCGTCCCCTACTTACCCGGATGCAGTGTGGAGTCAACAATCTTCTTGGCGGTCCATAGGTCCGGAGTCATCTGTGGGATCTTGCCTTGCTTATACTGAGTAATCAGTGCTTTGGCATTTTCGAGACCCGCCGAAGAAGTGAGCAGTGTTCTACGAGACCCATTAGCCAGTATCCCGAGCAAATTCGAAGGTCATCTTGCTTATAGGACGAATACGCGTCGAGATGACTGACCCAATGGGATCACGCAGTAGCAGTCTCGTTCCATGTTCAAAGCCTCACCTCGGATCTGAAATGTCTGCGGAGTGTTTGACTCTGCCCCAATATGTGCTGAGATCATGACGAGAAGCAGGCAGATCTCTGCTCCCTGGCAGAGCGGAAGACATGTCTGTGGACAATGAGCAGATGTCAAAGTCAAGCGAGACGCGAAATGCTCACAATCGCGGTGAGGTGCAGGAGCGGCATTCGGTTGCGATAGCCGTCCGGCCAATCACATAACGCCAAGCACAGGGATCTCCTTCTTTGACCAGCAGATTTCTCTGTTGCAACTTTCGACTTTGATATCCACGACAACATGCAATGGTAGACTCGCAATAAAGGCCATCAGGATGCGGCTCTAATTAGTACGTATCTGAGGACCTACTGAAACAATCGTGTGGATTTAGGAATCTTCCTTGTGTTTTCAAGCCTCAAACCGTCTCTCACCGCGCTCGGTCTTCGAACTCCCCATGGCAGATCTTGAGCTGGCTACACACATTGTGTTTGTGTATGAGACAAGAACAATCATCGGCGGTCTTTGAGTACGGGCCAGGCTTGCTCACCACAGTCAGGTTTCGTAATTTACCAGCTCGGGACAGATCTCATTCGGCACGGTCATCTCTGATGCTATATGCTTCAATCATAATTATATTTACACAGATATATAACCACAGCCTTTAGCACTTCTACAGAGGGTATATCACAAGCTCTGTACGCCCATACGCCAAGCAGAATTAAACATTACGTTCTCATGAACGCCTGCTGCTCTCCTCAATCTCCCTCCTCCTCGCTTCTCTGAGATCTTGACTTCGGGGCTGCCGTACTTCTCTCCACACTCCATCCCAGGGCCGGAGTTCATTTGTGCCTTGCCTTGAGATGCCGGGCGTAGGAAAGGCTGATTGGGGGTATGCAGAAGAAGCGCTTGACTGTGGCGCATACCACCCGCCGGCTGGAGTATCCTCCTCTTCTCGACCTTGCCAGTCTATGCGGAATGTGCTGGATGACGTGTCTGCAACTGAGGGTGTATCCTTGTTTAACAGTAGCATGAGCATCTGCTGTCGTTGCATTTCCTCCTCTGTAATGGATTCGGGATCGTAGCCGGTGTTGGGAGTGGCAGGTGGCCCTTCGCGGGAATATGCGGTCGGGAACATGTTGCGATTGTAATTTTGCTGGTACATCTGCTCTTGCGTGAGCGCTGTCTGACTCTCTGAAGGCAAGTGTGTCATTGGCACGGGCAGTTGCTGCTGTTGGGTCCTTGTCTTTGCAGCACCGACTTTCCTCTGCGTCCACACAAGTAGTCCTCCGTACAGAATCGTGCCGACGGCTGCACACACGGTGACCAAAAGCGCAGGAGTATTCCAATGGTATCGGCGGAAGACTGTGAAGTTGTAGAGCACTGTGAGTAATCCGATTGAACAAGACGTGAATGCTGGGAGGAACACGTTGTCTGCCTGAAACTCAGGGCTTCGCACTGCAAAACATAGCAAAGCCGTGAAGGAAATGCCGGCTGCGAGCAAGGCCACAGCAAATATGCCAATGACAGCTTGAGATATGCGTGTCTGAGGGTCACGATCAAATGTCGTAGGAAGCATAAGGAAACTGCTTGCGAATCAGCTTGGTTCTCACCTACGAGGGACGTGCCGTGGCATTCCACTCGGAGTGAACGTGGGAACCAGAAACAAGCAATCTGCTGTGCCATTGTCCTGCGTACATGCGCGCAGGTAGAGACTTACCCTCCCAGTATCATGAACGAGGACGCTACCGCCACAAGTCTCCAATACCATGCTGTATCGTTCCTCCTCGTCGCAATTCCATTCACAGTATGATAGCTTTGCGGCCGCCCAGCGCTGGACGTCCGCAGCCGCTTGAAGATATTCAAACTCGACGCTTTCGCTTGCCAATTCCGTTGCTCTTCTATATTATCTCGCGGTCCCGCATACATTTGAGACCGACTTGGGTGGGCAGTGGTCGGACACGGTGCGCCGAAGCGACTGTGAGATCTGGTCCCCCCTCTTCTTCTTTATGTTCGCAAGCTTCGGGCACCTGCGCTGCTGGTCTGTCGGCAGTGCCGAGTTCTGCTAACTTAGGCTTGCGGCTTTAGTATCTCGAAAGTCCTGGTCAGCTGGCAGGTCGGCTGGGTGGATGCGTCGTTGTCGCGCGATGTGGTGATTTCATGAGCGATCGGGGTACCTTGTCCCATGCGCAGGGCTTTACCCTTCTTAGGGCTTTACCCTTCTTTATCAAACCGGGTGAACAAGTTCAGCAGGTTGTGCATGGCCGTCCGACCTACATCGTAAGCCGGTCAGAAGATCTACCTTGTTGCCGAGTGCGCTAAGAGCCGTAAGCCACGCTTCTCCGTCCCACAGCTGCGAGACTGCGCCTCCAAATGAGAGTATAGCAGTCAACACGAGCATGCTGCAGGTCAGAGTGGCTGTGGCTCGGAAGTTTCGTGCAGCGCGCATCTGTGACGTTGCATCGGAACGTGTCTGTAGGGGACTCGGCGAATGTGCAGACGCGAAGTCAGGGCGACCTGGAGTTTTAGCTGCTCGCTGACAGTCGTGATTGCAGAGAGAGCCACTTCCCGGTTTACGGAAAGGTAGGTCGCAGCTCGCAGTTCATGCAGAAGTTCAGCAGAAGTCTCTCAACTTGTACGAGATAGTGGAAGATGGAGTGTGAATGGAGAGACAAAGTAGTGAAAGCACAGCAGCCACAAGCGGACGGAAACACATCCTGCGCATCCTCCACGCCTGGTGCACTGTCATCTGTGGCTGGTGGCTCAGAGCGTCCATCCTATTGACTATATGGGTCGTGATCAAATTCAACAGGGAAATTGCCCAGAAACGCAGTGTCTTCTCTCACATACACGCTGACGGTGTGCCCTCTGCACGCGAACAAACCACGGCCCTGCTCGTCAATCACAACCTCTGGTCGACCTTCTGGTCCTTTCAGAATGTCAATCCACCTCTCGCCAGGCTGACCAGCAACCATACTCTTGACTGTCCACTGATTTGGCTTATCGATGCTCATGATGACTACGCAGCCGGGTCGATCGTGAGTGCCTGATCTCGTCCAGCCAATGCATGACTGGCTGTCCATAGAGTCTGTCTGCGCCCCGTACGCAAAGAGCTTCCGAGCAAGCATCAAGGATGGCAGTACAGGATTTTCGCAGTGAGGACCGTCCTCACAAGGTGGTCGGCAATGCGGGTCTTCGGCCGCTTCTCCTTTCTTACCTTCACAGACTCCGTATAGGTCACCCCAGAAGACGTATGGTAACCCTCCAGCGCGAAGCAAGATGAACGCGTAGAATAGTGCCTTGAGACCCTGATCCATAGGGACACAACTTGCCTGTCCGGTCTGTGTATCATGACTGGTGACAAATGTCACAGCTTGATATGGCCGGACCGCTACCAGTGCCTGCTTGTCCGGATCTCCTGGACCGGAAAGCAGAGTTCTGAGATCAGCGTTCTTGCTGCCTCGGCGTACATCTTCAGACACGCGACTGAAGCTGTACAGCAAGGGCGCATCGAAAGCATATGCCAGCTGCGTACCACAGCCTTGCGGAGTAACTGTGTCAAGCCATCTGAGCTGTCTGCTGACCTCGGCAGCCAGTACCTCGCCGACGACAAACGCATCCTTGCCAAACCGTCTTCGACTAGCAGCATGGACTTGACCAATCCACTCTCGTGTGAAGTGCCAGCTGAAATGCTGTGCAGCGTCCAGTCTGAACCCACTGATGCCAACGTCTTCAACCATCCATCTGCCCCATTGTAGGATATCGTTGCGAACTTCAGGGTGGTGGTAGTAAATGTTCGAGAAGAGAAGGTAATCGTAGTTGCCATGCGTGTGATCCACATCGTCTACCCAACCCTTACCGGGTCGTTTAGCCGGAGGGCCATCAAGGAGTGCGCTCTTCATTGCATCTTTTGCGAATCTCGCGAAACGGTTGAAACCATTATTTGGCTTGCCAGGCATAGGAAGCTGCTGATCGTTCGGCCTTGGACAAGTCGCAGGGTCGTCTATCAATTTGTAAATGGCATTCTTCTGGCTGCGCTGATCCCAATCCGTGCCGCTGAAGTGCTCTGCTCTCCACTTCATCGGACTATATTTCATGCCTTCTCTTTCTCGACCTGGGAATTCATACTTCAGCCATGCCTCAATCTTCTTTGGTGCGCAAATTTCCACCCTGCGATCATGTCCATCGACCTCAACAGCCCAAGCTTCTTCCACTGCGTCTCCAGCAGTCTTGTGATTCAATACTGCATCCCAGATGAGCTCTACACCTCCGTAACCATGTGGTCCGTGTAGTTTGCTGGCTGTTTGAACTAGATCATGCAGTTCTTCGCGACTTCCCCATCTCGTACTGCGCGTATATTTCTGGTCGAACTCGCCCAGGTCCCACAAGTCGTAGCAGTCGTAACCGTTGCCATCTGGGTTATTCGCTTTACATCCGGGTGGTAGCCACACTGATGTGACACCGAGTTCGTTCAACTTGGGCAATAGGCGGCTGAGTCGCGACCAGTGCGAGCCGTGACAGTGCGTTTCGTGAGGGGGCGGAGACTCAGACTTGTTGTGCCATTCGAAAGCCTGGAAGAGCAAAGGGTTGTCTGGCGTGTATCCCTGCTGGCCTGACGCCTGGGAGGGATAAGGTCGAGGAGGAACAGGAGGTGGTGGTGGTGCGGTAGTTGGCTGGTGCTGTGGTGGAGGTGCTCCAGAAGCCGAGCTGAATTCATCGCGGAGGTTGGACAGATTCTGCTTTAGCCATGACATCTTGCTATGCGCTTTGGTATGCGATGAAGAAAGAGAGGAACGGCAATCCTTCACCTACATGTACTCTCGCCGATTGAATGGCCCATTTCTATTTAGCCATAGTGTAACCGCTGAGTCGACCCACAACTCCAAGAATCGCGGCGCTGAGATAGAGATGTGGATGTTGTGATGGAGCCAGCCCCGAACTCGGGCCTCTCGAAGATGTTGCAAGTTCCCATTGGTGATGGTCGGGGAACGCAGCCGATGACGCCTGTGCGATGCTGGGCACTTTAGCTTCTCGCCAAGAGCGAACCGTTGTGGCAGTCGTATTGCAAACCAATAAAGAAGCTGGTACAGATGCAGCGCGAGATCAGCTTGCATCGGTATTGGTATAGCCATTTCATCTTGGAAAGGTTGACGCCGGAGTCTTCAGCATGGGAGTCATGGACAACGAGAATGTAGAGCGGCTCTCATACTCAAGTCATGGATACAGGTTCTTCGAGGATCCCACATGAGCCTTCGGTTGGATGAACATTGCAGTACTGAGAAGCTAAGATTGATTCACTTTTTGAACTGACTTATACCTACGCAGGCGAAGAGGATCTGGTATGACGTTCACTCAGCCTCTGTCGAACTTCTGCGCTCGCAACGAGATACATTGCGGCTGGTGGTTGTCCGCTACAGGAAACACGCATATCTTGCAACAAGGTGTTCAAGCCACTTGCGTGTTGCTCAGCAGTAGTCGCCTGCATCAACATCCCGACTGGTTTGCACTCCATGCCACATCCTTCACTCGACCACGCTCTTTCTAGCTATTCTCGTTATGGATGCTCGAAGTGGTGTGCGCGCAGGCGAGACTCTGGTTGGTTCTCGTGTGCCTCATCGAACGGTGTTTTCACAAGCGGCCGCCCTGCTGGCCAGGTGTCCAAGAGCCCGGGCGCTTTGTTGGACGAGTATCGAATCCCACCCCGATTGGATGCGTTCTTGCGCTGCATTCCTCGTTCTTGCATTCAATATTCTTCGCATAGGTCGCGGGTGTTGGCGTAGTTCAAGGAGAGCGGGAGCTAACGGCTGTACAAACTCAATCATTCAAGCTTCACGAACTCTAAGCACAACCTTATATGACCTGGCTCAAAAGAAGCTTATCAACATGTTTGTTTTCTTGAACTCTGCGTTCATCAAGTTGAACCTTTTTCCTGGTCTTCTACTCTCCTACTCAGATAGGCGGAGATGTTGCCGTGGCGCAGCTGCCCCTTGCTTGCCAAGTATCGTATACTATGCGTGTAACAGTGACTTCCTACCATCAGACCACTAGGTGACGGCAAGAGTGGGCGCAATTGGCATATGGGATGCGATACGAATTCTAATGCTAATGATAGCCTCGATGAAATCTCGTTCGCGCTTTCGCGCCCATTTTTCGGCCCGGTACATTGATAAAATGTGGGGCAAGAGCGAACCGATATAAGGAGCATGTGCTGCTCAAGATCAATATCCTACAAACAGATCAGAAAGTTCAACAAGTATGAAGTCATTCACTATCTTTGCCTCAATTATTGCGGCAGTTGCTGCTGAGTGGACATGTCCACAAGACCACAACGTACGTGTACTCGCTGGATGGCACTTGTCTTTTGTCGATTCTCTGACTGCAGACCAGCATCTGTGGTCGTCAGCTGAACAGCAGATATCACAAAAGTGACGAACCAAATTCGAGCCATATGCTTACTCTTATCTCTAGACCAATTACACGGTGTACGGAAAACAGTGGAACATTCAATGTGACAACAGCATCCAGGGCACAGACATCCGCCGCTTCTACAACGGCGAGCAGGACACTCTTCTGTCTTGTGCATATGCTTGCGCCGAAGATCCAACCTGTTTGGGTACCAGCTACGTCTCGATGGTATGTCGAGTTGTCTTCATGTTGCAGAGCTTTCCGCTGACTTCTGAAGACTTACACTTGCATCCTCAAGTCGTCGATCGATGCCATCAACCTCCGGCCAGGTATCTGGTCGGCATACCCAATTGAGGACGAGAACTGTGCGTAGTATCATTTTTGGACGAATACCGCGGGAGAGACTGAACCGCAGGTTGCGACACCAGAGTGTTGTCTGACTGGTTGAACACTGGCTGACACCACGTGCAGAAACAACGACTCAAGGTGATCGGAAGGCCAGTAGGGTGTCGCCAAGAAGGACCTGAGAGAGAGATCGCGGCGTTATATTCTTACAGTTGCCACGTGCCAGCCAACTCATCAGGACCCGGGAATGGATACAGCTTCTCAGTGCAGTTTCACAATCTCAATAAGCAGGCAAATATATCTTTGAATGATCTTACCGTATGAAAAGATGCATTCATAGGTAGTGCGCTTGAACCTGTCTTGAGGCTGTAATGCTCCACGTAGATCTGAAGTTGAGGCGTGCATTGGCTTCCAAACGGACTTGGCAGGGAAACTCTTGATGTATTGAATTCGTGATGAGAACGTTTCCAAAGGTGGCCACATTGTGAGCCTCGATGTCTGTCCACGGGTGTGGCCTGGACACAAGGGCCTTCGCGTTGCTTTAAGAACACGGACGAGCTCTCCACGTAGGTCACGATGGACGTGAACTGCAAAATGCTGCAGTTTCCAACTCACGATATGCTTGTGTTATGCGCACAGCCGTAGAGCCCAGAGAGTTCCGGGGGCGTTGGCATGCCAATCCATCATAGTCGCAATTCCTGCTATTTCTCCGAACCATGCTGGCCGTTGAAGATCCCGTCTGGCCGCTGATCTTGGCGCTTGCGGCGATGCATTGGACTTCCGTCGTCGTTCTCCCGGACGGAGCTTGCCTCGCGAAAGGAATTTGCGATGGAAACAGCCGTCGGTGCGCACATGTAAACCAGCGCTGTAGGTGAGGGCGTCGGCAATAGATTTGATCTGAAGACTGATGAAAGGGTGGCCGGAGAGGTGATCTCATAGCGTGCATGCATCGGAGTGGATAATTGGTCGCTCAACGTTCTCGGCAAAGGAGAGCTTTGCTTCCGTAACTTCGCGAACTGCGAGAAAAGTTGTCACGGAGAGCTTTCCATTGCGACACTCCTCTCGAACTTCATCAACACAGCGCCTTGTCGCATCCCATCTCCACTCAGTCCTTGCGACGTTCGCGATCCTGTAATCGTCCACGCCGGATCTCTCTCCTCACAACAAATACCGCACAATGTCTGGAACCGCGACACAACCGCCGCAGAGCACCGGCATTGGCAAGCTCGACGCCGCAAAGGAGAATGTGGCAGCAAACACACCCGAGAAGCTCAGCGGAGTCGCTCTCTACTCGCGCTTCGCTTTCGCCGGTGCTGTCTGCTGTTCAGTGACCCACGGTGGTCTCACACCCGTCGATGTGTAAGTCAACAAGAGGCATTGAAAAGAGACGGGCAGCGCGGGACAACGACAAACGCTTGGGACAACGACAGACGCTTGGGACCACAATATTTCTGCGTTCTTGGGTGATGCGCGTCGCTGCATATAATGGACGGCTGAAAGCCTGGGATGGCGCGGGTGAAAGGACAAAGCTAACGATGGCACTTTACAGCGTCAAGACCCGTATCCAGCTTGACCCAGCAACCTACAATCGCGGACTGGTCGGTGGCTTCCGTCAAGTCATCGCAAAGGAGGGTGCCGGCGCTCTTCTGACCGGTGCTGGCCCAACTTTCGCCGGTTACTTCCTCCAGGGTGCTTTCAAGTTCGGTGGTTACGAGTTCTTCAAGCAACAAGCCATCAACTACCTTGGCTACGAGACTGCATCAAACAACCGCACTGCCGTTTACCTCGCATCCTCTGCCACCGCCGAGTTCTTCGCCGATATTGCCCTCTGCCCTCTCGAGGCTACCCGTATCCGATTGGTGTCTGAGCCAACCTACGCCAGCGGTCTCGTTTCTGGCTTCACTCGCATGGGTAAGTGTAATTGCTAGTAGGCATCTTCCATCCGCGCAAAAGATATCTCAGGAATAACAGTACCTTCCACTAACTGCTTTTCACAGCCAAGGAAGAAGGATTTGGCGCTTTCTACTCTGGTTTCGGACCAATCCTCTTCAAGCAGTAAGTGTGAAAACCGCCGGTGCCCATACTGGCCTTTTCTGACACGTGATTCAGGGTCCCATACACCATGGCCAAATTCGTCGTTTACGAGAAGGTCTCTGAGGCTGCTTACAAGAACTTCTTCGACAAGGAGAAGACCAGCTCCGGCATGCAGACCGTCATCAACCTTGGCTCCGGTTTGATTGCCGGCTTCGCTGCCGCCATTGTTTCGCAACCAGCCGATACCATGCTGTCCAAGATCAACAAGACAAAGGGTCTGCCAGGCGAGGGCACCACTTCAAGATTGCTGAAGATAGCTAAAGAGTTGGGCATCCGCGGCTCGTACAGCGGCATTGGCGCCCGTCTCTTCATGGTCGGCACCCTGACTGCGGGCCAGTTCGCGATCTACGGCGACATCAAGAAGGCAATCGGAGCTGTAGGTGGGGTGGAGATCGCCTCGAAATAGTTCAACGATGAACTAGCGAAGATGAAGAGCATTGCAGATACTGGAGGACCGCGGACAAGTATGTGGGAGTTGGTGTTGTCACCGTGAAGGTGGGATGAGGAGCGTGGACGGTCGAGCGGTGCAGTGGCCAGGTACCAGCAATACGGCCGCGCTATACAATAGAGATAGCAGTCTGAAGCATGTGTACATTATTGAAGCAATAAAGACGGCGCTTGATGGTTCTTTCACGTTCATTCGAATATGAACCCAAGCCATACCATAATGCCAAGCCAAGCCAAGACTTTTGGCTGAGCTGCGCGGTCGAAGGAAGCAACAGATGGCTGCAGTAGAAAGAGCGGCTGACACCGCATTTACTGCTATAAGTGCAGCATAGTACATGGCATTTGGGCTTCGCGACCCCAAAAGATCTCCAAGTCACGCCGCATAAGACACTTGTCCACACATCGACGAGTGTTCGATTGACCAGCATCTCGGTCGAGCTTGGGATGGCTGTACCAGGTTTTGTCACAAGGAAGATCGATCATGAACCAATTTTTTTTTGGCTACGTGTCTATGATTACACGAGGTGCTTTCTCATGCTCGTCAGCATCCTCAGCAAAAGCTGGGCGGAGAAAGCCGGCACGCGTCTCTGCCCTTCCCTGTCCATGCACACGCCAACCTGGACTCTCTACCCATGCTGTCTGGGATATCGATGACGTGCCAAAATATCGCAAAGAAGTGTCGGTCCATCTGCCCAAGTTGACAATCGTTCGCACTAACCGAGGGTGACATTTGATCCCAACCTCCGACGACTCTCATTTCTTTGCATCCTCCACCTCTCCAAAAAGCTCAACCGCGAATTTCGGAAGCACAGCTGGCGGTCGGCTGCTGTCCGCCTCAGAAGGATCGTTTGCAGCACCGCGCGAGTCCTGCAGTGTCTTGGCTCTGGCTGGAAGAGTACTGGTCAGTAGCTCTTTCTTCGTCAAAGTAGGCTTCTTGCGAAGAGATCTCGCACGCCCAAGCACGGGACCATGCGCCCCTGGATACAGGAACTCTTCAGCAGAGACGGTGTCGGACTTTTGTGGTGACCGCTTGGTGTTTGGATCTTGAAACGGTTTGTCGCCTCCGAAACCATGCGCGCGAGAGTGAGCAGAATCCTCATACCACTTGGAAGACTTGGCCGTGGACGGTGCGGAAGCAGTGGCAGCGCTCGTGGAGACGCTCGCAGTGCTTGATGTGAGCTTGCCAATCAGCTGCGGCTTGCGTGGTTCTTTTGGGTTGTTCTTGCTCGCCGCCTTGCTTGCAGTGATGGCTCGCATCTCTTCCTTTGACATTCCAAGTACCTCCGCATCGATGTCCTCCAACTCATCTTCTGCTTTCTGCGCTGCTTCCATGGCCTTGATTTTCTCATCGAGTTGCGCATCAAGCTCCTCTTCACGGGCTTCTTCATCACCTGTGTCTTCATCACTTGGTGCCTCCTCGATCAGCATCTCCTCCAGCTGCTCCAGCCCCTCCGAGAGTTGTGTCATAATCTTGTCGAGCTCCGCATCTTGACCACTGGGATTGCAGCGCTGTAGGAAACGATGCAGCACTTTGGCGTCACCGAGGTAGCTCCAGGCCGTTGAGTAGTCGTCTTCGATAGCGACAAGAAGACACAAGATGCGGATGCGAAGGTAATTTGGAAGGGCTGACTCTGCGAGCATTTTCTGGCACTCAACCATACATTCGGCATTCTTGTCAGCTTGGTACAAGGCTTGTGCCTCGTCTAGGCCTTTTGAGAAGCTCTGGAAGATGAGATCCTTATCGGTCGCCATGATTCCTTGCTTCCGTTTCGAGGCGTCGCAATCAGCCTCCAGGCGTGGTATGAATGGACGATAGACTGGTAGTCGAGCGTAAGAGATGCTCTGCACAACTGGAGCAAGATCAGGTGGAAAGCTGCAAACACTTCGAGCCGCAATAGATGACTCTGCTGTTCTGGAAGCGTCGCGGCCAACAGATCTCGAAGCGGAAAGTAGCTGTTGATTCCCGAGGAGGCGAGAAATACGGTGTGGTATCCGTTCAGCTAGAATGCAATAGGCGCAGACGCGCTTTTGGGAAGGTGCTGAACAAACTTCGTTTCGCGGACGTACATGTATTGTTGCAGCTTGTAGCGCGTGAACCGTGTCGCCGGGCCCGAAAGCAAAACGTGACGTGACGTGACGCGCTCTTGGCAGGGATCCAGGGTCCAGCACGAAACGTCGCGTGCTATGCACACTTCACCTCTCTCTCAATGCTTTCACTCTGCTCCGCTTGCCACTTTCCCGCCTGCTGATGGCGAGACAGCAGACAAAGATGTTTGTCCGTTGGACTGAGCCCTGGTGCGGAAGGCCCGATTGCAGCTGCATCGCAAACGCAGAGCTTCCGCGTTGTCCCCGACTTCACCTCCCGATTCATACACTCAATTCCACTGGCACCTTTGCCGCCAGCCGACGACGCGATGGCGTGCAGTCGTGTTTGCTCGTAGGGTTGAGGCACGGTGCAGCGGCATGTCTGCGATGCAGCTGCACATGCATATTCCTCAGCTGGGCAGATTCCAAGTCTTAATCCCGTCAATTCTACTCTGCTTGCGGCTTCCTTGCCAATCGATAACAAGATGGTGTGCAATGATGTTTGCTCAATAGATCGAGTTTCGATCTGAACGGCTCGTTTGCAGACACGACTCACCCGGCCGGTCACTGGAACATGTTTGCATCTGGCATTTGTCTCTAGGAACTGCGTTCTAGTAAGTGAATGAAGTTTGGGACAATGTTGCTGACTTTTCGTGTTGAGCCGACTCCTTGGGTGCTTTCACGCGTGCGAGTTTGTTCAAGCCAGAAGATTCGCCCTTACAGTGGTGCTGTCTTTCGGCGACGTGCATCACTCGTGGCATCCGGAATGCGCCATGTGCAGAAACAAACAAGTGGTGCACTTTCCCTTAAGTCGTCCTCCCGTCCAATAAGCATACTCAGATACAGCCTCAATCGCTTCGTCTGCATAGTCTCCACAGCTTCCGGGAAGCACAATTCGCGTCGGCAACACCTCGTTTCCAGCCCGTGTACTTCGTGTGTCCCTACGCTCCCCGCACATCTGCCTTCTGCAGCGTACGTAAGGCATCCCTTTCCAACAAACTAACACAATCACAACATCGAATCGTCCCGAGCAGGTATCATGGCTCCAAAGAAGAGCCGTAAGCGCAAAGCACCTGATGCTGGTGAAGATGGTTCGAGCAAGAAGCGAGTCGCCATTCTCCAAGACTCTGCGCCGTCTCACGCCGCCTTGTTCAGCGACACATCCATATCGCCTCCTGCTACTTCTCCAGAAGAGTCCACAGGTGTTGCTACTACACTTCCGGGCCTTTCTGACCTTGACTACACTCCGAACAAATGGGACTCTCCTCACCTCCATCGGTACTTCGAATTGCTTCAAGATGGACACTTCAAGATGAAATCGGGCGCCACGGCAAAGTACACAGCGCCCACTCCAAAATCAGAACACGTTCTCGACCTGCCGGCGGTGGAAGGCCGGAACTTCACTCTCGTGGAAGACGCAATTTGCCTTGTGAACCAGGATCAGCCTGATGGCACGACTATCAAAGTTTGGAAAATACCTATTCGCAACATGACGGCTGAAGAACTGCAATTCGACGCCTTTATGGTACCAGGGTGGGCCACACCACTCAAATGCCCGTCTTGCAAGAAGAAGCAAGTGAAGTGCAACAAAAAGAGGCCTTGCGACAAGTGCTCCAAAGACCCAGTTGACGCAGCGGAATGCGTGAAAGCCAAACACGAGGTCGCAGACCACAGATGGCTCACAGAGTCGGCTTGCTCGAGTGAGAACATTTCCAAGATCGTTCAACTGGGCCAGCTTGTGGCTCAGATTTTGAACAGAGTGCCATTCGAGCCAGATGTCGATATATGGACTGGTAGACGCCAGCCTGACGTTAGAGCGCTCGTCCCGCCACAGAAACGATTTGTTGAACTCGTCAGCATCATTGAGTGGAAGCGACGACACTTCCAGGAACTGGATTTCGACCGTATCCCACCTCACCCTGCGCCGTGGTCGGACAAAACTCACACATACCGCTTCTTTGGCAGAGCGGCCTTTGGAGGACCACCCGTCTTACAATGGCGGAAACAATCATACGGCACGCAGCCACGCAGCCTGATATGGTCAGGCAAAGACGGTCAGCACGCCAACTTTCTGACATTGAGTCCTGCCAACTTCGATGCGTCGCAGCGTGAGACGCCTTCGGAAGATCATCTCGATGACTATCAGTTCTTCGGCCAGTACTTCGATGGTGCTCCTGACGATTGCAACAACAAAGATCTTGTCACGGAGGCCAAAACCGATTCTAAGACCGCTTCTATGCTCCGGGCATTCCAGCAAGGTCTCTTCGCACTTGTTGGCCACGTAGGTGAATGGACTGCCATCAACAGTACTTGGCATGAACATACATCCGCATACCAAAGCAAGGCGGGAACAAAGGGCGCGATGTTAGATGGACCGCTCAATGGTGGCCTTCTGCTCAAGAAACCCAATGCGATAACAAATGCCCTCTACTTCGGTCAAAGCTGGCATGCGCTTCTCGCGAAGCCGTTCACTCACGCCGCTATACCGAAGGTCGATGATCGGGCGTGTCTCTCATACGCCATGAGCACCACGTTGGACGCATTTGAAGCTGGAAAGTCTTTTCCTTGGATCACGTTCACGCTGTATCGAGCGCTCTATGAGCTCGAGTCAGGGATTGTCACGAGAGACATGGTCATCGAGCAGGCCTTGACTTCTTTCGATTCTGCAGACCCAGACAACGCATCTCGCTGGGCCATCTGTATGCACTGCTTGAAGTCGATAGCCCGCGATAGGCTGTGCTGGATAGAGACCATCAAGGGCCCACTTCTATGTTGCAGGTCATGCTCAAACAGTAGCTATGCTCTGAAGACTTTCTCTAACCGACCGAACCTTTTTGACACGTTGCGACGCCGTTGTGAACAAATATTTAAAAGCGACAGCCTCTTCACCACCCCAGACTGGACACCGAACGAGCTTTCAGCGACCTTACATCAAAACCACCAAGTGCCAGGTGAGGTTGTCAAGTACATTCACGGCTTCACAGCACTGCCAATGGACTTGTATACTCAGTCTGCGATCTACCTCCGCCCCGAGATCGAGAAGGTACACCAGCGATACGGTGACCAACTTCACAGTCCTCACAACATCACTTTGGTTCCAAGTTGCCTGAACAAGTTGCATCTTACCGGAGCAATCTCGCTGCTCCCAGTGGTCAAGAACGCAATGGTTCTGGGCTTGAAGGAGCAAGAATTGGGCCGTCTTCGCCCCAGATACCACCCTGACCTGGAGGCAGAGTGGGCCGCAAATGAAGCCGCTCAAGATCATCAGCGAATCGTCTGCTCTTTGACTCCATCAAACACTAAGCTACGGATGCGACAAGAGCGTTCTCCCGAGATTGATCAGCGAATCAGAGAGATGGAGAAGAGCGGCGTGTGGGACGGAGATCTCGTTCCCTTCGTGAAGGGCCTGTTTCAAACCAAGTCGAGCCGCATCCAGTCTCCACACTGGCCAGTCGAAAACATGTGGCAGGATACTCGCTGGAAAGAATTGGTTGCACTGATCAAGGAAATGCAAGGCAGCAAGGATTGGAATCCTGAATCCAACGATATCGTCTGGATTGGTCCACAGCAAGATCTTCCTTGGTTCTGGAGAGAGGACCATGCTCCGACTGACGTCGACCGCGAATAATACTGGCGATTCTACTCGGGAGAGGTGAATACGATCGACACCTTATGCGACGCGAAGCATGAGACAAAGGAGTCGCCAGATACACTTCTACTTCATGATGCTCGTCAGTATCTCATCAACGGAGGGCGGTGCCATGTCATGTTTTGGAAGTTGACGTGCCGTGCTGGCTACCTATCTTCAGCATCGAAAGGCCGAGGTACCCTCAAGCTCATGGAAGACGGTACCCAGAAACCCATCATGCCGGGTGAGCATATGCGTAGTGGTTGGACAAACTTGCAGCCAACGTCCCTGGACGCTTATGATCCGCATCGGCTGACAATCGTCACCGAATCTGTCAAAGCCAATCAGTATCGCTACTGCTACCGTGGTCACCCCGATATCCTGATTCCTGCTCTCCGACAGGTCGTTCTAGATCTACCAGATCAGTGTCAGTGGTATGGTCCTGTCCAGAAGCAGTACACGCCAATCAAGGGTTGCCCAATCTGGCGTCGCACAAATCCATGGTACAAAGGCTTCTGTGAGAATCGACACGTCTTAACTCGGAAGTTTCAGGACGCTGAAGATGAGGAGCCTGACCTTGGCGATGACGAAGAAGAGGCCATTCAGGAAATGATGGATGATCTGTTCGCAGCTACGAGGCCCAGCAGTGACACGGCGACGCCATTCGAACGTCTCTCATTGGCCAAGGCACGTATCGCAAAGCTGGATTGCGGCACGGATGAACAGGTACAAAAGATGGTGGAGAACGCTACAAGCAGCGTTGATGATTCAGACCTCTTTGAGCAACAGTTGCAAGAGTTGACCACCTTGCTGGATCGCATCGATGGCATTGCAGAGCGCAGCAAGCGTCTTGATGCGCTGCTCGATCGCGCTGATCAGCTCAAATGCTCTTTGAATGAGGATGTGCGGACACTCATCAACAGCGTGACCAACAGCATCAACGACCAAGCCTCGTGTGATCAGCACTTACAGTCACTTTCGGCTCTCTTGGACAAGCTTGGAGGCAAAGAACAGCCCCCAGGGTCTGATCCGGACATGTTGCCAGCGCTGAGAGATCTTCGCAACTTCGTCAATCTCGGACAAAGCTGCTATGCCAGCGCCTCATTGGCCATGTGCATGAATTTGGAGAAGTTGCACGACTTTGTCATGGATGAGAACAATGAGCGGGCCAAGCCAGACAGCCAGTCTGGTCGAACACCACATGAATGGCTCAACACATCGTACCCGATTCGACGATCGTCGACTCTGCCTGGCGCCACGAACCCCAGCACCACAAGCGAGGATCAGATTGCTGAGTGGTCTCAGAAGCACATGAACAATGCCAAGAACTTGTTTGGAGCTCTGCGGAACTTGTTCACGAGAATGAATAACAAAGGCAGCCGGATTTCGCAAGCCGAGATGAAGGCCTTTTTCGATGCCGTACACGCATTGAACCCAGAAGAATTCCACCACAACGAGCAGAATGATGCTAGCGTCTTTCTCATTGAGCTTCTTCAGGCACTGACATTGGTTTCTGATGATTCCATAAAGCAGAAGTATAGAGATGCCATCGCAAGCATCAATACTGCCGACGGTCAAAACCTGCAGCCAGTGGAGACGGATGCGATGACTCGCCTCACGGCAAAGCTTCAAAATGGTAACGACAGTGCGTTGTACATCCTGTTCTGTGTCCAGATCGCCACGGAGTACTATTGCTGGAGCTGTAAACTGGTTCACAGAACATTTGAGCACACGCCTTACCTGGAGCTTAACTTCATTGGCCCTACGGGTGCGGATCAGAACCTGGTCACCATACTGCAAGATTGGAGCAAGTTATCCCTTTCAGAACCACAAAAGTGCCTGCACAATGATTCCAAGCTCGGCACAAAGACCAGAATCAGGCGTATCGTTCATGCACCTCAGTATCTCATGATCAAGTTCGTGCGTGGAAACTATCTTTTCATGAACCACGTCGACATTCCAGAGTTCTTGGACATCAGAAACTGCACGACCGGGGTTGTACTCCCATCAGAGATTGTTCATGGCATCGAGTCAGCTCAGCAAGTCAGCTGCATCTATCGCCTGACTGCCGTGGCCATGTTCATACCCACCCGCTCACACTACGTCGCCTATGTCGTGAAGGACCGTCACTGGTTGGCGTTTGATGACCTGTCACAAAGCCCGATACCTGTCCGAGAGCATCCGCAGACTGCTATTAACAATGGAGCAGTGCCATACTTCACGATTTACGAGCAACAGCCCGAGAAGACATCATTCCCTCTCGATCTGGCGGACAGTGTCTCTCCTGGATTCACCCTACGGAAGAATGGTCAAGTTCCATCTCCGAAGGCAGCGCTGCCACGCTGGAATGCGAGCGACGAGTTTGAGTGCCTTCACCTCAGCAATCCGTGCGACAAGACTTTCAGAACGGTGGGCGAAGCACGTGGTCATCAGCATGATCAAGTGGGCGATGACGAGCAGGCAGCGTCGCATTTGTGAGGCATGATGGTAATGGTGGAAAAGGCTCTTGGATTGATGAACCTGTGTGAGGAGACTGGGCATGCTGCCGGTGGTCTCTCTGTTTCGCTTCCTTCATGTAGCTGCACACCAAGCCACTCAGTCAAAAGAAGTGCCGACAGGGGCAGGTGTGTTGACCGCAGAGGTTCGACAGAACCCAGGAGTGAGACTGCTCACTCCTCTGCCCAGGAGCTCGAATGCTCTTTCGATTCTCGCATTTCTGCCTTGTGCAGCCTAGCTAAGGCGAGCTGTCTCGACCAGCGAGGCAGCTGCGAAATCAAGCTCGCGAGAGTGGTCGCAAAGTACGCATGTTTCCTAATTTCCATTTTGCTGTCCGCAACTAGCCTCATACTTGTTTGGACAGGATCCTGTTCGCCTGCATAGGATTCGCAATCAATCAGTGAAACGTCAGTGCTGCAATGCTCACGACCTCGTCCGGGTCTCTGGAGCAGACGTGTTGCCGTAAAGACTGGATCACGTCCATATCTGCAGTAATGTCTCACTCCCAGCTCGCTTGCTTCTTGAAACGAGGCATGACTGAAGCGTCAAGGACTGCGACGCGCGACGTACATCTACGGCTGCATATGGGCTTGCATATGCCAGCTCAGCAGTGGGGCGTATGCAGAGAATCCTCCAATGTCCAGAATCGCTCCGTCTGGCGGCCTCTCGGTGTCCTTCCGAATTGCTTGCAGCACGCGCGCGCAATCATTTCGGCTGGCCGAACGCTGCAATTGATGCATTAGGGAGTCGGCACTACGAGTATTGGTCGACTACCAATGTGCACATACTTGAGCAGTGCAAAATCGACACACGATGGTCGAGACACAGCACTAAGGTACCTACATTTCCCTCACTGTTGCCCGCGATGTTGCGCTTGAGCGCGTGATCGGAATCATCGCTCCTCATTTGCTCCAGGCATGATTGCCTGGCGCCACTGCTCCGAGACGATCACAGATGGTGTCCTCCTCAAACCCATTGTCTACCGCTCAACGAAGAACTGGTTGCCTTAACAACATCATTGACCGCAGCAAATGCAGCCGAGCCGCAAGCTCAGGCAACGGGGCCTCCTGATTGGTCAATGCGTTGGACAGCATGTGGCTGATTGCAGGGCATTAGACCACAGCAGCACAATCTATGTTACCACCAGTCCTTCGACGCTTGCGACAAAGCTAGGTGCCCATGCTGAACCTCGGGCCCAGATCAATTGGAGATTGCTAAGCGACGAGATCTTTGAAAGGATGATTCGTTCAACAGCTCGGCACAGTTCGCATCCACATCTCAGCCTGACAAGCTGCACCCGGGCGTAGGTACTTATGCAGGGAAGCTTGTGCCCGGGGCGGCCTCCACGATCCTCTAAGAGTCACACTAACAAACCAGCGGAGTGGCCCGTCGCAGCTTTGATGTTACTGCTGTGCAGCCTTGAAGATGTTGGCGGAGCGGGCGGATGGCGCATGCGGTCGTGGTGGGTGCCGACAGCGGGGCGACATGCATGATACACGAGTGTCTTGTTGCCTTCGATGGCTGCGAGCCAGCTTGCGAACTTATGAAATTGAGGCCGCCGCTTCCTGGTGCGAATTTCGTCTTCGATTTCTACTGAGCGGAGTCTGTCCATTGTTTCACTTGAAGAAGAAATATCTCAGTTCACTCCAAACCAACCCTGTTGCTCGTGCACGAGAACTTGCGTTGCATACATCGTCCACCCTCAGCACCTTTGGTGCAACAGATGCAGCAAGGAATGATGTTCGATCCACCAATGCCGTCGCAATTCGATGGGTTTCCTGACGACGGTTACTACGACGCTCCTATCAATAGGAAGGATAAAAAGGATAAGACCAAAAATGAAAGAAACCCCACCACGGGCATCGTGGCCATGTACGAGGGCTGCGTCTTGCAGAAAGCCCCAGCGCGGCCTGGCGAATTCGAGAGCTGGGCTCGACCAGATCACGAGCCTCTTCATAGTGGCGACATCGAGCTTGCACAGCTGTCGCGAAAGTATCGCAAAGAAGTTGGCGATCCTCTTGACGCGTTCGCTCAGCTTAGTCGCGACCAGAAAGGTGCGGTCAACCGTTATATCGAAGCCAGGCAGTCTCAAGAAGACGACGAGCACGCCGAGTGGACTCTGGACTGCGTCTATCGACACAAACGTTCAGTCGTCGTGAAAAATGCTTGGACTCGAGCCAAACCCGAGATCAGAAGTATTACCGTCATCATAAAACGACAGGACCGCAAGATTCCAGGCATAGCCTATACACGCGACATCATCGACATCAACGGACCGCACAAGAAGACCAAGGACGGTAGAAAGGACAACAAGAAGCACAGGGACAAGGACATGTTCATCCCTCCTTTTGATGATTTCACGCCACTCAGCTTCGGTCCCGGTCCGCCACACAACGCCGATATATTACATGTGCCTCCCCCACCACCTCCTCTGCCTGCTACCGGCGGCCAACGTTTTGACTTTCCACCGCCGCCGCCGCCGCCTCCTCATGCTGGTGCAATACACGTTGACCAGTTCCACCCGCCTCAGCATGGTCCGTCGAATCCGTTTGAGCCTCTCCCGCATCTGAACACGCCGAATCTCTACGAGAGCAGCTTCCAGCCTCCAATGAATGTCGATCCCCAATTTCAGACCCGTAGGCAGACACCTATCCTGGAAGACCGCCGCTCTCGTTCTCTGTCGCGCGACCGGCGCCGGCAATCGCGGGAGCGGCGAAGATACCAGGAGCAGGAAGAAGCTCGTCGTCGCGAAGATGCTCTCCGCTTAGAGCAGGAGGAAAGGCACGAAGAAGACCGTCGCCAGCAGCGCATCAACCAGCAACGAACCGAGCGCATGCTCGACGAGATTCAGGGCAACATGCAGGAGCAGCAGGACCAGATGCATCAACTCACTGGACAGTTCGCGCAGCTCAACTATGGACGGTCGCGCTACAGTGCCTCCAGCGAAGGATCGCAACACCGCGACCATCTCGATAAAGTCGACATGTGGAGTCTCCCATCGGGCGGTAGCTTCACTCCGCCTTCGTCGCCAGGCACAAGAAGTCCTGCCATGCCTAGCGGTACACTTGGCCGGAAATTCTACCACGATCAAGTTCGCAAAATTTATCCCATCGAACGTCGCAACAGTAGCTACCATCGCGACAAAATGGTCGTGCTTGAGCCTTATGCCACTCTACCTCGCGGCCGAGACGCGTATCAGCAAGGTCGTCGACGGGACAGCGCCAATCTAGAAGACGACTACCCGCATCCCCCAGCACCCATGCCTCCGATGGATCCTGGACGCCGTCATCGTCCGCAGATCCACCAACGTGCTGCGACGTTTGCGAATGATGACCATCCCTTCCAGCCTTTGGCTCTACCGCAGTATGCGACGCAGGAGTATGCGCAGTTCGGTACGCACCAACGACGTGGAAGAGAGGAGAGGAAGAGGCGGGATAGCGACCTTTATGGCAGGCCGAGAGAGGTACCAGTCGCATATGTATATGCCGAAGAGAGGGATCGCAGAGGCGGACGCAGATCTGATCGGATTCCATTTGGTTTTTGATTGAGGATGATGATGTTCAGTGCACAGGGTGGGCCACATTATCCTGTTAAATAGGCAAATACACAGTCGGGAGACAAATTACGGCCGTGAGCACATCTGTTCCATTTTTCGCTGTGGTCATCTAGGGTCCCTCGTACGAGTTGCCTCTGGGTATGGTCTTTCGAAGCATGAGTCTCGTAAATATATTCCCTCGATCAACGCCTCGCTAAAGTGAAGACCGATTCTATGCCAACTCTCCTTCTCGATCTCATTTGAGGATCTCATCCCAGTCCGGAGTAAGCACGAACTTGGCTCGAATCAGTCCCATACCCATGGCATTCGCGTCTTCGATATCCTCGGGCGGCTGCTCGCCCTCTTTGGGCTTCGTTTCTGGCACTTTCGCGATCAAAACATTTTGTAAGAATGTGGCTTCGGCGCCTAGATTGAGAACCAGACTCGTGCCGCCCCAGTCAAGAGTCGTCTTCCCGGACTTGTGGACCCGTAACTTACCAACTTGTCCGGATCTTAAGCTCGGTCGAGTACTTCCTGACGAGGCGCCCTGTGCCGTGGATGTTGCCCCATTCGTTTCGTCAACGTCCATCGCGTCGCCATTCGCGTCGCCATTTGATTCTGTAGCGTCTGGATCATCCTTAATCGTCACAGCCTTCAGATCAGGGAGTACGGGAGGGAATTGGAAGAGATACACGTGCTTTTCACGTTCTTCTTGCCTCGCCTTAGCCCGCTTAGCATGGCCAGTCTCTTCGGCCATCGCAGTGTCACCATCCGCATCAGGTGCAGAGATAGCTTTGGGCACCAGCCTCCCCAGTTCGTGTCGCACTTTCTGCTTGTCGTCGTAGAATCGGATCCATTCGTCCTTCTCGGCCTGTGTCTGAAAGTGTGGCTCGGGTGGTCTCTCGATATCAGACTCATCGCCTTCTTCTGGAATCTCAGCATTTTCCTTGATCTTTTCTTTGGCTTTCCTCCTGCGTTCTGGCGAGTCTAGCAGATCAGCACCAGGACTCACAATGCCTGCAGCAGGTTGTGTGACTGCAGGCTCTGGGGTTGTCGGGCGTGTGTGTTCATCGTCTGTAGGCTCCTGTTTGATTTGAGGCTCTCCTTCAGTATCCGAAGAGCTGTATGTGGTGGGCCTCTTAGGCACCGCAGCTGTCCCTGTCACCTCGACATCTCTTGCCCTCTGCTTGCCTTTGCGTTTTTCTGAGACCGCTTCTGCAGCATCACTCGCGTCAGGCGACTCCTCAGCTTGTAACCCAACTGCTCGCTCTTTGTGTGGTACACGAGACAAACGGACTGGTACGAAAGGATCTTCGAGGTCTGGCTCCTGGTCTCCAGTCAAATCTATGACTTGCATGCGATCGACGTCCCGCTTGTCTCCTTCATTCTCATCTTCGTCGCTGGAAATGTAGCCTCCGTCTTCTGTTTTAATATGCGTCCGCATGCCGCCCATTTCAACATCTCCCGACTCCCTCTTAATCCCTGAGCCACCTAGGTATCCACTGCCACCTGATCTGCCACCGGAGCCACCACCTCCTCCTCCTCCGCCACTGCCAAACCCGCCAGGTCTACTGGTGCGCGCATATCTGATGTCGGCTGAAGCCTGGCCACCACCGAATATACCGGAAGCCTCTGACGAGTACTCTCTCGGCCGATCGCCAATGTGTCCGCCTCGGCCTCGACCGCCCCGCGGAGCGCCTCGTGAGTCACCTCTGCCTCTGCCATAGCCGAATTTCCTGTCTTCCTTCGCTTTCTTCTTGGCCTCTTCGGCAGCAGCTTTTGCTTCGGCCCGTTTCTTTTTCGCTTCTGCAGCCTCTAGCTCTGCTCGAGCAGTAGCAGATCGTCGACCTGCGAACTTTGGCAAGGGCTTCGCGCCCCCTCGTCCTCGCACGGCGGGAGATGGCCTTGCAGATCCTGGACGCGAGCTTGGTGTAGGCGGAGCGGGTGTGCCGGAGGGAGTCGCAACTGGTGTGTTGCTGCCAGACATTGGCGCTTCGGGAGCTGTCCCTTGCGTGGTGCCTTCCCCATTGCCATCCGCGTTACTGGCATTGGCAGAATCGCCTTCCTTCGTCGACTTCTTCGGTGGCATGACTCAATGTGTGTTATCGTGACATGGCGTGGTGAAAGTGGATGTATGCGCCGGAGCAGAGCTCAGCAAAAAGATTGAACGCGAGTCATGTGCCTTATCGATAAGCACAAGGTTTGGGCGTTGCCGTGGGAGCGATGTTTGCGTCTAATCATAAGCGGGAGGCGCGATGGACCAACAAGAACGGGCAGAAGAAGAGGAAGCAGCGCACCGCGTTGCGCATGGGGCAGAAGCAGGCGCTACCCGTGCTTAGTGACGAGGGCAATGATGCCGGGCGATCTCCATGTATGCCTCGTTGCGCCTGCGCCAGACTCTCGAGCTGCGTCGTTTGTGTTCCATCTTGGCCCAACTTACCGCTGAATCGTTTCCGTTGCGCGACCACCAAACAATTTCACCTCCGGCCACCGCCATGTCGCGCTCCCTCACCACTCCCGACCTGCAGCACTACTACCACTCCACCGCCAGCAGCCCCAGTCTCCGCAGTCGCACGCCCGTCGATGTCGACATGAGTCGACCCGAGACGCCGACCGATGGCGACGGCGGCCATGTGAAGGTTGTTGTGCGCTGCAGAAAGTTCATCAAGAGAGGTGAGTAGAGATAAGAAAGTCAGGAAGGGTAACAAGTGCTGAATATTCGTTCAGAAATCGATGCTGGCCAGCCATGCATCGTCCGCATGAACCCCACGACGCAGGAGACGACCATTCTGCCCCCCGAGATGAGCGAGGACCAGCTGCGCAACTCACGAAAGCAGTACGAACAGAAGACTTTCACCTTCGACAAGTCCTTCTGGTCAGTCAACGACTCCGATGCCCACTTCGCTGGTCAGAGCGATATCTACAACTCGTTCGGCGAAGAGTTCCTCGACCACAACTTTGATGGCTATCACACATGCATCTTCGCCTACGGCCAGACAGGAAGTGGAAAGTCTTACACCATGATGGGCACTCCCGAGCAACCTGGGCTGATCCCACGCACATGTCGAGGACTATTCGAGCGAGTCGAAGCCGAGCAGAGCGGGAGTATAACCTACAACGTTCATGTCTCCTACTTCGAAATCTACAACGAACATGTCAAAGACTTGCTCACACCGCGCACAAACCCACCAACGTACCTGAAAATCAGAGAGAGCAAGGGCGAAGGTGTCTTCGTACAGAACTTGACAGATGAGAAAGTGGAATGCTATGAGGATATTGAGCGTGTCATGAAAATGGGCGATTTGAACCGGACTACTGCCAGCACAAAGATGAACGACACATCATCTCGATCACACGCCGTCTTCACTTTGACGCTGAAGCAGATTCAAGCAGACCTCTCAGACGACAGCACGATTGAACGAGTGGCTCGCATGCGACTCGTCGACTTGGCCGGATCTGAGAGAGCAGGAAGGACAGAGGCTACCGGGCAACGCCTGCGAGAAGGCGGCAACATCAACCAATCTCTCACCACTCTCGGTCGTGTCATTGCAGCTCTCGCAGATCCCAAGCGTCAACGAGCTAGTCGGATGGGCGGTCTGCAGAACCAAGCCAAGCGGAGGGCAGAGGTCGTGCCTTACAGGGACAGTGTCCTTACCTGGCTGCTCAGAGACTCCCTCGGAGGCAACAGCAAGACGGCGATGGTCGCTTGCATTTCACCCACTGACTATGAAGAGACTTTGTCGACTCTGCGTTACGCTGACCAGGCCAAACGTATCCGCACTAAAGCGCACGTCAACCAAGACGCCCGATCTGCCGCCGAGCGGGATGCACAAATCATGGAAATGGCCGAGACTATTAAGCAGCTGCAACTCTCTGTCAACAATGCTGCAACACGCAAGCGCGATGAGGCTGACCGGGCGAGGGACGAGCTCGAGGACTATCAACGGCAAGTGGGCAAAATGCATCGTGCAATGCAAGAATCCAAAGCAGTGTCCGATACCAAGATTCGAGCCCTCACGCTGGAAGTCGAAGAACTACGGCCGCAGAATGAAGCTCTACGCATGGAGGTCGAAGCATTGAGAAGACATTTGGCACTTGCAGTCGGCGAGTTGAAGAACCCAATAGTGCTGCCAGAAGCCTTTCTTGGTGGTGAGGAAGACGATAGGTCTATGGACGGCGACTCGGAGCACGATAGTGGCGTGGACGACGGCACCTCATACACGGAGGATTATGGCGACTTCGAACATGAGAGCTGGCAAGCGGATGTCGACGCGCTTCTCAACGACCTCGGCTTGTTCAAGAAGAAGGTCATGGACGACAAGTCTCGCTTTCCTCGTCCAGACAGCAGGCCAGGCATCGTAGCGAACTAAGGGGACTTCTGTTGCCGGAGCATGCGACATGACAGAATATGATGGTGTTGATGACCAGACATGATTGATGGTTCAGGTAAGCGTTTTGGCGTGGAGTTTGGTGCTAGTGGCTTGCAAAGCTTGGGAACGCTCTTCTATCGAGAACGCTTGTTCGATTGTCGTGTCGTCAGTAGCAAAGACTTTGGACAAATCAAATTGGCTTTTTCGCGTGCCAAGGCATTGCCTAGAATTGACATTGGAATGGCATGTTGAAGTGAATGTTCAGTTGCACGCAGTCGCTCTTGTATGTCTCCTGAACGGCAGCTTGTTTCATTGGTCGTAAGTCTGCTCTAGATACCTGTTTCTTCCAGTCTCAGCTTTCGTTCCACACACTGTCCCGTCCGCTGCCGTTTCTGACCGCTGCCACAACCGCCCACCTTGGCAAGCTGTTTGCCAACCTCAGCTGCCTCGACACAAACAACACTCAACATTGATGCGTGGGCCTTGCCACGCCAACTTTCCCACATACCAAGACCTGCGCCATGTCGTTCCTATTCGACAAGGTTAAGTCGGGCCTCAAAGATGTCGAGGCTCGCATCAAAGCAGAAACGACCGGATCCACGCATGCCCACACGCACAACTCGAACGTCTGTTCCGATAACGATGACCATCACTTGCACCGTTACCAGAGCTTTGCACCTCAGCGCGAAGGTAATGAGGTCAAGTGGTATGTCGACGGCTGCAGCTATATGTGGGCCGTCTCTACCGCCATTGAAAATGCACAGTCGAGTATCTGGATTCTGGACTGGTGGCTCAGTCCCGAGCTTTATCTTCGGAGACCACCGGCTTTGCACGAACAGTATCGACTCGACAGACTGTTATTTGCAGCTGCAGAGCGAGGAGTGCAAGTCTATGTGATCGTCTATAAGGAAGTGACACAGGTAGGAGGGCACAAGAACGGCATATTGGCATTGCGGAGCTGAATAAATGGCAGGCATTGACTCTTAGCTCACATCACACCAAGCACTGGCTTGAGGACAATGGTGATTATGCAGCTTCCACTGGATCTTAGACTGTATGCTGACCTTTCCTCGTGACACAGACAAGACAGGCAACATCAAGGTCTTCCGCCACCCGGATCATTTACCTGACAAGCAGACTTTGGCCTCAAATTTCATGGCCAGCATTAAGCAATCCGGCTTGAGCGCTGCTAAACTCGCACAACTCCCAGGTGATGCCATCAAGGGAATCTATGGCATGAACGATGGTACCGTGCTGTACTGGGCACATCACGAGAAGCTGTGCTTGGTCGACAGCCACGTCGCGTTTATGGGCGGGCTGGACCTGTAAGTTGTTCCGCTGTTGTATCAGATGCAGCACGATATACTTGTGTCATTCACAGAAACCTTGCTGACCTCGCATCATTTAGGTGCTAGTAAGTGACTTATTTGCGCCAGACATATACAATGCTCCGAATTGCTAACCAACGAACTCCATTACAGCGGTCGATGGGATACCAACCAGCACTCCATCGCAGATGCCCATCCTGATGATTTGAAGCAGATTGTGTTCCCTGGCCAAGATTACAACAACGCTCGAATCATGGACTTTAGCGATGTCAGCCACTGGGAGAACAACAAACTGCCGAGAACCAGCAACAGCCGAATGGGCTGGAGTGATGTTGCCTTATGTGCCAAGGGCCCCGTAGTGGAAGATCTCAAGGCTCATTTCGTACAACGCTGGAACTTCATCTACTACGAAAAGTATGATGTCCGTAGAGACGATCGATACGCCCCTCTTGTCTACCACCCGCAAAGAATTGGCATCATCGGACACCCTTACCGGTCTACCGAAGACGGTGGTGTCGAAGGCGAGGGCCAAATGCAATCCTTCCGCGATAGAATTCGCGAGCAGTACGAAAAGGGCCGTGCTCGTTTGGAAGATGGAAGAGACAAGCTGCTGTACAATCAGGACATTCCCGACGGGCCACTTGGAGGTGTTCAGTGCCAGATTGCTCGCTCAGCATGCAAGTGGAGTCACGGAGTGAAGCTGGAGCACTCCATTGCCAATGCCTATATCCAAACGATCAGAGAAAGTGTCCATTTCGTGTACATCGAGAACCAGTTTTTCATCACCGCGACCGGACACCAGCAGAAGCCTGTCAAGAACCTCATCGGTGCAGCCATGGTGGAGCGGATCCTGCGAGCTGCGAGAAACAATGAAGACTGGCATATGATCATCAACATCCCATCAGTGCCCGCTTTTGCTGGTGACCTCAAGGACGATGCCGCGCTCGGAACACGGGCCATCATGGAGTTCCAATACTTTTCGACCAATCGCGGAGGCCACAGCATCATGGAGGAGGTCGCTCGGCAGGGCGTAGACCCCATGAAGTATATCCGCTTCTACAACCTCCGAAGTTATGATAGAATCAATGCCAATGCCTCCATGGCAAAGGTCGAGCAGCAAGCTGGGGTTTCTTATGACGATGCGAGAAAAGGCTACGATCAGCAGTATGCCCACACCGTGGAATCGGGTCAATATAACCAGGAGTACGCCGATCCAAATGGTAACGCCAACGCCTACGATCGATATCAGCAGACTGCTCAACAGATTTCTGGAGGTGGTAATCGTGGCCGTTGGGATTCAGTCGCCGAATGCTATATGCAAAATGGTCCAGACATCCGATCAGTGCCATGGGATGGCGCTCCCGAAGCCGAAATGGACGCCTTCGTGTCCGAAGAGCTGTACATCCACAGCAAACTCTTGATCGCAGACGACCGCATCGTAATCTGCGGCTCAGCAAATCTGAACGACAGATCACAACTTGGAGACCACGACAGTGAAATCGCCATGATCATCGAAGACAACCAAGAATTCGACTCTCAAATGGGCGGTAGACCATGGAAATCCAAAGTCTTCGCCTCCACTCTTCGACGCCAAATCTTCAGGAAACATCTCGGACTGCTTCCACCACAAGACATGCAACGTCCAGACAATAATTTCATGCCTGTGGGAACGCCGAATAACTACGATTGGGGCAGTCCCGAAGACCAAGCAGTTGCTGATCCGAACTCAGAGGCCTTCCATAGATTGTGGAAACAGACCGCTGCGACGAACACGCAAGCGTTCGCGAAGGTCTTCCATCCGGTTCCGGACGACCAAGTCAAGAACTGGAAAGATTACGAAGAGTACTATGAGAAGTACTTCAAAGCTGATGATCCCAAGAAACAAGGACAAGAGAATGAGAAGCCAGCTTTCTGGAGATGGGGTCACGTCGTCAAAGAAGAATTCTCACCTGGCGCCCAGGGAACGCAAGAGATGAAGGAAGTGCTCAGTAGGATTCGAGGAAACTTGGTGGAGATGCCGCTATTGTTCTTGAAGGATGAGGATATTGCCAAAGAAGGCTTGGGATTGAACGCTATGACTGAGGAGCTTTATACGTAGGGAGGATCGCTTGCAGTCTTGATGAGAATGAATGTCATGACCAGATTGGACACAGGGTATGAGAAGCGTAGAAATGGACGTTAGAAAGGGAATCATACAAGCATTCGAGTTCTGACATGTGGCTTGGTTGCGCAAGCAAACGCAGTAAGCTTCTCAACAGAACAGTAAGACCTGTCGTACGAACGCGACCATGTTGTATGTCAAATGTGATTTGTGGTGAGATCCTGTTCTGCCAAGCAAGAGCGTCCTGTGCCTGACTTGTTGCCAACATGCTGTACAAGCGGCAGTACCACGGCCCATGGAGACTTCCTGTCCCACGCCGCTAGCCCATAGCCAACGCCTAGGGCTCTCGTGCATTGCCTCAGCTGACACGGGTAGCTGTTGGAACTCTCATTACTGATCCGTGACAGGCCTTCTCCGCTCGCGCGTATTCGTGCTCGTATGGCCTGCTGGTGATCTGAGCATTCGGGAAGGTGTTCCGGGTACAAGTCTGGAGTGATGCCAAAATAGAGTCGTGGACCCAGCAGGAGCCTACAGGTTGTCTCAGGACATGTGCCACTGCGCGCGAACAGACAAGACGTGTTTGTTGTATGGCCAACTACTGCGATACGAAAGCCATGTGCGCGTCCAGGGCCATCCCAACCTCGCCTAGCTAAGGCGACTGCTGCGCCATTGAAGCTATTGATCCTTGTCCAGAGGTGCCAGCGAGGGATGAGAGCGATGTATCGTTGGAGCGATCGTGGGCAAGCATGATGCATTGCTACGAGAATACTGTGACCGCTTGCCATGTATTTGAGCCAGTTGGTGTTCCAATCTGGACTGTTCAAGACAGGATTTGATGTCTGTGAATGATTGATTAGTGCGTGTCTCTTGTCACGAATCAAAAGGTGCATACCTCTTGAACACATTTTCCAGTGTTATGGCATTAAGCTCGGCGTCATCTGGAAGCTCGTTGATCAGAGGCACCAGATCCGCAAATTTGTCGCCATTGCGATATGCAATGATCGCAGGCACTCCCATGGGTTCCATCTGTGCGTCCTCGATGTGTAGTTTGACGAAACGAGTGTCCTGGTGCTTGGCCGCGAGTGTTCGAACGCATCGCTCACACAGGTCGCTGACTTCCGAGTAATCGTCGAAAATGTAGACGATGACCACAACGTCCGGTCCAGATTTCTCCACAGCGTCCAGGTATCCATCAGGATCAACCATGGTCAAGCTGCCAAACAGTCTCGTGGTATTGCCGTTGTGGTGCATCTGGCTCCCTTTGACGCCGTTCTGCATCTCCTTCAATCTGCTCTGTCTCCATTGTTTCATAAAACTGTCGTCCTCATCGTCGTCAAGATCCAACTCCTCGTCCTCTTCAATTTTCTCGGCAGGCGCTTGTTGTTGTACGGACAATGACTGGGCTTGCGCAGCCAGGCTAGAGATACTCCTCATGGATGCCCGTTGCGATCTTCGAGAGTCTTGAAAGTTCTGGGCGTCTGAGATAACGCCCTTGGGCCCAGTGTTGGCGCCATATCGCTTCGTGGGAATGGTGCTTCGCGCTGTGCCCAGCGGTGTCCGCGATCGCTCGACACTGGAAGCGGGCGGTGTTGCATCGTTGTCGGAATCGTCCGACAAGTTCAGGAAGGATCGTGCATCGTCGTGGCTGTCTTCGGGGTGCGTGGTCCTGCGCTCCTTGTCGCGCATCAGCTCGTTGAATTCATCCTGCGCGGCCGACATTGTAGCTTGGGATCCTGCCTGGTGGTCCTGTTCTCTCAGCTCCGCCGACGGCGTAAATCCAATCGACGATATTTTGGCTTTCGAGACTGGCAGGCGCGATAAGATAATATTCTGGGAAATCCAACGCCCGCAGCACGGCCGTGCTCAAGAGGCTCGTCCTGGTCGTCTTCCGCAGCGGGGATGGTGAGACGCGCTGTGGCCAACTTTGCCCAACATGTTGTTGGTGGTCTGCACATCCATGAGCAGCGGTGTCCGCCGCGCAGCCATGTCCCGACAACGCAACACCTCCCGCCCCGACTGCGCGTGTTGGTGGCCGCTCGCGGGGCCTGATCTGAGCGGGCGCTTTCACGTGCCCTGGTGCGACAAGCGGCACAGGAAGGATCGCCGGATGCGACGCCGACTGCCGGCAATCCGCCAGCGCTAGCCTGGAGAGCACCATGGCGCCACGCCTACCGCTACCGTGACGATGAAGTGTCAAGTTGTAGCGACACCACCGTCGTGGCGCACCCTCGCCGCGCGCATGGCAATGAGTCGCGACATTCAGCTATCAAACGCACGTCGGGAACATGAAACGGACGGCGCGACACCGTGACGCGCTCTCAATATCGTCAGTGTGGAAAGAAGCAATTACTGTATGCCGCCGCCAGGGAGGCGTTGAATTTCCCGAGTCTTCGGGGTGTGCAGCTCGGTGCCGGATTAAAGCGGATAGCATGGTATGGCAGTGTCAGTCGCTTCCTTCGCCCCCTCCTCCCACTATCTGACCTCTAACCAACGTACAGCGCTTAGATGCCGTGACAAAGCTCAGCTTTTGAGAACCCGTTGCTTGTGCGATACAGCTAAATGAACAGGCGCCGAGAAATGCGGCCCTCTCGCAGTGTAGAATGAACCACGCCGCCCCAATATGCCGCTTCATACGCCGCGCCTAGAGCCTTCGTCCAGCGCTGCCGCAGGTACAGCTTTTCAAGCAAGTGATTTGAAGAAATATGATAGTTGCCGTAGGAAAATCATTGACCTCGTGGGCTGTGTATTCCAGTTTCCGCGGGCGCGCTCGATCCAGAAGAGTAGTGAGCAGATAGACTGCCTGGTCTTGTACATGACCACCGCGGCCGTGATCCAACACAGCCGAGTGTCGTGAACTGTGCTGTTGGATTCAATGGCAGTCACGACGGCGCTTGGAGCTGCAGTTCGGCGGCCCCACATGTTGGCTGGAGGCGCCGTCAAAAGTATGCAGATGGTCAATCATGCCCAAATTCGGAGCTGTGTGCGAAGATTAGCGATTCCCATCCATGGCGGATATACCGGTTTGGAATGCAATGATGCTCACCATTGAATCCCACGATCCTGTGCATAACGACATGGCGTCGTTGCTCACGCCGAGGCAGCTCACACGGTTGTCGTGACCTTGGAGGGTGCCGACTCTCTCCCCACGTAGAACGTCCCAAACCTGCTTGATGGTCAGCCGTGCTTCTCCGAGTGAGACCAGAAGTTGTGTGGATAGTGACAACGAACCTTGCACTCAAAATCGTCGTAACCGGCGAAAAGTAGTCTTCCTGAGACGGAAAACGCAACGGAAGTGATACCGCATACAGGCTCGCCAATCTGAGAATGAATTAGCACATGTACAGCTAAGCGTTAGGTCGTCGAATTGTGCTTACCGTATACGCTTGCAGCTCTCTATCTGCGCGGATATCAAACAGCCGGCAAGAGGCGTCGTCGCTGCCTGTTCCAAAAGCGTTGCCATTAGGGAAGAATTGGATGGCATTGATGTCCGAGTCGTGCGCGGCGAACGTTTGCGTGCACTTCTGTTGCCTGATGTCCCACAGTTTCGCGAAAGCATCGCAAGCGCCCGAGACGAATTGGTTGTTATCCAAGGGGTTTATGCTCAAGCTCATCACATCTCCAAGGTGGTCAGCGAATTCCGTGATCTTTTGGCCAGTCTCAATATCCCACAGCACGCAGGTCATATCTCCCGAGGAGGTGAGGATTCGTCTGTCGTTAATAAATCTGCAGCAACTCAAATAGCCGGAATGGCCGCTGAGCTCTCGAGCCACTCGTGTCGGCCCTTCTCGGGCAGACAGGTTGTAAATGGAGCAGATATTGTCGAGACCGCCGCAGGCAACATAGTTACCACTGGGTGAGTATGCGCAGGTCATGACCCAAGATGACCGCAGGGGAATCGCGTGCACTTTGTTGGTCGTATAGGCATCCCAGATGATCAGCTTGCCGTCTTGCGAGGCCGACACCAAATGTCTGCGATCGGTCGACCAGTGCATGGCATAGATCTTGGCCAGATGGCCTTTGAGCGTCCGCCTCGTCTTCATGGCCAGTCGCGGCAGCTGTTCTGTTTGTCGTCGCGCGACATCGCGTACTGTCAAGGTGCATTGTAAGCCTGTGATCACTTCATACGAGCCCGCACACTGCGCAGCACGCAGCACACTGGCGCATTGGACTCACGTGTGGTGTCTGCGAGCTCATCTTTCTTGCGCTTTATTCGGTCCTTGAGCGCCTCTGCGTCTCGCCTCGCTATCTGGATCTTGGTCTGGATGCTCTCGTTCGTGTCCGCCATGCCGGCTGGCCGCGACGACGCTGGAGTCGGCCGTGGTGCGCGCACTCAGGGTCGGTGGGGAAGGACGGGGGCGCGGAGCAAGGGAGTCGGCGTGGTGCAATCGAGCAAGCCCAGGTGAAGCTTGGGGGCTGTCGCGGCTCGTCTGTCCAGCCTGCTGCGCCGCTCACGTCGGTAGCGGGTCGCGTCGCGAAGGGTAGGTCAGGCACAGGAACAAGCACGCACCGGCAGCGGGCGTCGTCGCGAGGCGTGCGGTCCGGAGAGGTCGACGTCCAGAGCAGCGGCGTCAGTCCGGGCGAGATGCGTCTGTCGGCGGCCACACAGAGGTGTGGAAAGGTGGAAGAGCGCAGCCAACAACGGGCAGAAAGGGCGTCCGAGCTCAAAACCCAAGACGGTCTAATCTCCCTGCTTGGACAACGACAATATAATGCTTCGCGAACCGCGGAGGCAGCGGCGCACACAACGGGCAGCGGAGGCACGAGACACGAGCTGAAGATGGAGCGGAGCGGAGCGTGCGAGGTGCTGGCGCCGGTGTGAGTGAATGATGAGCTCGCCGCCCTCGCAGCGGTCGAAAGTGCGAGCAAACCCAGTGCGACAGCGCGGCCGGGCAATGGAACCAGGACGGGCTGACTCGGTACACATTGCCGTGCGAATCGAGCCACAGCGAGATTATTATCGACTCCCTTCCTGGTCGCTCGAGCACACCACGACGACGGCGCTGCCTACGCGCGCATAATATAATCCCGCTCATTGCTGTTCGCTCCTCGCCGCCCGCCCCCAGCGGAGCGCGACCGGTGCGTTTCCCAGCCTGTGTGATCTGCGCACCGCGCCCATGCATTATTGGCCTTGTGCCGACACGCCTTGGCCGCACAGCTGCCGTAAGCTCGCTGTTCTGGAGGAGTGGCTTGTCGATCAACCTTTTCGAGGTTATGCAAGGAACAGGGTGCTTGACGAGGTCGCTCCCATTCGCCTTTGGCGAACCACTCATTTCTCCGCGTCCTTAAGCGATCCTGGCTGTACGTATCATTTCAATACTGCTGTACGTCCCCTCACGTCTGCAGACGCCTTGGAAGCCACCTCATTGTCGTCAATTCCCAGACGATGTCGACGAATGTGTGCGAATACCAAGGACAAATATGCATTACTGCAGTATCATGATCTGGCTGAATGGAAAGTGCCGCGAAGACCCACCAATGCAAGTCGTATCGATTGTGCTATACCGCGCCGCTCACGCTCTATCGAAGTAGCGTACCAAGCAATTCGTGCTTGAGCAGTTCCAGTCACGCACTTCTACTACAGAACTTCTGGCGGTATAGCACTGATGGCAGTATCTACTAGAATTCTCGAATCGTAACTCGATAGAGCACACAGGGGAGGATAAGACAATGTCACTTGATGCACACATCTGGCGATGCTTTGCCGCCGACCATGCCTGGCTAATAATTGCAGCAGTTATAGCATCGTTGTGCAGACGTTGCTGCTGCATTTACGTGGTCCAGCATGATGTTTTCCAGCCCAGTGGCTGTGGTAGGTTTGGTGGCGCAGCGAAAGAGCTCAAACGACATACCGGTTTTTAGGCGGTGCTCTCGATCTCAGATTCCTCGAACAGCCCCCTACTGACCACTCCTCCATTATGCATACAGTCGATGTGGTGGATCAAGCATATCACAAGGCACGGCGGGACAATCTGAAGGCGCGGCAGAGGTCGTGATCGGGTATTGTGCGAATTCATGGATGGCCATTACGAAGTATGCCAGCAGTGGGCGAGCAATTGGTCAGGGCGTACTGTGTGCAATGACACCTTTTGTGCTTCAAATTCGCAGCTGCAGATGTCGAGCTAACGCCTGCTCTTCATCGAGTCTTCCCGTGATTGCAGTCAACATCTCGTAGAACGCCGTTCCTGGTATGCCGCATTTCGCTCATCTTTCGGGTAGTCCATTGCGTTCGTGCCCCATCAAGGTCAATGACCATCCCAGTCCTCCGAACATGCATTTATCGGTGCTATCATTTATTAGCTTGACCACTCCCCATCTTCTTTCTTCTGCTTCCTTTACCTTTGTGAATCCGATGTCTGCAGCCTTCTCGCGGAAGCACTGACGGCAGATGTTGAGGCCGTACTTGCGGACCAGACCAGCCTTGTGGGTGCAGACACGGCTAATTGAGTGTTAGTCCTCCAAGATCTTTGCTCTGGCTACCTCTCCTCCTGCTCGTGATTCCTCTGACATACCAAGCTCTTGCTCCCTTGCCGTAGGTGCGTGGGCGCGAGTACCAGACTGCATCAAATGTTAGTCGGCCATCACCTCCGAGCCATTTCGTGCGGTCGCCGTACCAGATTCGTGAGACATGATCGCGGTGTTGCTTCGTGTGTGGTTTGAGAGGAAGCGGTTCGCTCGTTGTCGGTCGGCGCTGGGCGGTTGCTGTCTGCTGAATCTTCAATCTCGCAATTCAGCGTAGGTGTGGAATTCGGGCTGGTCGGGCGACCGTGCGCCGTGCGCCAAGCCTGCATCCAGCGGGAAACCCGCATTGCCGCCAAAGTCCTCGTCCTCACTTCAATCTTTTGCACTTCGCCTTCTTCTCCATTGCACCTGCTCTAATTTGAGCAGAAGCCAATGTTTCCACGCCTTACAATCTTGCCAGGCAGAGACCGATGTAGATTGAACATCTGAGCTGGGAAGGTCTGCACGTTATCGCAGCAAATTTCGCCATGCCAAAGGACAAATTGAGCTACGATTCCTCGCTGCCGCCATTCCTGCAACGACTTCATGAACAAAAGGCTGGGCGAGGAGACACGGACCGTCACGAGCAGCCCATCGCGCGTGCAAAGCGCGTCAAAGATCCCAATGAGGACGATGGCCCAACTGTTGTCGACGAGAGCGGTGAAACGCTGAGTAAGGAAGAATACGAGAAACTTCAGAAAGCCAATGCTGGCGTGGACGATACCTCTAACGTAAAGGGAGAGAGTGACCCGGCCGCCGAGCCGAAGATGTCAGGCGCTCTTCCGGAGGACTCCCTGCACGGTAAAAACGTCAAGGTCACTGACGGCACTGCGCAAAAGAAACGCAAAGCAGCAAAAGTGGTTGGCAACGATGACGAATCCCAGATTGATGGCGAGACGACATCTTCAGGCCAGAAGCAGTCCAAAAAGCCGAAAAAGAAACAAAAATCAGTGAAGCTTGCGTTCAACGATGATGATGGAGACTGAATTATCCCCGACCGTTGGTCGCACATACTCTGAATCCAGCAGCGAGAACCGAGAAGGAATCAAAGAAATTCACTCGTCACTCCAATTCAGTCTCCGGAACGCTCATGTGAAAAGCCCACTGGTAAGCTCACACCATCTCTCACCACCAGCACAATGATGATACTCTTATATTGGAGCTGTCTAACTCCCAAATTGGGACATGGCGAAAGAAACTATACGCAAAACCTCTGAAAGGCGCAGCCGCTTCCTGTTCCATACATTGCTTGGCGGTCGATCAAAAGCTGACGACGAGTCGTAGATTCAAAGTCATGTTCGTATACATGACCAAAACAAGCTATTTGGCAGAACAACATGTTTCCAGCATCAATTGGCATTGGCAATCAGCACTCGAAATGCAGCTGGATCTTCCACTTCGATGGATACCACACGGCATGCCACTCGGATTGGTCAGCCGGACCACGCGCCCTGTGCGGACTGTTGGCATCCTTTGTCTTGCAAGCTAATGTGACATTTTACTTGCATTGGGAACCATGGCGTGCCCGGTTTTCGGCCATGATACACATCACAATTGACGTGTGCGCGGAACGGTAAGCGGCCGACGCATAATGCCGTGGTGGCATGAAACAATCGATAGGAAATTTAGAGTTCTTATGGCTACATAGGGCAAGACACGCACACAGCTTGTGCTTGAACATGGGCCGCCGTATATAAAGACGGCGGGCTTCCACGGAGCTGCAGAATCCTATCACATCCGCTTTGCGACCTTTTTTCTCGAGTAGCATGGCAAACAGCTCTGACGTGTATGGAGGCCCGCTCGAAGATGGCACCTCAATCTTCACGCATCTTGCTGAAGGTCTCGCCAAAAACGCTGATGGATTGGCTGTGATCACTGTGCACCAATCAGCCGACCATCTTTCTGAGCTCACCACCTGCAAAACGAGTCTGGACCCCAGTGGCACGGGGGCAGGCGATGCATCTACTCGCAACTGCCTGGCATGGACTTACAATCAGCTACATGCGGCTGCCGTCAAGCTGGCAATTGGCCTGCAACAACGGGGCATCCAACCAGGCATGCGGATCGCGACATTCATACCGAACCGCGTGGAATACCCGCTACTATTGTGGATGTCTACACTGCTCCGCGTAACGCTCTGCTCTCTCGATCCTGGTGCAACTCAACCTCCTCGTGAAGCTGAACTGGAGTCATTCCTGACTAGATTGAAACCCGATGCCGTCGTAGTGCTGGATTCGTCTGCTGGCATGCAAGTTAATTCTGTTCTTTCGAGACTAAGTCTACCGGCCCCAAAAGTCAAGATTGTTCTCGATGGCGGACCTCGCGAGAATTGGACTACCATTATCGACCTTGCGAGATCTGTCAAGACGAATGAAAGCGAGTCGGAAGCACTCGTTGAATCTGCTCTGCATGATGATCCGAACAGGACAAGCTTCATACTCTTTACTTCAGGCACCTCTTCCGGCCGGCCAAAAGGCTGCGTCCGCCGCGTGGCTGGCACAACTAATTCACTCCATATTCTGCGATGGGGCGACGAGTTCCATGCTAAATCGCGAGTGGTGGTTTCGACTGCCAATTTTCGCGTCATCTGTCCGACACTACATCTTTCTGCCTGGAAAGCCGGTGCTTGCGCAGTCATGCCCGATCCCACGAAGGGCGTTCAAGGAACGATGCAGGCGATCCGTGAGCATGAGATCACATTCTTACTCTTCATCCCAGCTCTCTTACATGCTTTTGTCGCAGAGCTGCAAACAACAGGGAAGTCTCTGGACTCAAGTAGTATTAAAGCGGTCGTATTAGGAGGAGACGTGGTGACACGCGACCTTATGTTCAAAGCAGAGAAGACTTTCCCGCAAGCCAATATTTTCGCCACGCATGGTATGACAGAAGGAGACAGTCTATTCGAGTGGCCTTTCTTGAATAGTACCAATGGTGTGGAAAGCATTCCCTACTTCAAGGATATTTGCCCGCTGGGTAAAGTGGCAAAAGGCGCTCATCTCCGCATTCGTGATACGGGCACTGGGAAAATTACTCGCAGAGGCGAGCCTGGAGAATTGGTTGCGCACTGTAAGAGTATCATCAAGCACTATCTCGACCACACAAACGAAGAAGCCTTTCTGCAAGACGAAGAAGACGGTAAACAGTGGTTCCGGACAGGCGATTTGGCTGTCATCAACGAGGACGGGCTGATCTATATTCTTGGCCGCATTAAAGATATAATCATGCGAGCTGCTATACCGATCACGCCTGCAGCACTTGAAAACTGCATTGCAGTTTTCACGGGCTCCTCGGCGGCGGTCCTGGCGTGGCCGCACGCCACTCTTGGACAAGTCCCGTTCGCTGTCGTTGAGGACTTGCATGGCAAGACAGCAGAAGACGTTAAGAGCCAGGTATTGACGATGTTCGGGAAAGACTACGCATTGGAAGGGGTGGTGACTTTACGACAATTAGGCTTAAATTCGTGGCCATTGAACGCTACAGGAAAACTTATGAAGCTGGAGTTGATGCCAAAGGTGGAGGAGTATTTGAACACAACATCTCTGACCCCGACGAGATGAGGATATAGGGAAAAGCGCAAAGAGAACAAAGTTGAGAAATGGAAATCATTCATTGAAATTCCTCCTCACATCTCCCCATTCATCGACGACCATAAACATCAACAACCGAAACGCTACGATGTGTCTTTCCGACAGAAGACGACTGCCGCAATTCACTCTTCTTCGCTTCCCATAAAGCAAGAAAGTCCTTTGCTAGGACCCACTTATCAGTGCCCTTTTCTGGAGCATCTGCTTGCTTTTCGAGCGCGGCCTGCGCAGCCTCTACCATGTGGATTGTCCTTGCAATACACCGTTCGACATTAATGTCTAATTTTGCGTCGTCAGCAGCTGTTTGTCCCACGACGGAGATGAATTCCACAACGCGATCCTGTCGCTTATTCTTTTTGAGTGCTTGGGATGTTTCTCTGGCACGATCCATCATCCATTCCATGCGATTTGCTCCGGCCGGCGGAGAGGGTGGTGGGGAGACACTGGCGGATCGGGACTTCATTATAGATAAGCTGATGATGTAGGGTTTGAAGGGAATTGACTGGTCAGACCTGCTGATGAATGTTAAAGGAGAAATGAAACTAGATCGCTGCGTGTTGCATGATATCGCAGAAGGAGAACAAGAACAGATGTAGGAGACACTATCAAAGAGCTATTAATGGCACATGGACCAGAGGAAACAATGGCAGGTTGCTTCTTGGCATCTGGACAAAGAGATAGTGCTGGACAAGGAAGAATTAAGCACCAATGACAAGAGCTTTGAGAGATTCTGGAGATGGTATTCGTGCGAGAGTTCGTTGGAAAGTAGTTTGGAGTGTATTAAATTTGAGAACGAGTCATACCTGATGACTTACCTGCAAACTTACACTGGTAAATGCTGTCATACATGCTAGATCATGCACTGCTTGTCAGATGTCTTTCAAAGACATGGAGATCAAGATCCCACACCCGGCTCTATCGTGAGCTTGGCGTGCTTGAGCTTACAGCAGGAGTGCTGGCAGGACGGGGAATCCGCGACACGCTACGCAAGCTGACACTGGTGGTCGCTGTCGACGCGGTCGATGCGGAGGTAGATGTAGAACTGCTCGATGTGGAAGCAACGGAGGCCGGCCGTGGGATCCGTGAGGGGCAAGGAGAGGCGGCCAGTGGCTTATACTCATCGATTGTCTGCATCACATCCACCAACAATCGGTTAGTCCGCTCAATCTTGTAACCTTGGAGCTTTCGGCCAAGGCTGCCGGTGTACTGCTTCGCGCGGGCATGATCTTCTTCGGCTGCTTCGGACGGAGTGAGCTCGAATGGCAGGAGCTTAGGGCGGTCGAGTTGTGCCTGTGCAGTCTCGATCAGCGTTGTAGTCTTGGCAATAGCACGCTCCAGTCTGAGTCGCTCCTCGAAATCGAGCGATTTGGGAAGCACAGGAGGTGGAGCAGCAGCGACGACAGGGACAACTCTTCGGGCTCGATTCATGTAATACTCGAGGTAGCTCACACCAGGTGGCGGTATATCGAGGGGTCTGCTGTTGTCCGACATTGGGGTTCTTCTGTTTGTTGTTAAGTTGAGTTGGCTGTGTGTCAGAAGGAGATTCTGTCTGTCGTAGAGTATCTGTCGAAGAAATCGAGATGCTAAGGGACAGGATAGTAGAGTTTTATGAAGAGTGTGCGAGCAGTATCAAAGGCATTGTCTGCTTCGCACAAAGCATGTTCTCGTAGTTTTCTTTGTGCTGCATTCATTGTATGCCGCCTTTGATGATGCATGTCGATGCATGTCGATGTGGCCAGCTCGAAAGATATGTGGATGGTCGGCATGTGAGAGGATCCGTCTGATGGTGAAAGGCAATTGACCACGTCAGCCGACCCGCTCGTCGCAGTGCAATAATGTCCCGATGGCGGTGGGTGAGGGGCGGAGCGGCAGCAGAGGTGAAACGACGATGATGATTGCCGCAGCCACTCGATGCTCCGCCACAGCGCCCGTCTATTTCCATCTGCAGGACCGGACCCCTTCTCAGCCTTGCAGACACACGCGCTGTACACGAACCGCTGCTGCATCTTTTTCGGTGCCTTTGTTGAATGCCGTCACGCCCGTTGCGCCTCGACCATCGCCGCAACTGCTCACGCACACGCATCCACCAACATTGGACCACTTGGCGAGCTGCGTAAGGCAGAACCCTGCACGCAACGCGCAATCAGCGCCTGCCACCTTCCGAAGCCAAAGCCACGACTGGGGACCGAGCACCAAAAGTCGGCCTATTCTTCCATTTTACAGACATCACCCTCCCACCGTACACACCACAGTCGCTACACATCTCGCCCGTCATGGCGGCGCATGACTACTACACGAACAACACCCACAACTACTACAACGCCACTCCTTACGACAACTACTCTTACCGAAACGATGCGCCTCTCCCACCCGTCCCCCAGCAACCGCAGTCGCCTTTAGATGACCGCGCGGGTCTGTACACACATCAGGCGCCACAGCACAGCTACCCTGGAGCGAGCGGGAGGAACCACCAAGATGGAGATCCCTTTGACGACGGCAATGCGATTCCACTAGACGGAAGGAAACCGAACAAATACGATTCAACAAACACAGTCTCGCCCGTGTTACCGCATGAGCAGGATGACCCTTTTGTGCGCGACGCAGACCCTCGGAGGAAGAGACGGCGTACGGATGGTATTGCGCCTCCCAAGCAGGGCTGGTTCAAAGGGAGGATTACATGGATGGTCTTTATCCTGACATTTGCCCAGATCGTGGTCTTCGTGGCGGAGTTGATCAGGAATGGTGTCCTCACTGGTACCCCTATCGCGATTAAGCCGTCATTCAATCCCATGATTGGCCCTTCGCCATATGTGCTGATCAACATGGGAGCGCGGTATCAGCCCTGCATGCACACCATGCCCGGCGTCCAGGACAATGCGGTGCCCATTTCATGGCCCTGTCCGAACGCAACTGCGACCACTGGCGACAGTGTTACATGTCAGTTGTCAGATCTCTGTGGTTTCGATGCCGATCAGAACCCGCGCGTGAATGGGACGCTGGACGACAAACCTGCTCCCAATCAATGGTGGCGCTTTATTGTGCCCATTTTCCTTCACGCTGGCATTATCCATATTGGCTTCAACATGCTACTGCAGCTAACGCTGGGCCGAGACGTGGAATTGCTGATTGGTAGCATCCGCTTTGCCATTTTGTACTTCGCCTCTGGCATCTTTGGCTTCATCTTGGGCGGCAACTTCGCTGCTACGGGCATAGCATCCACTGGAGCTTCGGGCAGCTTGTTTGGCATATTAGCCATCACTCTGCTCGACCTACTGTACACATGGAAGGAGCGAAGGAGTCCAGCCAAGGATTTGATGTTCATCTTCATCGACGTGGTCATCGCATTCGTGCTCGGTCTTCTACCTGGACTGGACAACTTCTCGCATATCGGAGGTTTCTTGATGGGACTGGTACTGGGTGTTTGTCTTTTGCGTTCACCTACCGCCATCGGGCAACGTACATCAGACCCCATGTACACCCATGTTGCCGATCAAAACGATCGAAATGCAACACTCAAGGCCTTCGTCAAGGATCCTGTTGGCCATTTCAAGGGCCGGAAGGGTGTCTGGTGGGCGTGGTGGCTGGTCCGCGCAATTGCTCTAGTCGGAGCACTGATCGCTTTCATTTTACTCTTGAAGAACTTTTACGAATGGCGTGGCGGGTGTTCTTGGTGCAAATATTTGTCATGCCTTCCTATCAAGGTGGGCGACACAGATTGGTGTAGCATTGGCAACCTAGACTTCACCAGTACGACCACCAATAGTACCTCGAAACGCAGTCTCCTGGAGTTGACGAGGGATGTTTTTGAGTTGCAGAATTGAACGGAAAGACTGCTCGTACTGAATGCGAGTCTGAAATGGGCAGAAAGCTACGCTGAGCGCACACGGTACTCGGTGAAGCGAAGACCAAGAAACAGGGATATTTATTGTGTTTTAGCGAGGCGCTGGGGTTTTAACGACAGAGCGGGCCAACGGCATCGCCTATTGAAGGGCATGCATATGTAAAAGATCTGATCCATTTATGCATCGGGCGAAGGAAACGAGCACAACTTGCACGAGACCCATGGGCGTGAAAGTCTATTAGCATGCAATTGATGAGTGAGACCCCAAACCTTTTCTTGCTTACCTGAAAACTATAACATATCAGCTTCATCCGCTACAATTTTCCGCTTACCTGTTGCTAGCATATGCCACCATATCAACCGACGCGAGATGCACTACTGCACGCCGCCCCTCACACGAATCCCGCATCACGGAAGCTCGAGCAGGTCGTTAGACGTTTCAATTTGCAACCTCATGTCAGAAGACGGCAGACCAGCACGCCGACAACAATGTTCCTCCGAATCGCAGGTGGCTTACTGACAGCCTGGATCATCTCTCACATCTACAAAATCACCTATAACCACTTCTTCCAGCCACTATCTCGCTTCCCCGGCCCAAAAGCAGTTTCCACAGGCTGGTACAAAGCTTATCAAGAAATCTATCTCGCCCGCAACTGGTTCGATGTCCTGAAAGAACTCCACGCTTCCTATGGCGAAATCGTTCGCGTTGGACCAAACGAATTACATTTCTGCTCTCCTACCGCATACCATGAAATCTACAATAACATGAATCGCTGGGATAAAGACGAAGTACTTTATACTTCTTTCGGCGAGGACGCGAGCTCGTTTGGGTATGTAAAGTATCGGGATGCGAAAATGAGGAAAGATGTTTTGGCTCCGATGTTTTCGAGACGAGCGATTTCGGAATTGCAGGGTGTTGTGAAGGAGAAGATGGTGAGACTGTGTGGGGCTTTGGAGAGGAATTGGAAGGAGGGGAAATCGAGTGATGTTTTGTTTGCTTTGAGGTGTTTTACGTTGGATACGATTGTGGAGTATTGTTTTGCGAAGGATGTGGAGAGTACGGAGGTGGAGGACTTTCAGGTACGTGGATTTCTTTCAACAAGAAGAGGGTTGGAGTGTGATAGTATGCTGACTGAGCTGCCTCTCAGGCTCCGGTTGTGGTGGCTATGGATGCTTCTTTGCCTAGCTTCATCCTGTTCAAGCACTTTTCCCTGCTTCGAAAAACTGTCTTTGGGCTTCCGGGCTGGTTGACGAGATTGAGTAATCCGGCACTGGCTGGCTTGGTCGATTTGCACGAACTGCTCAGTGCCCAGGTCAACGAGGTGGTGCAGAATCCAGCGTCATTGCAGAAGAGTCCTCATCCAACGATTTATCATCGACTCATGGATCCAGAACTCAACACAGCAGCAGGCATCCCTCCACCCAAAAGTCTCTTCGAGGAGGCACTGGCTCTAGTCTTCGGCGCTGTTGACTCCGCCGCGAACACGACTATGCTGGGGACATATCACGTTTTGCAAAATTCCGATATCAAACGACGACTTCTGGAAGAACTCGAGACAGCATGGAAGTCGACATTGAACTCCAAAGCTTCCGACGAGTCCAGCAACGAAGACAAACTCTCATCGATCCCCTCAATCGAAACCCTCGAACGCCTCCCATACCTCACAGCCATAATCAAAGAATCTCTCCGTCTCTCCCCAGGCGTCCCACACCCCCTGTCAAGAGTCACACCATCGACCGGAGCAACAATCAGCAACCAACACATCCCACCAGGAACCGTTATCGGAATGTCACATCTATTCGTCCACTATTCTCCCGAATGCTTCTCTTCACCCGAGACGTTCGACCCAGAGCGCTGGCTTCGACCCGACAGTGCCGCACTAGAAAAATGGCTAGTGCCATTCTCTCGTGGACCAAGAGCATGCCTAGGACTCACGTTGGCCATGTGCGAATTGTACTTCGCATTTGCTCTATTGTTCTGGGGATTTGATCTCCAATTGGACGGGACGAAAAAAGAGCATCTTGCGTATCGAGAGTGCTTTCTGCCTTCGTTTCGGGAGCCACATATGCGGGCTTTCTGTAAGCCCGTCGTGAGATGAGAGATTGTCAGCATTTTCTTGAGGATGAATGTGCTTATCAGGCAGGAACTTTGTGAAGCTGAATGTCATGTAGGACCATCGTCGTAACCGATGGCAGCCTGAAATTTCGTCTCTGTATGGAACACAACATCTATCGCTCAGTCGCGCTGTCTTTTTGTAATAACACAAATCTCGTTTACTCGCACAAACCTTCGGATCGCTTCCGATTCTTGTTACATACATAGGGATTTCGGGAGGGTATCGTATTCAAGGCAGGTATCGCCATGAGAGGTCACCTTGACCGATCTCGAGATGGGCAGGCAATTACTCTCTCGAGACGTCACGGCCGAAAAGCGAGGACTTCACCCAGTCCATGATGACCAAGATGCGGTTGCGTGCTGCGTCGTCGTTAGCTTAACATCGAGATGTGTGCGAATTGTGTGAACTTACTGCTGAAGCACATGCTCAAGTATGCCGATCGCCAGAACAAGTAGGTCAATTGTCCTCCACTTGCAAGGTTTCCAGTGAGCCAAGAGATATCAGCAACGGCCTTTTCACTGCCAATGTATGCCAAGGATCCTTGATGCGAGTACTCGAATGGGCCCATTTGCTGCACGCGGCGCAGACGCTTTTGAAGATCTTTGATCTGCTCAAACACCTTATTGCGGGCCTCCTGGTTTGCTGCCTTTTCTTGGTCTTCCGAGAGTACCTTGAGCTTGGCCTCGATCTCTTCGGTCTTAGCCATCTGGTTGAACAGGCGCGCCAGGAAGCTACCTTCTTGAGAGGCGACTTGTGCAGTCGGTGCGTAGTTCGCAACGGCGCAGTCACCGACAGCCCAGATGTTCTCAGCGCCCTTCACAACAAGGTACTCATTGACTGCCAATCCACGTCTAGAGTCTTTCTGTGCGGGAATTTGATTCATGAGATCTTTCACGATAGGTCGAACCGCGTTTCCAGTGGCCCACACGAGCAAACCGTAAGGAATCTTCTCAGTGACCTTTTGTCCCTCGGCGTTGGTGTATTCGGCTTCGATGTGCTCTGCCTCCACCTTCTTAACCATTGTCTTTGTGCGAATATCGATGGTCTCCTCCTTGAACGTCTTTTCGGTGTAATCAATCAAACTCTTGGAGAATGAGGGCAGAACAGATGGCAGAGCTTCGATGAGAGTGACGTGGAAGTTGTCCTGAATCTCGGGCATCCACTTCTTGAGGTCATCCTCGAAGAAATCTTGCAATTCACCGGCGAACTCGACGCCCGTTGGACCACCACCGACCACAACCATATGCAGCAGACGCTTACGCTCCTCTGGCGATTGGTCCTTGAACGAGGCAGTCTCACAGCAGTCCATGATTCGCTTTCGAATACGTTGTGCATCACCGACTTCCTTCAAGAAGCAGCCGTGCTCGCGCACACCAGGAATTCCAAAGGTGGCGTTCTCAGCACCAACACCGACCACCAGCATGTCGAAGGGGACCTGATTCGATGAAACGCTGCCCTTGACCTCGGAGTCATCATTGATGTAGACAACCTTCTTTTCGTAGTCGATCTTGGTCGCTTCAGCTTCATAGTATTTGACCTGAGTCTTCTTGTGGCGAAGGAAGTTGCGGATGGGCTCCATGATGCTGCGGTGCTCGATGGTGCCGGTGGTACATGATGGGAGGAGCGGGGTGAACAGGAAGTAGTTTCGTGGGGAGATGACGACGACATTGTAGTTTTCGGTATCGAGCTTCTTCAAGAGCGAGACAGAGCCCCAGCCGGTGCCTAAATGCAATCAGTATGCGCATTGCCAATATATCCATGACGCGCCCTCAACCTACCCAGCACGACCAATGTCTTCTTATTCGGATCTTGTTCAGCCTGTTCAGCGGGATTGCGGTCGACGTAGATGGTGTAGCCCGTGTAGATTAGAGTGCCAGCAAGAGAGAGATATGTGAGTCGCCAGGTCCACTTCAGGAAACGCCATGATCCCTTCTTTACCTGCTGCTTATCTGGCAGCTTGTCTGACACCTTGTCGGCGAAGCCCCTCTGAAGCTGCAGTCGAGGGATCTGTGTCGTCGTCCGAGTCGCATTGGCAGCTCGAAGTGGCTGTTGGAATGGCGTGGTCCTCTGCGCAGTCGCGAATCCGCGCTGGCCGGCCAGCTTCAAGCCCATCGACGCGCTCAACCGAGCCAGCGGCCTGGCAGCGGCTGGAGTCGCCATTGTAGGCAGCAGCAGTAGCGGCGATGCCGGAAATGGGAACACAGGTGGATTGTAGTTGTCGCGCTGCTGTGTTGGGGGAAAAGAGCTGCACCCAGGGACTGCAATCTTTTGTCAACGACGTCCGAGCTTCTACGTCTTCGGCGCGACGGCGCTACTCGCTCATCAGCTAAATCGAGCAGACCGGGCCGCCGGATCCGCGCGTGCGATGCTTGTCTGCTTGGCTCGAACGCTGGTGAATTGGGGATCTATAGTGAAGGCGTCACCAACGATAAGGACATGTCGTGATAGCGTGTTTGCTTATACTACTGAGTTCGTCGAGGTGGAAAGCGACGACATCAAAGAAATTCGTCTCGTTATCTGATCGACAAGCATCGCTGGCACTTATCTTCCAGTTGTGACGACAATGACGCCATCTGCTCCATCGGCGCCAATGAGTGAGACAAGGCGAAGGTAGACCGAACAACAGCGAACATCACTCATCATCTGTGAACATGTGTCTTCTGTTTCTCACAGAGAATCTCTATAGACCTTCCATCCGAGCAATTATGTTCCCAATCCCCGATGCTCCGTATCCTACACACGCAAAACGAATATTCTTCTATGCTCCTGGGCAAACCATTGCACTGTCGATGCCTCCATACGCCGTCGTCCATCATCGTCCATTGAAGATCAGAATCGCAACTCCGGGTATCCATAAACAAATCGCCTTGAGGCGAAAACTCTTTCAGACTTCCGTACAGCGCAGAGGGAACCTGTGTCATCGTCCTAGTACTCCAATGCACGCCATTGCTGCGGCGAGGACCATCGTTCCTAATGAGATATATGCTGATCGCATTGTGCTAGACGGGCTGGGCAATGTATCGAACGGACTTCCCTGCCCGCTGTAATCGTTGCTGCTGGTCTGCCCATTACCACGAGAGCTTGTCGCCGCTGGCGTTGCCGGGCTCGAGCTGTCAACGAGTATGGTAGTTTGCTCAGTGGCTGTTGGGACTGGGCTGCTCGATGTGACGGTCTCACTCGTACTCGCCGTACTTGCCGAACTTGTGGAACTCGTCGCTGTGCTGGATGTACTCGGAGCGCTTTGGGTGCGGCTTCTCGTGGTCGGGGCTTGGCTCGAGGTGGTTTCGGTGTCATGGTCTGGTGCTTTGGCGGAGCTCCCACAAAGAGCCTTTGGTCCGTTGCCAGCGAGGAATTGTGTGAGGATTGGAAAATCTTTGAGGTCTGCGTTGTCGCAAGCGTCTTGAACCCTCTGTTCCATGTCCTGCATGCCTTGCGCGCAGGCTGGACTGCAACCATTGCCGCCTTGTGGAAAATCTTCCGCCACGCATCCGCTGATGGTCGCCGTATAGACCTTCGCACAGGCAGCAGGTAGACTCGATGGGTCTGGATCGTTCTTGTTAGATTTGAAGTTGCTCAGGCTCACTGTCGCGAATGCCACCGCGGGAAGCGCCAGCAGCGCTGCGGCTCCATCCAAGCGCATATCGCGATGCGAACGGCCAATGTCTTGGATGATGCTGATGATGTTGCGATGGACGCAGAGCGCGCGCGAACGGCTTCGAGCCTCGTGCTGAAGCGGCAGCTACCGCGAGACTCGAGAGATGGATGCTTGCAATGTCGTTGATGAGTTTCGCGGCCGCACCTGCCGTCCTTAATTTCACCGTAGCGATCGAATGCCTTACTCGTGAGTAATGGACGAGCGGCAGCACCTGGCTGCAAGGGGGTCGATGAATCTCAATTGCTGATGGACTTCTGGAAATGTTGCTGCGCTGGTATGTGGAAACAACGCGAGCGGAGAATCAGTGTGCCGCCGCAACGGAAGGTGCTGTTCACGACGGAAAGGAAAGTATAACAAAATGACCGCCCGCGATTCGTGCTATTGCAGTCCTGTCATACAGCAACTTGAGAAGAGTGAAAAAGCGAATTTGTTGGTCGTCGCCAGACCCGTGGCACTCGCCTTCTGGTCAACAATTCATTCCAGTCTGGCGTGCCGCGCTCAGCACTCGAGCGAGCTGCACAGCAAACACTCCGCGCTCAAAACGTGAGACGCACATGTAGAGGCTCTTCTCATTCGACCTGCAGGCACAGCGACGAGCAAATCAGAACGCGAGACCATGTCGCCGAACAGTGCTGACAGGGATGTGAGGTCAACATGAAACCGTTTCAGGTCGAGATGCCTCGGGCCGCTACTTACGGCCAACGTCATTCGTGCTATCCGTTGCCATTGCCTCTCAATTTCCCATATCATGGACTTCACACTGACAAATTCCTCCTTCATCATAATGCTGAGCTAACACTCCCTCAGCCTCGACAGCTATCGCTGCACATACTGTTCGCCATTGCTGGAAACTCCGCTCTGACACTAGTGACCGGTGGAAAAACTTAAGCGCCGTGAGCGTCCGTCTACAGAGCCTCGGGTTTCAGCCATACGAACCGACAACCATACGATCAGTACACATTCGCACGCTTCGTATCATGCCTGAATTGTGCGACAGTTTTTCATACAGTGCATCGGCAGCTGAGTCTTAACCTTGATTCTCGCCGGATCGGAGAATTCGCACCTCAAGAGCCCATACAGCATACCACATGAACGCCAAGACCACATTGTGTAGTAGCGCTGGCTGCGTCCCATAAGCCATGTCAAAGCACCAGCAAACCAACTTTTCGTCGCGTCAACGCATTACCTGATCTTGGAAAATCTGTTCAAGATTCCACACATACCATCATACCAGAAAAGCGAATTTTCGACCCAGCGCGCGTGGGGACGATGTGACGTGTGCCCGACTGCAAAACTTCGACCCGACACCAGTGGTGGGGCCCTTTAGCGGCGGAGTTTCTTCAGAGCCACCAGAAGCACGGCCGCGCGAGAGAGTGCAGTCTTCGCATCAGCCTCATCCCGAGCGTCACCCGCTAGAAGTGCGAGTGTGTACCTTGACCACGAAACCCCAGGCTCGAGGCTCGCAGTTCTTCACTACACGTTAAGTTGACAAAGTTCGATCGGATTTGGAAATTTTCGTTTCATTGATTCGTGTTGCAGATTCATAGTCTGCGAACTTGGGTATCGTCGTGATGAGCTCTCCCTAAACTTCTGGTGTCTACCCAGGACAACGACTGACGTGCCTGTTTCTCTATGTAAATTACAGTTTAGCGCTCAACGCCCGTAAATGATGTGTGAGGACAGCCAATTGGCGCTGTCTCATTCAATTTTTAATGCCAAAACACTGTGCACTAATCCGCTTCAACTGTTGGAAGCTTGGCTCCAGCGCCCAAAATGTATTCGCTCGAACGCATCAAATCTGTGGTGAAATATGTACATGAGGAAGATGGTCGTGTAATCGTGGCCTCCATCACGCAACCAGTCCGCTCAATGCAGAGGTGGCAGAGATTGTTGCTGCGGGAAGTTGGGCCAGCGATGGACAGGGGTCATCTCCTGAGGTTGGTTGCCATCGAGCCAAAGATTTTGGCCGACGTATGGTAGGCGCCCTGTATGATGGGTAGTTCTGCCAAGAGGTTGATACTGCATCTGGTTGAGCTCGATATTGTTCGGCCGGGCTTGTGTGGCACCAGATGGTGGCGGGTACAGCAGCGTGGACACGTGATGTACGGGCCGATATGGCGATGCTCGCTGTTGGAGGAAATAGCTCGGCGAGATTTGTGTAGGGGCGTGCAATGTTGTAGCAGGCTGAGGCGCAGTGCCATTTGGCGATGCTGCAGCCGAGGCCTCATGTTGTGGGCTGTGGTGTCTCGACGCCTGCTGGGAATGAGAGACGTACTGCTGAGAGGATCCGGCTGAGGACGGTGGCTGAGAGGCATGCGCCGGGTTGCTTGTCGTTGGGTAGACCATAGCCATAGCCCTGGCTGGCACGCTCATAGGAGGGAGTTGCTGGCTCTGTGAGATCTGAGAGTATCCACCGCTACTGGCCGCTTGCGATCCTGGCATGTTCAGGCTGGGCAGAGTCAATCGCGGAATGGGTGCTCCAAGGTTCGACTGGGCGGGCAAAGTCGTATATCGGTTGGGCGATGTATAGTTGCGGGTATTGGCAAGGCGCTTCGCTGGTGGTTCTGATGCACCCTCTTCACGGGCACGCTTCACGCCTGCTTGCTGCATGACTCGCACGTCGAAGTTTCCCAATGGCGATGGCGCTGGTGTTGGACCTAGCTGACCATTTACAGCTGGAGCTGCATGCTGTGCGGAATCATTGTGATAAGGAGGCGACGCCTGATTCGAAGCCGGAGGAGAAGGCAGCGCTGGTGGCAAGTGCAGCGAAGACGCCGGAGGTAGAATTGGTGCCAATTGAGCCCTGACTGGAACTGGTCGAGTAGCGTGATCGAAGAAAGAGGCGAACTTGCCCAGAAGGGATTGCCACTGAGCCCAGTCCTGCTCAGACGTGAAGAGATTGTACTTCATGTTGCTCAGGAACTCGACCTCCATAATATGCACCTCAGCGACGTTGATGCCAGATACCTCAGCCCACGTCTTGTTCGTATACGTATTGTCGTCCAGAAATTTGTTCCCCAACATCAGGGCCACAGTGAGCAGTCTGTACTCACTGCCAGGCTTACCCCTTACTGTAGGATTCAGTTTCTTCAGTCGATAGATGAACAGCAATGCCAGTATGACCACATTCTGTGCAACGCACGTAGTCGAGAGTATCGTGGTAACCCATTTTCGAAATCCAGTTGTCGGCTTAGCATCGGCAGTGAGTGATCTCGAGTTGGCAAGGACGATTGGGGATTCTTCGACCTGCTGCAAGAGTTCTGAGGATTCGAACCAAAATAGGCATGTTATCTGCAATTAATCAGTACTATGCCCTATTCACATTATCCCATTCCGACTGACCTGTGCAGCAAGCTCTGATAAACTGCCCCCACTATCATTCACCGACCGTGGTATTTGGAAGTTCGCGGCAATGGCATTGTGGTATGGTGATCCTCGCCTTTGCTGGGACGAGTCAATCGCTGGTTCGATGGGACCCTGTTGGGGAGACGCTCGTCCATTGCCATGTGGTATTGATGCTTCCGGAGCCTGGTACGAATTCGTTGGAGCTCGATATGCGGGCTTCGACCGCGAGAGGTCTAGGTGATTTTGGCTGTAATCCCCAGCCTGGAAGCTCATGGGCCGTGAAGAATGCACGCCACTCATCTCAGGCGGAGGAGTCAATGCCCGATTGAGGTCGTGAGCTCGAGCTTGTGACGCCCAGCTGTCCCGTGATCGATCGTAGGCGTGAATGTGTGATGCCGGACAGTCTTTGGAGGAGACGAAAGGGTCTCGAAAGCGGATCGCCGTGTCGACATACATTGGAGTCGGTGCGGAGACGGAGTTGCTGGTGGTGAGTGAGGTGAATTGCGGGCAGCGGGGACCGTGGCTACGATGTGGTCATTGGGAGCTGCCCAGGTGGTGGACGAGTGGATGACGGAGAAGAAGAACAATCAGAGCAGGAGGTGGAAGTGCAGGGCCAGACGGCAGTGCCGCACGGTTGCACGTCAGTGGGCCAAGTGAGGTTCAGTCGTGTCGTGGTCCGGCGGCGGCGGCAGGAGCAGCAACAGCGTCAGGCGCGCGGTGGTGATGGGAGCAGGGCAGGCGGGCGGCAGTGGCAGCGGTCGGCTTCGTTATTGTTGTTGTGCTGGACGATGGCGGATGATTGCTTCAGCAAGGGGCGGCGGCAGCGAGGTGCAGAGGCATGCGTGCCAGATGTGCAGTGCAGCAGCGGCAGCAGCAGGAGGAGGAGCAATGGAAGTGTGGTGCACATCCACAACACCGAGACTTGGTGATGAGGCGGCAGGATAGCGAGGGCGCGCGCGCCGGCGCATGCTACTAGCGTCAGTGATCAAGGTCTAGGTTGGTAAGTGTATGGAGCAAATAGCCATGCGATCATGGCGTCGGAGCACGAAGCGCACACGCTCGCTCCTTGGGACAGGAACGCTGCTGCTGGCGATGCTCAGCAGAGAGAGAGAAAGGCTCAGCAGGTACGTGTGGAGCGGCCGTGCGCTGCGGGCTGCGGCCTGCGGGCGGGTCGTTGGCGTGCGAGTCTGTTGTGGTGAGGCAGCTGCGGCAAGCGGCTGCCGCGTTGTCGATGCGATGGATGGCATGGGCCCCAAATCGCCTGCCCGCCCATGGCCCCAAGCCGAAGCGTGAGATCCATCCATCCACCCATTCGCCTCCACCGCGGTACTGCCTGCCTGCCTGGGCGCTGGTCTGTCTGTCTGTCTGTCTGCGCCGTGCCCATCCCAGCCGTGCCCGTAGCAGTCGCAGCAGCAGTAGCAGTACGGTAATAGCCAGAGTAGACTGTACACACGCGGCAATCAGCGACGGCGGTGGCATCAGCAACAGCATCAGCAACTCCAGTACAGTATGAGTGACATCGCCCAGGCTCAAGCTTCCCGAGCGCAGCAGCAGCAGCAGGCCGGGCTCGCGACCGTGGGCACGCCTCGCAGCAGCAGAAAGTGAATCAGATCGCTTCGTCGGCCTCGCTGCCACCCCCAAAAAAGGCTGATCCCAATTCAGCAGATTGATGAGGGTCGTCCAGCGGCGTGAGGTAAGACCGTACAGCTCGAGACCAGTCCCGCCGGAGCCTAATCCCGTGCGCGGTCCCACTGCTTCTGACACTCGCCCGTCGCAACCGTCATGCACGCCCAGCGCGAGAGGGAAACGTTGCTGCGGTGGATGAGGTTGACCGTGATGACGCTCGCGCGCCTGCAAAGGTCTGGCACCTCCTCGTCCCAGCAAGCCCGTAGGCGAGCGAGGTAGCCGATGCCGCTAGTCACAGCGCCCCCCCAGCACCACGGCTCACAACTGGGCAGTCAGCTCGCTGGGAAACTCTACTGCCAGCCAACGACTGGCCGCTGAGACCACCCCAGAATTTCGATAGCATGTCTCATTAAGTGCTAATCGCCCGCGGAAATGGATGTCATCTGACGACACGCCTGCTCAAACAAATCTTCTGCATTCGCCCACAGGGTTGCGTGCGCCTGCGAGCTGCTCGCAATTCCGCCCTTCCCTGCCCACCAGCAGGCCGACAGCCGCGACAGCAAAGTAGCCGCACCACGCCATGGCACAGAGCAGAGCATGAGGTGAGAGCCACGGCGACCACGACTTTTGCGGCGTCTTCGCACGCATGCTCCGCGCCGTGTGTGGCCGGCCTCCCTGAAAGCTTGACCGAAGTGGGTGCTGCACTGTCGCGCCGGTGTTCGCCAGAAGCGTGCATCCAAGCCCTCGTTCATGCCGTCAGGAGGCGACATCATGTCCCCGGTGGTGCTGGACCTCCGTGCATGAGACGCGGAAGGATCTGGCTGGTCATCTTCACGAACAAAGTCCCAGAGAGCTATGAGACGATCGAGCTAAGCGTCGCTGCTCCACCCATGCACGGCCTGCCAATCAGGGGCGCGCTCGTACTGCTACCAAGAGAGTCAGTTGCAGGTCGATGTGCGAAAGCCAAAATGTTGCCCGAAAGGAAGCCCCTCGTCCGGCACGCATGGACGGTGACCAAGACAACAGATGGCGTTCGTGTCAAGCCCGCTGCCTCGTCCATACCACCTTCGGCCCTCTCATTTTTAGCGTGCGCGAGGGCGCAGCGCCGTGCGGTGGAGACGCGTACGTCCACCAAGTGCAAGTGCATGCAGCACTCCTCCGGCGCGTTGGCAAACGATGCGGTGGAAGTCACGAGCTCCGAGGCGTCGGATCTGATGATGCAGCCACAAAGTCGATACATTTCAGACCAGGAATGTCTCTTGCATTCCGCTGAGCAAGGTCCCTTGGGAGACGATTCTCATTATTACTTGCCCCCTCCGGCCAGCTGCACACCTGACACAAAGTGTGGTGCGACGGATAGACTCCTCGCAACAAACAATATCGTGCTGATCCTGTCTTCCGTGTTCCGTCTTGTTGGCGAACCTGCTTGGCATCCATGCCAAAAGCTGTCGCTGTCGCTTTGTCGGTCACGACGCGCCACGCCACCGCTGACCGTGAAAGTACCTGCGTAGTTCGCCGACATCAGACATCACGTACTGGCGACACGCCAATCAGCGCGGCTGCTTTGGTCGCCACTTGGCAGGGCTAAACTGTAGGCATGCCTGGCAATGTATCACTCTCACGACAGCTTATCCGCTGTCGGCCCAGCCGGATTGATGACCTCGACCACGTCTTCGAAATCAATCTGGTGCTTGCACTAACCCTCAATGCGGCAATTGTGCAGTCTGGGCGCCTCCAGTAACGCCTCCACCACAACGATCCACCCTTTTCGCTGCTGCTACTGTGTGAACGTTCGTCACGTCCTGCATCACCGGAAGCGGCGTCGTCGATAAGAGATTTTCTGATCGTCTAGTCCTACCACGGCGCTTTGCAAATTTCTTGTTTACACGGGCTGATGCAAGCGAGCTGACGAACAACTGGATCGGGTTGCACGGCTGTGCTTTGGACTGCATGACTTCTGATCTACACTGGTGAGCGCTGTCCGGGAAAAGGCGTTGTGAGACTCGCGAAGTATGCGCCTTCCTTGGTATCCCACAATAATCGTTCCATCTCGCAGCGCAGCGCAGCATACTTTCCGCCATGGATCGCAGGGCTTTGCACATGTCATACACATCTCGGCTGGAGCTTCGTTTCACAAATAACACATGCTTCACGGTCATGCTCGACACCGATACGCAGGTTGCTGATCAGTACTTCGAGAAATTCGCGAATGTGCCGTCAAGTGCCCATGTTTGCAGTGGCATGAGCTGAGACATGTGCCACTTCATGCGTTTCGGGACCGGGTGGCATGCAAAGGACTAAGGGGACAGCGGTCGATCGTCCATAAAGCGCAAATCCGCCTCATCACTCGGGATGGTACCTTCTCTAGCTGGGCGGGTGTTAGGCATTGTTCCATACACGTGCAGATGCTGGCTGAACGGGTCGGAGATTCCTCGTACTGGGAGTGCGGCGCAAGTGCTGATGCGTCGTCGCAGCGATGGATGGACATGCTGGCTGGCGGCACCCACCACCGCTGCTACACTTCGTTCATGTCCGCTGGTGTCCAACGTGATATGAAGTGGGCCCGGGCCTGTTCGAGAGACGAGGAGCAGCAGAAGCAATGCAGGAATTCGTAATGCACCTGGTCCAATCATCAGTCATGCAGTGCAAGGTTCACTAGTCATGGCTCGCTGGAGTACATCGGGAAGTCACAGACTACATGCCATCTGTTTTAGCACGATGAATCTCTCGCGTGTGGCACGTCTCGAAGGCGCATCGTATGGCCAGCTGAAGCGCCGATTGCTCTGCGAGACGGCTGCCCGGCGGTCCACTACTGTCCCCGTCCACGTACCATCGTACTGTGGCACAGTGCGAGATGCATTTCGGGGCGACGCAGCAGGCTGCGTGTCACACGGAGCGAGATGCCAGGGCGCCAAGTGGCCATCGTTCTGCGCCTTCGCACCAGCTTTTGAAAACGTCCTTCGCACTCCAGGCCTCGCTCCTTCCGATGTGCAACGCGATTGGAAACTCTGTAAGGATTTGTGGATAGCCGCCCTTCGCTTGCACAATGATTCGACACCCGGCCAGTGTTTGCCTTCGTCATCCTTACGAGCTGCTAAAAGCACGACGCAGGCGGTACTTCGTCAATCAAAAATTCTTCCCTTGCATGTCTGGGCTGTGATTACCACGGGAGCTCCATATGCCGAGGGCGATGTCTCTCGTACTTCGGCATGTCCCATTTGCGGTCGTCTCCCGTCATCCAAGTGGACTTGCGAGCTGATGAGGCTGTGTCACTCGATAACAGTTGGCTGCTCATCCATAGCGGTCAAGCCATGAGATAGGACGGACTGCTGCACGCCCAGAAATCACCCGCGCACTGCACCTTCGCGCGCCTACTAGTCCTAGAGCACCATTATTAGTCAATCCGCCAGGCATCTGAGACCAACAGTTCATGATCATGCAGTACCCTGAGCGGCCACCGTTCGATGAAGTGACGCCGCCGGTCCTGCTGTTTGTCGGCTGCATACGGATTATTACTGAAGGCATTGCGATATTGAGAGACTAGGTTCTGCCAGATATGACTCTGCGCATCACAACACCAACAACAATTCTAGTGACCCTGCAATATTGTCATGACCGGCCTCTTATTAGCACCCGTGCATTCATGCATCGTAGCATCATCATCATACGTGCACCACCACCTTCGATGCAAGCGGGTATCGTCCTGCGTTGATCGTATCGCACTGTACCATGCAAACAACGTCCAACATCTCCTCAACGCCCCGCCGTGGGCAGAGTGCGTATCCGTGTTGCCCGACGAAAGGATGAGCTCTCGTCGGAGTTGGGCCTAGATGTGCAATTTCTGCGTGAGTTTGCGCGATCATGAGGCAGTCGTATTTCTTCGCCCTGCAGAGCTGCAACTAGTCGATAGCGATGCCTCGTGGTAGGTCGCTTAATGAGCCATCTTCAGACCGAGGCGACGTTCTGAACTTAATCCGGAACCTTCTCGTATGCGCGTGGAAAGTAGTGGGTTTTCTTCGGCACGCAGATTGGAAGTTGGCTGGAGCTGATGAGGAGCACTTCCATCCCACCTTTCCCGCCCTCTTCCTTGGACCTCCACTACACATGTCCATCCGGCTACTGCACACCAGTCTCGCAGGTCCACCCCAGGCTGCTGCAGGCCGGACCTTCCTCTGCTGGCGATCGCGAAAGTCAATCTCATCAACCGTCACGGGCACCTCCTACCGTACAAAGCAGCATCTCCTCGTCAAGCCGTGCCTCGAGACAAGTCGGTGTGAGGACACGCCTCTACTTTTGTCCCGCCTCAACCAAAACTTGTCACCGAAGACCTGAAATTGCTTCTGCGGCCGCGACTGGGCCGTCACGGAGACAGGCAATCGTGGTCCCGCGTAACACCAAATTGGCTGCTTAGGCTTTGTGGCCAGCGCTGCTGACATCCTGCAATCGTGGCTGCGGGCAGCTTTGAGAATGAAAATCTGCCTCTTCCTGCTGCCGGGATGCAGCTTTCCAGCATCATGCGGACAACTGACCTCAAATGTGCTGCTAGGGCTACGCGTAATAATCGGCTGCCTCACGTGTCATGTTCAAGGATCGTGAGTGCATAGGCTTTACCGCACACCTCCTCAAATTCCTTTGTCAGATGCAGCTATCCTCGATTACCGAGCTCGTACCTCACAAATGTTTCTCAGGCTATCCATGACGATGGACGGCGACTGTCACCTGCTCAATCTTGCTGAGGACCGGGCGGATATGTGAGCCAGCGAGGCGATGTCCAATATCGCAATGACAACAATTGCTTCGTCGATCGACCTTGCATCCAGACGTTCCGTATTTATTACCTTCCAACGTGGGTCTCGGACCAGCGACGTCCTTGAGCTCAAGCAGTGGCCTGAAGAGATGCTGGCTGGTACACGCCTCCACATCGCAATTGCCGGTACCATCGAATCCTATCGTGGACGATTCACGGCGCCGCAGATGTCGAAGATACTCGACCGGATACTGAGGCAGAATCTCTAAAGGGTTCCATTTCGCGATCTGCCTGATTATTAATATTTTGCTCTCGGCTGCACGCGACCAGCATTTACCAACATTGAGCAATCCAGGATCTAAGTTGCAGTGCTCAATATTAGCTCGACAAGTCCTGGCCAACTTTGACTAATCTTCCAGAGTTGGCACAGTTTTGTATCGTTGTGATGCTCATTTCCAATTCACTCGATGAGTCCAAGTGTCGCCAATTACTCTTCCGCTAGGGTCCACGTCTTGTACCAGCCATCGGTGCCGGATTGCACTGATCTGCGTTTCTCTTCGACAATCCAGTGCCAGCAACAGTGATCGTACTTTTCCATGCGGCCGTGATCGGATGCTCACGTGAGTAGTGGACACAGCATTCGAGATAACGAAGCATATTCGCTCGTGAGAGAAGGCTGCTGGCGCGATATTGTCTTGAGAACGGCTGTGCAGCCATAGTGCTAAAGAAGCAGCTGGCTTTCGAGAAATAACTTAAGACGCAATTCGATGAATCAGCGACCAGACAACAGATCTTTGTCAGTGCCCAAAAGAAGTTCCGTAATACGACTAAAGGTCAATTGTTTCGGTGCTGGCAAAACTATAAGCGTACCAGATTGTAGCTGCTATGATATCTTCACCTGCTCTTGTTTGTGCGTGCGACCTGTCCACCTAATTCTGCAGTAGCAGCTGCACCAGCACAGCACACTATGCTTACCTTTCAGATCCCCCCGGAGGTAAGTGCAAAAAGACTACGCCTTGCAGCGTTCCGCCTGATTTGGCGAATGCTGTTCGAAATGATGTATACTGCATACAAGCCTGAGATGCCGTTGTTCGAAGATGACCGAGATGCCACATTAGCTGACAGGACCATGAAAGCACTGGGAAAAATGGTCGTCTACCTACCAAGGCTTTTTCGCAGGAGCCTATTTGATGATAGGCATTGCAATCCTATGCTTTGCGTACATTGGAGAGAAACGGGCACGCAGACGAGAAGTGCGTGAAGTCCACAAAGATATAGAAAATTGGCAAAACCCGGTAAGCCCGAGCACTTTGTTGTTCTATAAGCTCGTACTGAATTTTCGCAGGGCATGAAAGAGATCGTCGCTGAGCTGAGATTGTTGAGGCAAGTTATGGCAACTCGAAGAGATCTTTGGGACACCATGCCGCCGAGCTATGAAGATAGTCATGGCAACAGAGTGCAAGCATGGGATATGGAAAAGGGCGGCTCCGACTACATGACCAGCCGGTTTGTCTACGGCGGGCAAACATGTACATGGAATTGGAATTGGAATGAGAGCTAGCACTGCTCCTGTCCACCCTGCAAGGTGAAGCCTTATTGCGGGAGGTTGCCTGGATTCCTCTCTGACAGCATCGAGATAATGAGCAGGCGAAGCGTGTCTCTCAGCAGACAGCACTTTCCAGACCGAGTTCAAGTGGGAAGAAATGATTGCATCCCGCCCGAATTGAGCACACGCTGTATGCTAAGCAATCGGCACTACGAGTTCAGTCGGAACAACACCTGAGATACTTGATCCAGCGTTCGTGATCTGTTTGCCTCACAGCGTTGCTTCAGAGTCAGCGCCTTACTAGATCGCCGAATTTGCGTCTTGTGTTGACTATTCCATCGAATTGTCATGTTCAGTCTCGGCTCTCATGGCAGAAGCGGGATATGGAGGGTAGACAACACAGCACAGCGGCGGTAATTTCGTCTTGTCGACATCAGTAGAGAAATGGCGATAATGTATAGCTGTCGGCCAAAACGGTAAGTTCATGTAGTTCGGTATTGTGGCTGGTGAGCTGTGGCTGCGCCTTAGCAGAAGGGACTGCGGCCAGTTCGGAGGTCTCGACACCAGCGTTGTCGCGCTCGACCAGTGTATCAGTCCATGCAGTACACATCGCCATGCCGCCACGATTACAGCTACTGCGCCGCGCAGTAGTGTCACTACCAACACAGCCAACTTACCAGCCGATCGCGCCTTTCCTATACCCCTTCCTCGGTCAACAGCGCAACGCCTCGATTCTATCCTCCTTGTCCGACACAAAAGGTTCCTACAACAAGCGCATCAGACGAGGTCGAGGACCGGCCAGCGGCAAGGGAAAGACATCTGGGCGTGGTCACAAGGGTCAGAAGCAGCACGGAAAAGTTCCTGCTGGTTTCAATGGTGGACAGACGCCAGATTGGGTGGTAGCTGGGAAGCGAGGATTCAAGAATGCGTAAGTCATGTTCGGGGATAAGTTCAGATTGATCGTGAAGGCTGAGACGGTGATGCAGCTTCTCTGTGGACATGACCAAGGTCAATCTCAATCGCATCCAAGACTGGATCAATCAAGGCCGACTCGATCCTTCGCAACCAATCACTCTCAAAGAGCTCAACGAGTCGCGATGTGTACACGGCGTCAAGGACGGCGTGAAACTGCTCGCTCGCGGCAAGGATGAGCTCACTACTCCAATCAACATCATTGTGTCGCGAGCCAGCGCAGAAGCCATCAATACTGTCGAGAAGCTTGGAGGCACAGTCACGACGCGATACTACACGAACTTCGCCATCAAGAAGATTATGCAAGGATATATGGACCCTATTCACAGCCTGCAATCGCGAATCAACGTTGCAAGCTCGGACAAGGGCGTGGAAGAGCTGGACGCAGATCAAGTGGCTGATGCTCTCACGGACGACACGGAGCGATACCCATTCCGATTGCCAGATCCCACGAGCAGAAAGCATCTCGAATACTACAGAGATTCTGCTCATAGAGGTTACTTGAGTCATATGGTCGCCGAGGGACAAGGGCCAAGTTTGTTCTTCAAGACACCTGGTTCTGCTGGCAGGATTGGAGAGAGGAAGAAGAAGCTTGTAAATAAGGCTGCGACGAGCAAAGGCGCGGACAACAGGTTGTGGTAATCCGCTGAACAAGTAATTATCGTATGATGACTATACACAGCTGAAGCTGTCTTTTCTGCAACTCCAGAATCTATGCCACATCGCAATGCTCAAGTAAATGGCTACTGTACATGCTAGACGGCGGTGATCTGTTGGCCCGAGGCACTTGGTCGCCGGATTGAGGCTTTCACTTGCGGCCCTCCTGAAAACGGATCACTGGCCTAGATCATGATACGGCATCGCGTCCCGGTGGGCTGTTCATAGATCCCGCTTGGTGTTGTGAGGCTTCGTGTCCCCTCAGCCAAAGTTGATCGTATATGGTAACGACGGATATGCGACCACCTGGCTGGCCTTGCTTTGCAGCTGCTCGAGTACTCCCAACATGGTCAAACTGAAGCCTGCTTCAGCCCTCTACCATAATGTTCCCGACTGATGTCTGCCTCTATCCCAGAAGCGACCCACTCATTCTGAGGCATCTGATCTTGCTTCGGGCAATTGAATTCGCACGTCGATTAGATCTTGCGACGTTTGTATGCCCAATATGCTTTGAATGGTAGCTTCCAGTCGGTCGTCCTCAGCTTCGATTGGAATACGTCGAAGTCGTGTTGTTGTAACCGATCGAGCCACATTTGAGTGGCAATAGCTGGCATGTAAACGCCGAAAGCACGCTCGACCTCCTGAGCTGGAGTTTCGACACGGCCAATAGATGGCAGATGGACATGTTCCTCTTCATCTTGATGTTCAAATTCGTGATCAGTTTCATTGCCCGCCCGTATTGTGTCGAGCAGCTGACGAGCAGTGATGAGATGATCGTTAGCACGTGTGGCGACCGCAAAGACCGCATCTCGGAGTCCATGGGCGTCAGCGCCATTCCGCAGCACATCCTCTTCACGAACTCCAGCCTCAGCCATGATATCCAAAGGAAGCATTACAGCTCCTTGTCGAGTGGCGCCTACATCGCCAGCTAGGACACCTTGGTTACTGTGCGAATTCGCGGGACCTGGAAAAGCGATCAGGGGAAGGCCACGCAAAATCGCTGTTATGCCTATGGCTTTCCCGATATGCGAAGCTATGTGATCTGCGGCTGTACTCGACATCGGAAGAGCCTGGAGTGTTAGATACAGGAGAGTGCTGTAGGTGTTCTCGCCGTAGCTTTCCAGTGCCGCAACATTTGGGTAGGGAGGATTTGACAGATACTTCTCCCGAGTGTCGACAATTCGCATCAGCCAGCTTTTGCTGAACTTGGAACGTCCTCCAGTCCTCGCTTGCAGATCGTCCACTGCGTAGGCTAGCATCAGAGCAATAGGCTGTTTCGGTGGCGTTCCAGCTAGGGACTTGGTAACCGCATCGCGATGGAATTGAAGCCGCATCATACCAATGGTAGGAGTCGAGGTGGTATCGGCGGTCCGAGCAACATCTATGTTGAATGCCCGAAGGGCGACATAGGCATCTCTGGCGTGGCTCGGAATGTATGGCAAAAGCAGAGACGAAGGCGTATCATATTTCCTCAACAGATCCAGGCAGTAGTTCCTGGCGCTTGATATCTCAGCTGCAGAGCTTATTTCTGCTGCGGGCTGGCTGACGCTCGAGGCAGCTCTTTTCTGAACGAATATTCTTCTGATGCATGTTGATGGCTTGAAAGCATGGATTGTGCTGCAGTTTCGGGGAAAGCTCTTCATGCTGTTCATGCAGCCAAGTACTTGTTGACAATAGCAAAGATTCGATCCAACGCCTCAGACGGCTCGCTCCATGTCGATAGATGTCTGTGTCTTTGCGATTTCCTTGTCAATTCGAATATGGATGATGGTTGCTGCCACAAAGTCGAGGGACGGAAAAGTGAAGCGACGCGAGGCTGTCACGTCGTCATCCAGCTCGCGTCTCCAGCCGCGTGAACCCTGGATCGTGCTCGAACAAAGCGAGCGAGATTTCGTCTCCTCCGACAGCGGCAACACAGCCGCTCATGAGCATGAGCATGGACATCGACGACCGTCCGCTGAAGAAGAGACGCTTCTTTGCTGCTGGTGAAGGCCTGCACGACCAGACTTTATTCGCCGAAGCAAGTCTGCCTGACGAGGTTGAAGGCCTGCACCACGAGACGCCGCCCACGACGATCGACCACGACGACAATGCTTTCGATGCAGACACTTTCACCAGTATCGTCGGAGACAATGTGCCTCCGGAAGCAATTCGTAGCCTCCAAGCAGCCCACGGGACCAATTTGGAGCAGGCCATCAACGCCTACTTCGACGGGTCGTGGAAGGCGACGGTACCTCCGAGAAAGAAATCACCTGCTTCTTCTCAGCCGCCACAACGGAAGCTGAACGTGAAGCGTCAAGGAAGTAATGCTAATGGGGCTTCTTCATCGACTTCGTTGCCGAAGAAGGCGAACCTGTCCGCAATGCCTCAGATGCGATACATTGGAGCTCTGGGAGTGGCGGGTTGGGCAACAAGAAGTGGTGTCTCGCTCAAGGCCGATGATGTGGTCAAGATCCAGCGTGTGCGACAAGCGCCCAAGGTCAAACTTGGAAGAGGAGGCAAGACACAACAGGTGGCAAGACGGACAGAGGATGTAATTGTGCGGTTCACAGACCAGACTGGGACTGAAATTGGACGTCTCGAGAAGGACTCCGCATTGTGGATTGGTGCATTGATCGATCAAAAGGTCTGCCAGTTCGAGGGACACTGCGTCTTTGCTCCAGAGCGAATCAAGACCAACGACACTGTTTACATTCAGCTGCGATGTTTCCTACTTCGTCCGATCTTCGAGGCTGGGAGTTTTGTAAAACCGGCCGATGACAATCGGAATACGGGATTTCTGGAGACAGCGGAAACGACACAAGAGCGAGACCTGAGACTGCGGCAAATAGGACTGGTAAAGCTTTTCTCGGAGATCAACCTGCAACCAGCTTCAGTCAATGAGCTCACAGCGAAACACAAGCGAGAGGGCATCCTGCAAGCTGCGGAAGTCGCTGAACAGTACGATCAAGATGGTAGCAAGAAGAAGGAGGGTAGCGGATCCAGTACGCCCTCTGATGATAGCGAGAAAGAGGAGGGTGAAGAGCTCGAGCAAGATCAGCTCGATTCGTTGTACAAGAAAGCGCAGTCTTTCGACTTCAATACTCCTACAGCTGAGCCAGCGTCGACTTTCACCATGGATCTGCGCAAATACCAGAAACAGGCGCTGTATTGGATGTTGCAGAAAGAGCATCGCGAAAAGGATGAGCAGAAAGAGCAAAGTATGCATCCGCTGTGGGAACAATATTCGTGGCCAAACAAGGATGCCGACGACAAAGACCTGCCTGCTGTCGAAGGACAAGACAGCTTTTACGTCAACCCATATAGTGGCGAAATGAGCCTCGACTTTCCCGTGCAAGAACAGACATGCCTTGGAGGTATCCTGGCGGACGAGATGGGACTTGGTAAAACGATTGAGATGTTGTCACTTATACACAGCCACAGATCTCCGGAGCACGAAGGCATTGTGCATGATGCCACCGATGTCGAAGTCGACGCCATCAGTAGTTTGAAGAGACAATCGATGACATCGACGTCGGTCAAAAGGGCCCCGGCAACAACACTAGTGGTCGCACCAATGTCGTTGCTTGCACAATGGGCGAGTGAAGCAGAGAAGGCATCCAAGACTGGCACCCTCAAAGTGCTTGTGTACTACGGCAGCGAGAAAGGAGCCAATTTGCAGACGCTCTGCTGTGGGTCTGATCTCACGTCGGCACCAAATGTGATCATCACCAGCTACGGAGTCGTGCTATCTGAGTTCAATCAGGTTGCCAATGCCGGTGGCAATCGGACGGCATCTGGCGGGCTTTTTGGCGTTGAGTACTGGAGAGTCATCCTCGACGAAGCACACATGATCAAGAACCGACAATCGAAGACTGCAAAGGCATGTTATGAAATTGCAGCTACACATCGATGGGTATTGACTGGAACACCGATCGTGAACCGATTGGAAGATCTATTTTCACTTGTGCGTTTCTTGCGAGTTGAGCCTTGGAGCAATTTCAGCTTTTGGAAGACTTTCATTACCACCCCTTTCGAGAAAGGCGACTTTGTCCGTGCGCTCGATGTGGTGCAGACAGTACTGGAGCCGCTTGTGTTGAGACGCACAAAAGACATGAAGACGCCAGATGGACAAGCTTTGGTGCCTTTGCCACCAAAGCGAACTGTAGTGGAGAAGCTGAAGTTCTCTGAGCCCGAGAACGACGTATACGAACATATCTACCACAGAGCAAAGAAGACATTCAACGCTAATGTGGAGGCCGGCACGTTGATGAAGAGCTACACGACCATCTTCGCCCAGATTCTGAGACTGAGGCAAAGCTGCTGTCATCCGGTGCTCACACGCAACAAAACAATAGTAGCTGAGGAGGAGGATGCCGCCGCCGCTGCCGACATAGCCAATGGCCTTGCTGACGACATGGACTTGGGCGCGTTGATTGAAAAGTTCGAGGCTGAAGAGGGCGAAACAGACGCCGCAAAATTTGGTGCCCATGTGCTCAAACAGATCCAAGATGAGTCCGAGACTGAATGCCCGATATGCTTCGAAGAGCCAATGGAAGACCAGGCTGTCACTGGTTGCTGGCACTCGGCTTGTAAGAAATGCCTGATGGACTACATTGAGCAACAAGCATCAAAAGGAGAACTGCCACGCTGCTTCAACTGCCGAGAACCTATCAACGCGCGCGATGTGTTCGAAGTTATCAAGCACGATGACGACGATGAAGAGCACGAGAGTGACCTCTTAAATGCAGCTATAGAAGATGAAGACGATCTCTACACCAGCACACAAAGCAGAGCCGCTACAGAGAACAAGAGGAAGCCTCGGATATCTCTGCGGCGAGTCAACCAGCTCGCTTCTGCGAAGATCTCAACGCTCACGACGACGCTCAAACGATTGAAAAAGAAGGAGCCCACGACGAAGTCTGTTGTCTTCAGCCAATTCACCTCCTTTCTGGATCTCCTTGCCCCAGCTCTCACGGCCTCCAACATTGCCTGGTTGCGCTTCGACGGTAGCATGTCTCAAAAAGAAAGAGCAAAAGTACTTGCAGAGTTCGCAGAGCGACCAAAATTCACAATTTTGTTACTGTCATTGAGAGCGGGTGGTGTCGGGCTCAATCTGACCTGCGCGAGGAGAGTTTACATGATGGATCCTTGGTGGAGCTTTGCAGTGGAAGCACAAGCTATTGATCGTGTACACCGCATGGGTCAGACGGAAGAGGTGGAAGTGACCAGATACGTGATTGAAGGCACTATTGAAGAGAAAATGCTTAGAGTGCAGGAGAGGAAGAAGTTCATGTGAGTTCTCTTGGCCGATATTCTGACTTCAAATTGCAAGTTGCTGACAGTTGCGCAGTGCCAGCTCTCTTGGTATGATGAGTGAGGAGGAGAAGAAGATGCAGCGAATCGAGGATATTAGAGAGCTGTTGAGCTGAGGTGAGCAAAGCGAGCACGTCACGAGTGGATGGTCAAGAGTACAGACTCCACCTCAGTCTGAGAAGGGGCCTGCAAACGCAATGTCACTGTTCAATCACGCCATCTAATAGCTTTATAATGCTTCGATGTACCATATATCAACACAAATCCCAGGAGGCTGCTCTCTGGAAGTTCCTGAACTCCGTATTGGTAAACGTCGCCGCGTCTCCCAGAATGCTTCATGCACCTCGAAATCAAGCTAATGCTCGCTTAGTCGCAGGCCCATAAACTCATAGTCGTCTCATGCATAATCGTCACTCATAATGCGCCATAGCCATCACCACGCGGACTTCTATCCTCCAACAATGCTGCTCGCTCCTCCGGCCTAGGTAAACTGGCATCGCCATACGGGACCCATCCTCTCATCCATCCAGAAACTCTTCTCCAGTGCCAGCGGGATCCCTGCTGCTCGTCGACAACAACGACTTTCTCCTCCGTCTCGCCATATAGTAAGAATTGTACTCCCACGCTCGCATCCAGACCTAGCACACCAGCAGCACCCAGAAAGAAAGGAAGAGCTGCGAGTACCCACTGGGCACGATCAGAGCCCTCTTTGCCTGCCCAACCTCCCCCACCATATGTTCCGAAATCATTCCACGCATTGGGGTTGGTGACAAGGGCAGACGAGTAGAACAAATTTCCACAAAAGGCCGCCATGAACAGATGCGGACTCAGGCCAGCGACCGACTTGCGTCGCCAATTCATGAAAAGTTGAGGTAATCGCGAGCCGAGGTATAGCAGCGTAGACATCCACGAGATAATGGTACCGGCGTTCTCCAGTGGCGTGGGCTGACTGTCATGCACATTTTGATGCACTGACGGCTTGTGTATAGGGGACGCGTGTGCCATTGCAATCAGGCAAGCAATGAACAGCATAGTCCTTGGTGATGGCGACGGCATTGGAGAAGAGGGACCGATCCTGTGGATTGTGTTTCTGGGCGTACCGGAGCTCGATGCGAGTTTTTCTTTCTCCTCTTGCTCGCGCTGGAACGTGGGCGTTCGGAATATGACTCTTGGTCTGGCTGGTGGTGGCTTTCTGGCATCCGTTCCTTGCTCATGGTCAGATCCATTCCTTTGAACCGGGCTCAGTGGTGACATACCTTCGATCGAGGCCTGCTCCATGCTACCACTCGTAGCACTGTCATCGTCATTTATATCCCTCCTCTTCCACATACGAAACACCGGGTGTCCGTGGCGTAACCTCTCGTACCATATCCATTGTCCGACTAAACAGAGATCGACCGCCACATAGTAAGCCCCTATGGCAACCTGCCAGCTTGCTTGATGCGTGAACAACGCTCCCAGCAAATTACTCAGATCTCCCAGACACCACTCAACTAGGAAGAAAATCGACAGACCGCTGGTACTTTGAAGCGACCAGTTCTTGTATATTTGCGGCAGCTGGGCGAACAGCCATGCTATGATGCTAAAGATGCCGAGGAGATTCGATACAAAGGCCAAAGGCGTCGGGACGCAAGTATGGAAGGTGCTGCTGAACCGGAAAAGAAAGTCGTTCTCAGGCACGCAATGTGGCGGTAATGAAGGCTCAAGGAGCGCGGCGGCGGTCCATTGCATGATGCGAATCGGTCTAGCGGAATGTGCAGAATTCAATCGAGAGAGCGTGAAGCAGTTCGCTCGAGGGTATGAGTTCGTCTGAGGTGTGCAACGTGACTCGAGTTCCTGGTCTCGTGCCCGTTCACGTGCTGCTTAGTCGCAGGCAGTTATCATGAAGAGCAGGAGCAGGAGCGATCTCGGTGAGCGTGGAGCAGCTGACAGCTGTGGGAGAGGCGCGTGCTGTCTTGAGCTAGATGGTATCCTTTAGGTAACGTGCTGTGGGAGCTCTTGTGTCAAAGCGGAAAGAAGCAATACACCGAGGAATGCGATGCAGTGAAGGAGCAGTGCGTAGCAGGAAGAGAGGAAACAACGGTACAAACTGTGTCTATGGGAGGAAGTCGCGACACGGAAAGTGTAGGAGGCAATCGTACCTCTGTTGAGCGAGGACAGTCATGCGGAACGCCATGTCCTGGTGGTCGTGCGGTAGGCGCTCCACACACCGGCGCGGTGTACGGTGACAGAGTGCCCCAGGTCCTCGGAGCGGATCGTGCATTACGTGCAGCAAAAGAATACAAGAGCGGCCGCTGAGTGGACGAAGATATGGCGCCATGTCAATCTGTGTCGATAAGAACCGCCCCACGCGCAACGGCCAAGATAAGACCCCGCATGTGATCATCCGGGTCCCCTAAAATGGCATGTGCAGTCGGCCAAGCACAAGTCCAGCTTCCCATATGATGCCTCCCCACGTCGATGAAAGAACGAGGCCTTTCGCCTGCATTCGCTTCTGATTTCGATGCTGCCGTGCGTAGGAATTCTGGTTGAAGATCGTACGCCAACATGACGTTGCTTACTGCCAAGGATGCTACTCGCTATCGGCATTCGGACCGGGATCGCCCAGTACGCCAGATCAGAAGTCCATCGGGGAGGCCTTCACCACGCACCGGGTCGCGGCTTCACATTTACTGTTGCTCAGTAAAGTACCATGGCTCACGATCCCCGTATAGGTCTCCAGGCACTCGGAATGGCAAGTCCAACACACTGTTGAATGCTTCCAGCGAGACCAACGCCGCTTGGTCAGGTTTCGAACCTTCTTCATCTTCACTCTCCGTCTCCGAATCGCCATTGGAATCGCGTAGTTTCGCGGCCTCTTTCCTTGCATTGAAGTTCGAAGAAGGCTGTGGGATCGGGAGGATCACGCCGCATTCCCAATTTCTGCATGTGATCTTGTTCTCGGTTCTCTCAGCTGGCAGTTGGCCCCAAGCTGACTGTGACATATTTGATGATCCGACATACACCCATGCTTGGCCCTTCGGCTGTGACGCATCGCCTGTCGACCTGTCGTTCTCCTTTGAAGAACCTTCATCATTTGGTTTGGTGTCGAGAACACTGGGCCCACGCGCGCAGAGAATTTTATTGTGGCTCAGCAGACCAGCTCGCGTGGACTTGTAGTCCCTGAAGCATACTCGTGGAAATGTCGGCCTCTCAAAATAGGTTCGCTGCAAACATATTGTCCCTGCTGCTCCTGCCGTTGAGCTTCGCACTGTTTCTTTCGTAGGGAAGTAGATGCGGATCTTGTCCCGTACATTCGTCGTTGAGTCCGAGGTCTGAGACTTTGTCTTCTTCTTGAAGAACGCAGCGCCCGCCTGCGATCGAATTTCTCTGGCTTGAGCCAACAAGTCCACGCCTCTGGCAGCCGAGTGAAAATCTTGGAGCTGTTTGTCATTCAGCGCGCCTATTGATGATGCCGCAAAATCGATTTCCAGATCGCTCGTCGTCACGAGCCCAAGTTCCCGCACAGCGCGACTCAATCCCAACAAGCCGGTGCGTGCAGCCTGATCTCTGTAATGGACACCACCAACGGTGTGCACAAAAGCCATGTGCTCGGTCGCAGAGAAATCGAAATTCAAGACGCCGTCACATACGTCCTGGTCCAAGCCTTGCTTCTCTAGAAAGAACATCAATTCTTTTTGGAAGTTGGTGAATTCGGTCGCTTTGGCTTTGAAGTCGTTCGGTAATCGGGGAAGATCGATCATGAACACAGAATTTTCCATCAAACCAGTTTCACCCCAGTCAAAGTTCAACAGGTTGGCTGTGGGGATTGCTATTCGCAGTTTGTGAGCGTGGAAACTGTGTCAAGTTAGCAAAGATGTCATCTTATCCCAGAACGCAGAGGGTCAAACGTACAGTAGCATCAGTTTGGAGTGCATGCAGTTGATGAGACCATTCATGTTGGGAAAGCAGAGCCGTAGGAAGTGCCGCATGTCACTGGCGTCCTCTCGCCAGCGATCGCGATCTTCTTGCTCTTTGGCCTGCATAACGAATATGCATTTGGTCGTCCCCCCGTTCAAGGGTGTCTTCAGCTTCGACAGAACCCATTGCACATCCCATTGGAAGGCCGACAGCACGGCTGTGCGGACAGAGAGCGGCTCCAACACCTCTTCGATCTTGATGTCATTGTTATTACGTTCATGCCCAAATGCCCTGTTCCCATCAGTGTGAGCGATCGAGGAGCAAACGTGAAGAACTCTGGCTGCATGGGTAACCATCCAGGAAGACACGAGCGTTATTGGGAATCTTGGTGACCATAAAGCTTACCATGTCTTCTTGACGATGCCGCGAGGGTACTGTAAAGAGCCCGCTCCATTCGAAGATGTGAAACTCGAGCCCAGGTCAGCTTTGGTAGGTAGTGGCGCTTTCATATGATTCATCGCTGCTCGTGCGGCAGCTGGTTTCCGAGCCTGTTGATCTTGCTGGATAGCGCTCGACAGCATGTTGAGGCGGGCGCCACTGGGCATGTCGATGCTCTTCTCCGTGATTTTGGGAGCCTTCCGAGAGTCACGGAGAGGAGGCGGAGATATAGATCTTGGGCGTTTGCCAGCAACTCGAGCCAAGCGTGCTGCCTCCATTGCTTTCCGGTCAAGGCCTGCAAGGCCTGCAGATGGCGGAGCTGGTGTTGGAGCGGCTGGCGCAGCTGTCTGTTGCTGTTCTGACAGCGACAGTGCGATGGCTGCTTTGAGTTGTTCATCTTCTGAATCTGTGTCTGCCATCGTCGCTCGCACTGAGATACGCCGAATGAGTGAAGACGAAAAGAGAGAACGACACTTCCTTACTGCAGGACTGTGTACAGTCTTGAACATGAAATCTGCGGGCGGCGAGCACAAGTTGACAATCGAGTCAATTGGAAAGTTGTTGCAAGGAGGAACGACGCCTGGAGCTCGAGGCAACCGCGCTCCTGACGCGGGAAGCCACTTGTGGCTGGAGGAGGCAGTGGCTGAGCGTTCGGCCCGGTCGTGACGTGCGTTCACTCGAATTGCTCATCATCACCGAGCTGAATCGTGTCGAGCCCGGAATGTTTCCAGAGCCGTTACTAAGCCGCGTTACCAGCTGCACCGACGTGCAAACATGTTGCTCCGCTCCAGCATACATATCTGCGGGAGGGCGATCGGTGATTTGACGTGAAAGCAGACAGCACCATCACAGCCACTACACGAAGACCGATCCTCATATCAGGAGCGGGTCCTGCGTCTTTGCTCCTCGCTCGATCTCTGCTGAGAAGTTCAATACCATTCCTGATCTTCGAGCGCGATCAGTCCATATCTTTCCGTGGTCAAGGCTATAGACTCAGACTTTCCTCAGAAGGCTTGGACGCCATCGAAGACGTACTCGGACCCGAGCCCCAAGGCTTTCCCAAATTTTGGGCAGCATGCTCGAAAACAGGCGGCACACGTGGCTTCGGTGCTATCAATGCCATCACAGGTTCTGATGTTGAGGACGTATGGGAGCGGCCAGCCGCTCCAGGACAGCAGCAGCCGACTAAGGAAATTCTCGCGTCCCGAGATGGCAAGGTATGTAACGTGAACAGAAATACATCATACTTGTTGGTATCTATGGCCGTGGCAACACGTCTTGTGACTCTTTTAACTCGCCCTCCATTACGAGATGAGCGATGAGAGTTGGCATGGAGCGTTCACTTACAATTCGGTATCAGACCATTGGCATCTCCCGTGGAGAGATGCGAGCACTGTTCCTAGAAGGTTGCGAATCCCACATTAGATGGGGCCACCAAGTCACAGGATACGAGTTGACTCCAGACGGAGTCCAAGCTGTCTTCAAAGATGGCTCAAAATCCCAGGAAGGTTCCTTGCTCGTTGCCGGCGACGGCATCTATTCGAAAGTAGCCAAACAAGTATCACATGGTCGAATCAAGACATTTGACACAGGAGCCAGAGGCGTTCACGGACAAGCTTCAACGACAGCATTTAAAGGGCTGGACGAGGGGGTCTGGCGTATTCTGGACGAAAGTCGACCTGGTGGCAGGGTGGGCGTCATCACTAATGTTCGTCCTAACGACATGAACAATCCCGATGTCGAATTCGGATGGACGATGAATGGTCAATCTGGAGTAATCAAGCCTCCAAACGATGACTTTGCGATCATTGGGAAACCAGCTGCCGATATCGCCCGATCGCTGACTGCGAATTGGCATCCACGGGTGAAGCCGATGTTTGATCAGATCAATGAGGACCAAGCAGCATTCTGGAAAATCAGTAAGTCACGTAATGCCTCGAGTTGGATACAATGCTGACTTGACAGCTTGTTCGAGCCCTAGCGGTGTTCCAGAGTGGCCAAACGAGCCACGCGTCACGGTGATGGGAGATTCAGTTCACAGTATGACCCCAGCTGGTAAGTGACGACAAATTTGAGAGCACGTTCCTTTGTTCCGCAGGATTTAACGATCTCTCAGGTGGTATCGGAGCCAACACTGCCGTGCGTGATTCAGCATTACTTGGACGACTATTGAGGGAAGCCGGCGGCTGGGCAGAGGACGTCACTGCGTCCTACGAGAAGCAAATGAGAATGTGGGTAACAGCCCCATTAATATCATCTCTCATTTGCTGACTCAATTCAGATACGCATCCGAAGCAGTGGCAATTTCTTACGGGTTAGCAACGACCGGATTGGGAATCAAAATCGACGAGGAAACCACTCCTACCGTTGGTTAGTCAGTTCGATGTCCTGACCTGACACAGCCGCAATGCCCATCCCGACATTGAACTTCCGACGCCATATGTGTAGACCAAAGGAGCTGAGAACAGTTGTGGAGAAAGCCTGCGCGAGTCACAGGGACGTTATGGACCAGCCAAATTAGCTTGCATGAATGATCGCAATCCATGAGTCAGCAATAGAGACCAATATCAAGATATAGAACAACGTCGTGCCTCATCTATTCTATATCATATTCAAGGGTATCAATGTCGAAACGCGTTCTTCTATACAGATCTGAGCTGCGATGACCGCAAATGCTGATGCCCAACCCCATTCCTAATGCATTATATTACAACCGAAAGCCGCTGACAGAGACTGCACTCGAGTTCCTCCTTCGGAATGGAGCTGCTGGACCAAGACGTCGAGTAATCGCGGTCCTTCTCGTGGAGGCCCAAGTGCGGATGCGATCTCTCCTCTTCGTACTGCCTGAAACTGAGGGCGCGGGCCCTGCTGCTAATTCGTCTATTGTATCACTTTCGTCCTCAGCCATAGAGAGCTCCTAATTCTGTTGTGCCAGTACACTCCCTGCCAATCCCAGCATGCGTTGAAAGTAATGTGCCGCAAAGCTTTCAGTGTAGTAACTATGGTTTGAATCGTGATTGCTGACGAGATTGTGCGCCAGCTCGTGGCATAGCGTCATGTACCAGTAGGCTAAGGCTTCCACTCTGCCGTGTGGACTGCCCATACCTGCCATGTGCAATTGCATAAAGTATCTCAGGTTGCAGAAGATCGAACCATTACTGTTGAAAGCAATTGCCGATCCAGTCAAATCATGATAGACATGAATAGCTTGAGGGGACACTTGAAAGATCGTTGCCAATTCTGAGAGGATGGATACGAAAACGGCGATCGCTTCTCGGTAGGTTTGCAGGAATGTATTAGGGTCTGAGTGGGAACGATCGAGGTAGAGCTTGATGCCATTGTTGAGCTCGGCAGTATACTGGAGGTTATGACCAGGTCTGCTATCACAATAGGAGGTGGTCTCTTTGACATCGTTGGTCTGTGGCGGGTTGAACAGGGTGGAAGAATCATATCCCCTGGTGGAATTGATGGCTCTTTGCAAATTCTCCTGAACATCGCGAGACGAGGTCGCGACCTCCGTACCTGGAGGATCGTTTCGAATCTTGTCGGCGTTTAGACCAAGTGCTTTCTGTATGTTGCTGAAGAGACCGCCGGATTTCTTGCCCATCCCGGAGGAGCGTGGTCGTTCGAGCGGGTCATGGAATGAGCCCGGCATGGACAATGTTCTGTCCGGTGATTCCGGCTGGATATCTCTGTGGGTCATCGTCGTGCTCTTAGCAGCTGGCGCTTGTTGTGGCATCTCGAGCTGCTGTGACGGTTCATGTTGCGATTCAGCCTCCGCGACCCGACGACGCTCCTCTTCGCGCTTTTGCTTCTCGGATTCGGCGATTCGTGATTCTGCGGCCTTTTGTCGCAATATACGATCCACATTGTAGCCCTTTATCTTCAATCTACGAAGATCGCTTTCCAATATTGTTTCCAATGCAAGAAAGTCTTGCTGTCTTGGCCGCTTTAGGAGTAATGGCCCGACTGCACGACTGACTTCGTAGAGATCAGGCCGAGCCGTGACGAACAGCGTCGCATCTNTCTTGATGCAGCGCTGCAGTTTTCTTCTCAGTGTGCTGCAGCCCACGGAAACCCTTCAGTCGTCGCGTCACTTGCAGGAATTCGGTCACCTTGACAGTCATATTTGATTCAAGCCACTTTGCATCATGTCTGATCACGTCCGAGGGATGATCGTGCAAGAACAAGCGGCAACGTTCAACGAGTAGTTTCTGCAACTTCCCTCCTGGTGTCTGGTCACGCAGAGGCGCGCCCATACGCTGATCGGTCTCGACGAGTCTGCTCAGCAAAGGTGTCTCGAGGGAGCTGTAGAAAGTCTCCAAGACCTCCTCTTGCGGTGCAGCAAGAAGATTGCTTTGGAAGATCCTGTACACGGTGATGTCGTCCACAATCACAATTTCCGCAGCTTTGGCCAGATGAACCTCCTTGAAAGTGGCTTCTTCCTCGTCGAGCTCTTCTTTCTCATCGTCGTATGTCTTGGTAGAGCGTACCAGCTTGTCAGCTAGAAGACAAGACGAGCTTTTGAGGCCCATCCATAATGCCTTGTCCTTTTTAAGGCTAGTCGCACTCTCGGCAATCTTGCGAAGTAGGCTGGCGTACTTTTCCGTGCCAAGAGTGTCGAGAAGCCTGCCCGGTTGTCGAACAAGCATCCCACCCAATTCGAACGCATTTGGTTCGTGTTTGGTACCAATCCGAAGCAGAAACGTATTGGCTTCGTGACCAAAGTCGACGTAGTCGAAAATGTCGCCGAACGTCTGCTGTCCATCACCTAGATAGCATGACCGAGGCGCAACGAATTTTGTCTGTGCAACCTTGTCTCCACGCCTAAGATCTGAGGTAGGGACTATCGGCGCATTGCTCAACCTCTCGGCGAGATCGCCATTAGGACCGATCTCAGTGAGCCTACCCGCAAAGTATCCGAAGAGGACTTGGGCCTGTGAAGCGTTTGAGGGAGGAGTCTTAATCAGCTTGTCAGCACACTTCTCGATTGGAGGATCCAATGCAACGCCAAAGAGAGCATGGTGCTGTTGCAGATCTTGACGCAAGATGCGGAACCCGAGAATCGATGCTTTTGGGTTGGCATACAGCTGCGATGGTCGTCCGACCATATTTGGTTTCTCGCCAGGGAGTGCCTCAACAGGCAGGAAAGCTGTTTGTATCTCCGCGACGGCAAATTTGTGGTACCCATACTGAAATGCATTGACAATCCAGTAGTCGAGAGTATGCTTCTGCAAATCGCTGCCTACGATGGCCTTCGAAAGAATGTTGACAAGTTCAGGGACTGCCGGGTACGGTTGCAGGCCGAGCGACCTCAGGAATCTACCCTCCGCAGTCGATGGTCGATACTGCCCTGGCCATTGCAGCACCGGAAGAGCCAGGCGCCGAATCTTGTCATCCGGCTCGAAGAGCTCAGAGAGACGGTACAGTCTGCCCTTGTCACTCTGATCGCCACTGCGTGACTCTGCGGGACATGTAGGCGTCTGCTGCAAGCGTTTCATGTCTTCTGCGGGGATGTCGTCTTTGACCGAAACAAGATATTTGATCAGATCGACGTGGCTCCATTTCGCTTCATCTGCTGCGCCGGTGGTCGATTTCGCCATCAGCCGCTCAAATACTACATTCAGCTCGACCGTTTTCCGCACACCAAGCGCGTTGAGAAACTTCTCTTTCACTCCCTGTAAACCAGTGATGGTGGGCAGGTTGTCGAAAAGCTTGACGCTTCCAAAATAGGCCTGAGGAGGTCTACGCATGCCGAGCTTCGTGGGTATAACTGTGCGAGGAATCAAGAGTTCTTGCACGCTCTGCTTTGATGACTGTGAAAGTGCATCCCAGCCTTTCGATACGACGGGAAGGATTTGCGAAGCCACAGCTGGATTTGATGTCGGGCTGCCGTTGGCTCCGAATCCTCTGCCATCGCTTTCAATGATCCAACGTAGCCATGGTACGAGCTGAAGCTCATCCCAGCCAATCGATTGAAGCTGTGAAGGTGCTAGCCCCTTCGTGAATCGGAAGGGAATGGTTTGTGGAGGAGTTGGTAGATCGACGGGTATCTTCGCACTGTTGACGAAAGTGTTGACCTGGCCGAGTTGCAGCACTGGGCTGCCAGACATGCTGATCATCTCCTCGCCGAACGTCGCGACCGTGCCATCGAATAGCATCTGTACAGCGTCTGCATCCATTTCCTGCCTGGAAACTTTGGTACACGCCCATTTGATGAGCTCCGTGAGCTGCTTTTCGGTGAGCGCCTGTGCTTCCAACTCCTTCTTGATATCCCCAGTAGTGATGTCGGAAAGAAGTCCATAATCTCGCAACTTCGTCAGAAATTCGTTCGCTTTGGCCATTAATTCATCCGGAATCACCGGAATCCCCTCCACAAAGCTCAAGTCTTCCGTGGCAACACGTACTTGTTGGCTCGGCAGGACACCACGCGTTGACAGCACATCGATACTGGATTTCTGGTTGCATGTCCAGAAGGCTTCTTCGATGTATTGTCCAACCTTCAGAGACGGTGTTGATTCTTGAAAGTTGTACTGCTTATAGGTGTGAACTGCAGATGGCATGACCTCCGAGATATCAGCCCAAGCCACCTTTTTGCGGCCAGCGACGGCCATATTTCTCTCAATTTTGGCACGCAGCTCAGCCATGTCGCCTGTATATGCTATGCGACACGCGATGCCCGCCACCCGAAGCATTTCCACGTTCCAGTCTCGCACATATCGTGCGTTCAAATCAATGCTCTCTCGTTCCACTGTCGGTATCACCGAGGGAGCAGAAATGTGTGCAAGTAAGCCGGTTGTCTGTGCCGTGGGGAACCCGATAAATATCTTTCCGTTCTTCGTCGGAAGTACCGAAGAGAATATTTCCGTAGCTTTCGAAGCACTCCCGCCAGATGTGGTGCTCATTGAGGCCGTGGATTCGTCGTACGAAGATGTCAGTATTGATATTCGCGTGCGTTTCGGAGGAGGCTTCTTGGTTGCACGCTCAAGCTCTGCAGAGAGTTGTCGACTGACGTTGGTTTGAATACTGACAGTGCTGATGCGAAGGAAAACGGTCGCTGTGCTGTATCCAGCTAAATCTTCCAGTATGGCCTGCTGCAGCGCATCTTCCTCCTTTTGTGCTTTCCGAGTGCTTGCTGAAGCAGTCGCCCCTCCAGTAAGCCTGCCAAAGAAAGATCTCAGACTAGAACCAGCATCTGTCTGCTGCTGTGTAGCCAACGGAGCGGCAGTCTGTGTGCGCCGGTTCCAGCCCACCACGTTCATCCATCGCGCATCGATTTGCGCATTTTGATACTCCACGTCCGTGATCTTCATGAGGCCGTCTCTCGTCTGAGGATTGACGTCATTGGGGATCTTGATGTTCGCAGCTGGCGCCATCTTCTTGTTCAGGGTGAGCAAATTCCATTGGTCCAGGTATAGTTCAATGCATTCCAAGCCAACAAATGTAAGACTCGTGGCTAGAAACTGACAGATGCTCAGGAGCTGCGGCACGGGCGTCGTTTGGCTACGGTAGTCTAACAAGAAGGTAGTACCTTGCACATCGCCATCCGCCAGCTTGCCTCTGCGTGTGAACAGGGAGTCTTTCTTCCAGTAGAACGCCATGGACTGATTGCCGGAGCTCACGAATGGAGATTCGCAATCAGCAAAGACTGAATAGAAACCCACTCCGAACGCGCCAATCTTGGTCTCATCCGGATTGCCCTCGGCGATGCGCTTCAGGCGCTGCCAGTCCGTCTCTTTGAAATGCTCGCCATCGTTGGAAACCACCAACGTCTTTAGGGTGTGGTGCAAAATAGTGTGTTGCAGATGCTGAGCAGGGTCGGCTGATTGTGGCAGTGGCACTGTCGCTGAAGGCAACGTTTCGAATCGTATCGTGACCTTTCGTGCTTGGGCGTCGGCGGCGTTCTGGATGAGCTCTCGGAGCGTAGTCCACTCGCCCGAATAACGTGCCAGTACTTTATCGATCAGGGCGCGAGTGTTGACAGTGACGGCTTCCTCATCTTCAACGCTGTTCATCGTCTGCTCTCGCAGCCTCGCGAGGCCCTGCGAGGCAGCCATGGTGGGAACGAGTGACACAGATGTCGCCCTGGTGTTGTACGCTCAGGACATGTTCGATGGGAGAAGGAGTTACTCAGATTCAGACGATACTCGAGGTGGCGGAGATGTACTAGAAGGGCGTGGTGATGCGGCGAAGGGTGGAGGGTTGTTACGAAGAGAGTGGCGGAGGGTCACGCTGGAGGCAGATCTTAAGTCCGACGCCCGCTGGCTTCTCGCGAGCGGAGCGGGAGCGTGCGGGAAGCTTCGAGTGAGTGAGGAAGCGAGTGAACGGCAGTGACACTCGCTCGTCGCCACAGCGGCGTTGTGTCTTCACGTAACAGAGAAGTGAGAGTGAGAGTCGGAGTATCAAGACTACGGATTCCGTCACTTCTGTTCAGGGCAAGGCGGGCAGGGATGCGGCGGCTCGTTTCGCAGAGCCGCATGCAAGTCCAAACTTTATCTGCGGCGTTGTTTGTGGGACAGCCCGCTAGTTCGAGCTGCTGCTGGTCGTCTGTTTCGTTCGTAGTTTGTCCGAGCAACGACTTTCTCGGCCATCTTCCTCTCGTTTGCTCTGTTCCCTCTCCCACCTGTCCACACTCCGACCTGCACGCAATACTCACAGCACCGTCTCGCGCACAATGGCTGTGTCACTGCAGGGCGTGGCAGATCTGCTCAAGGCCAGTCTGAACCCCTCGCAGCGAGCTCAAGGTACGCATATACTAGCTTCTCACAGGGCCTACGCACAAATCCAACTGACCACCTCATCTCCACAGCCGAAGCATCACTCAAAGCTGAGGAGGCAAAGCCTGGCTTCTCGCTCTCACTCCTCCAAATCGTTGCCACAGACTCCTTCGAACTCAACATCCGACTCTCCAGCGCTCTGTTATTCAAAAACTTTGTGAAGCGAAATTGGGTCGACGAGAACGGGACACACAAGCTTCCGGACAATGAGGTGAACACAATCAAGAGCGAGCTCATTGGGCTCATGGTACGAGTGCCTCCAAATATCCAGGCGCAGCTAGGTGATGCTATTAGCGTCATTGCAGACAGTGACTTCTGGGAGCGGTGGAACACACTCGTGGATGATCTGGTGTCAAGACTGACCCCAGATAATGCTACCGTCAACAATGGTGTACTACAGGTGGCTCATTCTATCTTCAAGCGATGGGAGCCACTCTACCGCTCTGACGACCTGTACACCGAGATCAACCATGTTCTCTCCAAATTCGCGGCACCCTTCCTTCAGCTCTGGGAGAACACCGACAGACAAATCACACAAAACCAGAGCAACCCAGCAGTGCTCAAAGCACACTACGCGACCCTTGATCTCATTCTCAAGCTGGTCTACGATCTATCGACCCACGATATGCCTCCACAATTCGAAGAGTCTCTTCCTGCCGTATCTGGCCTGCTGCACAAATATTTGACCTACGAGAACGCCGCGCTGAACACTGATGATGAGTCCGAAGCTGGTCCGCTGGAATACGTAAGAGCAGGTGTCTTCAAGGTTCTGAATTTGTACACTCGGAAGTACGACGATGAGTTCAAGCCACACGTACCACAATTCATCGGAACATCTTGGACGTTCTTGACAAATATCGGACCGGAAGCCAAGTACGATCTCGTGGTCAGCAGAGCGCTGGAGTTCTTGACTACCATCGCTAGCATTCCAGAGCATGCACAGAGCTTCAACAATGCCGATGTGCTTGGACAAGTGACGGAGAAGGTCGTTATACCAAATCTGTCTTTGCGAGAATCGGACATTGAAACGTTCGAGGATGAGCCTATCGAATACATTCGCAGGGATCTGGAGGGTTCAGACGAAGATACGAGGCGCAGAGCTGCCACCAACTTCTTGCGGAAACTGCAGGAACAATTCGAAAAGCCTGTGACAGATGTGGTCACACAATACATCAACCACTTTCTCGCAGAGTACTCAAAAGACCGCGAGGCGAACTGGAAGTCGAAGGATACTGCCGTGCACCTTTTCTCCTCCATCGCAGCGAAGGGTGCAGCAACAGCCGCCAAAGGTGTCTTGAGCGTCAACCCCAACACGGACGTGATCAGCTTCTTTCAGACCAATGTGGCAGAAGACCTGACAAACGCCAATGCACAGCCATTGCTAAAGGTTGATGCCATAAAATACTTGTACATCTTCCGCAGCATCCTCTCGGCAGAACAGTGGCAAGCGGCGTTTCCACTTCTCGTGCAGCACCTGAACTCGTCGAACTACGTGGTCTACACGTATGCTGCCGTGGCAGTCGACCGCGCCCTCTATCTCACGAACGATCAGCGGCAACCCATCATTCCACGAGATAGCATCCTCCCACTGGCCAAAGACCTACTGCAACACCTTTTCACCCTCATCACCAAAGACTCCAAACCTGAGAAGGTTCAGGAGAATGAATTTTTGATGAAATGTGTAATGCGAGTCTTGATCGTGATCCGCGATGGTCTTGTGCAAATCCTGGACCTGGTCCTGACAAATCTCGTCAACATCACCGAAGTCATTCGTCACAACCCATCAAACCCAGGATTCTGCTACTACCACTTCGAATCTTTGGGAGCTACAATTCGATTTGCTGGCCCAGTTCAGCCGGAGAAAATTGAAAACACCTTGTTCCCCGTGTTCATGGAAGTCTTGCAATCATCAGTGGAAGAGTTCACACCCTACATCTTCCAGCTGTATGCCCAGATCGTTGCGAGCAGTCCCTCAGGGACGATCTCGCCGAATTTCCAGCAGCTCGTGGGACCCATCCTCACACCTAGCATGTGGGACAGCAAAGGCAACGTTCCTGCCTTGACGCGGCTGCTCCTCGAAATCGTACCTCGCGGCGCTCAGCAGATCGCCACTGCTGGGCAGACTGAGGCTGTGCTCTTGGTGTTCCAGAAGCTTGTGGCCAGCAAGGCATACGAGGGATACGCTATGGACATCATCGAGATGGTAGTCAAGAGCTTCCCACCCAGCGCGCTAGAGAACTACTGGCCTACAATCTTGCAGCTTATGTTCCATCGTCTCACAAACACAAAGACCGAGCAATTCACCCTCCGCTTCGTGCGTTTCTACCATCTGGTGTCCGCGCTTAGTGACCAAGGTCTCGGCGCTGATTTCTTCATTGCAAAGGCCGATGCTGTGCAGGCAAATGCTTTCACACCTCTCTACACTGGCATTATCCTCCCTGATACGCAGAAACTCAGCAGGCCATTCGATCGCAAGACGGCTTGTTTGTCGCTGACGCGGACCCTCGCTGACAGTCAGGCGTTCGTGGAGAGATACGCCAAACGTGGCTGGACAATCACCTGTGAGGCATTGTTGAAGCTCCTCATCAACCCACCTTTGCCGCCCGCCGCAGATGACAACGTGATTGAGGATCGAGATGTCGATGAACTGGGCTTTGGAGCGGCTTTTACACAGCTCAATACATGCAAGCGACCCTCTCAAGACCCTTGGCCGGAGGTGCAAGACGTGAAGGCCTGGGTTGGCACCACACTTCGAGAAGCAGACAAGAAACACAATGGTCGCATCGGGCAGTTCGTCAACGAGAAGCTTGATGCACAAGGGAAGGCAGCTCTCCAGCAGGTCATGTCCGGGTAGAGAGTTTGCATGGGTAGGGCCTCGGAGGTCATCAACGAAAGCGCGGCGTTGTGGCAGGAAAAGGATAGCGGAGGGTGCTTATGATACCACGGGCGAATGCATACGATGCCGCCCAGCGTTGAGTTAGGCCTGTAAGTAGGTCAGTTACCCCAGTTGTGCTCCCACATTTTGTTCGACAGAGCGCTGTTCATCTTGCATGTTTTCTGAGTGTCGTCGCGTGCCGCACCAAAGCACGGATGTTGCTTTCAGCCAATGCGAAGCAGCTTTCGGCGAGACCCACTTTCCCACTCTTGACTCCCAGAGCTCGCGACGGCGGCAGCATCACCAACATGTGCCTGGTATCACCCGCGTGGCACAACCTCATAACTGAACAGCATGCTCTGTAAGAGAACACGTCAATGCATTCTCGCTGTCGACCACGGCACGGATTGTATCTTCCGCAGTGCGCTGTCATACCGCAGTCCTCATGCCGTCGCATCGCCACAGCACATCCCATACCACTCTTTCTCCGCCTCACCAACATCGCCGACATTCATCTCGCCTGAGCGCAGCATCGCGTCTGGAGTCTCCAGAAATTCTGCAACATGACAAGCCAGCGCAGAGCCAGAGTGCTGCCGTTGCCCCCACTCTATGCAAGCAAGAGGCACAGCAGGCGCCTATTTGAATCTTAGCCGCCCAGAGCTGCAGTATCCTTGGACAGAAGGTTTTTGAAGTGGCAGGTATATACTATGCTTGCTATCCTGTTCCACCATGCTCGATCCTGATACACTCGTTTCCTTTTTTGTTGTTGCTGACTGCAGAATATACTGGCCATTCGTTGGGCTTTCTTGGACATACGGGAGGTGTGACCGAGTATGAAACAATCTCGCGATAATGGCGCCCATTCAGGACCTTTCGTTCTCCGCTGGCGGGCTCCATTGGTTATGCTATCGTCTCTGATTGTGGGCGTGGCATTTGCTGTGGGACATCATGCGTTCTACGCTTCCTTGGTCGGGACATCGGTATCTTCAAGCCCTATCAAGCTCGTTGGCTGGACCACGACTCAACAACAGGTTAATGTCGCAATCGGCACGGCTCTTGCTTTCGGGTTCAAAGCCAGTCTCATATTGGCCTGTAGCACGGCCTATATGCAACTGGTGTTCGGCGCACTCAATACAGAAACTTTCAAGCTGTCACAGCTGGACAATTGGTTTGGGGGCCTTAACGACTTCTGGTCTCTCCTGTGTGTCGGCACCTATTGGAGGTATCCTCTGCTCACGCTAGTGGCATTGACTTGTTGGTTGCTACCTCTGGCTGCGATCATTTCTCCTGCGTCACTCTCAGTGGTGTTTGATCGTATACATCCGTCTCCCAGTCGAGATGCGCTTGCGCCCCAACCAGCGTTCGACAGTCTGGCATTGGCACAGTACGTCTTGAGTCCGAACGAAGCTGGGAAATCCATAGGCTGGATTGGTCCAAGCGATGAAGTGTCCCGCATAGCCATTGCGTCTGCAACACAAGGCATCATACTGCCAATTGAACCACCGGGGACGAATGCCACGTGGCAGGACACCATTGTTGCTCCAAGACTTGCATGCGAGGACACCAATCTAGATTTACAACGAGAGATCAGGGACAATCTGATTGACTTCTACAAGAATATCACGAACAATATGGATTGGGATGGCTGGACTACGATTATGTTCGACTATCTGGCTTGGAGCGCTTACTCGGACGACCTACTTCCCACGCCATTCAAGAACGACATCTACAATGGCTGGACACTGCAGGATGCCTTGAACAGCGATGCAAGAGATCCGTACAACAATGGCAGAGCCACTGACATATTCTTTGCAATCCTTCCTCGAGCCACGTGGGAGCTGCCGCCATCGGACCATGGATTTTCGTTGACAGCATCGTATGAAAACAGGACCACCGATCCTGAGGTCAAGGCTGAGAACCAAAGACTCCTCATGGACTGGTATTGGGAAGAATCTACGATGCTCCATTGCAGAATATTGCCTACTGTCTATACTCTCAACTTCACATATAGTGGTCCAAACCAGGCACAGCACATTGACGTACTGGACATGAAAGATTCTGTTGAGCTTGACTCCAACAGCACAAGTGTGCAGGCAAATGGCCCCTACTATAGCTTTGTCAGCGAGAACCCCAGTACTGCCACAGTTCTGGCGGGCGCTGCTGTCGCTGCCACAAGATCAAGTTCCCTGCCCGCCAGGTTCAGTACCAGTACGTCTGCCCCTACCATAACGGCAAGAAGCACGATTCCCGATCGACCACTACGTCTCAAAGCCAGGTATGCTGAGTGGAACGTCGATGTGTCGAATATCACCCAGCTGGCCCAGCATTCACTGCGACTTTCCTCATGGGGTGCAATACAGCAAGCCGCCATGGGCCTGTTCTTGGGAGCATCCAAATCGCAAAGTGGGAACGCAGGGAGAGCGTTTATCCACACAGGATTTAGTGGTGCCATAGGCTCGATGAGCTTTGACACTCGGGCTTTCACCACTGCTCTCTCAGAAAGTCGAGAACTGGGACAGCTTGTTGGCCCTCCTCCTACGGCGGAAGACATCACGAATGCGACCTCAGGTCTAGCATTCGACCAGGCCGCAAGTCTTCTGCCGAATGTCACCAAGTCTGTCGCAAGACCATTGAAGGTGGTGATGGAAGAGATGTACTTTAACATTACGCTTTCAATGGCGAGTAACAAAAACCATCAGTACAATCCTGATAGTCCACTGGCCCCACCAACGACTCGAATAACTGAGGTACTGTACGGCAACGTGTATAGCTATTCGATGGATAAGCTGTGGCTGGCATACGGGATCGCGATTGGGATCTCTGTGCTCAATCTGATTGTGGGCTTCGCTGCTCTGTTGCGGACCGGAGCTTCATTCACAGATAACTTCTCGACAATTATTCGGATTGCCAGGAATGCAACCATCGAGGCTGACTTGTATGAGGAGCACTTGCCTGGTAAAGATTCCTTGCCCAAGCACATGGCTGACGCTGAACTGCGATTGCGCAAGAGTGATCAATTGCTTGATCCCAAGCATCACGGGCGCGTGACCGTTACTGAGCGACGCCCATCGAGTGACCTGGGAAGCTGAATAACCAAGTGGGTATCACATTCGTCGCAAGCAAGCCAATCCTTCCAGGACCGGGTTTATGCACATGTGTCAAGCCCTTCGGCATGCGGAGCACTCTGAGCTCCTACGAATTTCGGATGTATAGCTCGAACGAGGGCTGTCACGAAAACCCCTCGTACGCCTTGTGGAGCAGCAATCTCTGGAACATTCGCGTACGGAGCAGAATTTGCGGTGCGCCGTACGACATCAGGAAAGGGAGCAGTGAGACACATGCACATTGTTTGTGGCATGAGGGGAAGGCCCATAATTGTCTCAATGATGCGGCGTCGGAATTTAAGGATTTCAGCATGTGCGCACCACGTGCGTCGTGCCAGCCTGCAGTCGTAAAAGAGATTCAGCACCCGAAGTGGTACTCGGATATGCACGTCAAGCTACGGTGTATGTATGAACGTATGACATTGACAGTCGAATTGACATCTATGGTGTTGCAATCCTCTGCTAGCTATGAAGCTTGTTTTCAGCAGATACCGTGTCAAGGCTCTTCTGGAGCCATTCATATTGTGCTTCAGCGCACTGTGGGTGGATGATGTGTTGGGGTCGTGGGACTTCCGCTGCCACCGCATGAAGTAGTCACCTTGGTATGTGGTGCATGCCAGGCGTCTGCAGTTGTTATCCAGAGCTGGGCCTTGTAGAGTGGCTCGATTGCTTGAACGGGTGTGCTCGCTTGTCGTGCCAAACAGGTTCATGGCAGTCGGTCGTCCTTTAGGATTGCGATCCCAGCGTGCGTCCGTTGCCTGCAATTTGTGATCATTTGCGTCGGAACGAAAATGCAGTCAGCACATTTGCCATGCTACGAACGATCCGGGTCGCGTTGTGCGTCTAGAACTTGTTGCCAAAGTGCACGGTGGAGACACTGAAACGCTCAACCGTGTCGTGACTCGCTTGAGAGGGTCCGGCGATCCTTGATGAGCCATAGGTTGTGTGTCGGCCAGGGGAATATCATTGTGCCAGGGCTTGTCGCTCTACTAGCCTGTGCTTACGATCTCGCCCGTGACTGCCAATTCTAGACCCTGCAAGGCAACAGCAAAGAGCCATGTTTTACTGTGGTAAATGCAGTACCAGCGTGCGACGAGAAAGGCGTCTGAATGTTACACTCGACGACTGACATTCTGTTCAGCTGATTGTCCTCCGACACGCAGCTTCCAATTCCATGAACTCGGGCAGCAGCCTCAACGCAGGGATGAGCCTTGGCGTCAAGAGTGATCGACCTACTGCTGCGTTGATCTGTTCGTCCACGCCTCCCACCGCATGTTAGTGAGGAGACACTTGCTATGCAAGTGCACAACGTGACGATGAACTGTCAGCAGAAGAACAATGATTGCGTTCCGATCCATGTATAGTCCCGATGTACCTGCCGCCCGACGGTGCGCGACGGAAGGAGCGAATCTTTTCCGGCCAACCACGCCATAAATGTAGAGCAGAGGCAGCAAGAAACCGAACAATCATGAAACCGACGGCAGGCTCTCAACTTCGTAGGAACGCCGGCAGACTTGCGTCGCTCTTGCCCCGGGGGCCTGCAGATGGTGAGGCAAAGTCTTGCTTGTCAGGACGTCATCTAGCAGCGAGGTGTCAGACGAGCGTCGGGTCGCTGGTTTCGAGACACGCAGATCGATTCTCTAACGCGTGCGCTCACCAGCCATGAAGGAAGCAGAGAACGAACGATGGCGCATCTTCGCAGTCCGATTCAAGGGGTCCCTCTCCGCTGGTCGTGTGTTACAAGTAGCATGGCGCACATGGGCATGATGGGAAATAGACACACAGCGTGGCGCCCGTGATCCAAGCAAGGATCATCGCCCATCTCCACCGAATAGGACTTGGTGTCGTATTATGGTCCTTAGCACAACTAGTGTCCAGTCATGGCGCGCGAGCGCTGAGTGCCCAGATGCGTGGCTCGTTTGGCCAAGTTCACAACGTCTCCAGCGCTAATCTCTTACTCCTGTTGCTCCTCGGCAGCGCGATCCGTGTGGGACAACAGAGACACGTCAGAAAGCAGCACCGGCGCGACAAAACTGGGTTCCGAATGGTCGGCATCATCAGCCTTGTGGGCAAGCATGATCATATGCAATGCATGAGCCGGCATCATGGTCGTGATTGTGGATTCGTGGTTGCAGGAAGACCCATGTTCTGCAGAGGAATCCAGCGAACGGGAGGCGCTGGTGCCTACATTAGCGAGAAATCGCGCGCCGTTTCAAGACATCGTGCTTCGTTATGACAGACGGCGGTCTGGGAGATCGTCCAACACCGTTTGTAGCAGAGCGCTCGACGACACGATCGAGACTCTGGGCGAGGGCGGCGGGTAGGCGGTCGGTAGAGCGCGATGATGAACGGTCGAGCTGGCGTTGGAATAAGGTGCAGCGCATTCCACAACGTGTTGCCGCGCCGAGGGAAGCGATGCAAGGGGAGGAGGGTGATCGATAGACTACGACGACGTCTGCTGCACACAACGCCCAACCGCCAGCACTCTCATCATTGCAACGGCGAGCCAGACTGCCCATACCGACCGCGGAACACCGTCTGCACCACCCCGACGTTTCTTGTGCGCGCTTCCCGGGCTGCCGAAGGTGTGTGAGGCAGGCCCGGAGTGGACGCGACGGCCAGATTATTAGCACGCCTTGGACCAGGGTTCGCGCGCTGCTGTTGGCTGACCCCACAACGCCTCCGATAATTGATTGCACGCTGGCGGGTGACTGCGACAGTCCGCCTTCCTTAGCCGCGTTTGAGCTGAGAGGAGGAGGAACAAGGTTCAGTGCTCCGTGCGCGTCTCAGGTACCCGTGCGCTTGCAGACAGGAGAAGCCTCGTTGCTCGCCGCGCTGCTCAAAACCACCCGCGCGCCCCTTGCACACCAAACTTTGTCGTTTCTACTACAGTCGTTCAGCACTCAGCATCACGCAGCCAGCTCTGCCCTCACGCTCATTTGCAACATCATCACACGCGCTCACAGTCGCACATTCACTGTCGCCCACTCCAACGACCTCTGCGAGGACCCGCCTTAAAGTGAGTGTGCCTCCACAACTCCCGCTCCTGCTGCTCTCACCGTGCCGTCGCTGGGCAATGCAGTGCCGCCGTGAATGCGATGTTTCGCAGCGCTCAGACGCGGCGCATTGTATGGCAGCGCACGAGTGCCCTCATCCTCCACGGAATCCGCCTACCACAATGTCGCTGGAGTTTGCGCTGACCGCAATGTGCCAGTCAATTAGAAACCAGTCGTAGTGATCCGTGATCCACTCCCAACAGTTCAATATGCGCTCGACTCTCATCAGCGCGGCTTTCGCCGCTGGAGCTCTTGCCGTGCCTGCCCAGGCACCAGCTGGCTACGGCGCCCCTCAGGTCGATGTCCAGACTGCCTACGATGTCGTGTACAAGACCGAGATCGTCACCGTCACCGCCGGTGGCCAGCCTCCAGCCTACACTCCCGAGAGCAAGCCAACACACTACGGCCACAAGAGCAAGAAGCCTGTGACCACGACTCAGGAAGCCGCTCCTCCGGCCTACACTCCTCCAACTTACGAGCCTGCGCCTAAGCCTGAGACCCCAGCCCCAGCTCCAAGCACCCCATCTGGCCCAGCCAGCGGATCGTACGCGGATATCTGCCTGCACCACCACAACATCCACCGTGCGAACCACTCTGCACCAGCTCTTGTCTGGTCTGACGAGCTCGCCGCTACCGCCAAGAAGATCGCCGACACATGTGTCTACGAGCACAACACGTACGTGTGAAACCTCTGCGATTCTAACAGTAACAATGCATTTGACTGATACGTTGCAGCGAGATGGACGGTGGTGGCTATGGCCAAAACATTGCTGCAGGTGTCAGGGGTGACAACATCTCAGCTGTTATCACTGACCTGTTCTACAATGCCGAGGAGCCAGCCTACGCTTTGGCTTCCGGCGGCTACACCTCCGAACCCGACATGAGCAACTTCCACGTCTGGGGCCACTTCTCTCAGATCGTCTGGTGCGGAACCACCGAGGTCGGCTGCGCCACATCTGAGAACTGCGGTTCTCTCGGAAACACTGGAAGCGGTGTTGAGCCATACTTCACCGTCTGCAACTACAGGGGCCCAGGTGAGCATTGAAATGGCTGTGTCGAAGGTTGGCTTTCACTAATGCTTTGTGCAGGCAACTACGCCGGTAAATACACCGAGAACGTCAACGCTGGAGACTCCAACACCCCTACCGCTTACTGGGACGCCGCTGTCGACGCTGTCAAGAACGCGGCCGGTTACTAGACACCAGAAACACGGACTTCCCTAGCCGCAACAACAGGACTTACGACTGAAGGCGACGGTCACTAGGAAATGCGTGCATCGGTGTGGCGTTTTCTTGTCTTTTTGAGTGTCGGATTGACTTTTGCAACTGTTTGAGCACACAGCGCATCAGGCAGGTCCTGTTCGGCATCCACCGCAAAATTGTCCGGACACATGCATGTTTATCAAGAGCTGTTAGCTTACTGCATATGCTGGACAGACAGTACACGAACGACGGCCTGATGGGCTCGTGGCTTTGACGTTTTCACTTCTACTTCTTTTTGCATAGTTGGCTTCACTCTTAGGAGACGGACGGCTTGATGGCACAGCAGACTTTGATTCGAAATGACTATCATGCCCCAATGAGAATGGTTAACGATTAGCAACCACTCCAACCATGGCCACGTTTTTCCACAGATTGCGAGTCCTCATTCGTCGCGGTTAGGGTGCACATTCGCTCGTATTGGAAATTGCAGAACAGCAGGCTAGCCGGCTGGCGCAGGCAGATCCCTATATGCGCAGCGTTTAATTAGATGGCTTGAGATTCGTTTTTGCTGACTACGCCGGCAGCGCACGTGCTGTGCGCGATTATAGAGACCGCACCGTTCACTCCGCGCTGCTCCTTCGCGGCAATGTGCTCGGTCGTTGTCAACCGACTCCTCTTGTGTGCTCGTGCGTACGAGAAGAGAGGATGTTGTGCATTTGCAACGGGCCTCGCCGACAGCCGTTATCCGTGTCCCACATCCTCGACCTCAGCGCAAAACGAGACAAGCGACAACCGGCCGACAGTCGGCCTTTATCCAGCTTATCTGCTGCTGGGATACAAGTCCCTGAGGCTCTGCCCCTCCCGACGCAATCATCGCTCGTGTGTATTTCTTTGGGTGGCGTCGGAGGGATTCCGATGCAAAAACTTCGTCGTTGACCTGCGCAATGGTGGGGAGCCCATTTTGACTTTTTTTTCCTGTGCGACACGCAATAAGAGTCGATAACCCTCATCACTCTACGTAATATCTTCTATGCAAGTCACGGCGCGACGACTGCCATCTCGCACGTCTCGGCGGTTGCTATCGGCTCAGCCAGCTTTCCGCGCTCCTTCCTCTCGCCCTCGCCCTTTCACGTTTTCGTTGCCGAATATCGAGCATTTGCAACTGACCGCGTTCAATGGACATAGCAAGCTAGTAGTCACTCCCCAGAAGACCAGATATTCGACCATGTCCGACGCGAACAACCGCGTTTCGCTCAAGAATTGCTGCAATGAGAGCAAGTCTCCATATGTTCGCTCACATGCCGACAATCCGACTGCCTGGCAGCTATGGACACCTCAGACCTTGGAGCTGGCCAAAACCACGAATCGCTTGCTCTTCGTGAGCATTGGCTATAGTGCTTGTCATTGGTGGTAAGCACGCCCTCCTTCAGAGCTCTGATCTGGCATACCAGCTGATTCCACACCGTCAGCCATGTCATGGCCCACGAGTCCTTCGACGATCCTCGAATCGCCCAGCTGTTGAACGAGCACTTCATCCCTGTAAAGATCGATCGCGAAGAGCGACCAGATATCGACAGACAATACATGGACTTCCTACAGGCCACCAATGGCGGCGGTGGTTGGCCATTGAACGTCTTCGTTACACCAGACCTTGAGCCGATCTTTGGAGGAACTTACTGGCCAGGACCCAAGAGTGAAAGAGCTAAGCAAGCTGGAGCAAGTTTTGAGGACATTCTCTTGAAGGTCTCGACAGCTTGGAGGGAGCAGGAGGACAGATGCAGACAGAGTGCAAAAGAGATTACAAGACAATTGAGGGAATTCGCGCAAGAAGGAAGCATTGGTGGGAAAGATGGTCATCGAACAGACGACCACGATGAGCTGGAGTTGGACTTGCTCGATGATGCATTTCAACACTACAAGATGCGATATGACGATAAGCATGGTGGTTTCGGGAGCGCGCCCAAGTTCCCCACGCCAGTCCATCTCAGACCTCTCTTACGAATAGCATCATACCCTGCTACAGTACGTGAAATTGTGGGCGAGGAAGAATGTGTCGAAGCTCGTGGTATGGCTCTCAAGAGTCTGGAGAAGATGGCCAAAGGAGGAATCAAGGACCAGATCGGCCACGGCTTTGCACGTTACAGCGTTACGCGAGACTGGAGTCTTCCTCATTTCGAAAAAATGCTTTACGACAACGCTCAACTACTTCCAGTCTATCTCGATGCATACCTCTTGACTAAGTCACCACTATTTCTCGAGACAGTCCACGACATCGCTACCTATCTCACCAGCCCGCCTATGCAATCTGAACTTGGGGGAATTCATTCTGCCGAAGACGCCGACTCACTGCCCAGTGCTAACGCAACTCACAAGAGCGAAGGCGCGTTCTACGTTTGGACTATGGAGGAATTCAAGACACTGCTTAGTGAAGATGAGCTCAATGTTTGTGCCAAGTATTGGAATGTGAAGGAGGAGGGCAATGTTGATCGCCGACACGATGCTCAAGGTGAATTGGTAAAGCAGAACACCTTGTGCGTGTCATACGAAATCGCGGACTTGGCCAAGGACCTCAGTCTCACCGCAGAGGTGGTAAAGCAAACCATCGAAAATGGAAGAACGAAATTGCTCGCGTATCGCGACGAGCATCGTCCACGTCCAGCACTCGACGACAAGATCGTGACTTCATGGAATGGACTGGCTATCGGCGGTCTTGCTCGAGCAAGCGCTGCCCTGCAGGAAACATCTCCCGAAGCATCTGCGACCTGGCTCTCGGCAGCGAAGAAGGCCGCATCCTGTATCGAGAAACATCTCTTCGATCCCCAAAGTGGCCTTCTCCGCAGAGTCTACCGCGAAGGTCCAGGAGAAACTCAAGGATTCGCAGACGACTATGCCTTCTTCATCTCCGGACTGCTGGACCTTTACGAGACCACGTTTGACAGCAACTTTCTCAAGTTTGCCGATACTTTGCAAATAAGTCAGAACAAGCTGTTTTGGGATGATGTCAAATACGGCTTCTTCTCTACGCCAGCCAATCAACCTGATATCCTCATCAGAACCAAAGATGCTATGGACAATGCCGAGCCAAGCGTCAACGGCGTTAGCGCGAGCAACCTGTTCCGTCTCGGCTCTCTACTCAATGACGAAAACTACACAAAGATGGCACGCAGGACAGTCGCTTGTTTCGAAGTAGAAATAGAACAGCACCCTGGCCTCTTCTCTGGAATCTTATCCAGCGTCGTGGCTACCAGACTCGGCGCTAAGAGCGTCATGGTCGTTGGCGATGGAGAAGCTGCTCGAGCTGTCTTGAAGAATGCGCGAGAGAAAATCCGACCTAATTATTCGGTTTTGAGAATTGGAGGTGGGGCTAATAGTGAATGGCTCAGGACTAGGAATGAACTTGTGAAAGACTTGGATGAGACGAGAGAGATGGTGCAGATTTGCGAGGGCCAGACTTGCAGATTGTTGAATTTGCGGCAGATTGAGGAGGAGCTGTTTCAATGTTGTTGGTTGAGTGATGATTGATGACGTGGCTGGTAGTGGTAGTCGCGGACAGATGTGCTTTTTTGTTGTCATTGGATGATGGCGACGCATAGATATCAGCACGGATGCGCAGATGCATACGGATTAGGAATGGAACGAAATGAAATGGAACGGAATGTTATGTTCATCGATTTGCGTTGCGGGTTCTGACTATCTACCACAACTCAGGTCTGTGCATGGCAAGCAAACCGATTCTGTCAACAAAGACTCAGCCGAGCCGTCAATTACGGTGGGTGAGATTGGACTGAAGGGTTGTCATTCAGTCCTTGAAGAAAACGTGCTGAGGTGCAGTCGTGGCCTGCGAAGTCTTCTCTGGATCCAGACTGCTGACCTGTGGCGCTGCACTGTGCTTGAAAGGTCGAGCTCTCATGTACGCGCTGACATCGGTCTGAAGGCTCAAAGTCTGTAAATATGCCTTGGCTTCCAGCAGATAAGTGTCGGTCCCGATCTGCTCATCACTTCCCTCAAATTCCTCCACTTCTATCAGATTGTATGGCTCACTTGCAGCTTTGGCGATACTGTCATCAATGAGCACAGTATTTGCTTGAGACCATATTTCGGACTTTACGGGATGGGCTGTCTGGATGGACTTGTCTTTCCAGATCCAGGATAATTGCTTGTAGACTTGTACTTTCGCATTGTAAGCTTCTAGTGTGAGGCGGAGACGGTCGCGTGCCCAGATTGTGACGAGCTTCTCGCGTTGCTCAGGAGTGAAGAGCTTGGAGCACATGACTTCTACATTCTCGGGTCGAGCGGAGGACCAGATCATGAGTTTGTGGTTGGCGAGGATGTAGTCCAGGAAGTCGTTGATGTGCGGACGAAGTTTGGATTTGTTGCTTCCAGAGTGTTTCAATCGCTTCAGGAGAGTGCCGTTGAGGTCTACAACGACCAGAAGGGCTTGCGGGGCAGAGCGTTGCTTTGGTGGCTGCGATGCCAGTTGCATGTACAGCGGCGTCGGCTTTGGTCGTTCCATCACATGCAGTCGAGGCGCACCGCTGTAGCGTCGTTTTGGCTTAGGAGCTTCAGGAGTTTCGTGCGGAACTTTCTTGATGAAGTCCAACAAGGTTGTTTGCCGCAATTGATTGGGAGCAGCAACAGGCAGTGAATGGGACTGTGTGCCAGCTTGCTCGCGTGCTCTAGCAGCTGCTCTTTGCTTCTTGCTGAGCTTCTTTGGCTTTTCCCGGTTTGCAGGCGTGGAAACAGTATCAGATGTCTTAGTGTTGTATCTGAAGTCTTTGTCAATGCGCCGAAACCTGTCAAGAACAGGAAGATGTACTGACTGCGTTTGCTGAGGGGGCACGAAAGCTGTGGCTGTGGCGCTGAGTTTGCTGCTCACTTGAGGCGCTGTGACTTTGCCTGCGGAGTGTGAGTAGCTGAATAGCGGCTGCGGAATGAATGGACCATACTTGTGGTGCTGGTCCCAGTTGAGTCCGTATGTCGGGGTCGCGAGCGAAGTGGATAGCGGCGTGTAGCTGGTGTACTGCTGTCGACAGTCGGACCAGTCTCCTGCATAGCGCTGCCCGTGTCTGTAGCTGTATTGGTCTCGGGCGGCTGATCCGTGAGCGACATTTTGTCCAGCTGCTCGGCCAAAAGGCCGTCCTTCGGCACCTTCCTGGGCATTGTGACTGATATCGCTGCCTGGCGGCGAGCGTGGAAAGAGCGAAACGGTCGCAAGCGGGCGCTGCGTCGTCAACTCGGCCAGTGGAAGATTTTCGTCGCCGGTTTGGCACAGCTTCAAATCTTCATTAGCATCACTTCCGGCTTCAACATCGGAGGTTGGCGGGGTCAAATACCTGTGTGGCATCTGAGCGAGCATCGTAGCACTGATCTCACAGCACCGAAAAGAAAACGACAGCTGAAGACAACCCGGAGCGGCGGTGCATTGAGATGGAACTGATGAAGTCGAGGCGCATGAGGATGTCGAGCGTGCCAAGCCAGATTCTGAAGAGTCATCAGCGCCACAGGATGGCTTTTGTTGACACGATTATTAAAACGTTTAGGCAGCAGAAGCATACAATAGTCCGCACATAGGCGTCCCAATATCTAATTTCTCCTCACTTGGTTGCCGATACGTTGCACAATGTCTGCAAACGGGAGCGATTCGAGATAGGGCATTGCGGCAGCAACAATACGTCTTGCCGTACATCATGACATCAGACCTTGGACGATTAAAAGCTGCACTATACCATGGTTTCGGGTGGGCAATTTTTCCTTTCGTTGCGAGCGATGCCGCATGTGAATGCGGCGTTTACTCTATCCATCGCCAATGAACGTCGTATCGTCATCAGCTGCATCCTACGTGAAGCCGTAGACCAAAGGAGTTCAAGGCTACTGATATCTTGACAAGTCTTTCCGGCGGTATGTAGCTCAAGCAAGCTGCGAGTCGTGGCCAGTTGACTTTTACTTGAGCAAGGCGGCAAGCTCTTTAGCGACAGCGTCGCCAACTTCAGAGGTCTTGGAAGACCCACCAATGTCCTTCGTCTTGACGCCACTCTCGATGACATTTCGCACGGCTTCGTCAATCTTCTGCGCAAGAGCCGGCTGCTGTAGAGAGTACTTGAACATCATACCCAAGGAGAGCAGCATGGCGACTGGGTTGACGATTCCCTGGCCGCTGATATCTGGGGCAGAGCCTGGTTAACGTTAGCGATACGATCCTTGCAATTGCCGTGGGCTGATTCATTACCGTGTATGGGCTCATAGATGCCATTGCATTTGCTCTTTCCATCAGGCGAAGCCGTCAAACTAGCACTAGGAAGCAGGCCCAAAGAGCCTGGGATAACAGATGCTTCGTCGCTGATGATGTCGCCGAAGAGGTTGCTCGTGACGATGACTCCGTTGAGAGCTCGTGGGTTCTTGACCATGAGCATAGCAGCAGAATCGATGAGGTGATGCCCAAGCTTGAGTTGTGGGAATTCCTTTTCCATGACCTCTGTCACAGTCTTGCGCCACAATCGACTTGTGGCCATGACGTTGGCCTTATCAAGCGACCAGACTGGCGCAGGTGGGTCCTCTGCAAGCGCAAGATGGGCTGCGAGACGAGTGACACGCTCGATCTCAGCACGCGAATATGGCTCAGTGTCAAGAGCGAACCCAGAGCCATCATCTTCGGTCCGGTCGCCGAAGTAAATGCCTCCGGTGAGCTCACGAACGATGTTGAAGTTAACGCCACGGCACACTTCCTCCTTCAGGGGCGAAGACTTGACCAAAGATTCGGATGCAAAGAAGCATGGTCGAAGATTGCCGTAAGTGCCCATCTCCTTTCGCAACTTGAGGATTCCCTGTTCTGGGCGAACCTTACCGGTCCCCCATTTGGGGCCACCGATGGCACCGAGAATCACAGCATCAGCAGATTTGGCAGCGGCGAGTGCTGCGTCGGTAAGTGGCTCGCCATGTGCATCGATCGAGGCCTATAGGAGATCAGCGCAATCGAACTACATGCAAGATGTGCTTATGCCATACTCCGCCAAGTGGATGCTCCTGAATGTTGAAGTGGACATCGGCATTGCTCTTGTCGACAACATCGAGGATCTACGCGACGATAATCAGACCGAAATTCATGTGTATTTCGCGAGCATTGGAAGAATACCTTCAGAGCTTCTGCAGTGACCTAGTGGGCAATAGTGAGCAATACAGACTTGAGCTGTTTTTCGGAGCTGCTTACTTCAGGACCACAGTGGTCACCTGCACATCTTAATTAGTGGACAGGACAGTATTTGCGTCGATGCTCTTCATATGCATACCTCCGAAGACGACAATGTTGTAAGTAGGCATCTTGACTTTCTTTTGTGCGTGATGTTGTTGTGATCCCCCCACTTGGCTGCCAAAATTCAAAGTCATTGGAAGCCTCCGGAATCGGCGAGCTGAGTGCTCCGACGTGCCCAACACCACACATGCTTCAAGTAAGCTCGACTTCGCATTTTTGTTGCCGCCGTATACCAAGTCTGGTCATGTCGCCAGCTATTTCGCGCTGTACTCGCGGTCGGCAGTCGTGATGCCAGCCTGAGGAGTGATGTCGGGAATTCGCCAACTCCACGTGTGGCTCCAGGCCACAGAGTGAGAATGGTTTGGGTGCACAAACCAAGCACCGCAGCAGGCCTGGCCCAGTGACGAGGGCAGCTGCCTCAGAGCAAGAAGAAACGACGCACACGTGCACAGCATGGTCCCGGCGGCCACTTCCACGAGGCCTCCGCGCCTTCCTTGTGCAAAGCCATGCTTTCCGCAAGCTGCCAAAATGGTACTGCAGATGGCGGGTCACGTCCGGTCCAGTACGACGGAAACATTTTCTCCAGCATCTGTTTTCAGGGCAGCGGAGTGATGGCCTCGCCACGGCCAAACCGCACTTTCAATCGGAATGCCAAGAAAGACAGTACTTCGCCTCACGACGGAACTCAGTCCATTTACAAAGCAGACACCACCGATTCAGCTGGCCTCAATCGCGACTTTCTTCGCAGTCAGGCTCACTGGATTCGCGACATTCTCGATCCTCAAGTCGCCCGCGAAGGACCCGATGTGTTACAGTCAGATGATCTCTTGACCATAGATGAGCTGCTCCGATCACTCTTGGAATTGGGTATTAGTCGAGACGACCTCGTCTACAGTCGCATACATCTGGCAGTCGGCACTATTGCCAGTCTGGCAACCAGGTGGCCGAAAAAGCTCGTCGAAAAATGTGACGCATTGAAGGACATCTGCGCTAGCAGGTTCGGAGACTTGCAAGCCACATTGTTGTATGAGCCGGGCGGAAGACTGCATGGAATATGTGCCCCGGGCGATTTGGACAAGGAGAAGCTGGTTGTCAAATGGCTGAAGACTCCTGGCGCTCGTCTCAGCCCAAGTGTGGCAAGGAAAGTCGGCCACCTCGGATTTGAGCCTGGAGAGTATGTCTCGAAGCTATGAGAACTTGGATGGAAATGTAAGCTGACTATGTTCAGTTGGTGGATCAGTGCACTCTTCGCGCATCGCGATGGTATCATCGACAGTGCAAGCAGTGAAGGAAGAATTGTGTCTGACGCCGACGCTGCGTATGCCATTGTCATGGCTGGCAGTGATGAAGTTTTCTCACCAGATGGTCAGACAACACAATATCGAGCCCGGAATAACGATCCAGGTCGTTATCGTTTAACCGCAGCTTCCCCTGAATCTCGACATCCTATTCGGGTGCTGCGGAGCCATAGACTGAACAGTCTGTGGAGGCCGAGAGCAGGCCTGAGATACGAAGGACTGTGCGTGCTATGGCGACAGCTAGTGTGCCTCCACAAAAGACTCAAATCCAATACATTGTGGTTCGCCAAGCTGAAGTGATCTTTTTGCAGATACAAGATCGTCGGGTGGTCTTTGAAATTCGACAAGAAAACCAACGAAACAATATATATCGTGAATCTTAGGCGTCTCGCTGGCCAGATCGACTTCGAGACAGTCCTAGCTCGTCCATGGACCGACGAGGTTGAGGATTACAAAGAATACAAGCGCCTTCGGGATCTTGAACACGCCAAGTCGAAAACAAGACAGGACAAGAATCGAGCATCGGCAGACTTGGCACCGACTCTTGCTGGTACGACTGATGGCCCTGCCATTGAAACGCAGAGAGTACGTGAACCCCCAGCTTCCGAATTTCTGATATCTCCGTCCAGCGTAGTTCGCTGGACCAAGCAGAGACCACGCGGTTCGACGCAATGAACGCACCGGAGGAGCACATACGGTGGCCTCAGGAATTGACTTGGGTCCTTCGAACTGGCATGAGAATCAGAAGAAGATCGAGGTGATGGTACAAGCAGTGTCGCAACGCTTGCAAAATCTGTCTCGAGTAGCGAGACTTGCTCAAGTGATGAGAGCCGGGTTTGGATCAGCATTGATTGACTACGAGTGCACGAGGCATTCGTGCTTCTGTTGGGAATATCCACCGGAGCCCCATCACATGCTACACGAGTTTTCTCAGTGATTAGTGATAGCTTTCAACATACGGTGTAAAGCTTGGCTTTCTAACAGCCGTCTTCCATTTCCGAGAAGTCGTTCGAAACACCGTTCGCTCCCAGCTCAAATCCATGTCTGTTCCACGTGTGAGCTGATCAACAAGCTGAGCACTCGGTGCAATGTAACGATAATATTCACAACATTAGGGACTGTACGCACTTCTCTTCAATCGTTCTTAACTCTCTGATATACATCATTGCTCCGCATTCTGCAGAAAGCCCGTGAGCCCGTGTTCCGCTCATATCTCGGCAGGCGGTGGTCCGGACTTACCCTTTCCGGCTTGCCGGTGGCCAACTGCTGTGTTGCTCCACGTCGGGTGCAAAATGCCAGACGTGCATCAAGAAGGCCCGAAGACGAAAAAAGCCTTGCAAGCTCACTTGTCACTGTCTTTGCATATAGCGGCGTCAACGCTGCAACCGTGACTGCTCGGACCCACATTTTAACCTGATGCGACGTCGCGATATGGAGTGATCATTGGATCTATACCCTTCCCGTCTTCTCCGGGTGGAGCCCCAGTGGAACGAGCTGGAGACTCACCAGTGTCACCCACCATAGACCCATGGGGTCGCTCGTGGCGGCGTCGTCGTCGAGCCGATGGCGAGGTGGAGTCAGGTAGTAAGTGCGATGCAGTACAATACTGGTTTCTAGCCCGCGCGACGATTGTTTTCCTACCTTGCTCTTCCATTCTTCATCTCTACAGCAGTCCAAGATGGCGCGGAGCACTCACGATACGACTAGCGACAGGATATCTGGCGATGCGGCCGATAAGAAGAATGCCATCGAATACCTGGACGAGGCAGAGGATGTGGACAACAAGCAACCTGGTGGTCTCGTGCCACCGCCTCTGGTGCAAGCCATGAGTCCGGAAGAACGAGCAATACGCGAGAAGAAGCTTCGCAGGAAGATTGATGCGAGACTGCTGCCTCCAGTGATCATCATGTACATCTTGAACTATCTGGACAGGAACAACATCGCCACAGCGCGAATATCCGGAACGCCTAGTCTTGAAGAGGACCTGGGCCTCACTAATTCGCAATACCAAACCTGCGTCAGCATTCTGTTCGTTGGGTAAGTACCACCCAGGAGCACGACCCTTTGGCTTCAAGAGGAGCACGTACGAGTCACATTGAGACGCGAGCATTGGATATGTAAGGCCTCGACTACAGAATCAACTAACTGTCACTTGCAGGTACATTCTCATGCAAGTTCCGAGCAACTTGTTTCTCAACAAGGTTGGCAAGCCGGCGCTGTTCCTACCAGGGGCAATGGTTATCTGGGGCATCATTTCCCTTTGCACAGCGGCTGCAAGAAACTTCACCGACTTGGTTGTCATTCGATTTTTCCTCGGGTTTGTAGAAGCCGTTTACTTCCCTGGCTGCATGTATTGCCCATCCACTTCATTGTAGAGTGAGAACTGACTGAAAATCAGGTCTGTTCTTCTTGTCTTGCTGGTATACGAGGAAAGAGTTGGCCTTCCGCTCGGCTATTCTTTACTCCGGATCCCTGATTTCTGGTGCCTTTGCTGGACTGATTGCTGCCGGCATTACTGATGGCATGGATCAGAAGCTGGGTCTGCCAGCGTGGAAGTGGCTATTCAGTAAGCTCGTCTGGCAATGGAGGTTAAGCTCACCACTGACCAAATGTAGTCATCGAGGGCGCCGTCACTGTCGCGATTGCCGTAATCTGCTTCTTCATCCTACCCAATTTCCCCAGGACCACGAAATGGTTGACCGAAGAGGAAAAGCAATTGGCAGTTTGGCGACTTCAAGAGGACATCGGAGTGGACGACTGGACCAGCAGTGAGGATCAGTCCTTCTTCCACGGGTTCATCCTTGCTCTCAAAGACATCAAGGTCTGGATACTTATGCTCATGCTGCTCGGCGTCGTGTCCGCGGCGTCAGTAACAAACTTCTTCCCCACCGTGGTCCAGACCCTCGGCTATAGCAAGACCAATACGCTCTTGCTCACAGCTCCTCCATATGTGCTCGCCGTCTTCTGCGCTTTCGCAACCGCCATACACGCCGACAAGACTGGAGAACGGTTCTTGCACGTTAGCCTTCCGCTGCTGGGCGGCATCGCCTCCTTTGTTCTTGCGGCTGCCACAACCGCCGTCGCTCCGCGCTACGTTGCAATGATGCTTATGCTTCCTACGGTGTACTCATCTTACGTGATCATCCTATCCTGGATTTCGAATTCGATCGCACGACCTCCTGCAAAGCGTGCAGCGGCACTGGCGGCAATCAATGCCGTGTCGAACGCGTCGCAGATTTACGCGTCGTACATGTATATTGGAGGACCTAGGTACATCATTGCGTTCTCGGTGAACTGCGGAACCTTGGTGATGTCGATCATCATGGCAGCTGTGTTGAGGGTCGTGTTGGTACGTGCCAACAAGAAGCTCGATCAAGGGGAAGCGGTTGAGGCTGCTGTGTCTGGGGCAAATGCTGGCGAAGCCCAGGCCATGAGAAAGGGATTCCGATACCTGGTCTAAATTTGGGATACGAGCGGTATTGATGAGTGTAGACTGTTAGCACTGCAAAGCGCGCCAGTCGCCGTTGCGGATTCATGGCGATGCTCAAATGAAAAAGGAGATGTCGAAGTCAAGCTGACTCCGGGTCCATTTGGGACGCGTCCTTCGTTCACCAAAAAAAATCCCTTCAAGACACCGGCACGTTTCTGGTGTTGCGAAATGTGTGTTATTTGCAAATGGTCTGAACTGTTAGCTCGGACCTCGAGTGCTGACGGATCGACAAGGCATTCATCTGACTGTCTGCTCGGATCGTCGCGAACGAAGCCTGCATTGTTCACAGTGGTTGCGAATGCATTGTGGCAATTGAGTCGGGTTGACTGATTAGCATCCTCTGCTCAATCAATGAGGAGGGGCGAGTGCGACGATTGAATCAATTGCTCATGTCGTTGGGTCTTGTAGTTGTCATGTCGGTGGTCGGGGAGTGCAGACGAAGCGGGGCGAAACGATGAAAATCATGGATGAAGTTCGGAAGGTCGTGTTGCTATGCGACAACTAGCGCCAAAACACGCCAAGACTACAATCGCGCTTGAGGAATAGCAATGATGATGCCAAACGACTCCAGCATACTCTGAACAGTTCCACACTTCACCAAGAAGAGACGAAGCACGAGAGCCACGATGTCGCTCATGGACCCGCCGTCGCCATTCCGCTTCCCGCCCCGAGAATCACTACAGAGCTTGTCACCCGAGCGCGTCCACAACAGGTCGCGACCTTCCAGCATCATGTCGTCCAAAACTGCAAATGGCGATTTCGAGCCACAATCTGAGCAGCCCTCACCGCGTTCCTCACCGTCGCGTAAGGCGGCGAACCTGTTCTCGGACTACGACCCACGACGGAATAGTCCAGTCAAAGAGACCGGCTTCGCGCTGCCCGGCAGCCCTTCCCTTCCAGATGTCCATGCGTTTCAGCGCACGCACGTGAGAACGAACAGCGACGTCCAAGGCTTAGTTAAGAGGTTTGAGCATCTGGACGTACGCGATCGCGAGGCCGAAATTGCAGAGAGGAGAAAGAGGCATGAAGCCGAGCTACGCAGAGCACAGGTCGCACGCGAGGAGGCCGAGGATGATGCCAAGAGACTACGAGAGCAAGTACGGCGGCTCAAGAAAGAAGGCGAGGAGGGCAAGGATCGAGAGAGACGAGTCGCAAAGAGGCTGGATGTGGTGATGGTAAGTGGCCGAAGGCAGACTGTGGGCCATAGCTGACACACGACCAGGACGAGTTCACGACCTTCAAGGAGACGCAGACATCGCAGGTTTCTGTATACGAAAAGGAGGTTCGAAAGGCACGAAAGGAGGCATTCAAGTCCTCTTCAGCCGTGCTGAAACTTCAAGAAGAACTGAAATCGACACGAAACACCCTTCGAACGACACAATCGAATCTCGACATGGAGCGACGGAAAGTGCAGCAGAAGGAGCAACAGACCTTTGATGCTCAGTATCAGCTGGTGGCACTGCAAGAGGAACTCGACAAGCTGCGAACACATGTCAAGACCATAGAACAGGAGAAGGATGCGCTGAAGACAAGTCTGAAAGAGGAAGAAGTTGCGCGAATAGCAGCTGAGGGAATGATTGCCCTGCCAATCGGAACACAAGGCGACGACGACCTCATGAGTCCAGAAGTGGTTCGAAGACGATCACCGCACAAGCGACAACCGTCGCCGCTGTCTGACGACAAGGAGAATGCGGGTGTCGTAACGAAGAAGATGGTGGACCTGAAGCAGTCGGCGGAAGAGTTGAGGCGAGAAAAGATGCGACGAGAGCAGGCCGAAGAGCTTGTGGACTTCCTTCGCATGGAATGCCGCTTCAAATGCTGCGGCTGCAGGTCGAGGAGGGATAGCGTACACGACGAGACCTTTTCATCGAGCCCCTTTGCCGAAGCACTGGAGACTATCCGAAGCGAAATGCGATCAGTGCTGACGCCACCTCCGAGCGAGAATGGAGATGCTGGCATCGTTGACAGTGCTGTATCCATTGATCCGAACCCTGAGCATCCGGACCCAGAAAACAAGGCCCAAGACAAAGATGTCGAGATGGTCCAGCCGGAGGATGAAGCACTGGCGCACGAGTTTGAACGCAGCGTGACGATGACAGGGGAAGAAGTCACGAGCGAGCCAGTTGCATTGGGAAATGCAGACGAGGCGGTCTTTGAAGATGAGGAACCCATTGCACAACGCCCAAGTCCTATCGCGCCACCTTCACGTCACTCTCGAGCTACTAACCCGACCACCTCAAACTCCCATTCCACAATCAAAGTACCTCTCGCCCCTTCCAGCCCTCAGACACCCGGGCTAATTGCGACTCCAGCGCGACCCCATGGCTCAATCCGCACAATAACGACCACGACCACAATTCCGATGCAATTCACGCCTGCAAAGCCAGCTGCTACACACATTATCGATGCGGAGACTATCCCTGTCACGGTGATGTCGCCACAACGTGATCGATCTGGTTCAGCTCCCGCCTTTGATCGAGAAGCTGCACTTGCCATGATAGCATACCGGCGAGGTCGCGCCAAGAGTATCGCAGACGGGCAGGCGACACCTAGAAAGCTCGAGGGTGCGGTCAACCTCAAGGAGAGGAGAGATGTCTCGGCGCCAGTTCTGGGCCAGCAAAAGAGTTCGAGTGCCAAACGCAGTTTGTCCAGGAACTACAGCGGCAAGGTGGCTAGTGCGAGCAGGACTCGCTGAGGCTGGCGAGCATCAGGCATGCACGGGCGTTGGGCAAGGTTTTATATGGCATCGTACAGTGCCTTGGATCTTCACGGTGGCTTCGGCATGCTAGCGTTCTGGGAAGACGGGACTTTGCTTTGAAGCGTCGGCGCTCCGGCTCATTGTGGGAATTTTGCATACTTTGCTTGTTTCGTAATCGACATATGTTCAGAAGTCTGACTGTTACTGTCTGAGGCTGATCTTTTGACGGCTCTCGGCTTGTATATCTTCGTTCCCATAAGCCATCTCCATGCTTCGGCGACGATCACAACCGACTTCCCCTTACCCTTTGACCCCGACACAGTCGATCATCTTCGTCAAAGTCATCCTTCGTAGCGACGGTGAACAGGGCATGGCCGGCCTTCCATCCTCGTCCATATTCTCGAATGATCTCCTGCGCCTTTGGGCCAATGAGCCATTCGGCGAACTGCACAGCGGCACTATATCGTGAAGTTTCCTCGGTAGAGACGCCCGTACTCTGGCTACGCACAAGTACTGAGCACGGATTCAGCAGCTCATTTCCTCCTTCAATATGAGCTTCCAGTCTCGGGATGACATTGTCCTGCCGTGCTGTTAGGAATGTAGCGCGGTCTGTGATGAGAAATGCCTGCTCCCTTTCCGCCTTGACAAGAGCTTCGTATGGTGTCAAAGGATCGATCCGGAGCCAACTCTGCTCGGCACGCGATGTATCGACTCCAGCTGCTTGCCAGAGTCGGGTCTCTTTCGCAAAGGTCGCTGATCCGTCGCCGCGACTGTGGAATAGCAGGCCTGTGGTATGTGCCGCTTTAGTATGTTCGCCAGTATTGCTCAAAGCAATCTCCTTGAGCGCATCGCCGATCGTCCTTGCTTCCAGTCGTATATCCGCTGGCCCAACAAGCATAAAATGATCATTGAAAGCTCTTCCCACTCGTCTCGTCCACCCCTCTTTGATGGCGGTATCCTCGTTCTCTGGTTCGTAAGTCAAAGCAACTTGTGCCACGTCCGCCAGCAAAGCGATTTGGGTATGTCGTGAGTGATTCGATACCCAACCAATGCGGATTTGATTTCCGGTCTCTAATATGAACGCTTCGGCCAGTACTTTCAGGACACCTGTATACCCAGCGCCGCCGTTTCCAATTCGGAAGCGAATTGGGTGGCGTGGGTCACCATATACTTCGTGGTCGACCAGACTGATCCGCTCAGAGCCTGCTGGACCATCGCCAACCCGTAGGAGTGCAGAGTCGTTGAATCGGGAGACCCACGGATCTGATACGGTAATGTGCTTGTTTTGAGGTGGAGCTGAAGTGGCACCGCCTGTTGTGGTCATCTTTAGGTTGCAGCCTTTCTGGTTGTCATAAGTCTTGCAGATAGGGTCAAAATTTGGGGAGGGCAAATATCATGATGTCTCTTCAGGCATGCGGTGCATGATCGGGTAATGTTCTACATAATCTTACACACTCGAAGTGGCGTTGGCGAGGAGGTGAAGTACAACTTGCACGTCTCAAAGGCCGACAAACGCCGTCGTCAGAATATCGGCGAGATCGCCAAACTCGTGCCGTGCTGCTCTACGACTTTTATGACACCTCCATCGCGTCTCCATTGCTGTGCCCATTTGTGCTGGCACCCAGTGTCACGCCCCCGTCCTCACCGATCAGTCGCTTCTCGAACTCAGTCACGAACTTCACACTTCGGGTAGGGTCATAGAAGAGCTGGTAGGAGCGCGACACATCGTTGAGCTCGACCTCTTTGGCTTTTCGCTTTTGCGAAAGCAGATGTGAAGTTGTGATGAGATTGCTCGCGTAACGAAGTCCGGTCTCCAGCCCAATCTTGGTGAGTAATGCCATTGCGTCTGCCGATATGTCGATGTCCTCCTCCTGTGCGCGGAGCTGCAGGATGTCGCGAATTTCGTCGTTTTGGTATTGTTGTGTTGAGATGATGACAACACGGTCCAGGAAATCCAACGGCAAGCCGTGAGGACTTCGATAATTGGTACCCCGAATCGTCGTGGAACCGCGATTTGAAGCCATAATCACAATCGGTGCCAGTTCATCCTCGAGCGCGCGGTTAATGAAGCTGAAGCACTCAATGTCTAACATGTGCACTTCGTCGATGAACAAAACTCCAGGAACGATCTCGGCCTTGCCTTCTTCCTTCCACTCTGCGACTTTTGTGTTGATCTGCTCCCGCACCTCCGACCTGATCTCACCAGTGTCGCCAGAAAATAGAGCCAGGAATCCCTGTGTCCGGCTGTTGATCACGTCTATCTCATGTAGCGAGACAGTGTGAACGGTCTCTCGTCGCACCTGCAACTCGCCATCTGGACATTGTATGAACTTGGCATCTGAGCCCACTGCATCATAATCTCGGCTTCTGGTGTAGCTGCGTCCCAGCTTTGTGATCCGCCCACTTGCCTTGTCGATGCTGATGATGTCGCCAGCCATGACCTTCTCCTTCGTCATGCTATCGATCATGCGGGTTCCCATGTCGTATAGAGTTTCCATGTCCGTTGTTTTGAGAGTGAGCTTGCCGCTCTTGTTGTTGCCCGTGACTGATCGATCAATCTGGATCTCCACCACCTCGCCCTCAATTACCTCGCTCTCTTCTCGTATCCGCACTGCGATCGATTTGCGGAATGCCTGCTCCAGCGCCTCGGTCTTGCTCATTTCCATGCTGAAGATTTCGGACGATGCCAACGCTGTGAATGGCACGTCTTCGCCAAGCTCCTTGCTCAAGCCGATTGCTATGGCTGTCTTGCCCGTGCTAGGAGGTCCGGAGATGAGGACTGCTCGACCCGCAATCTTGCCCTCCTTGACCATTTGCAGAATCACACCAGCGGCCTTGCGAGCCTGTTGCTGACCCACCAGCCCGCCAGCAGACGGCTTGGGGGTCAGCGTGTCCGGCGTCAATCCGAGACCTCGTATGTGGGAATGCGCCGCGATGAGGTTGAGTCCCTGTCGCTCTTTCGAGTCGGAGACGGTCGTGATGGGAGCAGCCATGGTGGCAGGGCTTGCGCTTGTTGCGCTTTGAACTCGATTGCGCTCGTCGCTCGTATTCTGAATATTTGGTGCTTGTCGATGAGGATTTTGGAATGAAGACACAGGATGCGGGCTGTACGCAGAGGCAGGACGAAGAAAGTTGGATTGGCGATGGAGCTCGCAGCGCAACGAGCTCGAATCGCGAAGAAACGCGTCACGCTTCATGTTTTATAAAGTCCTGGGACTGCTGCTTCCTCCACCCCCAGCATACCAGCCTCATTGACCGGCGGACACCATCGACCATCAACGACACAACCAGCTGTCCGAGGCACCAAGAGCCGGCATTTATAATCAGGTTTCAATGATCGAAACCCACAGGGCGCGCTGCTGATCATGGTCCAAGGGCCGTCCTTCGAGGCCATTGCTACGCTCGGCGATCTCTCCGTCCCCATCCAAGAGCGCGTGCGAGTCGCTAGGCACCTGAAGAATCTCATCATCGGCCATGACCAGCGTAAGGCGCTGGCCGTGCGGCATGGGATTGTGCAGCATCTGGCAGACATCATCGCTTCGGGATCCAAGGGCAAGCGGCGCCTCGAGCTGAACGGTGTCTCCCTCAGTGCTCATGCCGACCACGCCACTGCCGAAGAAGCCCTCAGACTGCAAGCCATCCTTATCATCGGTAGCCTGGCATCAGGAGGTCAGGCTCAGCCTCTGTGTGCTGCAGATATTCCAAAACTCCTGGTCGAGACGTTACCCGGAGAACATGCCTCTCGTCTGTCAATCGCAACGCTGCAGGCATTGCAGGCTCTTGCCTCATTCTGGTCGACCACAGACGAAAATCTAGACTATGACTTCTGGTCAGCGTTGTTCAATGATGATAGCCTGAACGTGTTCAAGTCCATCTTGACGCAGAACGTTAAAGGCTCGGCCGCCCAGCAACAGATTACGTTGGTCGCCGAGCTCATAGCTGCGTTGCCTGAAGAAGGCTGCTCCGGATCCAAGGCCCTGCTTACCAGCTGCGGGCTTTTGGACACTCTCGCGGCGCTGCTTGTTTCACACGCTGTCCAAAACAAGATCGTCTGGTACCGCGGAGACCGCTCTCGCCTTCCATATGCACCACCAGGAGAATGGCTGCCCAGTGTACTTGCAGCTGTAGCGGCAATTATTCATGGCTCCAGCTACCGAGCGCATCGATTCATACTGGCGTCCACCATCCGAGACCTCTTTTCACAAGCTGAGACCGATAGCACAGAGCAGCGAACCATGCTGGGTCCTAGGCATGGTTTCGTGAGCTTCTATGAGAGCAAGCTACCTCCTCTGCACGTCCCTGCTTCCAAGAGTGTATCGCATGGTTCAGCTTCTGGTGCATTTCCAGCTTTGAGGGCGTTGCAAAACTCGAAACACGGCAACGGCAACACGGAAGCCTCGGTTCTGGTCAGCGACATAGATCACTCGAATGCAGTCTGTGGGTGGCTCCTGGTGCTCACTCGTTCTCTGCGCGGCTACAACCGTCTTCGTGCTTTGAGACTTCTCGCGCTGGTATCTAATGCTATCGAGGCGGAACCGGCTGGCATGTCGACGAAGGCAGAATATGCTCAGAAAACTCGCGAGCGGCAACGACAGCTTTCCCTACTGGCGGTGCCGTTGGCTGTCCAACTTGTACAGGTAGCCAACGACACTAAGCCCAAGGATAAGATCAACGAGCAACAGGAGCTCAAGTTGGTCAAGGAACAAGCATGCAGTGTCCTTTCATTGCTGATTCGTGGTGTCAAAGATCTGCAGATCGCAGCCGTCGAAGCAGGTGCTATCAAGCATGTCTGCCCTATCCTGAAGAAGAGCTTCGACAACGTTGTTCCTGCGAAACCAATGTGGTCTGCACGACCCGGCATGCAATTGGACGCGGACACACCAACATCGTGCCAACCTGGATCGTTGACCTTCCCGCCCGAAGTTGGACACGCTATGCGCTGTCGCGAAAGCACTTTGAAGGCGTTGGAAGCCATCGCTGCCAAAGAAGACCTGCACCGCAAGGCCATCATCGACTTTGGGGTCGTAAGCTGCATCATTGACTCGCTCAAGCCATTGCCAGAGAACATCCCAGTCGAAGCTCATGGCAGGGCTCAAGTTACTCCCAAGGATGGCAACACGACTCGAGTTATCCTTGCCGCGTGTCGTGCAGCTCAATCTATGTCCAGGAGTGTCAGCGTTCTTAGGACGAGCCTGATCGACGGCGGTATCGCGAAGCCGCTTATTTCTCTGCTGAATCACGAGTCGCTTGATGTCCAAATTGCTGCCACCGATGTATGCTGCAACTTACTACCTGACTTCAGTCCAATGCGAGAAGACCTATCAGAGGGCAATGTCGTGCGTACATTGGCGGAGCATGCTCGAAGCAACTCCCCAGAGTTGCGACTTTCCAGTCTGTGGGCACTGAAGCACCTGGTCTACAACTGTCCTAAAGAGGTCAAACTTGCTGCGCTCGAGGAGCTTGGTACCGGATGGCTGGTAGGCATCATCCAGGGCGAACAGCGAGAGACCATAGGCGGCGGCGTCAGCGTTGGTCTTAGTACTCCCAATGCTGCTGGAGAGCAGGTGGATCTGCTCAATCCGTCTTCGATGGAGTTGGATGAACCTACAAACGAGGATGATGAAGCCATGGACGAGGATGACGAAGACGGAGAAATGCTCTTCGATGAGGCGTCTAGTACACACTATCAAGCTTCGCAGATGCGGTCTACACTCAACCCCCCGGCCCCTGCTTTCAATCCTAAACGATTTCTTTCGAGCATACGAGAGATGGAGCAAAGTGGAGAGTACGCGTCGCGAAGAGACGAAGCCAAAATCCAACAACAGGCTCTCGACTTCATTCGCAATTTCATCAACGGCGAAGACTGCATGGCACTTTCCGATCATCTGATGAATGCGATCGGCAGCGCCAAGGTTTACGAACTGCTCACAGCAAAACTCTCTCCTGTCACTCGCTCAGGTGGACGGCAGGTGTACAACACCACGGAGCTCGTCCTCAGCACTATCCACGTACTCATTCATCTAGCCAATGCATCGGCCAAACATCGAAAATTGATCATTGCGCAAAAGCCGCTGTTGCAGGCCATGTTGCCTCATTTCAATCACGTTGATCATCGCGTCCGTGTCATGAGCGTCTGGGCAGTGAACTCGCTCACTTATATCGAAGACGGGGATGACAGACGCGACGCTCGTCAAAGGTCTCAGGAATTGAAGGCCGTGGGCATCGAGCAGGCTGTGAGAGCACTGCAAGGTGATCACAACCTCGATGTGCGCGAGCGCGTAAAGACTGCTATCAGACAGTTTGAGACGCTATAGAGAAGCTTAACAGTGTAACATTAGACTCGAACAACTTTTCCGCCCTCTGTAGCTGTGACTGCATCTTTTGTTGCGCAGTGCCCTTACAATAAGTCGTCTGTCTTCTTTGCCAACGAATAGTCTACATCCATACCCACCACATGCGTCAGCAGTCAATATTCCCCAATGGCATTGTGTCGTGTGTTACAGCTCTGGCATCGAGCAGTGTGGACGTCATCAAGGATGTAGCTGAACGGCGATTGTTTACATTTATTGCAATAGGGTATGCGAGCGAAGCCCTGAAGTCTCTTGTCCAGGATCTCCTGAGCACTACGCGCGCGAGTTTCGGCTGCTGATTGCTGGGTCCGGGCCTCCTTGAGCTTGGAGTCACTGTCCTTCTGCTGCTGGCGAGCATTGTCACGCAGTTTGGTGACCTCCTTTTCATGGGCCTTCTGGATATCCTCTAGCTCGCGCTGTTTGGTACTGAGCTGCTGGCGACCGTTGTTGCGATCCGTACGGAGTCGCGTAACATCAGCGAGTGCCTTGTCTTTGGCCTGTAGAGCTTCATCACGCGCAGTTTGAGCGTTCTTCACCTCGAGCTGTGTCTTATCCATGTCGGTCTGGTGCAGTTCATGCTGCTTGACTAAAGCGTCATTGAACTCTGTGACAGCGCCGCAGATGAATTGCGGCACGAAGTCGTCAAGATCGTTGCGCTCAAAGAGAAGCTCGACGAAAGTCTGGTCTTGGAGAAGCTGTTCTTTCTGCTGGAGAGCCATTTGGAGAACCTTCTTACGCAGAGCGTTGTCTTCGGTGGGCATAGTGTGCCTAACGACGCGAGCAACGAGATCCAGGAAGATCGATCTGTCATTTTCCTTGAGAGGCTGCGCGCCGTTGACGAACTTGCTTGCCGCAAGGTCTCTCAATGCAGCGATGTCGTAGAGGTCTCCAGCCGCGTGGACGAGTACATGGGCAGCGAGCTGGTGCATGTCGCTTGCTTTCTCTTCTACCGTAGCTTCGACATCTGCAGCTTCTTGGCCTTCTCCTTTTGGCAGCACGTAGTCATCGGTGTAGATGAACTGCAGGACGCAGTCAATCGTCGCGGCATCGAAGATCCTGTGCTCGAAGACAGTTCTGGTCGCGGCCTGTCAAACCTTGTCAGTGAGCTGTCCCAATTGCGTGAAGCTATATACACACCGTGAAGCCTGTCTTGCACTCGGCCTCAAGAACTTTGGAGCGAGCGCAGGCAGCGGCACGATGTGCGAGGAACACTGCTTCTTCGCAGTGTATCTCAAGGTCCCGTAGTCTCCGGAGAGGTAGGGGTTGCTGAAAACCTTGCCACGAGCCATGCTTGGCGAGTGGTGGGTTCGTGTTGGACTCGATGTCGATGTGCGACGAGTGGTGGTGAAGGCAGCTGAAGTTGTGATTAAGTTGTGGAGGAAACAAACTCCTCGAGCTGCAGTGGCAAGTTCTGCGCCAACGGCCGCCTTCACTTCACTTGCATGAGTGCGACAGAAGCGCAGCAGTGGAGGAAGGAGATAGCTGATACCACTTCAGCTAAAACAGCGGTTCACTTGATGTGACCTGCAAAACCCAAGATTGGAGGGCTTCTTTCGGGTAGTAAGTACTGCGAAGCTTTGGACATTGAATGTGGGCACATTACAGCCGCTTTACTACTCACTATGGTCCCGGTCGTTGTGAGCACGGGCGGTTTGGCGACTCGGCGAAGGTAAGCTTGCTTGCTGCTGAAAGTGAAGGTATCTTGCCTTCGTTCTTCCTGTAGGACTTGCACCTAAGCCACAGCGCCGGAGTAGCATGCGCACTTGACAGGTCACTGAGACTCTTCTCTAACTGCTTTGTGCTGCGAACGCGAGCTGATACTAGCAGACCACTTCGTCAATGGGCAACACAGAAGGTGAAGTAGGTTCCGGCAACTGGTGCGCATACATAGTCCTCACTGAGCTCATCACACATAGTTCTCCAAATCTGACACGAGCCATTCGACAATTCTCGCTCTTCCGACGTCCATTTTGCTGTTGCAGACAGAGGCTGGAATGAAGTGGAACTTGTTCAGGGAAACAGCTTTCGTCCTGGTCGACTCCAGAATGTCGGAGGATGCTGACGGTGCGGTTCAGCGGTGACGAATGGCTTTGACCGTGAAGTGACGATGGTGCACCCAATATCACCGATGAGCATTGACCTCGTTGAAAGCGTGCGGTGTGAAAGCCATTCTGCGATGATTAAGCGTTTCACGTGATGAGCACATCTGGTTACTGCCCAGCGAACCGACAAGCGACAACCTAAACGCCGACATGCACATCTGCAGAAAATCTCCGTCGACAGAACACCACCGCTTGCGGCATGAGACGAGGGCATGTTTCAGAGCCGTCGATGAATCTTAGTTCCGACCTGATATTGGGTGTTCGTGCTGTAGCTGATGAGTCTAGATGCACACGACCGCACTCGACGAATGCCAGAGACCCTCTCCAGGTCGTCTGCCACTTGCGTATGCGATCGACCTCTGACGTACGCGCCCAACCATATGTCTTGTCCCGGCGCTCCACACAGGAGAGGCACGCAGTCAAGAGGTGGAGAGCGGCACAGCCATTGACTTTCGCAATGACAGCCAAATGACCACCCATGCTGGTCTTTGACTACGTGCGGACATACGATGGACTATTATAGCCCGTGAATATGACAATGGGCACAGGACGTGGTCGTCACCAAGCGTGTGGAAGCTCGAGTACCGCGCTGAGGATTGCGCGCAAGAACTACTTTCCTGCACGAGAGGCGCCAATGCGACTCATGTCCACGCATGCTCGATGGCCCTAGTCACCATGAAGGCCGTGTGTATCTGGACCCCAGAAGCCATCAGGACGTCTGTGGTATGCAGCAGCTGTGCAGTCCTCGAGAGCCTGGTAGGCAACCAGATGCAGGTACTGACTCAGCTGCCTTCGGGTAGCTCCGTTCTGTGAGCTTTTGACCTCATCCAGCGCTGACCATGAGTCGTTGCGCTGCAGCGAGCGTTCGCAATGACGATTATGATGCTCTCGTACATGCTCGCACAGCCTGCCCGAGTCAGCAACGGTGGCCCTAGGTGGCTGTTTTTGCGGACGTTTTTGGGCATCGATTGCGCTTTGGCAGCCATCGACTCGCGGTGGTGGGCACCACATGCACTGTACGGCGGAGTGCCCACGATGACGAATAGCATCGGCACGATGATCAAGACCTCGAGATCGCCAGTAGCTGAGTATAACACACTGATCCCGCAGCGTGAGATCATTTCTTTCTACAAATCATACAAACAACACATCTTCATTTATTGAGCACTAATGCATGAATTTTGTGCATGAAGGCTCTAGCATTCAAGAATCAAGCAGTTCCGCTGAGCATGGGATTTTTCTCGGGTAAGAACTCCAATAACTCAGCTGTCGCCCGCCTCAACGGACACGGATTAAGTGTCATCGAAGAGAAGCAAGAAACCAACCTCAAGCCAAGAACCAGCAACTCCAAGATGAGGCCCGCCAGTCGCAGTGCAAGTCGGTCTCGCCCTCCAGGTAACACTGGTTTGAATTCCAATGGAATCAGCTTTAACAATGATTCGTCAGATGACGGCATTGACGCCCGCCGAGACACGCAAGTGAAGGTTGTCTCTATCAACAATGGATCCGGTAATGGCCGGGCAACGTCGTCATCTGACGAGTCTGCCAACTCTGGCTGGTCCAACAAGGGAGGCAGCAGTTCAGAGAGTGAATACAGCACCACCAGTACCGGCTCTTCCGCAAGGAACGAGACCAAGGGCAGTGGTATCAGCATGAGCAACAACAATTCTACCGCGAGCAGCAACAACAACAATAACAATAACTCCTCCTCCTCAATGGGCATGAACTCGGCGAATACCTCCTCGAACAACAACTCGTCGTCGAACAATTCATCGTCGAACAACAACTCATCGTCCTTGGGATCGTCAAACAATTCGTCTTCCTATGGGTCGAACAATACTCAGTCGACAAGCACAGGGTCGTCCTCGATTGGAAGCAGCAACACCTCTTCCACCGGGAACTCCAACAACAGCTCTTCTTTTGGCTCATCCAACAACAACAACAACTCGTCGAGCAACAACTCCACCAACAACTCCTCGCCTGGAAGCTCGAGCAACAACAACACTTCGTCTTACGGCAGCTCGGACAACACATCCTCGAACAGCAGTAACAATAACAACAACTCGAGCTACACATCGACCTCAAGCGGCTCGAACAGCAATAACAACAACTCGTCAATGAACAGCTCATCGATGAACAGCTCGGGTAACAACAGCTCATCATTCGGTGGAAACAACAGCAACAGCAACAGCAACACCTCTTCGAGCGGTAACAACAACAGCTCGTCTTTCGGTGGCAATAGCAACAGCAACAACAACAACTCTTCCTCAGGAAGCTCGAATGTCTCTTCGATGGGAAACAGCTCCAACTCCAACTCCAACTCGAACAACTCGAACAACTCCTCGTCGCTTGGTGGAAATATGGGTGGCAATTCGAACTCGGGATACAACTCTGGCAATGAGGCCCAACGGTCGAAATCTTACACTCGTGATTTTGGCACCGGTACAGACGACCTTCGCAAGCGATCAGGCACACCTCAAGGTCAGAGGAGCAACACCTACAATGGGAAGGCCTCGAACAATGGTAATAACAATAATAACAACAACAACAACTCTTCTTATGGTAACAACAATGGCCACAACCGTAACCACAGCCGGGCCGGCAGCAACAACTCGCAGAACGCGTGGAGTGGTGACCCAAATCAATTTGGAGGTCGTGAGAATGCACGAGACTCCGGTCATGACTGGAACCGCGATGAACAGAAGGCCTATGATGAAGGTGCCCGCATCGCCGCTCGAGAAATGCAAAACATGGACATTAACGACAACAACTCCAACAACAATAACAATAACCGCAACGGAGGATATGGCGGAAACAACAACAATAATAACAACAACCGTGGCGGCGGTGGCGGAGGCTATGGAAACAACAATAACAACTACGGTGGAGGCTATAACAACAATAACAACAACAACCGTGGAGGCTATGGTGGCGGCTACAACAACAACAATGATCGTGGGTACGGCGGTGGTGGAAGTGGCGGCTGGAACAACCGACGTGACAGTCCACCACAAAAAGAATCCCGCTTCAACACCGATCGCAAGATGGATGTCGCCTACGAAGCTGGTTACAAGGACGCCATGGAGAAGGTCAAGGCCGACATGATGCGACAGTTCGGTCGAGGCTACTAGACCAGGCCCACCTCGTCGCATGTTTATTACACCTTATCGTCGCCATACTCCCTCTCATGGGGAAAAGAAGGAACGCCTTGCTTGAGCATTTATTGCGCGCGAGGCATCACGGGACCCAAGACTGCTAGTTGCGTATGAGATGGAAATCTCTCAGCTGAGAGGAAAGAAGTAAAGGAATCTGCTTTGTTACTCGTGTATATATATACCCGCGAGGCACGAAACAAGACCTGTACATTAGTCTCCTTTGTAAATACTGTTTGACCGCGAGCGATGGGAGCTCAGGACAGGAGTTATTCGGGTCGTTTTATTTGATTATGAAAAAAAAAAGTTGAAAATTAATCCTCACGTTCCCTGTCTTCATCAGCTCGCCACCTATCTCTGATGTTTTTCAGTCTAACAACCCTAAAAGTCCTGATAACTGATCAAAACCATCGCACATCATAAGTTTGCTGGAGCTTTGGTAAGAAGAGAGACCCGTGAAACCTTTTGCAGCAAAGTGTATGTGAAAGCAGAAGGTGGGCAACGTAATTGTAGTTGTGTATCCCATCCTAGGATCGATATCAAAGAACGCCAAAACACCATGCTACGCTACGTACGCTTCATTTTCACATCGCATCCTCATCATCATACTGTGTCCTTCTGTGCAATTCATTACATCAATTCAATCTGCCCACCTGCCCATGTGTTGTCCAAACATGACGAGCGCAGAAGCGGTATTGAGACAAAGCTCAGTGCCGGTACCCGCATCGGTCGATGCACTCAGTTCCCGATCTCGATCGTCTACAAGACTTTCGAGCGTGCCTTCCTTCTGAGGGGCTTCTGGAGAGGTAGACGCTGCTGGGTCGACCACAGTCGGAGATGGTGCCGAGAAAGTGGAGGTCTCACTCTGGGAAACTTCATCCGCTATTGATGTCGGAGTGGAGACTTCCTCTGTTGGCAACTGTGTAGGAGTGGATACCTCCTCTACTGATAGTTCTGTCAATGTCGGAGGCACCTCCGCAGAGATAGTCGTGTGGGCAGCTTCGAGTGTGCTTGCGACCGACAGGTCTGAATATCCTCGCGGGTCTGCTTGCACATGCTCGAAAGCCGGTGGAAGCACTGAAGCATCGAATCTAGGCGTCAAACAGGCGCGGAGAGCCACAGCCATGGCGATGGCAGCCAGGCCGAAGACGAGCACATTTCGCTTGTCCTGAGCAAGTAGGAAGATGTAATTTTTCAGCAGAAGTGAGAGCGGGATATCCTTGGGCTGATAAACTTGTGGCAAGTCGTCCAGGCAACTTGAGTGGGTTTGTAGAGTTGCAGATGAGGGCTCCTCAGTCAATGGTGTACGATGTACAGGAGCTCGTCGTTCATTCGATCGTTTCGCCAGCTGCTCCTGCCGCGTGCGGAATTCTTGCTCAGCTTCCGACACTCGTTTTGCCTCCTCTTGCTGTCTCGCATCTTCTTCCGCAGCCTCTTCGAGCATTTTTTCATCCAGTTTCGTACGGAAATCTTCGTCAATGTACGGCAGGATCTCGACATCCACGCGCTCCATTTCCGTCCATGCAGCAGTCCAGGCCGAAGCCCTCATCAACCCATTGGCGGCGAACACTTTGATGGTCCATTTCCTGCCCCTAGCACTAACAGCAGCATTGATGGGCTTCAAGTGGTGGTGACATGTGTCACAGACATCGCTGTCCTCGAGTCCCTCGACACTAGAGCCCACCCCAGAATCGGTGGAGGATACAGAACTCCTGCTTCGGAAGTGTCCACACTTGGTGATGCGTTCTGGCTTGAGCTCCAGGGCCTCGAGTAGTCTCTCCTCCAGAAGCTCATAGTCGCCACTTGGATGCGGGATCAAGATGCCTCGTTGAAGAATGGTCTCCGTTACTTTCGATCTGAGCAGACGCAGGCTTTCCAGCGTGCTGGCTGGTAGGATATCCTCCATGCTGCGCCTACTCCATGACAAGTTTATAGGCAGCAATGTGACGTGAAGTAGTACAAGTGGATAGTCCTTCTTCTCCATCTCCAGATCTGCCACAGCCCACTTGTTGCGTCCTGGACTCCCTTTGGCACTTGAACGACCAGATTTGGGCGTTCGCACTCGCGGTGGAGAGAGGAGTGATCGTCTCAGGCTGCGTTCTGAGGGAGCAGGAGATGACATCTGCATTTTCTTGACTGACTCCGGTCGACGAAATGAGGGTCGGATCATGGGCGGAGTGTAGGGAGTATGCATGGCGCCTCGCTCATAGTCGGTCTCGAAGGTCGACTCTGGTAATGAAGAAATGGAGGCAGAAGTGAAAGCGGATTCTCGTCGTTCGTCGTCGGCATCTTCGATGTCGAGCTGCAGCGTCGTGTCGCCATCTTCGAAGTCGTGTTGCTGGCGAGGCTGCTCGTGGTCTAGGTCGTGATGGCTGTAGCCGCTGTCGGCTCGCTGGAGGCCTTGCGGTTTGGCGATGTGGGGTGAGGAATGTGCTCGTGGGCTCGGAATGGCGGGCATGTCGGCGACGACATCTCTCTCATCGTCCTCCTCCTCGACAACGGCCACCGGCTGCGCTTTGGACAGGCGGGCCATGGGCAGCGTGCTCGTGGCCCTCACGAACAAGCACCGGTCGCATCCGCACGCGCTGCTGCTGGTCAACAGCTGGCGTTGGCGGGGTGACGCTGCCAGCGCCATTCAACCTCGATTCCGCGATGCAACAACGAACAGGGCCACGACATCCAAAGACTCGACGGCTTGTCTCGTGGTCCGCACAGTGCAACTTGAATTTCGCTCTCTGCATTGCTTCCGCCACCAAAGACCCCTCATGTTGGAGCTCACCGCCCTCCTGCCTCCCAGCCACCTCGCATCCACCAGCAACGTCGCAGCATATATATACCTGTTGCCCGTCGCAGTCGAGCAGGCAGCATGGCGGACGTGTCCGCATACGTTGAGCCTGACCCGGGGTTAGTAGTGTGACAGCGGCAGATTGTTTGCTGCGATCCTGTGCGAGCTCTGCCTTCGAATTCGACTGGCACCAATGTTCTCGATTCGATGCTCATCTGCTCGCGGGTGACACCTTGAACGCGGCTGTCCGAATCTTGTGCAGCATCACTGACCGCTATGCTATGCCACGATGCCAACATGGCTATTTTCTGCTGCCTGCTAATTCATCAGCGCCACCACCTCGAAGGACAACTCCTGTCACCCTTTAGCACCTGCATCATTTGCACACAAGACAGCAAGACGAACAGCTATTGCAATGTTTCCTATACCAGCTTTTGGACCGATGATACCTGCTCCTGGTCTTCTCGAGCAAGTCCAGTTCCGCGGTCGTCAAGCTTACGATGGCCACCGGGCCATGCTAGCAGTCCGACCACACAGCCTAGCTGACATCTTGCCCGCGGTCTACGAAGAGCGCGAGCGGCTACAATACGACGCTGAAATGCTCATCGACCGCTTCGTATCAGAGTGCCCGGAAGTCTATCCTCGATGCCGATTCAATCCTCTGCGCGAAGAAGAGGTCCGAGAAGTCTACTACATAACGCTTCGAGAACTGTCACGCTCTTCAATAGGGTCCGCCAGTTTCGACGTCACTAGCATCTGGCAACGCAGACTCGAGCGTCTAATTGAAGTCGACAGGACAGATGTTCGAGTAGCCAATCGGTTCTTCTTCCATCGCCGCAGCAATCACCTTTTCAGGGCTCTGGCCGAGCTGTCGTACGTCAATCAGAGTGCGAGAATCGGACATGTGTTATACAGCTTCTTCGTACGCCACGCTTCACAGATCGTGGCAGTCGAGACTTCAGCCACTATTGGGCAATGGTGCAACGCTATTCTTCGAGCCACGATGACCGAGACTCAAAGAGCTGAGTGCTTCAGGCGCGTCTACGAGCTCAGGCCCGATCTTCCACAAAGTCTCAGAAGGCATGGTCGCAGAGGCCAGCTCGTCGCGGAGTGTATCGAAAGACTGTCGGTTGGCATCAGTGCTGAGAGACGTACCATCGGCCTTGACCGCCCACGCCTGGGCCTGAGATCAAGCTCTGCTGGCCTGCTCGGCGATGATCTATCCCTCAACGGTCTAGGCGGCCGCAGAAGTCCATTCCGCAGGACCGGCTTGATGTCTGGAGGTCTGATTGGGAATGAGCTTGACGATCTGACTGATGATATGTACGGCCTGAGGTCAAGCGAGCATCGAATTCAAGACGACTTGACCAACCAGCGCCTCTTAGAGTTGTCCATGGGTCCTCGATACGCTTCAAGGTTCAGCGACCCGCGCAGCGCCGACGACATGAGCTTGTTGACGATGGGAGATGGTATTGACGATATCTTCGGCGAACTGGACGGCAGTTCTGGGCTTTACATCGACGACGGCCTTGATCTACATGGTATCTAGTACAGTAAATACATAATATCATGCTGCAAGTCACATACTACTGTCCACCTTCCCTTCCCGTCTTTGTTCAATTGTTTCGATGAATGTCAAGAGGGGCTCTAGTGTGCAAGTATCGCCGCTTATGGCCGTCTTCTGGCCCTGTTTGCTATACAATCCTTTCGTTCTCGCTCTCGCATGCCTTGAAGCTCACATGCAGCTGATATCCTTGGCGTTCCGAGGCAGTCGCGTAACTACTACCGACGGATGAACTATCTTTCCAACGGAAAGCAGCAAAAGCACATCATAGCTCCATGACCACGGAACGCAGCTTTGTAAGCAATATGGCCATGTTAGTACAATCCTCCCACGTCAACTAATCAGAAATATAAGCTCGCTCGTTGTCACAGCCGACAGTAGACAAATCCTCGCTTCCATCTCTCACTCCAAGAAGTCAACCTTTCTCCGCACAAATCAGATAGTTCACCAGAACCAAACCATCAATCGACCTCGCCACCATGCCTCTCAAAGCCCTCGCCATCCCCCTCCCCATCACCCCGGAAGTCATTCAATCCCACCCCGCACCCCAATTCTACGCCATCTACGGCCGCAAATTCCCCACCACGGACTCCCAATGGGCAACCCAAAACTTCGAAGAATTCTACTCCTCAGACTGCAAAACCATTCTTCCCAACAGTAAAATCCTCACCGACGGCCAAGCCGGATGGGATTTTTTCCGACGTCTCTATTCCACTTTTCCGAAAGTCGAACGAGAACTTCGAAGCGGAATTTTGGTTTCTGATGACGAGGTTGAAGGGAAATATGAGATTCATGTGGAATTTGTCACGAAATTGCATACGGCTGAGAAGGGTGTAGTGGAATTACCGCAGAGTTTTGTGTATGTTTTGGGGAAAGCTGATGAAGGGAAGGGGACTTTGGGGTTACAGATTCGGGAGTTGAGGAATTATTATGATTTGAGGACTCTGGAGGAGGCGCTTGGGGAGAAGCTCTGAATCTGAGAGATGAAAAGGACTTTTTTTCATTTCTAGTATTTCTACAGTACATGCGGTACGGAAGGGCACCAGAGCAGTGGGTAGGGATACGTTGAACTTTCGGCTTGAATTCCACGTGTGCGCGCGGTAGCGAGGTACTGGCTTTTTCGACATCCAGGTAACGCTGCAAAGTTTCGTATATTTGGATCCCAGTATCACGTGCGAGTCAGCTTCCATGTCCTTGAGGGTAAGGATATGGGCCTGTTGCGGCCAAATTTTCGTTGCCGACGGCCGAGTGAGGGAGGAAGATCTGGCTAGTGATGATTTTGTCGCTCTCACACGAGTGCTGGCTTCACTACAGCGTCGCGCTGTCATTCGAACTCGGGCTGTGCATGTAGCTTCCGGCTGTTAGATACCAAAGGATCGATTGAGTGTTGGATAATTCTCGTATAGATTAAAATTATCTCTTCGGACATTTTGTGCACTCTACGCAGCGTTGCTGGGTGGTAATAAGTTGCAGTCGAACGTACGTCTTGCGTTCACACGCCGTACTGTAATCAGCTCTTCACAGCTTCGGTCCGATGCGGTAATGTCTTCACAACATCGGCAGCATCCAACAATTCAATACTAGGTCGCGGTTGATCACCCTTCCCTGTCAGTAGACTGCTCACATCGCCCTCTGTCGGAAGCAGCGCTTCTTCTGGCTCATCGGACTCGTCGGTCGGCAGTCGAATGTCACCAGTGGTCGCTTTGTCAGCGGCGCTTTTCTCCTCCAGAATCCCCAGATTCAGATTCATCTCAATGTGTTGTTCCCCGTCGTCAACGTGCTCCATATTTAGCTTGGTGCTCTGCTCGGCGAGCTTCTGGTTGGCCTGGCGCAGTTTTGGCAAGAAGGCATGCAGCCTACTCTCCAGCTCTTTCGCATATGCCATGACGACGTCGGGATCGATGTCTGGCTTCACGTAGGCGCTCGTAGAAGGTCCGAGTGTGGTGATGTATTCCGAGTCTGAATCGTCCTCTTCGTGGTCGGCATCTGCTTCGTCTCCGAGCGTTGGAGTGCTGTCGCTGGCAGAACTATCACCGCGAGAGTGACGACTAGCTCGCTCGATCGATCTTGTAGACAGGTCGCTCCTGCCGCCGTTCGCGACATTTTCTGGCGCGAGACTGTCGACTGGGCGGGGTGGAGACGGCTTGCTCCGCTTTGCGCTTGAGCTTTGGGTGCGAGCAGAACGCAAGTGTGCGTCTCCAGAGGATCGTTTCGTAGCCATGCTGTGTAACAGGAGGGTCGTGGTGTGCGACTGTGGTGGGAAGCGGGCGCAAACTGATGTGGTAGTAACTGCCCGGGCAGAGGTGCACAATAGCTTTCTTTTAATACCAAGCGAGTGGAGCAGGGTTCAAGCGCTAGCTCGGAGTGAGCTCCTTCAAGAGCACTTCACGACTCCCAAGCACTCGCTCCAGCACCTCTCTCATTGGCCCCGCCGTCCGCTCGTGGCGACGCGCCTAGGGAGCGTGACTCGGATTGCTGGGGAGCGTGATGAAGCGTTACTCACGTAATTGCGGCAACACAACACTGAACGACACTGCGCCTCTCTCGACACTCGCCTTCGGCTCGGTCTCGTTCGTTGCCGGAAAGAAATAATACTATCTTTCTAAGGGGCCTATGCCTCAC